CGTTGATGAGAGACAACTGCAAGTATTCGTAGCCGCAACCCGTTCATGGTGGCTATTTTTGGCGGGATTGAAGATTACATCTGCCGCCGCCGCCACTCAGCCCGTTTCAAACTGCATTCCCATTCGACAAAGTTGTCAATGGTCACCTGTTCGGCCGCGAAATGGCTGGGTAGCTCCTAAGCGGGAGAGGGAAGACGGGCATGTTCGGACCCAGGTGCGAGGGGCAGCTCCAGCCTCCCACCCAACACCCAGGGAGCGACCTCCAGCGCTGCCCACCGCCGTCGGACGGCCCCCCCCCCCCCCCAAAGGTGCGTGAGACATTGCTAGGGGTGAGCTCGTCCGTCCCTACGGATACCGCAACAGAGAAGAACATTGCGTCCCGTGTATAATAATAAGCTTCGCCCCGCCCGTCGGCACAACATGCTCTGATGTCACTGACCCTGTGTTCGCTTCATCCCATTTCCGTCCCCAACCAACTTGCGCTTCTACCGAATATTAGTCTTGTCGCAAAAGCAACCTGGGAAGGGGGTGTGGACTGCATCGAAAAAGCGCCTCATTTCAGAAGGGGACGCTGCCTTCCAAAGCTTGTTTGTTTGTTGCCCTCCCGTCAGTGTTTTCCTAGGGAAGAAGGGGAAGAAAAAAGTAGGGACCCCCGGGAAGCAGATCGGCCAATCCTACCCACTTGCGCCCCGTTCACCAGTGTCTCCATCCAACCACGAACACAGCCCGGAGTATCCGCTCTGACAGGTCCCGGTGCCTGATTGGGTCCGTCCTCACTGTCATTTCAGCGTCTCTCCAGCACTTCCCAGTTCCTGTCAGCGCCCGGAGGTCCAACGTCATTTAACCCGGCGACCAGACATCAGCCGAAATATCCTCTCTCTTCGCACCACCACAACACTCTCACGAGAGGCCCGACTCAATCACCCTCCCCGTTCACAGTCCGGTCATTTGAATACTGTGGCTCGAAACGCGCTGTCCATCATCACATCGACGGTAGCTTATAGGCAAGATGTCGTACCAACAGTATAACCAAAACCCTTACGCCCAAGGCCCTCAGGCCGAGGACGGAAATGGCTACGACCACCAGCAGGTCTGTCGCCCTCTCAATTGCTTTCTGCTCCGGCTTGAAAGCGCAAATTGTCTGTCGCAATCACTGACACTTGCAACAGCCGCAATATGGCCAAGGCCAATACGAAATGCAGCCTTACGGAGAGGCGGACAAGTACGCCGAGCAGCCCGCGCCCACCGCCATGAGCCAGCAAGACTTCCTTCAGCGCGTGCAATACCTCCGCTCAGAGATCCAGGGCCTCACGTCTGATATTGAGAACATCGCCCAGCTGCACCAGCGTTCTCTCTCCTCTCCCGACAACAGCGCCAGCTACCAGCTCGAGCAGGCCGTCTCGGCGACGCAACTCCGCAACACGGCAGTCAAGGACGGCATCAAGGCCCTCGAGAAGGACCTGACCAAAACACGAGACGGATCGCGCGCGACAAAGACCGCCCAGCTCAACTCGCTGAAGAACACGTTCAAGTCCGAACTCAACAAGTACCAGCAGATCGAGCAGGACTACCAGCGCCGTTACCGCGACCAGATTGCCCGCCAGTTCCGTATTGTCCACCCGGATGCGACGGAAGCAGAAGTCGAAGAGGCGACGCAGATGGACTGGGGCAACGAGGGTGTCTTCCAGGAAGCGGTAAGCTTTAGAATGCTCCTCTGAGCGGTTTCCATGATCTGCCGGCATCGTTGTACTGACAGCATAACCAGCTCAAATCAAACCGAACAGGCCAAGCCAACTCCATCCTGGGCAACGTCAGGGCCCGCCACAACGAGCTGCAGCGCATTGAGAAGACGCTCATCGAGCTGGCCACGCTCTACCAAGAAATGGCCACGCTCGTCGAAGCCCAGGAGCCCGTCGTCGAGGCCGCCGAGCAGAACGCTCAGCAGACGGTCGACAACATCCAGAAGGGTAACGAAGAGGTCGAGACAGCCAATGCCCATGCCAGGAGGCGCAGAAAGCTCAAGTGGTGGTGCCTGCTCGTTGTCGTGCTCATTATTATCGCCATCGCGCTCGGTGTCGGTCTGGGTGTCACCTTGACCAAGAACTCGACTGGCCAATAAACAGGCCGACGTGCGGCGTTGTTCGAAAATGCATCACAACAGTGGGAAGAAAGTAATTTGAGCAGGGGGCCGGGCCGGGCTTCGACTCGGTCCCGCATGACAGAAAGGGAAAGCACTTTGTAAGAGGAGTGCTACGATATTTAGATTTCATGACCATGGCCCGGACTGGAGGAGGCACTAATCAGAGCATGCACACACAAAACCAGCTCACCTCCGACGAAGCCACGATTTGCCGCCGCGTATAGGACTCGGCGGCCTCCTTGATTCCCCACCAACGGTTGACTTACTGTACGCATACTCTTCATACGATCAGACGGATTGGGGGTTCTTTGGGAGTACACTTTTTTTTTCTGTATCTATTCAAGGCGTTCCCTTCTCTCGTCCATTGGATGAGATGAGTTGGAATCGGGGGAAGGGGACCTGATATTTTTTTTCTCCCCCTAGTACGTATCGCACATTGGCGACCAGTTACGAACCTGCATCACGATATCCGCCTTGCTACCTCTCTCTCAGTGCTCCCAAGTGAACCGTTCTCTCGAAATATACAACCGTTAGGTATATCCCCGGCCCGCAAGCCCTGCCTATCAACATCCGCCCTACCTCAAGCCATGGCAGCCATGCAAGCACCGGGCTGGTCTAGGCCCCAAGTCGGTCCTGTCCAACATGCCGCACCCCCGGTCTCCGTCCCGCCGTCCGTGTAAAACGGCTCCCCCCCACCAACGAAATTTTGCACTCACGATGCCACCCCCATGCACGCACGTTTGCACATCCACTCTCTCTCCCTCTCTCACATGCAATTCCACCCACACCCAGCCCCGAACCCTGCCCTAGAAGCCAGCGCCCGATCCCTCATGAGCATCTCCCCCTGGCACCCTCCCCAACAAATCATGGTCTGGTGGTGTAGTTGGTTATCACGTCAGTCTAACATCCTATCGGTTCACCTCGACAGGTTGAGCACACTGAAGGTCTCCGGTTCAAGTCCGGGCTAGATCATCACCGTTGGGCGATTGGTTTAGTGGTATAATGACCGCTTAGCAAGGGAATTATGTCCCGGAATTGCGGTAGGTCCTGGGTTCGATTCCCAGATCGTCCATTCTTTTGCCGGTTTCGTGGTCGTTGTCTTTTTGGCGGCTTGCATGTGAGGATTGTTGACGTTTTTGGAGGTGTTATCAGTGTGCGGTGAGGCCATCACCACGTGTGAGCGAGCGAGGGCAGATGCCGAGACGTGTGAGAAGGCACGTACTACTACATATGGCGCCATGAAGGAAGGAGCCCTTTTACTTGTGCGAAGAGAGCACTTTTGGCCAACTAGGCAGTTCGTCGTTGGCATGGACACAGCGCAGAAGGATGCTATGTTTGGGTCATTGCGCGACAAGGCCGGTAGCAGGTCAGGTTGCTTGGTGATTCAAGCCACTGTCCACTGGACAGACGAGACAAGTAGTGGGTGTGGAAATGGTTACAGATGACAATGGACTAGTTCTACAATGCTCTCACCAATGTACGCAGAGTGAGGGAAGTCGGATTATGTACAACGTAAAGGGTTCGACCCATGCCTCCCAGCCGTTTGTAGCCTTGGACTTCACCCTCCTTTCCTAAAGCTCCCCTCGCCCGGCCAACAAAAAGACACGACACAGCGAAACGGGCGACTTGCCCGCTCTGATATTTTCCCCTATTACCAACCAGGAACCCAATTGTCCAGGCGATCCGCTCCCCCATGTGCTTGGGAGCTGTGTTTCTCTCTTCTTACACGACGACACCAGTGGGTGAGTTTTACACGTTTCTTGTTCACAAGTTCATTGGCTCTTTACCGAGGCATGCCACCCGGGCCGATGCCTTGAAGCTTGGCCGCCAGCTTCGGGTACTTCTCCTGTACCTGGAGCTGCGTGCGTGTCGCCTCAGCGTAGGACAGAGCGTTGACGATCTCGCCCTCGGTGCGGGCGAGCTCTGCGGCACGCTCAAAGTACTTGAGCGCCTCGGTGACCTTGCCCTGCTGCAACAGAAGCTGGGCCATGGTCGCAACGGCAATGTCGCACTCGGGGTCGACTATTGGGGGGTTAGTGCAAGTAACTAAGCGTGAGTATTATTTTTACTTACTAATGAGCGCCTTCTGGCACAGCTTCTCGGCTTCGCTGAAGTCCTGCTTCCATTGGAAGAGGGTGAGAGCCTTGTTGATGAGAGGAAGAACGTTCATAGCCATGGGCTTCGTCTTGGACTCCATGTCGATGGCGCTGTCGAACTTCTCAATGGCTTCCTGGAAGTTGCCCTGGTCAAGGAGCAACTCGCCGTAGTAGTTGTAAACATCGGGGACCTCCTTAAAGTTCTTGATGCAGCGGCGGAAGGTGGACATGGAAGATGCAATAGAGCCCATCTTGTACTGGGTGACGCCGAGCTGGATGTGGGAGAAGATGAAGTCCCGGTCTAAATCAATCGACTTCTGGTAGTCCTTGGCAGCGTCGGAGAACTCGCCCTTGATGAAGTGGAGCTGGGCGCGGTGGTAGTAAATGTCGGGGTCCTCGCTGTTCTGCTCCATGGCCTTCTCAAAGTCTTCAGCTGCCTTCTCGGGAGCGCCAAGCTCGAGGTTCATGCTGGCGCGCTTGATGTAGCTCTGGGTCATGGAGGGGTCCAGCTCAATGCTCTTGGACAAGTCAGCCATGGCGTCGTCGTGCTTTCCGAGCAGGCAGCTGAAAGTGCCGCGGAGGTTGTAGGCCAGAGCCTCAAACTCGCCGAGGTCGCCCAGCTCCAGGGACTTTTCAAAGGCGGCTCTCGCCTCCTCATAGCCATCACCAGTCTTCTTATCCAGAGCTCTCAGGCCAAGCTGCAACTGACCCTTGCCGGTGTCCTCGGACAGAACAACAGAGTCCTCCAGGCCGGCCGGGCGAGGCTTGACGCGGAAGCTCTGGAGATAGTTGCCAACGAAGGTATGACTGGGCAGCTTGTTGGGGCGGTTGGCCATCATCTCCTGGGCCTTCTGCTCGGCGAACTTCTTAAGCAGACGCTCAACAGACTGTGCGCTGCTCTCGTTCTTGAAGCTGTCGATAATGCACGAGGCAGTAAAGTCGAGCAGGGCCTCGCCGTACATCTTAAGGTGCTCGTAGGCATTAGCTCGGCGGTTCAGGGCCTTGACGTATTCGGGGTCGAGGTTGATAGCGGCAGTCGTGTCTTCGACAACCTTGTCCCAGTTGCCCAAGGCATTGTAGCAGGCGGCGCGGTTAGAGTAGAAGATGGGGTTGGCCTTGCAAAGGATCGCCTTCGAGTAGAGGTCGATGGCCTTGTTGTAGTCCTTGCTGCCATAGGCCTGGTTGCCGACATCCTTCAACTTGGCGGCGTACTGCTCTCGCTGTTCGACGGTGAAGCTCGCGACGGTGTTCTCGTCGATCTCGGGAAGTTCATCGACGGTCTCGACGGCTGCGGCCTTGGGTTGCGTAGGGGCTGCAGCCTCTGCAGGTGTGGGCTGCTTCTCTGCCTCAGCAGCCTTTCGTTCGGCCTCCTTTCTTTTCCTTCTCTCCTTCTTGCTCAGCTTTGGTGTCGAGTCCTTCTTCTACATTAACAGTGGGCGTCAGCTTCAATCTTGTCGAGAACGATCCAGCGCCGGCAATGTGCGCCAAGATCTCGGCAATAACGGCTGAAAAATTGGATCGCATGACGACAGGCGTCGCGAAAAGGAGATGAGATGGATGACGTACGGAGTCGCTGTTGAGGAAGTAGATGACACCGGCACCAGTAGCGACGACGGCGACACCAGCGGCAGTGTAGACAATGGCCTTGTTGTCCGAGGCCCAGGTGGTGATGCGATCCCAAAGGCCAGAAGACGAATCAACGGGGATAACAGTCGGCGGGCTGGCCATGGGAGGCACGGACGGCAGGGGATTCGACATTTTAGCAATTGGCCGAAGCAATTGGCAAAAGAGAATAAAGGTATCAAGGGAGTTACAGGAAGAAAAGTCGCGAGGTCGAAAGGAAGGGAATTAATGGGCTGACCAGCTTGGTCGATGATGTAGAGGGTTGCAGGAGCTGCAGGTTGGTTGGTGTTGCTATTGCTGATGCGCTGGGCCAGGAGCTTCCGAGCAGTAGCCGCAGACGAAAAATTATTGCGCGACGGGAAGCTCGTGAGGAGTTTTTCCGGGCAGTTGCCTCTGGGCTGCTTGCTGTCATTCACCAAATCACCTTTGCCTCAGGCGATTTAAGAGTGGGGGCGCAAGGGAGGGTCGCCTATAAATCTGCACACTACGTAACCAAAGAGGGTCCACGACGTGCTCGGAGCAAGGATGCGTTGGTCAGCCACAATGTGATGATACTTTGGTACTTCGACCTGGCAGCCGGGAAGGCTGCCATCGCCATGGTAAACATAAGTGCTCGGTCTCAATCAACAGTAATTTCTCGCTTTCTCCCTGCTTCTCTTTGATTCAACAGTTGCAAGTGCCTGTTATGCTAGGTTTACATTCGGAATGGGTTCAATGCGTCTCAAATACAGAGAAGGGAGTGTTCTCACAGGCGTTGTTGCAAGATGCCATTCTGGACCGGCTGTCTTGGTTTGTCTACATGCACTTTCAGTCGGCACCTTGTGAGTCATGTCGGTGGCATACAGAGACGAACACTAGCTCCCGTTAATATGCTTCCTCTTATTGCTATTGCGGCATTTGAACAACACAACAATCGTTAATATCGAAGCAGACAGAGATGGAAAACCAGGGTGGAGGCGGGCAACTGGAATACAGCCTTTTCTAGTTGTCATTGCTTGTCTCACTTCATCTGAATTTCAACCCCATCAACTCTGTATCGCTTAGCTGCAAAACGACAAGATCTACAACGTGAACACCTCTTACTCCCACGCATCTAGAAAGATACGATCTCTTCTTATGAGGTATTTTCACCAGGATAATCAGACTACGGATAAGTCAAACCTCGTCTAGATTGAGGTGGCACGGCAGAGATGGCGATGACTATCACGACAACTTGCTCTAGAATAGTTTATGGTATTAGAGGTTGTACTTACTTTTCGAGTTGGTAAGCTATGCTTAGAACATCTCAAATGGCTTCACAGGCCGCTTAGCGATCTAGAATATCTGTGACGGATGCATTGTAAATGGCTCATAGAGAACAGCATGTTCTTCTATTCAACATCTGCTCCGGGCGGCATTAGTTCTTCGCCGCGTCACCGATCTTGATCGTGGCGTCCCAAACACCAGCACTGCTTTCACATGCCCACCCTTGTACCAAACCTCATGTCTGTTTGAGTCTTGCATTGTTAGATTTCACGGCGTTCAGCGGAATAGGGCATGTGACGACTTGAAATCGAAAGTGTTTGAACCACTACCCCATAAGCTCATTATGATGTTCATGCTTGATGAGGTACGAAGCAAACCGACAATCGGGAGTGGTCTGCGTAAGACAGAGCGACTCCCTTATGTAATCATTGCGGCAAATCTTTATGGCGCAAGTATTTTCCGCCCAGCGGGTTTTAACTGGCAGCTCTCGGTCGTTTGCGCAGTAATTACTCCAAGTCCAAGCGACTTCTACAGCATCTTTTACAGTTTTCCCCTGGCGCTTGAGGCCAAAAATGTTGTTCCTCGGTATGGAATTCTGAAAAGAGCTCCGAATTCACAACCTCAACCAAATCATCATCTTGCTCGACTACCTGACCAATAGTCGTCTAAGACCTAAAAGCCTACTACTACTGTGCAACATCATCCGAATTCGGCTCCACAGCACTCGTTACCACCATGTCCAACGACTTCCAGCTATTCACTTCTCTTCGGTATGACCCAGGGCTGATAGGAGTGCCCAAAAGGCGCCTGGCTAATGCGGGGTGGAACGCCAAAATGACCTCACCATTCTACATGCTGGACCTCCACCGGGATCGGATGCTGCGAGCTGCCACTCACTGGAACTGGACCCCTGCCATCGAAACCATCTCGGGCTCGGCCGGCCTCCAAAGGCTGACTGAAGCGATTGAGTCTTTCTTAGCCCAGCATGGAAAGGACACTCCTCTCAGAGTCAAGGTTCTACTGAGCTCGGAAGGAAACCTCAGCTGCGAAGCATCAACCGTACCCGCGGTGCCTTTGGAGAACCTTTTCCCGGAACGGCTTCCACCTCCAGGAAGCTCTAAGCAGGCTGGAGTCCCGTCTGAAGAATCACCCATGGAGGTAGTGATTGACAAAACGGGGACACCGCAATCAGAGTACACCCACTACAAGACTACAAAACGAGCCATGTACGACACCGCACGAGACCGTGAGAGAATCGCCCCAGCAGACCGTAAGGAAGTCCTCCTTGTCAACTCGAAAGATGGCAACATCATGGAGGGTAGCTTAACCACTCCGTTCTTTTGGAGAAACGGCAGGTGGGTCACCCCGCCAGTGTCTGCCAAGTATAGCCCGGATAATGGCAGCGGCGGGCAAGACGGGACCACCCGCAGATGGGCACTCGAACGGTAAGTCATGAGCTCCGCACCTAGCATGCCTCACTTTGATGGACTGTACTTTAGGCTAACCGAGATAGTGGTCTGGCCGTTGAAGAGGAGGTCAAGGCTGACAGTGTTGTGAACGGAGAGCCATGCTGGATCAGCAATGGTGTCCGCGGCTTTACCTTTGGGAAGCTGCGGCTCAACTCTGCCCAAGAGGGTTGAAGCTGAAAAGGCCGATGGCTTGCGGTTCAGTTCTAGCACAGGAACCATGAGTTGCTAACTGCGTGGGATCTCTTTGCCGAAGTCGAGAGTTTCTCGCAATAGAGGCCACTGGGTTCTCGCCAGCTATTGGTCGTGCTACATCACACCCATCCATCCATCCATCTTGTTGTCCAGTCTCCAACCTTGTGCCACACTATTGCTAACATGGCAAGCCAAAATGAAACCTTCAGTCAGAACTAAATGAGATAACCTTGATAACATGCAATCTTATCTTTAACCCCCGTCTCGGCCTGAACAGAAGGCCTCGTCTACTTCCCAGTTCTTGTAACGTGCTTGGCAGGGCATCCAGGAGTCGGGAGTCGATCGACGCCAAGACGGGACATGGCCCGCTAAGCTTATCCCTGCCCCGAACCACCGTGCGGCAGTCCCTTACATCATCGCCGGCGGGGGAGACCTCATCCCGTGGCTGATTTGTTCGTTCACATCAACTCATCTAACCGGCAATCAAGGATTTCGTATTGCTTTGGTCATGGGACTGTTTTGTATGTGCTGGCCATGATGCTGAACCCCAATGGCGCCTTTGATCAAGAGACCCAGGGGTACGTCCTGGAGAATTCAGCCGGACGGAGCTGTGACTGAGAGGAACTCCAAGTCTGTAAACCCGCTAAGCAACGGACTGTTAGCATCACTTCGCTCGCCTATCTAAGCAACATCTCATTATTTGGCCCGAGTCGGCTCAACGTAGACTCCACCGGCAAACTGAGCCCCTCTTCTCCTTTTTCAACCTGCCTCATCGGGATGGCCCGAGGGTCGACTCGTTCTCATCCCCTTCAGAAAGCTCGAGAGCACGGGCAGAAGGTCCGAATGCGCTGTTGCGAACGATCCGTTTCAAGCTTGCAGTTGCACCGCCCCACCTCCACTACCTTGCTCAGAACTGTCACACTTTCACTGCCGGCATGAGCTCTTCCCATGGCAAAACACAGCTTGATCCCGGCCCTGTTCAGCTGAGCCGTCGTCAGCCAAACGATAGCTTGTCATGTATAAGACCTCCTGGTACCAGTGCATGATTGACGTCCCATGCCCTGGGTGACACCTCATCCTTATCGCCCTGCAAGCGCTTGTCGAGCAGGTTTACTTGCGGCCATCACACCTTCAAATCCAATAGCCCAGGTCCATCCAGTGCCGCGCTTCCGAGTCGTCATTTCTGCTTTCCTCACCGAAACGGTCAGGTATTTAATCTTCGTCCTAACCAGCCAGCTCTAGGGCTCGTCTCTCTTGACTGACAGCTCAACCCACTCGCAACCAATTCACAATTCAAAGTTTGTCGTATCGCATATTCAAAATGGAGGCATTTCTTCAAGCCCAAGCCAGATTCAAGTCGGCAAAGGGTCTTACCAAGATTCCTGTCGTCCCAAACAAGAACTACAAACGTCATGGCACAAAGTCATATGTCTATCTCCTGAACAAGTTCAAGTTCGAGCCGACGAAACCCGGCCCTTATGTCCAGACACGGAGAATGGCCCAAAGGGGACTCGCCGCCCCTGGCTTCAACGCGGCAGTAGGCGGCCGAGTCTCCATGAGCAAGGTTCTAATGAAGAAGGCGGCCGACGACCAGCATGGCGAAGTCACGGCTGAGGACCAGCAATATGACTCAATGTACCTCTGCGAGGTTTCCATCGGAACGCCGCCGCAAAAGTTCCAGCTGGACTTTGACACGGGTTCCGCCGATCTCTGGGTAACATTCTAATCAACGGGCCTGTTCCTGATGGTCACTAACACTGCACCAGGTGTTCTCAACAGAGCTCAGCAAATCCCTCCAGAAAAACCACAGCGTCTTCGACGCCTCCAAGTCCTCGACATTCAAGAAGCTCGAGGGGAAGACGTGGAAGATTTCGTATGGCGATGGCAGCTCGGCGTCAGGTGACTGTGGCACCGACAACCTCGTCCTCGGCGGGCTGACGGTCGAGAACCAGGTCATCGAGCTCGCCTCGCAGCTTGCGGCGCAGTTCTCCCAGGGCACAGGCGACGGCCTCCTGGGCCTTGCATTTAGCTCCATCAACACGGTGCAGAGCAATGGCAACCACAGCGACCCACAGGCCACGCCCGTCGAGAACATGATCGCGCAGAGCGACATCCCCAAGGACGCGGAGCTGTTCACGTCGGCGTTCTACAGCGAGCGCGACGAGGCCAAGCCACGGTCGTTTTTCACGTTTGGGTGGATCGATACGGACCTCGTCAAGGCTTCTGGTGAGGATATCCATTGGGTCGATATCGACAAGACGCAGGGGTTCTGGATGTTCCCCTCGGAATCTGCAAGCGTCAACGGAAAGGCCGTCGCGCAGAGCGGTAACAAGGCCATCGCGGACACGGGGACTACACTGGCTCTCGTTTCGGACGAGGTCTGCCAAGCGTTGTATGACGCGATTCCCGGCTCCAAGTACGACGATCAGCAGCAGGGCTATGTGTTCCCAACTAGCACCAAGGAGGAAGACCTGCCCGCGTTCAAGGTCGCCGTCGGCGACAAGGAGTTTGTGATCCAGAAGGAGGACCTTGCGTTTGCGCCAGCCAGCGATGGGTTCTGGTATGGAGGCGTGCAGTCCAGAGGCTCCAACGAGTTTGACATTTTGGGAGATGCGTTCTTGAAATCGATTTATGCGGTAAGTAATTCCAAAGAGCGCAGGTGTAGTGTAATGCGACGATGCTAACTTGTGGTAGGTTTGGGACCAAGGAAACACGAGGTTTGGATGTGTGCCCAAGATCGAGAAGACGCAGAACCTTCAACCTCCGTCTTCTCGAACTCAAGATAGCGAAGCACCAGATACCTGAACACCCCTGACCAAGTCGTGTTAGAGAACTTGTTTCCAGTTCATCGGGCTACACTCTGTGGTATATTTATAGCTGGCCTAGACGGGCGAAAGGAACTTTGAAAACATGATCACAAATACACGTTTAAGGTGCTGTCTTACAAACCCGGTCCCATTTTCGGTTGCCACTGTTGAATGAAAGCATCAAAAGTCGCCGTGAAAACATGATCCCCATGAATATGCAGGAGAGTATTCGGTAACTCCCCTTGCACTGGAGTAACGCCACGTCGTAGATAGGGTCAATGAAAGGACACGTGCGTTGGCAACCCTTTCATTGGGTGAGGTTTACTTGCGATGGCTTGTTTCTATACCTCTTTGAGTTGGGAAGAGGATTGTGGCTTCCACGATGCCATGTCCTGGCTAGAGATTGCCAGTATATCGCGATATATCTCGAGGGGCCAGAGACTTGTTCCGAACATAAAACGGTGTGATGAGCGAACAAATCCTGCAAGGGCCAACTCACATGTTCATTCCCATGTTACTTTTGTTGCAATGGCGAATGTGAACTTTTGATCACTAACGACTGCTGTCGGGAAATGCCTTATATGCTCTGTGGATGAGACCTCGATGGTCTGCCAAGATCATGAAGAATGCTATCCTGCACAGTCATTTTCACAACCAAGTCGTGGAACCCTGAAAATATTTGAGACTCTCTTTATTGATTGCCAGGGCGAATAGGGTCGTCACCCGACAACGACAACAGCAGTGCGGTCCCCTCATTCTTGGCTCTGGTCTAGGTTTGTTCGACTTCGAACCAATAGTTGTCATCTCATCCCAAGGTTGATGAGGCACATGGTGAGCACGGTGAACAGGGTTTTTGGTGCCAGCCCGCCAGATCCTGGACCGTCCCGGCGTCCGAGATTTGAAACGGCATGCCGGCGCATCACCCTGAAGGGTGGAAAGTGTCAGGCCATCGGTGCGGCATCAACAACGGTGGAGATGCTCGCAGGCCAGCATGTCGTATGACGACAAGACAAGTAGAGTTCTATCCAGGTTGGTGGAATGACAACAGTCTGAGGATGCAGAAGTGCATCTGCAGGCGAAAAAGAAAAGAAAAAGATACAGCCAGAGAGTTCCACGGGTGACTTGAGCTTGCACTTGACGAAACAAATCAAAAAGTGGGTCCGCCGAGCTCTGTGACGACCCCGGATTGGTGGAGAGGTTATTCTTGGAAGTCTGGTCAGGTCTCAAGTCTCTGTTCGGAGCAGCACCACCAGAGAGGACCTCCCAGCTCCAAGGAGGGTCGAGTTCTAGTGGGCTGCTCTGCTCCCCACAGCAGGCACGTCCAGCTGGTCCAGGCCCCAAAGCGGCCCCAAGCAGCGTCGTACCGATCCAAGGAGGGGATCCTACTGGCCGAGAATGCACTGGTGACTGGGAGGCTTTGGAGTTTAGGGGGGGAACACGGGCGCCCAACCGGTGGGAGTACAGCCAACACAGCGGGCATTGGCGGTGCGTGTGGTGTGCCTCAGCAGCTCCAGCCACGGGCCTGGGGAAAAATAAATAAAATAAAAAAATAAAAATAACACCACAATTCGTACTGGTCGGCAAGATCGACTGGTGTCTGTGAGGTGGCCCCGTCTCCGTCGTCCGTCCGTCTTGTCTTTACGTCGTCTGGCCGAAATCCCTCCCTTCCTTTCCTATCACCATCACCATCTCCACCCCTTGCGATTCCTCCTCGCACCCAAAACCCTCCTCCTATCCCAGGCTTCCCCTTCATCTGCTCTTTCATTAGAAGCAGAGAGGTCAGAGGAGACGACACGGGTTCGAGCTCAGCTAGTGTACGGTATTGCGTTTTTTCCCCTTCCGCTCTGCTGCTCTGCCCTCCCCACCACTGCACGACGAAGCTGTGCTGCTGCTTCCGCGGTTGTATTTTATTTAATACGCCTTTCTTGGCTCTCTGTTTGCTCCATCGCCCTCATTCTTCGCCAACCGCAGGGCGGTACTTGCTTTTCCATCTCTTCCATTCAACCGACCCCGGCAAGCATCGCATGATTGCCTCGACACCCTTCCGCCGCTTCCTCCGCTCCTCGAGCCTGCCCTCCCCGTCGTCAACCTGAGCATCGCCCGCGCTCTGCCAGCTCATCAGCCCGAGAAAGAGGTACAGGTAGCTAGCTCCCAGCAAGCTTCACCATGGCGGCTCCTCGACGCAGAAAGATTGGTCACAGAAGACGCATCGAGGACGAGGACGACGGAGAAGGTGGACCCGACCAGCTCGATCTCGATGATGACTCTCTGACCGAGGGTTCCATCGTTAGCGATGACCACGACCGCGGCAACGACAGCGATACAAGCAATATCGACGAGGCTTCTCCCGTCACCCCCAACCCTCGGAAGGCAGCTGGAAATGGAAATGCGAAGCCTGCTGGCCGGAGCGCCTCAGCCGTGGGCCCACAGACGACCAGCAAGGCCGTGTCCGATGCCGATGAGAAGCTCTCGGGTCTATCTATCAGCGACCAGCCCGAGCCTGACCAACAGGGACAACTCGACGGCGCTGCATCCCCGCCCAAGCCGTCTGCCCCTCTCGTCGTGAGCTCACACTCGTCACGCCCGACGGAGCCTGTCAATGAACGTCGTCGTCGGGAACACGAAGAATACAAGCGGAGAAGGGACGAGGACCCCGCCTTCGTCCCCAACAGAGGGGCCTTCTTCATGCACGACCATCGCCATGCCGGACCCTCTGCCAACGGCTTCCGACCTTTTGGGAGAGGCCGAGGACGTGGCCGTGGCGGGGGCATCGGGGTCCCTACGCACCGATGAAGTACGCCCAACAAGAGCCTTCTCGTCGTCACCCGGCTAACCCGAGCAGCCAACTGCACAGCCCGACCGACCCCCTGACGAGTGGCCAATGGGCCCATGATATGCACGAGGCTGTCGCCGAACCGCCGCCATCAAGGCAGCCCAGGCATGTTCCCGTTGATACTGAAGGCCCAGCTAACGGCAATGGCTTTATCCCAACCTGCCCGTCGAACCCCACCCCTATCAACAGGACACTGTCTACTGAGCGGCACATCGGCAACGTGCAGGTCAGAGTGTCTCTCCCCGTCGTGGGCAAGGCTCCGTCTGCCTTTGCGATGCCCGTCAAACAGTACACCAAGCTTCCGGATCACCGGCCACCCCTTCGTCGTGACAAGCCCGTCCGCATCTCCTTGCCCGACAACCCGCCCAAATACATCTTCCCTGCTGTCGACCGATCCTTCATTTTCATCCCCGGGCAATGCGACCCAACCAGCAGCGGACTCGAGGCAAGCCTCGTTCTGGTCTCGGCTCCATTGGTGGGTTTTCCAGACGGACCAGCGTCTTTGGCGGGAGCTATTACGGTAGTGCCTATTCCCCGAGTATTGCCCTCAGTCGGCGCTCCTCCCTCGCACCGGACGGACGGGATTATCTGTTCTCGCCTACAGGCTCTGTCATGTCGCGAGCTCCGATCCCCGTCGAAAACCCCCGACCGGTCGTTCGCCTGCCGCCTGCGAACCAGCCATTCATTGGGCAGGAGAGCTACCCTATGCCGATGCCCATGCAGCCGAACGAGACGTCCATCAACGATTTGCCGCAGCCGCAGACGCACCCGTTGCCCCAGAAGCCTGCGTTCCAGGAGAACCGCCCGAACCAGATACCCATGCACCAGCCTCGCCCTCAAAAGGCCGTCTCGGTCACGAACATTGAGTCGCCGACCCTCAACCAGGGTCCTCAAGCCTTCCAGCAGGCATTCCACCAGCAGGTCCCTGTGCAAGTTTCCAACGGCCATCCTCAGGACGCGCACTCACGGCAGCCGTCGTACCCCACGCAGCATTCTACTGGCACACCCCTGTCCCAGATCCCGGAGAGGGCGATCCACGCTGCTCCTTTCCAGCCGAACACCTTCCAGCAACAGAACTTCTACAACCAGCCCTACCCAATGATGCAGCAGCAACAGCCGTATTACTACCCCGGACAGTACAACGGCAACAATATGGGTCCGCCGGCCACGGCTACGTCATTCGTTCCATCGGGACAGCCGGGCCAGGGCCAAGGGTTCCCTCCCCAGGCCCAGCCGAACCCCGCGGCGACGCAAGCAAATGGACAGGCACCCACCGGACCCAACTTGGTCGCCCAAGAGGTCAACGGCATGGTGTACTATTACGATGCCACCCAGATGCCGCCCATGAACGCCTATCAGGGCTACCAACCCCCGCCACAGTTTGGCCCTGGTGTCAGCGGTATGGGTGGAATGGTGACGCCGAGTCCCGACGGGTTCTACTATCAACAACCAGCCCCTGGAATGGTGTACTACTCGCAGTAGGGTTGTGGGTAGCCGCCTTTCTAGGCTACTCCGTACCTCCCAACCCTTCCCCGTAATCCTTGTAATTCTCATTGTCGGCTCTCTAGCCGGCGCTATACCCTCTTCTCGTCGGACGGCTGGACGGGGCCAAAGGACAGGAGGAAATCCACAAAAAACTTGTCGGTGTTTGAACTCTATGATTATAGTATTGATAGGACTGAGCACTCTTGATCTGGGTTGAGTCGGTACAGTGTTAGGGGGATGGGTTTGCGAGGTGCTATTGTTGACCGTCGGGGAGTTTCTGAGTCTTTCCCGTTTCCCGAGTATGCTCGCTGGCATGTCTTGGGAAGAGGAGATGAGAGAGTTTCGTGGATGGCGTAGGGCCAGCGAGAGACGGTCGACAGCGTGGGACGAGCCAGCCCTCCGTGGTTTCTACAGCCTCGCCTTTTTCTCGAATTCAAGAAGTTCCTCCAACCTATCTCCACCCGTCCTACCCCTCTTTTGGGCTTTCCTTTTGCTTTTATATGCGTTTTTTGGCGTCTGCGATTTCGTTCACTTGTTATGTCTGCTTTTGATTGGGGGGGGTTCTGGTTTACAGATGCGGTGTTTTCGGGGAGGATGGTCGGAGATGCTTCACCAGCGAGGTTTTATGGCGGTTTTCTTTTTGAGCGTCTCTACGTTTACCTAACAAACCCCTTTTCTGACTCGGTTATGGTCGAGGTTGACCTAGACGTTCCTTTATTCGTTACAGATATTCCAAGGAGCAAGTGGTTATATCAAGCTGCTTCCCCCTCAACCGCCTGCCTGATCGTCCCTATTTTTCTTTGTTGTTACGATGGACCCCAATGATGCCTAGACCTTTTTGTCTCTCTTATGCTGGTCCCCGTTTCGCCTTTTCGTATCTTTTTTAGCTTATTTCAGATGCATCTGTGGGTTCCTGGGGAGAAGTTCCTTTTTCGCGATGGAAAAGTTTTCGGGTTGCTTGGCGGGGTTTCCCAGGGAAGGGTAACGGAGAAGAGAGAAGGCGGCAAGGGGGAGAGGTTACTGATATTCTTGGGAGCGGGTGATGCGGAGGGCGTACGGGGAAGGGGAGAGCGGGTTGCGGTTGGGAGACGTGGCAAAGGAGAGGAATGGCGGGTTCCGTCCATTCTGACACCTCTTGGAGAGGTTTTGGCCCCTACGATAGTCTATACCGTTTGCCTCCCATGCCGCCCTTTTGGTCGACGCAAGAGGCTCCGCGGTCACGTTGACGCGGCGTGGAAGGTAGTAGATGAGAAATGAGATGGTCCCGTTGTCGTCCGTTGCTTCTTTCACTTTGGTGTCTTGACATCGCAACATGGAGAGTTCCGTGATCACGCTGTCTGGAACCATATACAGGGCCCAGTTACATCTAGGCACTTTCCGAGCTGACCTCGTAGTGTTGGCATCGGGCTTAGCGACGTTCATCTGGGGTCAAGCATTGACGATGCTCTTGCTGCTCTCGGCGAGGAGACGCGTTTCAGTGGGCAGTGAGGCAACCGTTTTCAATATTCTTCCCGAGAAGGGGAAATCTTTGAGAGAGGAACGCTCTCTGTGCCGTTCCCGCAGGACTTTCTTCAGCAGTAACGATGTTCCTCTTGATATCTCAGCCCCGTATACTCGGCCAACCCACTCGTAAGCACGCACAACGCGCTCTACAGGAAACGCTGCAAAGTTTGGCTTTGTCGTCTTCTCAGGATATCAGGACATGACAACGACTGGAGCCTCAGCCTGCCGATATCAAGCGCAGGTAGGTCCCCGGTTCACAAGAAAAGGAGCTCGGACCGACGCCCTGGCACAGGGACAGCTCTTTCACGCGCCCCTGGAAGACAACCCGACCTAGAGCCGCGAGCCGACGGTCTGGGCTAACGTCTCGCCGACGATGAAAGCCCCTTTCATCGGGTCTCTAACCCTCCGCCTCCCGGTAGGCCTGTTTTTTTTCTTTGATCGTCTTTCTTCGCGTGCAGGAGGCGGGAGCTTCTTTCAGCGAAAGCGTGTCAAGGCAAAGGAACCCAATCGCTGGAAATGGACGAGCCCTCGGACTTCAGCAGCAACACAATGTGCAGGTTTGATCGGCATAGCGAGTTTTGGCAACATTAACTAGTCTTGGAGATTGGACGGGGGCGTCTTGCGCAAGGCTGCAGATACGAAAGCATCATGATGGACATCTTCTCTAACGTTCAATAATTCTGCATTGGTTCAGTCGATAGTGCAACGCACAGATGTGTGTCGTGTGCTCGACAGACGTTGCGTTTGGACATCGGCATATCCGTCTACTTGGATCCTGTCGCACAGGTTTCCGCAGATGACGGATGACGGGGTAACTTGACTCCCTTGTCTGAGGGGGTTTACGCGTACCCAGTCTCGTATCTGGCATGCATATCCTATCTCGACCAATTCCTGATCATATGTGCGACATGGCTTGATGACTTCTCTGTGCAACAGGATCCTACACATTCGGCGGAGGCTACGAGACAAGGTGGGAGAAACCAATCCGCTCCCTGGGAAACAGCAATCCTGAGATGCTGCGGCCCTTTGCCAAGGCTGCAATCCTGAAACAAGCCAGTCGAGAACCGGACGACTTCTCGTCTCCTTGGTCTTCGACTTGTTGAGGTGTGTCGAGGTGAGAAGACACCGAAGCGGCGGAGGGGGAACATGACGTACAAGATGTTCTGGGCCCCTCCTTTGTCTGTTTCTGCTTACTGCTTAGCCATGTGAGAGCCCACCACCACCACCACCGCCAGCAGGGGATGCGGGGAGGATGTTCCGCAGGTCAGGCTTTCAAGGTTCTCCATTGGAGGCGGCGCCACAGGCAGATGCATGGGACGACTGTGGAAGCTTAAAGACAGTTGTCTGTGCCTCTTGCTTGTTTGACGTAGCCTTTGTGCCTTGGATGGACATTGGATGGTTGAGGTGGCTGGTGGGGACGAGTGTACTATGTAAGGTGGGAGAAGCCGTTGTCTTTCTGCACGACAGAAGTGATGAGGTCGAGATCGGCAGGGTGGTCGGAAACTCGGCTTCGATCCGGAAGTACTGGAGGCTCGGGTCCGGAGAGGGGCCTCTCCTGTCCGGACTGCCCTTTTGGGACACCCTCCTAGGACCACCCACTTCTCACGTCGCTTGGAATTTTGCCGACCGAGCTTGCAAAATCAAAGGAACGTTTGTAATGCAAATGACAAGAACATCGTTTCTTGGCGTCCGCGACCGCTTTGGTGCGGTTAACTTTGATGGGAACCTTGGGAAAGGCGGGGGTTGAGTTCGCATGACTAGCATTGCTGGTAGCTGGGGGCTAGAGAGATAGTGTGCAACGTAGCGCTGCGATAACTGTATCTTCTTTGCCTGTCGAGGGCTTGGAAGCGAACAAGCAGCGCTCTCGGACCTGGAAGAACGGCCACTCGAGGACTCATCATCCCCGCCATCTGTCCCTGGACCAACCGATCAAGAGACTAAAGTTAAAACGGCAAACTGGCTGGACCGCATCTGCTGCGGCCTGTTTTGCCTTGCTCACCGAGAGCCCCCGCCCTCCCCTCCCCGCCTTTGTCGGAGCTCTGTCGTTGGTTAGCCGCTGCCGTCGCCGCAGGTTCCTCCTAGATGATGAGTTGGCTTGTCGGACATCGCCCCCTTGGACGACAGTTTTCTGGTGGCTGTTCGGTGTAAACCAGCCATCTAGAAAACACACGCAATTCATCCATCTCACAGACACTCGTCAGAGATAGTTTGATGCAATGTTGGCATCACTTAATCTTGATGGCCCGAGAGACGCATGGCAAGCCTGTCGACGATACCGATTGTCAAGAGCTGGAAAGCAGGGAGCTGGGAGTCGGATGATTAAGCCCAGGATGTACCCGTATTTGCTGGCTGCTTGCTTATTTCCTGTCCATTGACCTCAAGAAGGCTCTCTAACAGCAACGGATAAGAGGGCCACGTGAGCGAGTCAAGAGTAGACGGGCTTTTCCTGTTTGACCACAGCCCTTTGACTTGTCTTACTTCATTTTCTTCGGTACGTTCCAGGAAAGACTGGAGACCGCAGGATTGCGTGCTGCTGAGGCTGCCACGGCGTGCTGCGTGACTTGTGGTAATGGTGCTGCTTCGAGTAAAGGAGCGGCTCAGGTGACGGGCTGACTGGCGAACAGACTGTCCAGTGTCGTTGACCCGCCCCTCCTGCCACGCCGATCGAGGCCGACCACGCTGCTGGGCTCGCTAAGATCAGATGCTGTGGCTGCATGAGGTTGGTCCTACAAAGCGTTGAATAACGCATCAAGTGCAATGTTCATTCCGACGTCGAAAACCCCTTCTGCGGTGCACCAGTATTTCATGTCGTCTTGCATGGTCAACTGCGAGACACTTGGCTCCGGGGCAAACACAGCACTGGACATCCCTGGGCCAAACCAGGCACAGGGGACTGTTCGTCGGAGAAGTCGGGGTTGGATGGATTCTCGTCTATCTCAAAAGGAGGATGGCCGATTGCCCGACTGACCGGCCATGCAACTATGCAGCAAGCTGGTGCTCCGGCATCGCGATTCGTTGCATGAAGGCCCAGAGTCGACAGTGTCTGTAGTCCAAAGGGCGAGCCACCATGGTGACATGGCACGTCTGAACGTTGGATGTGGAATCAAGGAGAGCGACTGATGGAAGGAGTAGGGAGTCGAACTGGTCGTGATCATGCCGAGCGAATCCGGCGAACGAACCCCTATGAGTGCCTATGGCGGTGGTTTTGCATAGTCGAAGTGAGTAAACATAGGAACGACTCGCGGCGAGGCTCCAGTTCGCCTCATTCTAAGTCTGGTGTTTGCAGGGCAGTCCCTCGTCATGTGCCAATGGCCGGTGGCTATTGCGCCTTCGCCCAGGGTAGCTCGTAATGTATGAAAAGGGAGTCAGAGCCGGGGGCGTGTGGGTGCTAATCTGGGTAGACGAGGGGTGGGAAAAGGACGAGGCAAAGATACGGGAGGAAAGGAGTCGAACTGGATGAATGTAATGGGTTTCGTCAGTGCCTGGCTACCTGGGAATGGCAAAGACAGCCAGGGCAGGGAGGCGAATGCGATGACTCGACAGGTTCATCCAGAGAAATCTTTTGGACGGGCCCTACACATGAAGGAGGTCGAGGCCGAGATTGGGGCCAACAGGATTGGAGGAGCTTCGGTTGATGGGTGGAATTGTATCTGTAAGCTGTTCGGGTAGCTATCTCATTTGTCGTCGTAGTGGTTGCTGACCGCCTCTTTCGAGCTTGTTCTATGGCGATTATTGTTGTTCTTTTTGCCGCGTCTCTCCCGCTGTGGCGGTGGCCTTGGGTGGTGTGAAAGTGAATCGAGGGAGCTGAGATGAGGCGGCGCGCGCTGCCTGGTTGGCCGGCTTGCTGGCTTGCTGGCTTGCCTGTCGGACCCTCTGTCTCTGCCTGCGGTGACATGTGAGCAGTCGTGCTTCCCGAAGGGCGAAGGAGCACGGCCAGCGGCCAGCAGCCAGCCAGGGTTGCTAAGCAGAGACGGCGTGCGACGGTGAAAGATGCAGATGGCACTACGTAGGCCTGACACTTTGACGTGGGCCTTGGTTAGCGGTGTCTCGGCTCTCCCACGGTGAAGGCCATCTCTGCAAGCGTACCATGGGGTCCAGCCTTTCCGCGCTCTTGCATCTCGTCCTGCCCTGCTCTAACTCTGACTACCTTCAGAGTTCCAATTCCAAGAAACCATTTGGCGACTCGTCTCGCTCTCGCCTAAGCAACGGCAAGGGGGAGGAAAGATGCCGTGTCTTTGACTTATCAGAGGGGCTGCGCGGTGCCGTGTGTACCAACAGCAGTATTATCATTAGCAGGTTGCAATCGGTATTCGTGCCTTATCCACATCCTAGGTAGTGAGGTGAGTACGTACCTCTCGACGTGCGCTCTCGGAAGGTAAAACCAACTGTGACCAAGCCAGCCAGCCAACCAGAGGGCGCTAGCGCTTCCTCGCCCCTCTCTTTTCTTGCCTGGGGAAAGGCGGCCATCGATGGTAACTCTCGGGTACCGTGGGCTGCGAGCGTGCCCGCAGGTACCTTTTTTCCCACATCCACCCTCTCGACTTCTCCAAACCCCACTCCACTTGCTCGCCCTTCCCATTAACGGATCCCCGACACCGACTCGCCCAAACCCAGACCACCCCAGCCAGTCCCAGCACTCGACGAGGCAGATGGGCAACGAGTGAACCGTGAATAGGCAGTGGAGTGACGCTACCGCTTCCTGCCTGCCTGCCTGCCTTCCTTTCCCATCTTTGCCATCCATCATCACTCATCACCCCCCCCGTTTGAGGTGCTTCTGCCTCCCACCGCCTCGGTTGATCCTGTGCTGCCCTCAAAGTCCCCTTTCCCTTTGGTCCCCCTTCCCGGCCACCTACGGTTTCGGCGGCCTTGTCCTCTCGTTGCTTCTCGTACATAAGTGGCTCCGGATCCCCCTGGTGCCGTTCCAGTATCCCTCCAAAAGTCACCTGCAGCTTGCAGAAAAGCTATTTGTCCCCCAAGTAGCTCTCAACTCCCGTCTCACACACAGTTCAGAGGTCGACACTCCTCTGTACCTCCCGCCACAGACACGACGCAGAACGAACGCCGACGCAGACGCAGACGCATCATCCGCCTAGGCCTCTCCACCTCCACCACCTCCACCCACCCACTCCCAGGCCCTGCTCCAGTGCCTCCTTCCTCGTCTGCTCACCTTCCTACTCCACCTGACTGACCCCCGTCGTCTGGGAACTCACTTATCTCTCCCACACCCCGTCCATCCGCTTGGATTGCTCACTTCTCCGTCTGCCACCCGGACTGCTTGCCTTGTCCTTTCTTCACATTTCATCAACATCAATCGTCGACAATTACCACATACCCATCCGGTATCTGTCGACCAAAAACAAAAAAAAAAAGACGAATCTTCTATACCGACCGAGCGAGTCTCGTGTGCACCGTGCGTGGCCGCCCAGCAGTGAAACACCCGACAGAGCCGTCATCCCCTCCCCGCCCGGCCGACCGCGGGTTTCCCCTTCATCCATAGTCGCCGACTGCTCTCAATCGTTTACCATGGCGTCCTCATCAGCAACATCGCCAGACACCCAAGTCACCTTGAAGATCAACTTCGAGGGCATGACCCGTCGCCACAAGCTTCCTCTGCGTGATATGGGGCCAAGTACCCTCGAGGATAAGGTGCGTCATGCTGCTTCTAGCACTGCTCACCAGCCTGTCGTTCTTGATACTTCGTCGCTCGCTCAAGGCTCGAGGCCCATGTTGGCTGTCTCTCGACCTGGCGAAAGACGAGTATCTTGGTTGCTTCGTCGAGCTGTGCGGCCCTCTCCGAATGAGTAGGCTAACAACATCAACTATAGGTCCGCTCTCTCCTCGCTCTCACCTCTGACGCCAACGTCGTCCTCGAGAGATACTCTGATTCGGCTGGTTCGTACATCACCCTCGACAAGCAAAACGTTTCAGTCTACAAGCAACTCTACCGCGCTGCGAAGGCCAAGCAAAAACTCAAGCTCCGCGTCACCAAGTTGTCCGAGGAGAAGATGGCCCCTAGGCCAGTGTCCGTGGAAGATGTCCCGGAGTCTAGCACCCCCAAGGTCGAAGAGGAAACGAAGACTGAAGCCGTTGCGACACAACCCCTGGTCGATCTGAGGCAATCCAACGTTCTTGACACCGAGCCAAAGAAGGAACTGCCCACTAGCGACACCGGCCTTGACTTCGAGGCTTCTATTCTGGCCTCTCTCTTGAGCAGGCACGCCAAGATCAACGACGAAGAGGTGCCGACAGCTTCGGCTGATATCCCTGCTTCCGAGGGTATTACAGCTCGCGACCAGTGGTTTGCTAACGCCTCTGCTACTGAGAGCGCACCCCCGCGGGCTTCCTGGGGTCGCTGCCCTGCTTTGATGCACCCCAACACCAACTTCGCCGTGTGCTGCAACAGCTGTGACCAGACAGTTCCCGATGCTCACTACCACTGCTCCACCTGCGACGACGGTGACTTCGACCTTTGCCAAAACTGTGTCGACCAGGGCATCACTTGCTACGGTGCCGACCACTGGCTCATCAAGAGGATTGTCAAGAACGGCCAAATCATGAACAGCACCACGGAGACGATTGCCCCCAAGCCCAAGGCCAAGGTCGAGGAGCCTGCTCAACAAACTGTCAAGGCTCCCGCCAACATCAGTGAACTCCTCCGCCCTGTGTTCAACACCGCTCTGTACAGCATGCGCACCTGCAACTGCTGCGTGACGGAGCTGCCCGAGTCCAGCTTCCTCCACTGCACAGCCTGCGAGGACTTCGATTTGTGCCACGCATGCTTCGAGAAGGACCTCCACGGCCACAACCCTAAGCACCCCTTCGTCCCCGCTGTTGAGGGTGCCCACGTCCCTAGCCATATCGAGGTCAAGCTGGCGCCCGGCCGTAACCAGAGTCACAACGCTATCTGCGATGGCTGCGACAAGTACATTGCTGGCGTTCGCCACAAGTGCCTCGACTGCCCTGACTGGGACTACTGCGCTGACTGCATCGTGAACTCCAAGTTTGTTCACCCCAATCACCGCTTCGTTCCCATCTACGAGCCTCTCGAGGAGGTCCGCAGCCGTGCCATCAGCCGCTCTATCCACTTTGGCATTTGCTGCGACGGTCCTCTGTGTGCCCGCGCCCATGGCGCTCCGACCTACATTTCCGGCGTCCGTTACAAGTGCACCGTGTGCCACGACACCGACTTCTGCGCTAACTGCGAGGCTAGCCCTGCTAACACTCACAACAAGACTCATCCTCTTGTTAAGTTCAAGACGCCCGTTCGTCATGTTACAGTTACCACTACTGGCGAGCGTGGAGACGGCCAGCGTATGCAGCAGATGGGTGACCGCAATGTTCGTCGCACTAGCTCCCGCTCTACGGAGACAACTGCGAACGCTTCCATCAACGTTCCCCAGACTGTCGTCGACGTGAAGCCCACGGAGCCTGCGGTCAAGGAGGAGGTTGTTGAGAAGACCCCCGAGCCTGCGCCCGAGCCCGTCATCAAGGAGGAGATCGTTGAGAAGACGCCTGAGCCTGAACCGGAGATCAAGAAGGAGGTCGTCGAGGAGAAGCCTGCCCCCATCGTCGAAAAAGCTCTCACCGAGCAGGACCTCCAGGCTGTGTTCGTTCGTGACACAGTTGCTGATGGCACCGTCCTCCCGCCCAACCACGTGTTCGAGCAAACCTGGGTTCTCCGCAACGATGGCGATGTTGCATGGCCTGCTGGATGCTCCGTCAAGTTCGTCGGAGGTGACTACATGGGTCACGTCGACTCGAACCACCCTGCTGGTATCTCTGAGCTCGTTTCTGCCTCCGAGTCTACCGTCTGCTACGCGCCTCTTGCCCCTGGTCAGGAGTTTTCCTTCAATGTTCTGCTTCGTACCCCGGCCCGCGAGGGCAAGATCATCTCTTACTGGCGTCTGACGACCAATGACGGTCTCAAGTTCGGCCACAGACTTTGGTGTGATGTCAGCGTCCAGGCTCCCAAGCCCGTCGCCGAGGAGGCCAAGGAGGAGGCCAAGGATGTCCCTGTGGAGATGCAGAGCAGCAACATGATCTTCCCCAAGCTTGACAAAGAATCGCCGGTATCTAGCATTTACCAGGAAGTCAAGCCCGAGTCGGTCCCTGCCACTAGCTCCGAGGCGGAGGAGTTTGAGGACTGTAATGAGGAAGATGAGTGGGATGCCTCAGACGATGGCTTCATGACTGATGAGGAGTATGACATTCTCGACGCCTCAGATGAGGAGTTTCTCGAGGAGCAGCAGCGCAGACTTAGGAAGTGAGCTATGGGCTGTGTTTTGAGTTTTATTTTGCCACTGGATACGGAGTGATCGGTGGTCTCCTTGGGGTTCCGGCTTTCCTTGCATGTCTCATTTCATCAGGGCTTGCGGGTGTTTGATTTCATTTGGAACCTGTAAAAAGAGAGTGACTCGGTAGTTGGTGTCGACACGTGCTGAGCAGCAGTTGCCGGCGGTAAACGTGGAGGACCGATCACTCGTCTTTCAGGTGAGGTTGAGGCGACGCTCGTTTCACGACACTCTTCATGACAGATTACAGATTGGTACTTGTAGGTTTTAGGCAGCAATTAACCGTGACTATTTCAGCTCTTGGGCGTCTGACTGTGCATTGTTGCGATAAAATGTGAGCGGTGATAAGTGCACTGTTTCTTGTATGTGGTAAGAAAACTGCCTGGTATGCGATTTGGGAGGAGGAGTTGGAGTTACAAGTGCCCGCCCAAGTAACCGCACCCCTGTCGGAAGCTCCCATGCACACGCCCCACTTGTGCTAGTGTCGGCGCCAATCACTTTGGGACCCCTGGACAGGGGCCTGAACTGCGGATAACTTTTGGATAAAGTGTCCTCAAGACTTTCTACTGCATCTCCCACTTCACGAGACTTGCGCCGAGTGATCTGACCAGTTTGCGAGGAGGCAATCTTCGACAACTTCGTTCCTTCCACCTCTTGAGTCTTTCTTTCAATTGTTTCGACACCGAAAAAGGAGGCATGCGGTAGCGGCACTAGGTTTTGACGGCGGGCACTTGCATCAAGCCGAGGGCATTGCGTTTTGAGCAATCGCAACTTGACGACTACATCGATCGAAGACGAACCGAGGTCCTCCAGTCGATCTAGCGGGCACTCTACCATCGCCTATTTTCTCAAGAATATTCGAATCCCTTTCCATACCCCTCGACGTCTTTCAACACCGCCATGATGAATGGGTGGGATGAGAAGCACAATATGGACGATGATGCCTTTGGGGCAAAGGGGAACATCGTCAGCGCATTTGATGCCTTTCGTGAGTTTCCAACATCCGTTCATTCTCGCTGTTCCGCTGCTCGAGACTGAATTCATGCCCAATTCGACTAGGGAACTGGTTGCTAACGACTCCATTTTCGTAGCCAAGGCGAAGCCACAATATGTGACGCGAACGTCAGGAGGCGGAAAGTGGACTGTCGCTATGGCAGTCATCTCATTCTTGCTCTTCTGGACCGAAGTCGGCCGCTGGTGGCGCGGCTCTGAGACGCATACCTTCGCCGTCGAGAAGGGCGTCGGACACGAGATGCAAATCAACATGGACATTGTTGTGCGCATGCACTGTGACGACCTCCACATCAACGTGCAGGATGCGGCAGGCGATCGCATCCTCGCCGGTAGCATGCTCAAGCGCGACAAGACAAACTGGTCGCAGTGGGTGGACAGCAAGGGTATCCACCGTCTGGGAAGAGACAGCAAAGGCAAGATCGTGACGGGCGCCGGATGGCAGGAGGAGGAGGGCTTCGGCGAGGAACACGTCCACGACATCGTTTCTCTCGGAAAGAAGAAGGCCAAGTGGGCGAAAACCCCGAGGCTTTGGGGCGAGGGCGACAGTTGCCGCATCTATGGCAACTTGGACGTGAACAGAGTGCAGGGTGATTTCCACATTACGGCCAGAGGTCATGGCTACATGGAGTTTGGAGAGCATTTGGATCACGCTGGTACGTTTTGTGTATCCCACCGAGGCTTGGAACCCTTGACTGACAGTTTGCGCAGCCTTCAACTTCTCGCACATCATCTCGGAGCTGTCCTTCGGACCTTTCTACCCCTCGCTTGTTAATCCCCTGGACCGCACCGTCAACCTTGCCAGGATCAACTTTCACAAATTCCAGTACTATCTGTCGGTGGTCCCCACCGTTTACACCGTTGGCAAGTCGGCCTCGTCGTCCAACACGATTTTCACGAACCAGTACGCCGTCACGGAACAGAGCAAGGAGACTGATGACCACAACATTCCCGGCATCTTCTTCAAGTACGATATCGAGCCGATCCTACTGTCAGTTGAGGAGTCCAGAGACGGATTCCTGCAATTTCTCATGAAGATTGTCAACGTTGTCAGTGGTGTTCTCGTGGCCGGCCACTGGGGTTACACTCTCACCGAATGGTACAAGGAGGTCATGGGCCGGCGGAAGAGAGAAAGGAACGAGGGCTTCATCGGCACTAAGGGTTCAGAGTACGACCAGTAAGGTTCTAAAAGAGTAGCATCGATATGTACATTGAGGTGATGTCGGAGTTCAAGGGTTGTGTATAGATATGCATCTGGGACAGGGGAAATTGTGTCTTTGCGTCAATTATGTCTTCGGAATATAACAAGCAGAAAGTTGCCGTGCAATTAGTCTGCTGCAAGCTGGTCGTGGTGAATAGGTCCGGCTTCCGAGCGGTTCCTTTACGTGCAGGGGTAGGACCTCGGCGCAGCTATCCCGGTGCAGTATCGGAGCGAAGCCGGCAGTGCAAGGGCACTTTGGGGTTGCCCCACCCTTGGGTGAACCTCCCCCAGACTTTTGTCGAATCCGACATCGCCAATTTCCAAGCCGCATTGACAATTGTGACAATCCAAAAATTTCCCAAACCCCCCCGCCACTACGAGTCACAGCATTCGGAGGGAGGCGCGCAGCGACAATGGCACCAATTGAGCTTGCCAGTCGATCTGGAGGCGCCGCAAGGGTCAGTGATACCCAGCCATCGGATGCACAGCAGAGAGGCGACGAGAATTAACAAGATGATAGCGTCTTCTAACTCGCACGCGACCATACCTTTCCGCATCCTCATGCCTGCCGATCAGGAGGACCTTTGCGACCGCCCAGGACGTTGACCAGCAAGATGCCGAGATGCGCAGACTCCTGCCCAAGTCCATCAAGCCCGACACCTATCGCAGGCTGCACGACAACCTCCTCAAGGTCCGCCACGTACTCGGACAGCAGCGCCTGACTCTCGCCGAGAAGATCCTCTATAGCCACTTGGACAACGTCGAAGAGTCGCTCCTTACGGACACAGAGAATGGACGCAACATCCGCGGCAGCGCCAACCTCAAGCTCAACCCGGACCGAGTCAACATGCAGGACGCGTCTGCGCAGATGGCGCTGCTGCAGTTCATGTCCTGCAACCTTGCTAAGCCCGCCATCCCCGCCAGCATCCACTGCGACCACTTGATCGTGGGCTCCAAGGGCGCCGAGAGCGATTTGACCGATGGAATCAGCGTAAACAAGGAGGTTTTCGACTTCCTTGAGTCTGCTGGACGCAAATACGGCATGGACTTTTGGCCCCCGGGCGCAGGTATTATCCACCAGACGGTCCTTGAGGTCTATGCTCTCCCGGGTATCATGATGCTGGGAACCGACAGCCACAGCCCCAACGCTGGCGGTCTTTCGACCATCACCATTGGTGTCGGTGGTGCCGACGCCGTTGAGGCCTTGGTCGGCGCTCCTTGGGAGCTGAAGGCTCCTCGCGTGCTTGGTGTCAAGCTGACCGGCAAGCTGAACGACTGGGTATCTCCCAAGGACGTCATTCTCAACCTCGCCGGAAAGCTGACCGTACGTGGTGGAACTGGATTCATCGTCGAGTATTTTGGCGAGGGCGTCGAGACTCTGAGCGCCACCGGCATGGCTACTATTTGCAACATGGGTGCCGAAGTCGGCGCCACGACCTCCATCTTCCCTTACACCGCGGCCTCGGAACGCTACCTTCTTCAAACCCGCAGAGAAGCTCAACATCGTGCTCTCGACGGCTACAAAAAGTGGGGGAGCTTCGACTTCAGAGCCGACGAGGGCGCTCAGTATGATCAGGTCATCGAGATTAACCTGTCCGAGCTGGAGCCCCACATCAACGGCCCCTTTACCCCTGACTTGGCCACTCCCCTGTCCGCCTTCAAGGACACTATCCAGCATGAGCAGTGGCCCGAGGTCTTGTCCGCTGGCCTCATTGGCAGCTGTACCAACAGCTCCTATGAGGATATGACCAAGGTCGAGAGCATGGTCAAGCAGGCCGAGAAGGCCGGCTTGAAGCCCAAGGCTCCCTTCTACATCACACCTGGCAGCGAGCAGATCCGTGCTACTCTCGAGCGTGACGGTACCCTGAAGACTTTGGAGGACGCCGGAGGCATTGTTCTCTCAAACGCCTGCGGCCCCTGCATCGGTCAATGGAAGCGCCAGGACGATATCCCCAAGGGCCAGCTCAATGCTATTCTGACGTCCTACAACCGTAACTTCAAGGGCCGTAACGACGGCAACCCCGGTACCATGAACTTCCTCGCTTCTCCCGAGATCGTCACCGCCATGGCCTATGCGGGCGCTACCACCTTCAACCCGATGACGGACAAGCTGCAGACCCCCGATGGAAAGGAGTTCAAGTTCGAGGCTCCCCAAGGTCTTGAGAACCCCAAGGCCCCTTCGAGTCCGGCGTTGCATCGCTTCAGGCCATCTCGCCCGAGACACACAACCCCGAGATCCAGGTTGCCATCGCCCCGACCTCCGAGCGTCTTGCCTTCCTTGAGCCCTTTGCACCCTTCCCCAAGGGTGACCTGAGCGGCCTCAAGGTCCTTGTCAAGGTCACCGGAAAGTGCACCACTGATACCATCTCCGCCGCCGGCCCCTGGCTCAAGTACAAGGGTCACCTGCCCAACATCAGCACCAACACCCTCAACACGGCCGTCAACAAGGAGACGGGCGAGGTCAACGCCGCCTACGACGTCGACGGCTCCAAGCACACGATTCCCGAACTCGCTCAGAAGTGGAAGGAGCGCGGCCAGGAGTGGCTCGTCGTCGCCGAACATAACTACGGTGAGGGCAGTGCGCGCGAGCATGCCGCGCTGCAGCCGCGATACCTTGGTGCCCGCGTCGTGCTGACCAAGTCGTTCGCGCGCATCCACGAGACCAACCTCAAGAAGCAGGGCGTCGTGCCCCTGACATTCGCGAACGAGGCCGACTACGATAAGATCGCGGCCTGTGACGAGGTCAGCACCGTCGGCCTGTACGAGATGCTGCAAAACGGCGGCCAGGGCAAGGTTCAACTGCTCGTCAAGAAGAAGGACGGCTCCGAGGTGCTGATCCCTACCAACCACGCCGTCACCAAGGACCAGGCGGGCTTCATTCTCGCGGGTAGCGCGTTGAGCATGCTTGCCAAGCGTAACCAGGCGTAAATGTGATGCTCTGCAGTTAAATTGGTGCGGTCGGGTGTCTCACTTGAGGTAGACTTGGGAGTACGCCTGTCCGTGGGTGCGGCTCTCTGTTCTGGTTTCCCATGGGGGTTCTAGTTGCTATAAAGAAAAGGGGGAAGGAAGCGAAGACAAAGATCGACGTTTGTATATATCCTGCAGTGCGTTTTGTTTTGGGGGCTTTTTCAAAACAGTTTGAGTGTAAACAAGAAGAGAAACGGTTGAAAACGCAGTCCTGCTCAAACTCCGCGAAGTGACGAGATGTATGTCTATCAACGCCGCGTAGCGACGAAGGCTCTCATGAAATGTACAATTTTGTGTGTTGAAAACGACAAGGCGTCGAGCAGGCTTATCTGAGGAGCGAAGTCTACGACTTCCCGGACGAATATTTCACGCATCGAATGCCCTTGACCTTCCGCTTCAGCATATGAGCTGTGAGGGCCGTCCACATGGCTTCCGAGGCTACTAGCAGCGTTCTCCTCAAAGTATCATGGCAACAGGGATAAGATAACGACTGTGACAGTCACCCGCAGTAAACAAGATGCGAGAGCAGGATTCAGGAAGTCAGCCGCCTGTAGTTGAGGGTCCAGCTCGGTGCCGTCCTGGAAAAACATGTAGAGGATTCATCATTTGATGTTGTTAGAGTCTAGTTATCCGCCCATCCTTTATTTTATACGGAATCGGGCGGTGTTTTCCAAAAGCGGAAAGAGGGGGGGGGGGGGGGGGGTGACCAGGGAAGTAAACAACTAAAAGCCTCAGCCAGGTCTGCATAGGTTTTAGGACTGCTTAGTGGGAAGATAAGGAAGACGATTTCTGCATAGGGGATATGGATTGCCTACCCACGTAGTGGAGGCGGAAAAGAGGGAAAGCCTTCACAGTGAGGATGTCGCGGCTCTGTGAACTCAAGACTAGCTGTGCACTGATCACAAGACCAGAACGAAGAAAACGTGTGATGGAGAGAACCTCGTCCCAAGTGAGACTGAAAATTGCCTACAGCAGCATCAAGATCTGCTTAAAAGTCAGGTCTCAGTTCTACGGTTGAATCTACGTATAAGCAGAGGGGTTGGATTTGTTGTTACCTCAAACTCTCGCCTAACACGAACCATAATCTTAGTATGTCCATATTGTATAACGGGGAGAGGGAGCATACTAACGGCGTTCTGTCATAATCAAAGTAAAAATTAAGTGAAGTTTGTGGATAATTGCGAGAAGCGGCAACGAGCGTTGTAGATCAGAGCATGTGTCGTATATAAGGATACATTGTTATTCAAAGGGTCTCCAAACTTTGTAGCAAGCATACAGAAGCAAGCTTACCTGTATAGAAGCGTCAAACGCAGTGGACTAATGTACTCGTAGCCGAAAAAAGTCGCCTACTATGTCCGTGTATTCATGCATACCAGAGACATCGACCTATGTGCAAGTCAGGAGTTGTTCCCCGAGCGAGGCATGAGGCGATTTCAACTAGAAGCTTTGATTGTGGGGGAGGCCTCTGTCTATGGGTTTGAAGCTGCAACTGCTTTGCTTCGAATGACTGCGGTAACCGGTGTGCTGCATCGATTCCTTCTTTGCTGGAGACAATGCTCATTTGCCTGCATTGTCTTACTTACAAATGAGCAATACCCAAGACCGCCGACGCGGTCAATTTGGGCCGGAGCTGGAAACACAAATAAGATGATAACTTTCTCCAGGACACGACTCATCACCTGAATCTACCACTCACTCATACCGTTCGGTGTTTTGGTTCAAATGGCTGTTGACCCCGCGCAGTCGTGCTAGCGAACGGCCACAATCCAGTCTTGGTACGCATGCCACTTTACCACACAGAACAAAAGCAAAAGCAGAAAGGAATTTGGTATGTCAGGAACAATTTTTAGACATATAGGCTTCAAACCAAGTCGAGCGCGGTCGAAAAAGAAGTCATCATGTTCGCCATTACGAATTGGACAATTGTCGGGCGTGAATTTCAGAGCTATCATCTGCTCTAGCAGTTGCACCACCAGCAACCGGGATCATTCCGGTCTGTGCTGGGCGATTGGCTCAGTGGTAGAGCGCCCGCTTTGCATTATACAAGAATGTCTGCGGGAGGCCCAGGGTTCAATCCCCTGATCGTCCATTACCTTTTGCAATATTTCGTGTTCTATTACCATTTTTGAATAGCTCTAATCCTAAGCCACACCAGCACACAATTTTGTTGTAGTTGTTGTTGCTTACGGGGCCCGTTTGGATGTTGGGTAGTGACTGGATCGCCACTGTCTACTACTGTTTTGTAGTATCACAGAGAGTAACAAGGTGACGCTGCCTCTGCTCGGCACAGCTTGGGATGTCGACCTGGTGCAAAGCAGGCTTGTTTGTACGTGTCGCAATACATGTTATCGTTTAGCAGCTCACGCATGGGCAATGTCGCTGTAGCGAATGCCCTTGAGTACTTTCTCGAAGTGGTGGTGGACTCGGACATCACTCACGAGAGAAGACATAATCGGCCCACTAGACTGTACGAGCCACAAAGGATTCGGCATATTCGGTTCGAATGCCGTAGGAAGTCCATGTGCCACAGCCGCATCACCTCCTGGACCTGGTCAACTTGATGGAACTAGTATACATACCTGTAGACAAAGTGCTGGCCAACCGTTAGGCCGAGTCCCCGGTGAAGGTTGCAGGAAACGCTGAGAAATCCGTAAAGTGTAGCTGGACATGGAGTTCCAAGAAGCTGCCGAAGTCACCGCCATTTTGATGTTTGGATGGTCAGTGAACGGCCGGCCTGATGTGTAACATCGGTCGCGACGAAGGAACAGAATGGAGCCTTGCTCCAACCGCACCACACGAACAATGTCCCTTGACACGAAAGCATCAGCCCCTATGCCGCCGTCACAACAGGGCGACGAACGGCCAAGAAGCGTCAAATCCCTCCGCACCACCCACAACCTCGCCAGGGCCGGAAAGGATGTTCCCGAGGGACGGTTTCTACCACGTTCCTGCGGGCGCTCAGCCCTGAGGGATTACACCAATTACCTAATGAATTAAACCACCTCTTCCCTGCCTGCCTCCTTCCCCTCGGGAGGGCTTGTGATCGGATGGCACCAGCAAAGTCTGGGGAACTCGCCTCCTAACAAGCAAAGGGGTTGAAATGCGGGGTAGCATCAAAGGGGGTGGATGAGGGCGTTTTCTTGGGCGTCTGGGGAACAGGATTGTACGTAACTAGAGACAGGGTCCGAGGTCGAGGAAGACGCCGGTCTCCTTCAGGTGTGTAAGGTTGAGGTGGTGCTGGCGTTGTGGCTATCTTCCTCGAGGGCCCTGAGGACAAGGCTTTCGTTGAGTCGAGACGAAAGATTGAAGTGAGGCATCTCTTCAACAATGGGATGTTTGGAAAACCAGTACAGACGATGGCTTTGCGGGCCGCGCCGTCATTACTGGCTTCGCCAGTTTTTTGTAACCATGGATGAAGAACGCATGTAAGTGACCACCGGGATCCGAAGACAATCAGATGAAGGCACTGGTTGCCGTCCGCAACGTTCCCTTCTTCCAGTAACATCGATGTCACTCAACGACCAAGTCGATCTCTTCTCCCTCTTCACGGACCAAGACAATGGCTACCTGGCTAAGCTGGACGAGATGGCGAAATGCGACAAGCATCTGGCGTCAAGCGAAATAAACCGACGGACAATCGTCCAGCAAACGTGCACGTTTGCCCCCCCCCCCCCCCCCCCCCCCCCCCCCCCCCCCCCCCCCCCCCCCCCCTTCCTCAATGGGCCTGGGCGCTCTTCGGAACCGAGAGCGTCAAGCACGCCAGTGTGTGTTTGTTCGAGTCTTTCCAACCTGTAGCGGATTCGTGGCATCAGACATGGGGTTGAAAGGTCTGATGACCATCGCAGACGCGGCAAGTATATTTCCATTACCCCAGGAAACTAATGAGTGGTCGACGCCAAGGGGGGTGGAGGCCGGACTCTTGACGTCGTCGGCGGCCGGCCAAGTGGTTGGCTCTAGCAGGGATCGGGGTCTTAATTTGGCCCTTTGAGCCCCCAAGTGACGAGAGCAAACATGCCGGCAGCGATCATGATCAGCTCTTCGCAGGCGGCACGGCGTAGGAGGGGGAAAAGTCTGCTTGCCAGCTGCCAGCAGTCCAAGAACAAACAGCTGTTACACTAGGTACTACAGTCATTCCCTCCAGCACGTTCCACGTCCCTTGCATTAGCCCCATCTTCCCCAACTTGCCCAGCTGGCCCCTACCCGGTTCCAGGCCGCCCAGGGCTGGGCGCTACGGACGAAAGCGGCAATCTGTTAGCAAAGCGTTACCCCATCGATTGCTCGAGAATGGCGTCTTTTCGCCCAGCAGCGGGAAATTTAGCAGCTCATGTTTGCTCGAGGGCCCGCGAGGCCCGCGTGATGCAAAACTCGTCGGCGCCCCTGGAGGGGTCGAGGAGTCACGCGGCCCATCAGAGAATTGAACAGGTGGAGAGACGACGGAAGGAGGAGGAAAAGACGTCGATGGAAGAGTGAGTGGTTGGAGGTTGCCGAACTGTGAATTGTTGCACGGACTTGATCGATGCTTGGGAACCGCCCAGGTGTTTGCTTTTCTGCTGCTCTTATCAGAAAAATCAAGTGCAGTTAAAATGTTCAATTTGACATCATTGCTTATTGCCGACAAGGGCAGCTTTGCCATGCCTAGTAACACATGCTGCTTGGTCCAGTGATGACAACACGATGAACAGACAGGGGGTACGAGTGCTGAATGGTCAACCCGGAGAGGCAGACGGCATATGCAGCACGCCTCCGACATGGTTCATGTCTCACACCCTCATGGGCACGCAAGAAGAAAAGAGTACTCGTCTGCATCACGACACCTCTGAGCACAAAAAAAAAAGCTCTGCCGCCTCCACCGCACAAACACCAGCAAACCAAGCTAATCCATGGAGCTGGGGGGCCAAGCTAGCTCCGCTCCCGTTGTTTCGGCGCCTCGGGGCCATGCTAGTTTTTTCCCTCGCTTTGCAACCAAGATCTGACTGTCTACGCCTCCAGTTTTTTTTCCCGTTCGAGAGCCACCATGAGCCGCCTTGCACGCCAAAACTTTTCCTAGAGTGGACTCTTGGGAGTGGTTTTTTTTTCTTCCCTTTCCTTCTCGCCTTGACCAGCGCTAAAAAAAAATATCTTGGGCACTGGTGTGCACGTAGACTACGTACCCTTTGTCTCTCTAGAGAGGACCTTGTATTCCATTCTCCCACGCACCGCTTTGCGAGTGCAACGCCGTCACTCAGCCATGGGGGAAACTTTTGCATGTCAGGAGGACACTGCAAAGCCCGTCTGTTCTGGTCTCGTTGCTCTCCCTGCCTGGCGAGACTAATACCCTCCACCACCACACACACACCTTCTTCCTCCCAAGGACATTACCTATATTAACCTTGGCCTCCTCTCACTTGTGTCTCATGAGGATCTCTCTCCCATCATTGACATATCCAACACACAAGGCACCCCTATACACCTGTCAGGTTTACACAAGCCTTCCCCATCTGAGAATTCAGACGACGCCTGTTGTCGACACCACTTACACCGCTCCCACCACCTTCCACCTCAACTTCGACAACTCACAACCACCACAACACAACCACAGACACAAACCACAAAATGCCTTCCCAGATCCTCGTCACCGAGCCTCACCCCACCGTGGCACCAAACACCTACATCTACTCCGGCCGAGGCGGCGCCGGTAACATTTTCCGGGCCCCTGTGACGACGCCCGCCGCCGGCATCACCACGCCCCTCAAGCCCGCCGTCGTTCACGGACCCCGCCGCTTCTACTCGGGCATTGGCGGTGCAGGCAACTGCCACACGGCGCAGGAGCGGCCCGTCCGCACCTTTGACGAGGACTTTCAGCGTCAGGAGGTCCGCGACCGCGCTGCCGTTGGCCACGTCGGTATCGGCGGCGCCGGCAACGTCATGCGCAAGGGTTCTGATGCCTCCTCCGTCCTCAGCGACGAGTCGTCGGCCTCGGAGGTGTCCTCCCTCAAGTCGCTCAAGGAGCGTGGCGGCAACCTCTGGCGCCGCGTCACCTCCAAGGCGAACTGAGTGTCTCTTCGGAGTGACAAGCCATAAGCATACACGAGCGCATTTTGTACAGGTCTCTTCAGCACATCATCATCACAGTTTTCCCTTGTAGGAAAGGGACGGAGTTCAACGGAAACCAAAAAAAAGCACGGATCGGGATTTCGTAACGATAATTGGGAATAATGCTTTTCAGGCGAGTTAGTCATGGCGGAGGAACGCGAGGGGTGCCTCAGAGCAAACAATGACGAGCGGTTCTCGGAAAACTCTGGCTGGTAGATTCCAGAGGACATTTCTTTCTTTTGCAATTACCCGGATTTGCGAAGAGAAAGAAAGAAAAAGGGAGCATAGCGGAAAGTTATGGGCGTTTGTTTCTGGTGAACATGATATGCGAGCGAGCGAGCGGACACAATACCCCCAGATATCTGGTTGTTCAGCAAATTTTAGTCAAGAGACACACATCCAAGCATGGTGTCTCTTAAGAATGTCGAATGTTTCAAACCTTCATGCTTCTTGTACCACTTTTAGACAGTGCTGCTTGCCCTCGTCGATTCTTTTACTCCTCAGTCATGAGCAACATGTCGTTTAAGCAGCATGGCCCATTCCTACCCGAGGACGGCTAGCTGGCTTGAGACCTGGAGACGCGGCACGCATGGTTCACTATTGTGGCGCCAAGTGTATCCTTACGTGCAAATGAATATAGTACACTCAGTCAGATCCACCGAGAACACGTAAGGGGGTACAGTTCACTTGGATCCAACCTTTGCCCATGGTAATTCGTGTTGAGATTTGGCCACATCAGTTAAATGTTGTAGTCTGTGTTCACTCCATGGTCAGCAAGATAGACGAATCCGACCAGTCATACTCTGCCAGGATGTGACCAAGCTTCTTGTAGTAGGAATACCATTGATACTAGACCACGACGAAAGGCCTACATGTTACGCGCCGGGCTCCTTGCCTCGGGGACTGTTGCACAGCAGGCGTCTTCCAATGGGGGTTCCTCCCTGCGCGGAATCCCACACAGCTTCCGCGCTCTCGCTTCGACGCCCGCAGAGCACAAACATCGACGTCTGCCCCCTGGTAAACACCAGATACGCACGGGCATCTCGACTTCGTCCTGCCGAGTGCCTCGAACCGAGCAAAAAAAAAAAAAAAAAAAAGGCCGTTGCACTGACCCGAATCGGAGCTGTCCCTCGCATGCTCATGGAGGTGGCCGATAACTGATAGAAAACATGGGCTACGGGCGAGCGAGTGGCGAGAAGGAAACTTGCGATAAGACAAAAAAAGCAAACCGGTGCCGTCAACGCCAAGATCATGAGACACGTAGATAAGGTTGCGTCCAGAATGGCCGCAAGACCGAGGAAAAAGAAACGGTCTGACACAAACGGTGCTTTGCTACCCCAGCAGAGACATATCAAGCAATCCAGGCCACACAGTACGCCCGTCGACTCATGTATACTCAATCTTAGTTCCAACAAACTCATACCAAAACACGCGTGTCAAACGAGACAACAGATTCGGGTATCATTCTCAACTTTCTAGCTGACGCATTACCTCAACATGCTGCCTTTGCCTACAACACCGGCCCTGCGGAGGCCGTCTTTTTTTCGGGGTAATCTCAAATCTAGCCAGTCCTCACTCACTCTCGCTCTTTCAAACCATAATGTCTAAGCTCCTGAGCGTTCATCCGTTTGCCTTCGCGAGTCACTGGACGCAAAGGCCGATGAAGCACAGCTCTAGATCTATCAACGGAGACAGGTTGGGGGAAACGCCACGTATAAACCGCTTCATCGATACCATTCAAATCCAGAGCACGTTTCAAGTAAGCTTGGTGTGGATGATCTCCGGGTTCTCGTGCCAGTCGTCGATGCTCACCCACATCTATGTCTCAAGTCAGCGTCCAGATCCTCATCCTTACGAGGCGTGGCAAGAAACTCACCTTGCGGAAGGTGCTGAGACCGGCCAAAATGCTTCCTCCGATCCACGTGGAGTACTTGCGCTCGGGCGGCGCAAAGATCTTTATCCTCATGTCCTTGACTGCCAGCCGTTGCAACTCTGTCAGCAGACGGTCGCCAAAGCCCCTGGTCAGCGTGCTGCCGCCGGAGAGCACAATGTTGCTGTACAGGGACTTGCGCAGGTCGAGATCTGTCCGGTTGATGGCGTCGACGACGATCTGGTGCACGCCGGGGTACTCGAGGCCAATGATCTCGGGGTCGAAGAGGATTTCCGGTGCCCTGAAACGTTCCGCGCCGATCTGTCACAACCATTAGCCATTATTTCCCATCCGTATGCCCATCGCAGGTTTACCTTGAGCTTATGTCCGTCCGGAAGGACGTATTCCACACCCTTGGCCGGGTCCGTCCTGTTGGCCCACTCCTTCTCCTCTTTCCTCGGGTCATGCGCGACGTAAGTGACAGACTCCTTGATGAGCCTCACAACCTCCTTCTCGGCACTCGTATGGAACACGTAGCCGCTCTTGCGCAGCAGCATCTGCATGTACTCCGTCACGTCGCGTCCGGCCACGTCTATCCGTCTGATGCTGCTCGGCATGGCGAAACCCTCGTACACTGGCACTGCGTGCGACACGCCATCTCCCGAGTCGAGAACGATACCCGTCGTCCGGCCGCTGGCGTATAATGACAGAACAGCCTGGATTGATGTGTACAGCGCGGGGACGTTGAAGGTCTCGAAGAGGATCTGGGCGGCGGTGTCGCGGTTGCTGCGGGGGTTGAGAGGTGGTTCGGTCAGGAGGACGGGATGCTTTAGGTGGGTTAGTATATAACAAATCTATGCAGTGTATTACACCTCATCGGGGTATCGCCGCCAGACGAACCTCTTCACTGAGCGTCTTGAGGCCCTCGCCGTAGACGTACTCCCAGATCTTCTCCATGTCGTCCCAGTCCGTGACGATGCCATGCTCCAGCGGATACCTGATCTTCAGCAGACCCCTGAGCTCCGTCGCCGCCTTTTGCCCGATAAAGACCTCGCCTTCAAGCGCGCCGGCTAGCACTCTCAGGTGCTTGGGGCGGCCGACGAACGAGGGGAAGTAGCACTTCGGTAAGTCGTCTCCTGCGAAACCGGCGCGGATCGTGCCGGAGCCATTGTCCAGGACAATGGGCGCGTTATGCAGAGAATCCGTCATGTTGCTAGATGCATTCGAATATCAGGTTTCAGCTAGTCTCGGCCGATTTCCTGGCTCGTCGTTCTTCGCGCGGCGTGTTCGTTTCGTTTCGCGGCGGGAACCCCTTTGTTTGTTGGTCTGGCGGTGACAACAAGTGGGGGCAGTTCGTGTGCAGGTGGCCCAGTGACACACGAGAGCAGTTCGGCGTCAAGCTCGATTCGTTCCGCTAGCACTCAAACGTCAGGTATCGTCGCAGTCGTGGTCGTCGTGCTCGCCTTGGGATGCGGAGTGTTGTTCAAGTGGTCAAAATTGGAGGACAGCTTCACGACGCGGTCGCCGTCCAGAGAGCTGCAGGGGCGCGAATGGCTAGGTCGAAAGTGGAGTAGCGCGACTCGCAGCTGCCGAGCACAGGCCACTCAGGGTCTCTTGTAAGTCATGTAAGTGAGGCAGATTGCTAGTTGTTTTAACCAAAGCGATAAAAGCATCAAGGAAATGTATTTGGGCTCCAGAAGGATAATGCTGTTTGAAAATTTGTTCAAGATGCTTCCACCAGGTATACATATTTTAGTTTGGTTGTTTGTCTAACATAGTGAATTATGCATGGTCCGTATGGACGTCTACCAATGCTGTATCAAGAAGCTCCCTTAACGCCTTGAGATGCTTGAGATATGTACATGTATCTCTGTGATATGATCCAAAGTCCCAATTCTAGCTTCCAACTCCTATCTCGCTTTTTCCAGTCATTCCGCGGTCCGGAACAGTCTTAAAGAAGAATTCTCAAATGCGGCCGTCGAAAACCTTGTAGCTAACGTAGGGCCAGCCAAGGATGGCGATGGCAGTGGGGAAGAAGCTGCGAAATGTAGTGTTAGTCGTTTTTATCAGGACAGCCTGCAAGGTTGCTGGTGCTGCTTACATTGCCGCAGTACCAAGACGCTTTTTGATCATGGCACCGTAAAAGGGCTTTGCGTGAACACCGTTCTGGGACATTCTCTGGAAGGGATGAGGCTCAAAGGAGCGAGCGACTTGGCGCATGTTGTGGAGCAGAGAGAACTGTCTGCGCTGGACAGCGAAGCGGGCGGCGTTGCGGGCGGCGAAGGCGGGAGACATATTGAATGATGATTGAGAGTTGATGAAAGTCAAGTGAAGACCTTTTGGTTAATTGGGGGGAGTGAGTTGGTTGTGTAATACACTCGTACAAAAGATGTAGTGAAGACTTGGTCTGGTAGTTGAGTGGAGAGACTCTTTGATGTTGTTGATGTGTGATGATGATAAGAATGGGAACAAGAGCACAACAGACGGGAAGCTGCTTCGGATCTTATACCGTGTAAAAATTGTCACTTCTGGCTGCATAGCTACGAGATCTATGAATCTTGACAAAGGATCCCGAAATTTCCAACGGCAAACGCCTATTGTGGGCAGATGGGCGGGCAGCTTTGCCCGTAAGATTGCCGTGCCTCGACGGGAAACGAACGAGGCTTCCAATCTAGGCCGGGGCAGGATCATGCCATCCCATCTTCCAAACGGATCCTCACTGAAAGAAAAACGCCAGGACCAAGGGTTTTCTGCAGCAGTGCAAACGACGGGAGTGTCTCGCCCAATAGGCGCCAGCCGCGGGCGTGCAGGCGCAGTACGGAATTGGGGAGATGGCCACAAAGGCCGGATTGCAGGTGCTGGGCTTACACAGCGAAGAAAACATTCGAATGGAGCATCGTGCGTTTTCAAACAGTTTCCTGACGACTGCCAACATAAATGGGGTGATGTGGTCTGACGGGAGCCGCCGACTCGGGACGATGATTGGCTGCGCCCAGGGGCTTAGATTCCTGGCGAATGAAAAGATGGCCACTGCTGACCATCTCGTCCAGCTATCAGACCACAGGCTCCGACCGGCTGGGTTCGCCGACGAGGGTGAATCCGGGGAAAGTTGACAGCTGCCTTAGCCCGAATCAACACACATTAGTCTTTCAAACCCCGAAGAAGAAGAGATGACATTGTCAAGATGTGTCTTGCTGATCCAAAGAGAGACACTGTGGATTTGGCAGAGTGACTTCGCAGTGCGCTAATGCAGATACGTACTTCAGTGGTTCGCGCGCTGGCTGCGACCCTGCGAGAGGTTAGCGAGAGCTGACTGGTTCAAACAACCCGGGGGTTCTTATCGGGCCATTCCTACTCTTATCGCCATGTGATCCGGGCGGAACCGACAGCGCGGTGGCCGCTAGCCCAGACGCGCCGTCCCCGGAATTTTACCTGGGCCGTGACCTTCCGGGTGTCCGCCCTCACGAAGTTAACCCGTATCCACGACCGACCAACATTAGAGATTGGGGTCCGAACCCGTCCGAAACCGACTCATCCCACCATGCCACTGGTTGATCCCGTGACGATGTCGACGCCATCATCAAAGGCCGCTTCCGACGCGGGCAAGCCCAAAGAAGGGCTGCATCCCGTTCACGCCCTGACGAGCCCTGCCGCGCAGGTCGTCCGACACGTCCAGCCCATGCTTCTCTCTGGACTCTTCCTCGCGCAGTTCAGCTCATTGGTAGCCGATCCCGTGCCGGCCCTGTACAGCTCCCTCCCGATTGTTGCTGCGATCCAGGTCGTCTACGCCTTTGTCAGCCTGCCCGCCGCCGGCTCGCAAAGCGCGAGGCCCTCGAGGAAGCCTCGGCTGGGCGAGAAGAAGAAGGTCGAGAGCACGGGACCGAACCCCTTTATCGTGAGCTGCGCCGTATCCCAATCAGGCGAGGTTTCTCCTAACTATTGACTTTCAGGCCATATTCCTATCGCTTCTCCTTGCTGTCCTCGTCACGCCAGCCATCCATATTGTCCTTGTTCTCTTCGGCGCGCCTTTCTTGACGCACGTCCCTCACACACTCCTCTGCTCCGCCAACGTCGCCCTCCTTTCGCTTTTCCCTCTCTTTTACGTCCACGGAGTCGAAGCAAGTACATGGGTAGCTCTTGCCAGCGCGGCTGCGCCGTTGGACGAGGCATACGGCGGCCTGGCGGGAGGTCTACTGGGCGCGTGGCTCGGCGCAGTCCCTATTCCCTTGGACTGGGACCGCGAGTGGCAGAAGTGGCCCGTCACGATTCTGTGCGGCCTTTACGCTGGCTACATTTTGGGTAAGACGATTGGTGGCACATTGGCGTTTGGCAAAAAGATGGCTGGCTCCGCGGAAGACGACGAATAGATGGCTCGGGCAAGCCCAGTCACAACCTAGGCCAAAATATACTCAAAAAAAGCGACTGCGAGCGAGGGCAGGGACATGGCTCCGTCTCTGACCAAACGTTACCTGACGAACGTTGGGCCTCGCCGCTTCTAGTTGACTTCATCAAGTCAGGCGTGTCATGTCTTGAACTCTAGCCAGGACTGGAGAGGACACCGGCTTAGGCCATGCATGGATGGCCCAGAATGCCTCCAGCCGAGCTAGTGTGGTTAGCTACACTTAGCTTCCGTGTAATAATCAATGTAACATAGCTACTACTCGGTTGCCAATCGGTTGGCTCGGCCAAAACAAGAAACAGACATTAACAGAACGTGACCTCGGATCTGAACGAAGGCGCGAGATGCGACGATGACATTGTTGCCTCCTTGAGCCTCGAGCATGCGCAGCCGTGGCGTATAATCAGAGTGCAGCGGCTAAGAATCTTGTTATCCGTCGTGGCACACCTCACAAACCAGCCACAGCAAACCAGCCTTGTTAGTCTGGTTCAGCCCAGCCCTACCAAATCCTCGACATGCACGACGTCGAGGGTCGCCGTCCGTGTGCCCCCGTCACAAAGCGGGGACAGGCCGCGTCTCCGTCCCAGGTGTGCTAGCTGCCGAACCGACTTGGCTTTCTTGCCGCCGGGCATGACCGGGTCCCTTGCGTCATAAGTCACGGGAAGCTTGGAGTCATTGGTGAGACAAACACGGGCAAATTTCCGGGCAGGGGGGACTCTACCTAGGAAGGGAGATAGGATCAAGACGAACGAAGGAGACCTCTGCAGGTAGGGATGGCACTACCTGTACTTTGATCACCATGTCTTGCGTTGCTTCTCTGCAGCAGCCAGTGCAAACGGACCGATGTCCGCTGGAGAACAGTCACATCGACTTTGAATGCGATGCGAGTCTGGCAAATGACAAGACAGGCAGTCCCCGGACCATTATGTGGCTGAGTCGTCACTGTTGCGCCATACCGTGCAGTAGATCAGCTCTCTGGGTGTGGCGTATGTGGCTCATCACCTGCAGGTTGGTGGGAACCTGGGAAGCCCCCTGACTGCTTCTAGCAGTTCTGTGTGGGTACCTAGTGATGAGTGGAGCCATAAGCAAAAAGAGCAAATTTAAGAGGAAGCGGACCCTGCCAGAAGACGCTAGCAAGGGCTGGGCTGATGACGTAGCACTCACCTGTACCGCGCTTCCACTAAAAAGAGTTCGCGCAGGTTCGTGCTGAGGTCCATGGAGCAAAGCAAGCATGGCTGGATGGAGAAGCAAGCAATAGCACTAGCAGCCTCAGAGCACGCTTTCCTGGATGTAGCCCGGACTGGCCGTGCTGGGACCCCGTCCCCAATGACGGCGGGAAAGGCTGGGCAGAGGGGTGGGAAGGACGCGCAATGAGGCTCGATCCAGCAAGAATAGATCGAGAGCGAGGAGCCATGGCGAAAAGGGAACGTTGAACTTTGAGGCGGGAGAGCGCACGAGCAGAAGAAAAGTGCACTCGGCTGTCAGGCAAAGAAACGGCATATCGGCGATGCAATTCGAGGAAACCTGGCAGCGAGCATAGTGAGCATGAAGAAGGGCCAGGCGCAAGACAGCATAGGCATGACAAGACAAGGCAGCAAATGCCCAGGTACCGTGCCCAGTTGGGCAATACGTCGCAATAGCGTACAGGTAGAGTTCCTCCGCTCGGGTCCCGGTTTTGCGCACAAGTCGTACGTACCTTGGAGAACAGAGACGCAGAGGAAAAAAGAGACCAGGTCATTGCTGAGAAAAGTGGGCGGAAGGTCACTGGTGTGGCTTGTCCGCAACGCACGGCACAGAAAGCCATCCCATCTTTTCCCCTCCAAGACAGTCGGTCCAGTGCATGTAGGTAGCTGCTGCGCACACTGCCGACTGAGCCTTATTCCTGCCGCAGCAAACCGGGAATGAGTCGATGACGCATGCCCCAACTCATACCACACCCCCAAGCCTTCGCGGCAACCGACCAGGCCACGCCTGCTTGTTGGCCCGTCTTGGGGAGGCTGCGCTTGGGTGCTTGGGGTGCTTGGGTGCTTGGGGTCTGCTTTCCAGACCTCTCTGGCCTGGCACCCGCGACTGGCTTGTCCCTTGTCAGACGTAAGGTAGAGCGGGAAGGGGGTGGCCCATGCAAGTCCACATCACATCACTGTGAGCTCGACCTTGCCTTTTGCTGATTCTGCGCTGGGTCGTGGCTTCCCTGTTGGCGGTTGCTCTCTCATCCTTCTATTTAACCATCTCATCCCCAGCCCACTTACTGCACACTTCTCCTCCCATCATCAACCAACGAACTTACACTCGTCAACACACATCAGATCGAAGAGATCCCGTCACGAACTACTACACACAAACAACCAAACACATCAACAACAAACCCCCAAACCTCAACCAAGATGGCTTTTACCGCTTCCGATATCTGCAAGATCATTCTTGCCGTCATCCTGCCCCCCGTTGGTGTCTTCCTCGAGCGTGGCTGCGGTGCCGACTTCTTCATCAACATCCTGTTGACCATCCTCGGTAAGCTTCGCCGCTCTTCTGCCACCATAGCCCCTTAACTAACATAATCAGGTTACCTGCCCGGTATCATCCACGCTCTGTACATCATCCTGAAGTACTAAGCGCCTCGTCACTGAAATCACCTGGCCGCAACCGTCTACACTAGAGAACATGACGATTAGCACGCGAAGCGACATGACCTCGATCTTCCCAAGGGTGTTTTCTCCAACCTCTCCGAGCAGGGTAGCGGCGTAGGCGGTGGACGGACATTCCAGGGACCTTGGCTTCCGCATCATCCGGCAATAATGGGGATCCTCCTGCAATAGCGGCAGGGATTCTGCTGTTTTACAGGGTTGGCCGCTCCTCCCGACCTCACCCACGACTTGTTTTTTACGACAACGACGCACAGCAACGGCCTACTTTCCTTTTCCTGGTGGTTCTATACACTGGCTATTTCTCATGTTTCTTCTCACTTTGCGGCATGCGACTCTTCGAAACGATTTTGTTTTGGACAGGCATCCAAGACCGGGAGGAATGGGAATGGAGGACTTGCGCTGTGTATAGCATGCTTAATTCGATACCCGACATATCAATCTCTTTTCAAAACAAAAAAAAACTACTAGTTATGTTCTCTTGATTATCCGACTAGTACGTGCCATATCCGCGACAAGTTTCTCAATGTTCATGGATGTTTCCGGCTGGCTGCATTAAAGTTTTGGTCAATGCCATGCGAATGGTATTCAACTCTCTCCGCTGTGACACTACAAGCGTAGCACTACCGGCGATCCATGTGATGTCATGTTTACCGCATGGAACTACTAAACCTTGGCTAAAATTGATTCTAAGTTCACACCGAAGCAGCCGATTCTGCAACGCTACTAAAGAGCTTAATTTCTCGTTTCCTCTGCGGCGCGTACGCTCAAGCAAATGTTCTTGTTGGAAAATAACCTTGTTTTCTTTAAATCATTAACCTGGAAGTCAGCAAACGGCCCCCGTTTGCATCCGCTTCTGTAATCTGCCGTACTCCGATTTATTTTTTCTTCCAAAACAAGGGACTTTAAGCGGTAACGCCGTGAGCTAAGAGGCAAGCGGGATCCGAAAGACGCGTACGCAGAAGCTCGGCATAGCGGGTCTCCCATTTGGCGCGAAGCCAAAAATGTCGCTGGCTGGCAGGCGCTGCTGTACACTAAGGCCCTCCATCCAGCGAGGCAACCACCCCTGCACGCAGATGCAATTCCAAACTAGGCGCAGACACCATACTGTTGCCATGGTAGGAGGACTCGGAAAGAACATCGCGGTGTACGCGACCCGCGAGTGCGGAAATTTCACTACAGCCGATCCACAACCAGCCGCACTGACTCGTTCTCGCGATCGGGCTGAGAGACTCGTTCTCGCAAACGCACTGAGATTTTGGATCTTTCATTTTGTTTTATTTCGAGGCCACCCTTGCATTACCCTCGTCAGGCCCCTGGTGGCTTCGCCTTGCTGGGCGGCATGGGCTGACGGGTCCCCGAAGTACCCGCCGTTAACTTTATGGAGCTTGTTTCGCGATTTGCGATGAACCCTTCTTTTTTTCCCCAGGGGGGGGGGGGGGGGGGGGGGGGTTCGTAGTCACTGAGTCTCGTTTAACATACGAGCGGAGGTGTAAAATATGCACTGCCATCAGCTAGTCCGGAGATATCCGCGCGCGTCCACATCAAGCTCTTCCGACCTTGAATGACAGGATCTGGTGAGATGTTAGCTAACCCGTGGGCGAACCGGGTGAAGAAGCACAGTTGGGGAAACCGGGCGCTTACATCGTTCTTCCCGACCGCAACGAGGTCGTCCTCTGCCACTCTCTGGCCTCCCGCGCCCTCAATGTACGCAATGGGCGCGTCGCCCATGACCTTGCGCGCCGCCTCGCCCACTGTCGTGCCCTTCTTGACGAGCACGCAGTCGCGGAAGACGAACCGAGACTCGGCGGCGCCGGAGCCAAAAGAGGTCGTGTTGCGCACCGGGAATATCGGGACGAGGCCCAGGATCTCGGCCGCCTTGGAGAGCACCTGCACGACACCCGTCGACCCGAACCGGTAGAGCACCATGTCCTTGAGGTTCTCTATCCGGTTGCGGTTCTTCTCGTCTAGCTCCTTGAGCCCGCCGCCCGTCGGATCGCCCTGCTCGATCAGGTCCTCCCTTGTGTCGACGAACTCGCTGCCCTCCGTGTACTTGATGTAGCCCTGCTTGGCCATCTTGCGCAAAAAGATCTCCGAGATGGCCGAGCACAGCACAATGGTGTTGGGGTCCTGCATCTTGGCGATCTTGGAGATGTTTTTGTCGGCGTCAGGGTGGTCGATCTTGTTGAGCGCGATGACGGTCGGGAACTTCTCGTCCGTAAAGGCGTTGACGACGCGGTCGATGGTTTCGGCGTCCCAGTCCTCGAGGGGCTCCTTGATGCCCAGTCGGTCCAGCGCGCGCGCCACGACGTTGGACGTACTGCCGTAGCCCGAGAACTGTCCCTGCAGCGTCTCGATGGCCGTCGCCTTGATGGCCATGTGCCGCCGCCGGATGGACCCCCACTTCTCCATTAGGTTGCCGCGGATCCAGGCCACGATCTCGCCGCGCAGCCAGGCGATGTCGACCGAGGGGTCGTAACCGCGCGTCTCCTTGCCCTCGGCGTCGACGGTGCCCGAGGCGTCCACCACGTGTATCAGCGCATCGGCGTGCCGCAAGTCGTCGAGGAACTTGTTGCCCAGGCCTTTACCCTGGTGCGCGCCGGGCACGAGCCCGGCGACGTCAAGGAGCTCGATGGGCACGGAGCGCCGGCCTTCAACGCAGGCGCCGTAGTTGGGCCGGCAGCGGTCCGAGACGTTGTGGCGCGCGCAGGCGCATTCTATTTGGAGGTAGCCGATCGCTCGCTGAGGGTCGATTGTGGTGAATCTGAATGCGCCGGGGTTAGTATACTTGGGAATGTGGTCCCGTCATGCTACTTGGGCGGCATGCGAGGCAGGGCAAGGTAGGTGGGAGGAAGGGTGGCAGGGCGTACGGAAAGTTTCCTGTTCACGATATTTCCATCAGCGACCAGGTCGGTGGGGTCGGTTTATTTTTGACTCTCGATCGGGACGGGCTTTGGAGGTTTACGGACCAACTTTTGACGAGGCGTCTGTCAGACTGTTGAGCGTCGTGCTCTTGCCGGCCGACGGCTTGCCGACCAGGCCGATGAGCGGATCTCGAGGCATCGTGAATCGGTATACAGGGGCGGCGGAAGAGGGGGGGAAGAAAAAAGGTCTGCAGATGGTTTGTCTTTGGATGGACTCGAAAGTCGTTCGAGGGGTAACGATTTTGCGAAAGGGCGCGCACATCCCACCCTGCTGTGACGCCCCCGCTAATGCAATGAGGGGCTGGCCCCGATAGCCCGGTGGTCCAGTCATTCGGTTGGGTGTGACGTAAGCACTTAGCCGATATCACTTTGCGCTGAACCTCGGTGAGGTTCAACTGGGAAAGGTTGACGTACGGGTTGCAGCTATTAGGTGTGTCTCGCAGCTTGGACTGACACCAATATCTGGCTGCTGAGAGGCGTTGTGGGCTATTCTAAACTTAGGAGCATAGGCCAGGACATGATACTCTCACAGTCCTCGAGCTTCAAGTTCACGCCTCCAGCATGGTATCCCTAGGGAAAAGGCATGTATGGCGGTGAAACTAGCTTGATTGGCAATCTGAATCTCGCCCTGTTCCCAAAGGACTTACAGTGTCGACATTGCTTTTCCAATATAGTTATCGCAATCCTCTACCGGCCTTTTGTGTAAGGGAACCCTACGTGAGGCAAAGAGCTTTAAAGCAGGAATGAAATTCAGGCTACATCTGTCCAATTTCATCACATCAATGATCTGGCCAGGACAACACCCGAGGCGTTGAATATTATCTCGCTGACAGCAAGCAATCAGAGACGGTGGCCCGTCGACGGGCTTACAAGAAGTAAACAAGAGGATCGTAGGGACATGATGCCTGTCACAATGCCACATTGAACCATAGCTTACGGATTATTGTCTCTTTTTTCTCTCGACCTAGGCCTTACTATACAACTAAGGTTGGAGTAATGATCCCGTTGAATGCGCGGAAATGCCATCATGTATCTTGTTGCCCATCTTCGATGATGGCTGCTTTACCTAGTCGGCGCTGCCCCTATGTCTGCAAAACACAATCCAGCCCCCCCCCCCCAAAAAAAAAACACCGAGTAGCGTCTATGTACTTCGGGGACTTCTCAATACCACCGGAAATGAGCTACCGTTCCAACCGACCGTGCCTTGCTTATCGTGTAAGAGAATTCGTAACTGTAATGCCTGACACGGGAGCTTGAGGTTCTTACAGAAACCTTCCAGGCAGCATGAGGAAGTGGTTGAAGGTTCGGGAATCACCGTAATGATGCAACAGCTGGTGCCCAACAAGGAGTCAACAAGAAGAGCCAGAAGATCCGGATTCACGAAGTCTCTACCAATAAACAAGTGTTTGTTCTGGACCAAGTCTTTCGTAAGTATTTTTCTGGAGAGCTTTGCTGCGTAGCCAGCTTATATGCAGGTTGACGCCCGCTTGGAAAGGCGCGCTTGTGCTTCGGATTGGGCGACGATAGGCGAGGGAGAACTCCCGAGTCTTGGCCGACGGCGGTAAACTTTTAGATAGCCTATGATCCGGACTGCCTAGCTTTTACGACAATCAGGCTTCTTCACAGGTCTAGTAAAACGCATGCCCCGAGATCGTAGCCTAATGGGGATTATGCTTAACTCACGCGCTACTACACGGCTGCAGGACGCATCTATGGAAATCTGACACTTAGCATAGGGGTCAAACGCCACCTCAAAACAGCGTGTGCAAGGATGAGTAACCAGTTGTTCCATGCCGTTACTTGTGCCACTGGAAGCAGGTAAGCACATTGAGATTGGGCCTGTAACAGCCGTCCACCGCCACCATCACGCGACAATACTGTTGGGAGGGGCAGGAGCTCGAAGTCCGGCACGCCATTGAGAGCCTGCTCAAGGCTAAAATTGAACGACCCACATGTGCATACTGCATGTAACACGGCATCAACAGTGTTGTGCAAGCTTCTGTCTGGGAAACTGCACTGCAAAATGCATTACATTTTTTGGCCAAACACAGTTACGTGGGTAAAAGTGAAAACCCCATAGCCTCAAGAACTCGCAATGACATAAGCCTTTTTATACAGGAAGAAGCAAAAGTACTAGTGAAAGCAGTATCTGTACTTATCAACGCAATTATACTACCATGTCCCGCGTTCAACTCCTCGTTGGATGGTACGGGAAACGTTACTCTATGTGCCCTCATCATTACATGGCAAAACCCATTGAACCTTCACATTGTGTAGAATGCGTCAGCCGTTGGCGGAATTTGCCCAACTCAAAGGAGTATAATAAAGACACCTGGTTTGTACATAGAGATGCAGCATTGCAATGTTGTACGTTCTATGGATATAGTTCTACCCTGCGATTCTCCGTTTTCTGTCCTTCTCGTCAAGGCGTGTCCTTCATGTCTTTCCAATCAACACCGTACTCCTTCTAAAACTTTTGGTACTTGCCATCCACAAAAGTAACAGTCGAAGGCAAATCCTTTGCACCCTCCGCAAGCTCCAGGTAGAACTTGCCATTGGAATCGGCATTAGGGACGTTGCCAATGGAGCTCCCGTCCGCCCTCCTCTCGTCGGCGTAGAAGAATCTATCATGGTCGATTAGCATACTCGTCTTCAGAATACCCATATAGCAGCAGAAAAGGGTTTTGGAGAATAGTGATCCGGGAACACAGGGAAAGAAAGCTTACCTCCAGCCCTTCTTGTCCTTGTACAACGTGTCAGCGAGACTGACCCAAGACCAAGCCGCATTCTTCCCGATCCCCAAGGTGACCAGCCCCGCAACCGGCAATGTGAGTTCGTTCAGCAAGTTACCCGTGTAGATGAACCGCCCCTGCTTGCCCTCCTCCCCGTCCTCCGTCCACCCCTTGACGGCCTCCCCGGCGGCGACCCACGCCCCAGAGTTCATCACCTTGAGATCCGCCTCGACTTGCTCCACGGGCACGCTGAACAGGTTGTCGGCGTCGGGCGGCGGCGTCATGGCTGCGGCGTTGTAGACAACGACCCGCGGCGCCTTGCCAAAGTGGCTTCTGGCCTGGGCGAAGACGTCCCGGACCTGCGCGACATCGCCAATGTCCGCGCGGATGCGGAGGTAGCCCGTCTCCGGGTCCTTGGAGGGCGATGGGGAGGGGAACCTGCGGCCGACGACAGCGACAGAGTAGCCCGCCGCGGAGAAGTGCTTCGCGACGCCGGCGCCAATGTTGCTGCCTGCGCCGATGATGAGGACAACGGGTGCCATTGTATATATAAGCTTCAAGAGACTTGGATGATAAGGGGTTTGAAGAAGTGTTCTAATAGTGAGACAGTGGGCTCTGGATGATAGTGAGTAGTCGAGAGAGATGCGGTGATGTCCTACAAACTCCAACCTCCATCCTCGTGGCCACACGCCCTCTTATATACTTTCTTCCCAGAGCAAGTCCTCACCTACGCAGTGTAAGTCACCATCTATCGTCGTCTCCAATGTCACTCAAAGCCAAAGGCCGAACCGGTATCCCACACTTACACCACTCGTCCCTAGATCACGCACTAAACCCAAACCGTCTGCCCCATGTGAGGAGAAACCTTGAGGCCCAGGTAGATTGATAATTCCTTACTGCGCTGACTGCCTGCACGCAAATGTAAGTCGCACGGCATCTGCTGGAGCACACAAACAAAAAAGCACCGCTAGCCACATATCGTGCGAAATGTCCGTGTGCCGCCGGGCGCATCGGAGAAAGACCCGCCCCTCCATTGATGCCTATACAGCATTTACCTGCAGCCCGCATTACTAACTCCCAAGAGGAGAAGAGAACATAACAGAAAGACATTGTAGCCGCAAGACATGGATTGCATAAACCCGCAGAATGGGGCGTGTAGGCACACGGTATGCCTGCACGGGATTTGCGCCGGGGTACAGCGGACGATCGGTCTGCGTGCCAGTACCGCGCGGGACTTGACTAATCACACGTAAAAGACAATGGCTGATAAATCCAAACACCAAACATTCAGCCTCATTTCCTCCTCAGGGGACGCATCTTTTGGTCACCGAGTAGATAATCGACACATTCAAAGTTGGTGAGGTAGGGTAAAGGTTCCATTATCCACGACTACTATTACAGTCACCCCTTATGGTATCCTGCCTTTCGCGTCCTCCCGGCTGCCGTGGTAAAAAAAAACACAGCAGCCCAATTCCAAAATGTGGTATCAACCAACTTCACGCGTTCCAAACCCATCCCTAGCCTCAGCCTCGACCAACATGTCCAAATGAGGTCTTGCTGTTTCCTCACCTCTCGAAAACATCGCTCAAACGCAAAGCCATCAATTGCTTTTCATGTCGTCGTTAGGTTGAGTAGCGAACCAAAATTCTTTCTTTCTCTCTGTGCTTCCTCCTCCCTGCGACTGTGCGATTTTTGCCGGTTTTTATTCGTTGCCGCCTAGCAGATCCTTCTCTGCATCTTTATGGGAGATTGTTCATTCTGCATCCGATATGTTCAATGATTATAGCTGATCATGTGGACCAAGCTATCCAGTAGCATCAGCTCATGTGTTAGTGCTTAGTTTGTTGGGCGCAAACGATATTTGCGGCGAGAAAGCTTCTTCTAGAAGGTGTCGGTCTCGTTACTAGCGACCGTGCCGAAGGTGTCTGCTTCCGATTAGAACGTGTCTTTGTCATCTTCGGAGCCTAAATGCTCACCTCTCTTGCGGCGTCGCTCTTCCCTGGCGGCCTCTTCTTCCGCACTCTTCGGAGTCATCGCTCGGGGCCCGCTAGGCCGGCGAGCTGGCATGCCACGGGCTCCTGTGAGGTTGCGGTTCTCTGGCTTGGGACTGCCAGTGTAGTTGCTAGCCGCGTGGGTGCCGGGGCCGGTGCCGTAACCACTCTCAACGCTGTTGTAGGGGAGGGGACTGGTCTTCAAGGCCAAGTTGGAGATGCGCTTCTTGGCAGGTGTATGGGTCATCTCGTCGATGGGCTCCTTGGGAGGCCGCGGTGGGCCTGCGGGCGACGAGTTGTAGTAGTCACCTCCCGTCGCGCCAGATCCGTTGCTATACCGGTTGCTGTTTTGTGGGAAACGGTGGAGGCTGGTCGCTGAGCCAGCCCAGTCTGCAGACTTGGGAGACATAGGCGTGTCATACTCGTATGCTTGGCTCTCAAGTGCCGCCTTGAACCGCTCAGTCTGTCCTTGACGAGGCTGAGGATGTTGAAGGTTGACTGAGTTGCGGTGTGCCTTGTACTTGGGGTCCTCCGGAGTCATGTAGGTGGTCGGAGGTGTGTTCTCCAGATGAGGCGGGTTAGGGGCAGCGAGGTCCTGCTGGGAGAAACCGGAGTGTAACTGGTCACTGCCGTAGTCGTTCTGATACCGGTCGTCATACCGGAGATCGGATCCGGACCGGGATGGAGGATGTTGTAGGAACTCATCATCGTGCTCCTTCTTGCTGGAGCCACTGCCCCGGAAGGCCTTGCTTACGCTCGTGGCCGTCGACTCAGACCATCGAGAAATCTTGGGAAACCAGCTCGAGGACCCTCTCTTGTGCTTCTTGCCCTTGTCCGTCTTGGGAGTGTTGTCGTTGCTCAATGAGGCGTTCTGAGCGGCCTGGGGTTGGGGAGGAGTGCCAAGGGGGACCGACCCGCCACGCTGGAACTCGCGATTAGGTGTGAGGAGACCTTGCGGGTTGCGGTAATCGTCTTGAGGATTGTAGTCTTCTTCGTTATCCTCATGGACCGTGCTGATGCGGTTGGGCTCATACGCCAGCTTGGAGGGACCACGAGATTGGGCGAAAGTTGACATGCCCGATTGGCTGCCGTGGCTAGTGGTGGAGGTGCCAGCTTGGCCCTCGGGCTCGTAGCCTCGGTCTTGCTCGTACTGCATTTCCGGAGTGAGGTTCTCATACGAGGGCCGGCCGCTTACCATGCCAGGTCTCATAGTCTGCGCCTTGAGTGTGTCGACTTCACCTAGCAGCTGCATGAGCATGTCCTCGATCCGGCTGAGGTCGTTGGTGCCCTTGGTGCTGAGGCCCTTGAGCGCCTTGCGGAAAAAGTTGCTCTTTTTGGCGGTCTCATCGAGAGTACTGTTCTGTGAGGCGCCGCTGTACCCCTTGATAGAGCGGGGAAGGCTGCCGGGGTACGCGCGGGTGCCGCTGACAGCATTTTTGACCGTCTCGTCGGTGTTCTCCTGTACCTCCTTGATAATGACATCCTCGGTGTTGGCAAGAAGCTTCTTGAGGTCATCAAAAGAGTTACGCATCTCAGCCGCAGAACGAACGAGCGTGACAAGGATTTCCGTGTCGCGGGCACTTCGCTGAGCGTCCCGGACCATGAGATGTTGCATCAGAGCAATAATATCCTTGGACTCGATTCTGTCGATGCCGTTGCCAGTGGCTGCGTCGTAGAGAGGAGAATCCATGCCCTGAGACAAACCACTCATGTGTCGACTGTGCTGAGGCACGAAAAAGGGATCCTCTGCTGTTGGGTCGCCGAATGGCATGATGGCCTTGCCAGCGGGCTGCATGTTGGGCGAGTGTACAGGACCCTGGGAGATGTAACCCTCGTCGAGCGTTTTGTGCCCAGCGGGACTACCCACATGGTACGGAGCACCATAGTCCTCGAATCCTCTGCCACCGAGAAAGTCTGGATGAGCGACCGGGCTCGCACCGTCATAAGGGTTCGTGATGACAGTGTCCCGCTTTCGCTCAGCCGACGTGCGACGCCACTCGTCCTCGTGCTCTCCACTTGCCTGTCGGCTGTGTGACAGAGCTGCGGCAGCTGCAGCACCGACAGCGGCACCAGCGGCAGCCATACCATAACCGTGACCATTGTGCTTCTCTGTGTCGTGCTCTTCGTAATTGTCGTAGTCGCTCTGGCGAGGGGTACCTTGGCGGGGGTGATGTCGCCCGGCCAATGGCCACGATCGTCGTGGTCGCTGCCGCCGAGCGGCTCGCGAACAAGAGACGGGTTTGTCAAGGCATCGTCATCCACGTATCCAACCTCGGGCATCGGGTCGTCGAAGGTGGGCATGGCACTGGCACCCATCTTGGGCTGCTCCTCATAGTCAAGGCGGTCGATGCTGTGAGCCGGGGTGTTTGCAGGCTCGCGACCCTCCATCGTCCGCTGCTTGAACGATTTGTTTCTCGTGACACCTTCGGGGACCCATTCCTCGTTGTGTTCCTCATCGACTTCCTCCACTGTCGGCTGTTTCGTCTTGTCCTTGGCGGCCTTGAGGGCAGCGGCAGCAGCGCCGACAGCTCCTGCGGCAATGGCCTTCTCCGAGGCCGTCGGGGAATGTCTCGTTGACGTGGAAGGAGAGTTTCTGTACCTGGCAGGAGCAACCTTCCTACCGTACTCATCGAGGTCGTACTCTCCAGCAAACTCCCTCGAACGGTGACTCTGGCGGCTTGAGGTAGGCGTTCGGCTGCTCTCGCGCTCGCGTTGCTCAAAGAATTCACGTTGGTCGGCTACGGAACGCTTCTCGGGGCTGACATCTCGCGACCGAGACTGGACCTTGGACTGGTCGTCGTAAGAAACGTTCGAGTCTTTGCCATATGACACATGCGACTCTGGGCCATACGAAAGGTTGGACTCGTTGCCGTACGAGACCTGCGAGTCTCTGTAATCGTAGCCAGATCCGGTAGTGAGGACGGATTGATCAAGCATAGATCCGTCCACAAGAGAAGCCACATTAGACTCCACCCCGTGGGGCACATGAATGATGTTGGGGTTGGCAGCGATGCCACGAACGGCCTGGCCGGTAGAAGTTCCGATCTCGCTACCCTCCGTGTACTGGCTGTTTCGGTAATCCTGGCCGCTCTTGATGCTGCGGTCATCGATGGAGTGCTCGTCGAAACCCCGGCTCATGACATTGCTTGGCGCCGAAGCAGGCGAGAAGGCTCTCAGATCAGTATGAGACGCCTGAGACTTTGTGGGAGAAGCGGTTCCGTGAGAAAGCCTGGAGTCGCGCTGGGCGGCCGTCTCGCTTCCTGCCTCTGTGTATCCGGAAACGCTGTAGATTGGACTCAGGCCGCGCCGTTCGGGCTGGTACGGGACGTACTTCAGTGGTGGTGGCACATCCTGCGTGTTGTAGTAATCGTAATCGTTGGGAGACTCCCCATAGTCACCTTCACTTTCCGTGATGCGACTCTGCTCGTCATACTCGTCTTCGTACTCGTCACGAATCTGCTGAGAGGGGCTCTGGCTGAACTCCTCCGAATCGCGCTGATCCAGGAAATCTCCCGTCCTTGAGCGAGAAAGTTCCCTCAGGTCGCCATGAGAAATGTTGGCATGCTTTGTGCCGAGAGTTTGTTGCATATTCGTTGCAGGCGTTTGTGTTGGCGTTGGCGATGAGCCCATGGAGGCGTTACCCCGGGCAACCTCCTGGACTGAGGCTCTCTCCTCCATGGCAGAATGGGGCCGATCGGTCTCGGCCGAAAGAATCGAGGTTCTGGTCATTTCGGATGGATTAATTTCACTCATCAGGGGCATCGGCGGTGCAGGTGGCTCTTCTTCCTGGAACTCCTCGTCGTACTTCTCACGGCCGACGCTCCTGCTCCGAGTCGAGCCGTCGGCACGTCGGCGCCTGCGCTGCCTTCGGTCCTCTGACGATGGCGACGCTGCATTCAAGGCGGCAGTAGCAAGACCAGCGGCCGCAGCACCCCCGACTGCAGCTTTGAGGGCGCCATCGCTCCGCCGCGGCGTGTCGTCGACGGAGACGATGGAGGATTCTTCGACTGATTCGCCGGCGATGCTCCGGGGAGAGTCGACATAATCATGGCGGGCCTCCCGGTCTCTGCGCTCCCGGTGCCGGCTATCGCGTCCGGATTCGCTGCGTTTATCGGCAGATCTGCGTCGATCAACTCCTAGGTCCTCGCGAGAAAGGGAGGTCCCTGTGCCGGTGGACGTAAGGGAGCTGCGGCGACTTTCACGCTTACTCTGCTCCCTCTTCAGGGCGCTTAATTCCGGCAGAATAAGTCGGCGAATCGCATCTTCGACGGTCTCTAGCAGTTTTGGGTTGTTGATGGATGACTTGGAAGCTCCAGAGCGTACGGAGCTCTGGTCGTACGAGCGGTGACTGGGAGAAATGCTGGATGATAAGACACTGGAATCTGCCCCAGACAAAACCGAGTCCACATGACTCCGACTCGACCGTCGCCGGGGTGATCGCGTTCCTTCGGACTGCTTTTCGCTGATACTACTGGTTCGACTTTTGCTCGAACGGTGCTTGCGATCTTTGTCTCTCGAGGACCTTTCACCAGACACCTTTCTTTCGCCGCTGTGTCTCTTGCTTCTGCTGCTCTTGGCCTGGTCAGCTATCGCAGCACCGGCCATTGCACCAACGACACCAGCAGCCAGCTCGTTACCGCGAGACGAGCTCTTGCTGCGCCTCTCGGAGTTCTTTGTCAGAACAGTCGAGCCGGAGCCATCGAGGAAGCTGTCTTGGGGAATGGCCGAGATGTCGGACATGTTGGGAGGCAGGTAAGACGAAGATTGAGCATCACCGTCGGGAATCAAAGGACTCGCTGGTCGACGACGCCGTCCGCTGCGGTCGATTTCAATGTCGATTGGGTTCCTCGAGACATTAGACTCCTCCGTTGCGGAGGCGTAAGACCGCATGCTTTCGGCGTCCTCGCCCTCCAAGGCTTCAACGTCGAGATGCGACGAGCCTGTCGTGGACGGCAGAGGCACACGGCGGGTTAGCGAGGCCTTGCGGGTGTTGCCGTTGGTCTCTGTGATCTGGATGTGGTCGTGGCGATTCCTCTTGGACGGGGTCAAGCGAACGCGAACGCTGGGCTTGCGGTCGACGGTGCCGGATGGACCAGGCTTGCCACCTTCAAAATACTCGATGAGAAGCGAGGTCTGGGAGCGATTGGCCCTGTGTCCGCGGGTTTTGATGGTGACGGGAGTGCCGTCGTCGGGGAGAGAGTAGTGAGAAGCTTCGTCGGCAGGCCTGGACACATCGGTCGCCAGCTCGGTGGGGGTGATGGAATCGGTCTCGGTCGGGGCAGGGAGTGGAGGTGGCTTGTTCGAGTCAACACCCATTGTGGTGCGATGCTCGAAGGCCTCGGCGACGAAGAGGCTGTTGGGGCGCAGGCGCGAATGACGAAAGCCTCGTTCGACGGCTCACACCTCTCTTCTTTTTTGGATCTTGTCCTTCCCTCGATCAAGGAAAGAAGGAGAAGAAAGAGTGAAGAGAGTGTGGGTGGACTTGCCGGTTGCCGTCCAAGGTGGGCAAGGATTTGTTGTGGGTGCGGTCGCCGTCAAGACATGAGGAGCAAGTTCGTTGCTGCGGGAAAAAAAAACTGGGCAGGCTGGGCGATAAGCTGGGCGAGCTTCGCACTTCACACCTGGTCGATTAGAGGGTCGGCGATGTTTGCGAAAAAGGCAGCGAACGAAAGGATCCCAAAGAAGAAATGATTAAATGTCTATGGCCGCTTATGCCACACACGCAGCGCGCGCAGAAAAGCAACAATAGCTGTGAAAATGGGGAATAGAGGCGGAAAATGGGAGGGAAATGGCGAGCGCAAGTTGGATGGCGCGAGAAGGGAGGCCAAGTGGTTGAGGTGTGAGGTTCGCAAACTGGGGTGGCTGGGTAGCCGGTTGCTTGGGTGTTGTTTTTTGCCCCGGCGATGTTTTTGCCCCAGTCGGCGGATCTTGGAGCTGAACCAGAGAGGCAGGTGAGCTCTGGCCAGTGGGTCGTCGACCAAACCGTATTCTTTTTTATTTATTTTTAAAACCCGACTTCTCTTTACGAATTCACCACTGCTGCAAATACCGACGGGACGGGTTGAAGCAGGAGAGGGTGATCGATGCAAGGCGAGAATACGGCTGCTACGGAAGAATTAAAGCAAGCGACGTCGAATATAGGTAGCAAACGGCTGTTGGTAAAGCAACGTAGGAGGTACCTAAGATCTGGGATTCGTAGCTGGAGGGGGGGAGGGGGGGATGTGAGAAAGAGGCGAGCCGGGGGGGTAAGCAGATGGAAGCGACAAGCGACAGGCTCCAATCTTGGATGATGCAGGCAGAACAAGCATATAGGCACACAGCCCAAGGGCTAAAGGACAGGGAAGCACGGTCGAGAGAGCGAGAACGTTTCGTCGGGCTCTGGTTTGGATTTGGGGGTGGTGCCTGGGATGAGTTTCCGTCCGAGCTTGCTCGATGTTTGTTGTATACATGTGCGTTGCCTCCGTCCCGTGCTCAAAGCCAAGGTACACTAGTAATCTCAAGGTGGAAAGGTGAGCGCGGGAGCGGGCTGGGCTGAGCCGGGGGTTGGGTCTCTTTGGGCTGGGGACACTGGTCGACATCAGATATCGACGGGCATGGGCTAGTAGCAGGAGCCACCTCACCCAGCTCGAGGAAGCAATGAGCACCAGCGGACACGCAGCTAGGCGCGCCACTGTCGCCAGGCGAGCGGTGCGGCTCACTCACACCCCATTCGAGAACACACACACACACACACACACACACACATTTCCCGTCCAGTCCTGTGCCTCATCCCAACTGCCAGACTCGATTGAGACCGAGGTGATTGACAAGATCAGAGACTCTCCAAGACGACTGGCCAGCGCGGTGCTGGGGCAGGTCCCACGGGGTGGAGGTTTTGATGAGTTGTCCCTCGCTCCCTTCCCGAAAAGAGCTGGGAAGGCACCGTGAGGCACTGGGCGACAGGCCAATTGCCGCCGCAGGCTTGGGGCGTGTGAAAGGGGCCCTGCAGCGAGGTAGGTTACACTTTCCCACACGCCTTGGTGACCGACCATTCGCTGTAGCAACCTCTCACCCTGACCGACACTAGTGTAGTGTAAGGTGCCTCCAGCTACCTCAACGGCATTATCGGCCATGTCTGTCACCAATACCTCATGTGCGCGTGTGCTGCGTGCTGCACATCCTGCATCGGCCTGGGACCACTGAACGGGATGAGTTTCCACCACACCATTTGCTCTCCACCGTCACGTTTTCCGCACAAACCTCGAGAGCAGTCCTGTCAGAAGCGGCCACTCCTCACCGCCGTCTCCTCCTCCCGCTGCCGTTGGTAAAAGCCCCGGACCTTGTCCGCCTTACGTTCCCTACTTTGGTCTGGAAATCGACCTTGCTCCAGTCAACCCCGTCTGCTTCAAGTCGCATCTGGCCATCGAGAACTGCCCAGGCATCTGGGAAACCATCGAAATAACGAACAGCATTCGAGCCTGTTTGCTGCTCCGAAACATCCCCTGTCTCCCAGCCCCCCGCCTAATGTGAACAATCGCACAACCGGTCATCAACAATCCACTTTGCGTGCCGTTGGGATCCTCTCTTCATATAGTTTTCCCGAGACCTTTCCTCGTACGGTCGATATATCTGCCCTCCCCAGCCACGGGTTTAAACTATTGCGTGCTGATTCCTGCTTAAACAAAAGCCATCGGACACTTTTCGTTTCCCACTTTCTCGAACGGGAATCCCCTGGGAGTTGAGCCCCCCCACAGCCCAAAATAAAGCGGGTTTCCGCTGGGTGGCTCAAGCGTTTTGGCTGGGTGACGGGAGGGGAACTGGAGAACTGATCATCCACTAGGTAGACAAGGGCGAAAATAAGGAAACAAAAATGGGGAAACCTGGTCTCTAGCTGTGACAGAGGGCCACCGGCCACGGAGAGCTTGATACCGTGTCACCTTTTGACACCTCGACGTTGGACTTGACAGCCAACACCCGTCACACTTACGGACTCGACGAGCGACGTCCAGCAGCCTCTCTAAAGACCTGAAACCGCATATCTATCTGTTACGGATGGCGCCGCCTTGTGACTGAGACCCCGACTCTGAGTTGACAATCCAAGGAAGCGTCCTAGACATTGAATGGCTTGGCTCGTACGTCATCTCACAAAACAGCTCCAGGGACGCGCAGGCACACGGGCTCGACATCTCAGCTCTCCCAATATCCGCGTCCACACGTCGAAGCGTTGATAATCGCCACTGCGTCTAAGCGAAGCCTGGGCTCCTTCCGCTCGTCTCGTTACGCCTCGCCCGTCTCATCTCCTTGACTGGTCGTTGGGGTAGGTTGGCACCATCAGGACAAACACAAGCCTAATATGTCCATGTACCCAAGTGGCAAACCAACTCGAACCCTCCCCCACTTCTGCCCGCCCTTCGGGAAGCTCGATAACCAAAAAGACGACCTCCAGGGCGGCCAGAGGTCCCTCTTTCTCCTCAGGTCCCCGTCTGGGGCCGACGGCCCATGCCGGTGCACCCGTTTCCCCGTTTGCAACCCAACGTCGTTGGCATCGTAATTTACATTCACTCGAGAGCCGACAACCTTCCCCCCCCTCCAAACGGACTTTTAGTCTCTTACTGCAAGACCTTAGGTTTGTTCGCGAAAGCCCATCGAGGCCGGATGCCTGGCACATCCAGGACCACTGCAGACCACTGCAAACCACTGCACTGCCGCCTTGCCCAAGAAAAGTACTCTGCATAGCCACAGGTTAACGGATTCACCATCCAAACCCACCCATCCGCCCGAGAGAACGCTACCCCCTCCCCCCAATGCATGCACGTGTTGGTGCCGGAGGGCTCCTGCCGGCTGCGACTCGTTTGCACCAGTCTCGCCGTCCAACGTACCTTGAAACGCATGCCTCCGCAGTCTCCGGAGGCGACCCTTCATGGGACCCCTGATTGGATACTAACCTTTCCCGTCCACTGCTTTCTCTCTTTCTGTGCCTGTCTGTCTCTCGTACCCGACGCCCGAGGGTTATATAGATCGGCTGCCGTGCGACATGCGGACGCCGTCCCCGGCGGATAGCTGCAGTAGTCGTGGTTCGTAAGTGTGGATGGAGAAGGGGGGGGGGGCTATTAGAATTCTACTTGCTTCATTTTCACATGAAATCACCCATTCAAGAAACATTAAACCTGTCCAAGAAATGAATTGGTATTGTAGGGTAAGATATAGTTTGATGTTGCGAGGATCTCCCCCTGTGTGGTATCTCCTTCCTCGCTCGCACCTCGCATATGATTATTGTGCCCGAATTCCTGATGCCGTGTTCCCTTTTTGTTGTTGCTCGTGAACTTCTATTTCTCGCAGAAAAGAAAAGACCATTCAACGCGATGTCGTCAACTCTGGAGTCCCTAAATCCCCCAGCAGGGCCTCTTTCTGATAACCATGACCGTTCATCAACACCAAATCCTATATCTCGCTTTGACCTCTCTCCACCGAAGCGCTCTATCTTCTCATCTTCTTGGCATCTCTAGGGTGCAATGCGTACCCCTGTCCTGATGGCTCTTCCGTCTCGGCGCCGCCGAGAAGGTCTGCCACGGTGGGGTTGTCGTTGAAGTGAGTGGGCAGCCCGCCTCCCAGGACGGTCCTCGCCGCCTCGACGCGGGCCATGAGAGACCACGAGTCGATCAGCACCACGGAGGAACCGAGGCGCAGCTTCTCGCGGTACCCAAAGCCGCGCATGTCGTTGTCGTCGTCGCCTCGGGCGCCGGAGCGAGGGTCGGCCTTGGTGCCGCCGGTGTGAGGGTTGAAGGCCGGCCGGCCGGCACTGGAGAAGCCGGGGCCCTTTCCGTGCTCGAGGGACGAGACGATGCTGGCGAACTGCTTACGCAAATGTCTCCTGTCTCTTCGCGCCGTCTGCTTCACTGATGGCTTGGACGCCTCGGCCATGCGTGCAACAAGCTTCTTCGGGTCGTATTGCAGGTTCATTGGCTCGCCGGTCTCCTCCTCTTGTTCCCGCGCGGCCTCGAAGATGAAGGCAATGTTGAAGCCGGCGCTCGCTTGCACCTCGACGTCTGTGCTGTCGAGCTGCTCCACGAAAGCGTCGATGGCTGAGTAGACGTTCTCACTAATGTCATCCATCTGGCTGGCAACAAAGGCCCAGGCCTCGAGTGCCGACGTGACGACGTCGCCGTTGTCTGCTGCTCCGACGGCCTCTCCGTCGCTTTCCACGATAGTGACCAGGTACTCGAGGAACTCGCTTGCGGCGTCTTCGCCGCCGCCGCCGTACATCACTGTGATGGCCATGGCCCAGATGGCAGCGGCCTTCACGTCATTGTCGTCATCGTCCTCCAGGGTCTTCTCGAGTTGCGGGTATATGTCGTCAAAGAGAGCGTCTGACGGCACGGTGAGTAGCGTGGCTGTGAGAGACTTGAGCGACATGAGGTGTTCGAGTGAGCTGCCCCCAGATCTGATGTTCTTCATCAGCGCCGTGACGATCTCGGTCAGGGAGCTGGTGATCTGACGGCCGCCGTAGTGGTGCTTGACAAGGTGGAGGTACGACATGAGCGTGGTCTCGCGAGTCTTGGTATTCGTTCGCTTCCGGTCTTGCAGCTCGACAATACGGTCCTGAAGAAGTTGCGCCCACGACGCTTCGGTGGCGTCATCCAGCGCAGTGTCTGATCCGTTGGAGAGCGTGCTCATGGTCATGTTGTCTTCGTACTCGTCGTCGCTGCCCTCCTCCTCGGAGGCATAACGGCTGCCCGCGCGTGAGTGGGCAGGCGAGTTCATCTGGGAGTGGCCGGGCGAAACGTTGGGCGAATTTCTCATAGAAGCTCGCGCAGACTCGGGGCGCGATCGAGCCTTCTTCGAGACAGTCTTGCCGCTTTCGCGGAGCACCTTCAGGCGCAAGTCGTGCATGGTGGCAACGGTGTAGGTTGACGGTTGGGTATGTGTTGGTGTTGCTTCTGCGGGTATCGCGAGGCACTTCTCGGAGAGAAGACCAGTGTTCGGGTTCTTGTCGAAGGGCTTTTGTTGTTCTCCTCGACTAGGATCTCCTGTATTTGTATCGAGGTGGGGTCTGTTTAAAGATGGTGTTGCTTCTTATCGTGTTCTCGATGTGTTGCCAACAATCCATGGGATAACAATGTGGGAGTATATACACGTTTGTTGTAGGCAGCTTTCGGAGATAATCCAATACTAATCGTTGTCAACCGTGGTTGTCCGGGGGCGCAGTAGGCAGACGTTTTCAAAGTATTTCGACAAGGTGGAAGACGCAGAAGGCAGTGGAATTTGCTCGGGATTTAATCACCGGGCCGTCTTCTCGGAGGTAGGCAGGAGTTTGGGGATTTAAATTAGGGCAGCGGAGGAAAAAAACCAGTTGTGGAGGGTGCAGAGGTTGAGATGGTGGGTGGCAGCGGGTTCAGAAGAGGGTGGCATTCACATTACATAGAGAACCCTTGATTCACCGTGGATCTCATTCACATGGATCCCGCAGAAGAATCGAGCAGGTGGGAGCGATGACGAATGACGAAAGAGACTTTTCAATCGTGTGTAGGGCGAGACACGGAGCTGGTCGCAAGGTTGAGCTCGGGGGAACTTGGGGACAAAGCAACAGCAGGAGCGGCATGACATCCGGAAACTGGAGCAAACACGGCAAAAACAGAAGCGTTTTGTTGCCCCTCATCCAGTCGCCTTTCACTTTGACTTCAGTCACTCACTCCACCAGGCCGAGTTCAGGACTCCAGAGTGATGTCTTCCTGTGGGGCGAAGTGGGCGTGGTCTGTCCGCTCGCACATGCCTGGGAGGTACCCCTGTCAGCAGATCGTCCCCCGTCCTTGATTGCTTGCTGGCCCTGTGGCCCTGAGCCAGCCCGCCAGACTGCATTCGAAAGAGAGAGAGACGAGGGGCACAAGGGTACCGAGGTACATGATGACGCTCTGAGAGTTCCGCGATGGTGGACGGGAAACAGGTCGTACAGAGGTGAATCCAACATGTATCATCTGACCGTGGCGCTCTCTCGGCCTAGACTCATTTTGTCAGCACCAAGGAAATAGTCAAACCTTTGTACCGAATTAGACATTGGTCACCCAAGATTCGCCCGCTTCTCATCTCATCTCTTGACTTTTCATTAGCCATGAGCATAACCAGCACCGACGACAGCTGCGGATACACCAGGTACCGTAAATGCAGCCCAACTTGGCCCCGAGGTCAGATTTGATGAGGGTGCCAGGGCAGGACAAACATCATGCAGTCCTAACAGCTCGCCGCCTTGACCAACAGAAATAGACCTGAGGCAGGAACCGACAGCGTGTCCGCCTGAGGCCAGCGAGCCAGTGAGACCTTTTGTACCTGTGTGATGGAGAAGGCTCCTTCCAGCCTGTCAATTCGAGGCCAAAGGGTATGTCTTGACCGAAGCAAGACGGGGGGAACCCCCAAAAAGCACATGTGCGCGCACTTGCGCAAATCACGCATAGCGACGTGGACGGTGGCAGCTGGTCCGCCAAACTATGAGGTACCAACGTCTTACCGTGTCTTGCGTACCCTGGCGACTTGGCCTCTGTTGGCCGGTGTTGGGGTCGGCAAGGATGGACCGGATGCCTCGCTTCACATTGTCGCTGTCAGAATTGTGAAGTGAATAGACGCCGGGCGTGGAGCTCCTAGACTCACGTTTGCGCGGCCTCGAGGAACTTTCGAGCCACCATCCTTGGGACTACTTCAAGGTGGTGATGGGCGTGGCCTCAGTTAGCCAGTGCCGTGATAATGTATTGCCTGCCTGTAAGGCAAGGCCGGCAGGTATCTAGGCTTGATTAAAACCCGTCCAATATTTCGACTCAACTTCGCAGTGTTCCCTCAAATGACTGAACGAACATCTTCGGGGACATTCTGCACTCGACCCCGCTGGCCTTCGCTTCCATCGGTCAGGTGCCATGTGGTGAGGGTGGTCTAAGGTGTGCCCCTCTTTCCAAATCCCGTCATCACCAACAACGCCCCGATTGCGCCTGCCACCTCAGACACACACTGTGCAACTGGCGGACCACTTCCTCAAGGCATCCTCAGCCATCACTGTGCACTTTCCCGCCTACCTCGCTCTACTCAATGTCTTCGCCCTCTTTTATCTTCAAGGACAAAACAAACCGCTGCTTCACCTCGGCGACTCGCCGTGATTTTACTTGCGAAACATTGTCTTCGATTCAGTATATTCTCGTCAACTTCTCCCCAACTTCCTTATCAGCGCCAACGACCCTTTAAGTCGACTTATCTAAGGTGTCTGGACGTCGCGGTAGGTCACTACTGATAACCCCACCAACCCACTGTCCCCACCTGCACCTGCCCAAGAACCCGATAGGTAGTCCCTTGCAAGCTCCCCCCTTCCGCGCACCCAGCTAATCTGCGATAAGGCGTTATCGCTGCCTGCGCTACTGCCGCGACTGCCTGAGACAGTACCGACACGGTGCCACCTCCGGATTCCTGCCCCACTTCACCTCCCTTCAGCGACCTCGACGGTCCAACTTACACTGTATCGCACCTACCTACCTCTCTGCCTTCCTTCTGCCTCCTGGCTCTTAACCTTCAGCCCGCCCGTGGTGCAAGGAGGGAACGTTTTACCATACCTACCTCTTCTACCTCGCCATCTTGACTTCCCTTTCCTCTCATTTCCGAGGCGTCCTTGTCTCTAAACGACAACTCTCCATCCTCACCCTTCGAGACCCCTCGTCCCAACGTCAACCGCTTCCCGCGAGCTCGGTCTTATTCGGACGGAGGTAGATGATTCCGAGACGAAACTCCCACTGTATGCTGACCTCCCTTTGCAGCAAGCCCGAGAGCCTCGTCGATTTCGTCTTCTCATCATCGTCAGCTGGCAGTGATACGCTCGAGAAGCCAGCATCAAGATGTCGTCGTCGGCTCCGACGGGTCCAAGACCTCAGGCACATGACGGTGCGTCCCCCACTTCTCCATCTTTATGCTGGGCTTGTGACTAACCTGTTGGCAGTGCTTGTTAAGCTCACTGTGAAGCACCCCCGCCCCGAACTACACTACCCAGAGCGAAGAGTTATCCTTGAGCAAAGCAACACCAGTGTCCTGGTTATCGGTCGATCCAGCAAGCGGTTCGATCACCTGGAGGCAAAGGGCGATAACTGCTATTTCGACAGCCCGGTGATGAGCCGTGAGCACGCCAAGATCACGGTTGACTGGTATCACAAGGTTAGTGATCTCCTATGGCAGCAAGCAAATAGTGGGTTGCTGACTACATTCTAGAAACTCAACATCAAAGACATCGGTTCTCTTCATGGCACCTACCACAACTCCCAGAGGCTGCATCCGCGAACGCTCCGCGAATTGCAGCCACATGACACTCTCAAGTTTGGCATCGACATCCAGCGATCCAACGAACTCTTTCCCCCTTGCACCGTCGAGATAGAGTGGGAGTGGGATCATTTGGTGAAGACGGCCCAAGCCACAAACCAGATCAAATCACGGCCATCATTCGCAGTCCCTGACGACTCGGACAGTAGCGATGATGATTGCATTACCGAGAGCGACATCCGCACCACCGTCGAGAAGCTCCGTAAGGTCGACATGCAAAAACCAGCCGCAAACACTGCCAGGCTTTTTGCCAGCTCCATCGACCTTACCATGGACTCTCCTATGAACGGGCCAGAGACGAATGGGCAGGCTGGCGCTCCAATCGTTATTGACGAGGACATCCAGAAGTGTCCACGGGAGCTTGTCGGTCCCTCTCTGATCACTACGCAAAGCGACGAGGCTCCAGCCGAGATGGACGCCCCTCACGACGAGGAGGAGATTCTGCCACCCAGTTCCAACAGCCACCGCCAACTCCCTCCGATCTCCGTTTCCGACTCAGAGTCGGATGAGTCCAACGATGAGTCTTACGACGATGAGTCGTCCAGCTATCCCGATGAACTTCCCTCAAGCCAGGACGAAATGGCCGACTCCTGCGACGAAGACATCAATCTTAGTGATTCCGACAGCGAGGGCAACAGTGAAGGCGATGACGATGAAGAAGAGGAAGATATGGAAGCCGAGGACGAGAGCGGCTCAGACGTGGAAAGCGAGAGCGAGCGTCTCGGACTCCCGAGCTATGAGCGTGACCTTCTCATGACCGACGACTACAACTACGAGACTGATGCCGATCAGCCCGACCAGCCCGATTCGACCCTCTGGGCAGACGAGGGTGCATCCTTCATGTGCTCACAGCCCCTGCCTGAGGTCAACTCATCCCATCAACCCTGCTACATCCCAGCCAATTGGCAGACGGAGCAACCCGGTGTTCAGGGTATCCTGCCTCGTCCATTCAGGTCAATGCCGATGCCATCGCTCCCTTCCATTGTATGGCCGGCACTGCCTGTTGTAGACCAGGGCGAGCAAGGACGTCCGAATGACTTCCGGCTGCCCTCGATCTTGAACCCTCCCAACTCACAAATCGATGCCCTTCCCGAAGTCAGCAATGGCGCACAGCCGTTGCATGCGGTTCCATCAACGGAGTACTCAGCACAGAAGGAGGCAGCAGCACCGAGTTACACCCACTGGCAAAAGGCCTATGAGGCTCCCAAGCCTGTGGCTGCTGCTGTTGACAAGGACTCCTGGGCGCTGCCCCAGCATGATGAATCATCGGCCGAAACACTGGGTCAACTTACTGGCAAGACCGAGTTCTTTGCAGCAAGGGAGCACAACAAGGCAATCATGCGTCGTCAGGAGCAGCCTCAAGATTTCTCTCAGCCCAAGAACCAGGTACCGAAGACAACCGAAGCGCCCGCCGAAGTCTCGACGTCTGAACCTCAGCCCGTAAGTGCTCTCAGCGGAGCCGCCGTTCCGGAGCCGGTAGCGGAGACTCCCAAGTCCGCCAACGTCGCCGAATCGGTGTGGTCGGCCTCCGGAGACAAGTTCCTCAACACCCCCCAAGATTTTTCCATGTCCGACGTGAGAAACACCAGTCCTGAGTTCGACATGACGAGCGCCTACCAATTCCACCAGAGCAAGATTGCATCCAGTCAGCCCAGTTCTACGGATGCGGCTCAGCCTGTTAATAGCCAGTCCAATTATACCCAGCAGACAGCAACCTCAAGGTCTCCCAAGCGCAAGGCTGAGGAGATCTCTACGCTTGTCCCAGAGGAGGAGGCTGCCGAGGCCTCCGCGACAAAAGTGCAACAACGGGAAGAGACTTTCTCTAAAGATGTCAATGAGATGCAGGTGACTTCCGAACAGGCCCTTCCAAATGTCCCAGCCGCCGCGAAGCTCGTTGACGAATCCGCGCCCCCACCTTCCAAACGTCTGCGAAGTTTCTTGACAAAGGCTGGATATTTCCTTGGTGGAGGTGTCGTCACTGCGGCAGGTCTCGTGACAGCGCTCTCCGCTGCTGCTCCTGCTCTCTAGTTATGGGGTTTTTATCACTTTTCGCTCATACTTTGTGTTTAGTTTCTTTAGGTACTGGTACTGGGTCAGAGGTCTGAGTCCATTTCTTAACTAACCCAACACTGGGGGTATGATACGGCGTCACGGGCTTCCGAGGGTTGGTATCTGGGCTTGATTCACCAGGATGGGAGAATGGAATTCTGGGTTTACGACTTTGCAAACTGGTTCATTTGGTGGACCGGTACAAGACACGAGGACAAGGCTTGTCCTTTAAGGTATCACGATATACCTGGGCCTCGAGGTATCTTACTTTCTATCTTTAGCATGGCTCTTTTCCTTCCACAGTTATCGCTTTAGTCATTCGTAGGCTTAGCTCAGGTAATGAACGTCTTCTCAGTTACCTGTGGCCCCTTTTCTTCCAGAATGTGATGTTGTGATGTAGTCAACTTTGGAAACATTCTTGCTGAAAAGATCAACTGTACTTTCTCGAGTCTTGCGGGCGCTACTCGCAAAGTGTTCCCCTTTAAGCCGGTTGCAGCTCTCGTCGTTCCACCTGCAGACTCAGTCTGCCGGCCCTCGCAGTAAGTCCCACACAATACCAGAGACGCCCTGTCCGCTAATGCCGGGGTATAAGAGAAGGCCTCCAAGTGTACGGAAAGCCCATGGCTTCGAAGGCGGCAACCCGCATAGCTGCCACTTACAGACGCGCCGTGAGTCTCTTCTCCCCTTTATGATCTACCACAGGGACTCAGATCGCGCAAGGGAGAAGCGTATGCAACCACATTCTTCTTGACAAACGGTGCTGCTCTTCGACATGGACTAGATGGGGATTCTTCCTTCACCGGACTCCCTACCTCTGTCTTTGTTTGCCTTCCTTGATCGTTTTCCACGTTTCTTTTTGCGTTTTGACTCCCTGATTTGGCAATATGCTTTTATGGGATTAGGTAAAGGCTTCGGAGGGCTGTTACATGGCACAGGAACATGGTATGAGACAGGGGAGTAAACCGTGCAAAGAGGGGGAAGAAGGGGGAAAACACGAGGCAGTAGCTCAACAGGGGAAACGTTCTCTCGCGGAGCACGACAGTAAGTAGGGAGTGATAATCAGTGGGGAGCTGACAATGCGATGCCGGCCATTCTCTGTGCGTTTGACAGCCGGAGAAGAGAATGGAAGGTAACAATTTGCTTCAGCTGGGGAGAATGTGAGCCCGCATCATGCAAGTCCCTTGCCTTGTCGCTCGGGTGTCCTCGGCCTTATCGCAAACCATGCAGGAAAGGAGATGGGCTGATGGGCTTGGGGATGAACAATGCCGTGCTATATTGGCAGGCCGTTTGTGTCTAGCGAGGGACGTTATCTATTGTCGCATTCGCAATGAGACATTTCTCGGATTCGGGGGAAAGGGCCGCTCCTGTCTCTTCCTCCCGCCTCCCGCTTCCAAGACCTGCAGGCGGGTTCATTGTTCGAGTTCTTTGGGTTGAATTTGCACTGTTTCCCTTCTCCAGGCTCGATCCAACATACAACCAATCCCGGTGACTGGGGTCTGCTGGCCTAAGACTCACCGATGTCGCATGTTTGTCTGTTGTGGGCGACGCCACGCGGGTAAGGACCGGAGTGAGCGAGGAGATGGGCGGCAGGGAGGCCTGCGCGAGGACGATCGTGAGCGTCACGTTTGTAGCAGTAGTACGCCCCGGGAAGGAGAAGAAGCGGAAAACAAAGGAAGCAGATATCACGGGGCGTGGGTGATATGTGCGTGTCATGCCTGCCTGTCATCGCCATATCTGTGAGACGGCCATTTAGAAGGGGCGGCAAAGACTTGCATGGTGATCATGCCGGGAAGATGCTGCCCTGCGATGTAACGGGGAGAGAAGAGAAAACAAAGGAGGAAACTAGTTGTCTCCCCACCCCTCCACCTACGAAATGACTTGGGCTTGGGCATCGGACCGTCTGACTGGCGTGCGATCACTATTGTCGTCGATGATGGAAAAAGTCGTCAAAGAGCCGTCGAGCCGATATCCCGCGCCTGACTTATTGCGTCGGTTGGGCCTTGGAGAAACGCCAAAGAGAGCACAAGCATATCAGATGACCCCTTACGGCCGCGTCGATTAGTGTCGGTTGATGAAAAGGATGGGTGGCACAACGGGGAAACCGAGCGAGGAAAAGGACGGGTGGTATAGGCTCAGCATGGTTGTGGGATCGAAGCCGTGGTTTCCCTGCGGTTCCTCAATGCTCGTCGGTTGCTTGTACAGACACGCTTCGCCAGAGGATGTAGGCGCTCCTTTTGAGATGTCAAAGGTTCTGGCTAACCTCGGCTTGTCGGAGTTCTCTTGGTAGTCTTCGCAGACACACAAAAGCAGTACTGTGTAAGGAAGACAGGAGGCCGTACCGTGTCAAGCTGACGGTTTGCTTGCCAACACTCATTATCGTCAGCATGGGCCAGCATGGTGTATCTTAACTGATCCACGGATTCAGCCTCTGCTGAAGAACTCACGTTACTCAAAGTCAAGCACGGATAGGTATGGGAGCAAGCGAGAGCGGGATGCCGCGTGCTGCGTGCCCGACAGCTGGTGCTGTTGACTGTGCCTTGCTAGGCACGAACCGTGCGGGAGAAGTCGCTTGATGAGACAGCGAGACAATGGTGGAAGAGTTGAAGAGACTGTTGTGCTCTGATTCTCACGAGAGCGGGGTATACTTGGTCTCAGTAGGGAGTAATTGTTGGTCCCGGCTGGTTTTGCAAAGAGTCGCACCGTCAGGGGTGGATGACGATTTGAGCGATAAACAGAACAGGACGGCATTCCTCCAACGCGTAATGGCTGCGGCTTAGACGGCTGCAGCCAACAACACCGCCTTTTTCCCTTTCGACATCCTGATGGACCCTTCGCATGGCCTTGCTGCTTCTGTTGCAGTTTTCCAAGGCTTTAAGGCGTCGGTGTAAGTCCATGTGGGAGGATCGACATGGGCATGCTGCAGGCAGCCGTACGTCGGTCGAGGTCGAAGGCTGATTGACGGGACCGCTGGCAAACAAGATATCGGGTCAGAGTTCGAGGGAGGCAAAGCCAAACCAAGAGACATTTGCATCTATTGTTCCCCAAAACAATGGAGTTGGCTGAAAGCAGCTGAAAATAGTTTGAAATGTGGGGATCTTGTTACCAACTCGACATAAATGAGGACGAGTGAGGATTGAGCTACCGAGGGGAGGTCAGCGTAAAGCACAAGACAGTAGCAACATAGAGCTGCTTCCTTTTACGGCATCGACGAGATGACATGTGCGGGATCAATCCAGTTTCCAGTGCAGCTGACGTCAATATCAGCACTACCTGACTGAGAAATCGCCTCCAAGATGTCCAGAGAAAGGCCGGCCAAATTGCCCAAACGGGACAAGCAGATCAAGGCGACATATGAAGTATCACCCACCTCTTCTCCCTTATTCGCTGGTCCATGGGATGAAACGAGGCAGACTTAACGGCGGCAACCAGGATAGTCACAAGACCTAGTCAATAGGATTTTCTTGCAATGCCCTAAGCGTACTGAAAGCTCGGGATGAGAACGCCTAGACCGAATACCGATGAGAGCGGTGAGGAAGCGTGAACTCGACATCCAACTTTGAAATCCGTGGCCCTACCGCGCGTGGTGATTATCGGTTCCAAGCAACTACTCCTAGGTAGTGTTGGTGTTGGAAACTACAAAAGGCAAAGACATCCCCTATTTGATGAACGCTCCCGGAAGACAAGAAAGCCAGCCTCTTACTTTGATAACCAGTTACTGGGCAAGAAGGAAGAAAGTCGAGAACTTACCTCATCCACGATTTTCTTCCATCTTACAAGCCATCAGAAGCTCGTCGCCACTATGGCTGCTGAAGACATCTGCGGTTGCATCGAAGACATATACTCTGGCAGGTGGGACTTCAGAACATGTAGCCATTGTCTAGGACATGAACGGTAGGGCCCCTCGACCGAGATGGAGTGTAATATATTGACGAACATTGCGAAGAAACGCTTGTGACTTTTGTGGCTCCCAGGGAGTGGTCAGGGTTCCTTGTCCCCATGGAACTGCTGGCGAAAACCGTTCGCTAGGCTCCAAGCCACGAGCCGGAGGCACCCGAAGAGACAGACGGGGACCCAGAGACTCGACAGGACCAACAAATGGGGGGCCAAACCGAGGCGTTGCCACTGGTTAGTCTGGCTACCGCCAGCATGGTATTTGGCTCTGGAACCCATGTAGACGGTTACACCTGAGAGTCATGTGGTGCTGGAAGAGGGTAGAGTAGTCCTAATGACCACGCTTGTGTGTTTCAGTAGACAATTATTGTCAGGGTTTCGCGGGTTGAGTCTTATCTGGCTGAGTATTGGTATTGGGGGTGGACGGCGTTTTATCTAGTTCCGTGATGAAAAACATGGGTTCTGCTGGAAAATGTATCTGAGAAGTTTTGGAAGGGCAAACTACACGAGAAACGGTTGAGGAGATAGATAGAGGGGTCTTTGAACGGATGACAGTCGTTCTTTTGCTGCTTCCTTGGCTGGATCAAGAGGTATCTTAAAATGCAAATACACTCGGCCAGTTCGAAGCCGAACTTTCATGAGCTGCTTAAAAAGAAATTTGGACGCATGTTCTTAGTCCAATTCGTATAAGAGGGATCCAAGGAGGGATCTAGAGTGCCGTTGTAGTAGCATCTCTTCAGTTAACCAAAATAGCAGAATCACTCAGTATACGTGTCGCGTGTGACGGGTTGAGAAAACGGTAGGCATCCTTTCCCCTCAAACACTACCAGTAAATAAAGTATAAGCTAGCCGTGAACCGCCGGGTCCTATTAAAACAACGTCACTGTGCCAACACCGAAAGCTAGCTTGGAAACAAGCGAGGCAGTGTCCGGATCAAGTCCAATTCTGTCCGAGCTGCAAAGAGTCAATCGTCTCGGTGGTGATCGCATCCGGGGCACACTAGGATCACCCCCGATGTCGGAAAAGCCCCTTGCAGAATTTGAAGCGCTGTTTTGCCGCTTTTCAAAAGAAAGTGTGTACTTGGGTACCAATGCCTAGTTGCACAACAGCAAATATTTTGGCCTGATCCACACCGCATAGCTCCAGACAGAACAGAAACACCTGCCCTATCGGGTCAATGGGCAACGTTGTCGGATATACTCGGCCGGAAGTACTTCACGGTTGGTTGTTTGGTTGAGATTGAGTAGTCTAAATGACTATCATGAACTCCAAAACCGCATGCCTTGAACTCGGTCGGTATTCTACTAGACCTGCTTACGGTCTTTGTCTCCCGCATGGAGCTCATGGTCAAAACGTCGCCTATTGGGTGTACGGCTGATGATCAAAACATCAGATACAGGAATGGTCGGAAGGTGGTAAATTACATGTTGAAACGGCCCTATGAAGACGCACTTATATCTGGAGAGGCGGACACTCGACTTGCAGTCCTGATGTTACAAATGGAAGAAAAGCCAGCGGGTTAGGCTGGCACAGCGGCGAAAAACCGAATTAGTTTGGTATACCACAAATAGTTCCAAAGAAGTCGATATAGGACAGGAATAGAGAGGCTCCTAGGGAAGAGACGGCATCGGTCAAGCTAATCTCCGATGGGATATTCATCGCAATCCAGAGTCAACTAAGAGTTGCACAGTCGGCTCTTTCTCAGGTGGTCAGCAGTGGTGTTTATTGTACCGGCCCTTTGGCTTTCGTCTGATGTGCCAGCGGGATCTCTAAAGGTTGGCGCAATGGGGCCACCATTCCACTGGTCAGGTCCCGGATTTAGGTCCTCCAGTCGGGATCCTGCGAAATCAAGATTCGATATCACTGGCTATAGGTACGATCAATCGAATGACAGGTCGACACGTGCTTTACCTACTAGTCGAAGAAGTCACAAAGTCCGAAGCCAATAGTTGTAACACCGTTGCATTAGCACAGTCAGGACCGCGAGCAGCTTTTGATTGGGACTGAGTCAAAGAACCCACGGCTTCCAGTTACACTACTTTGGTGCGATTGGGAGGTTCTTATTTGACCACCGCTTTTTAGAACCATACTTCGGCTGCGGGCCGAAGCGAATCAAACGTCAGTTCGAAAAGGAGAGAGAAGTTTGATATCGTTGTGCTTAAAGGGACTCGGGGGGACTAGTTGGTCATAGTCTGTGGCGGGCAGGTTGCTCCATGGATGTTAGTGGTACGTACCTAACCTGCAAATATATCTTGGGACGGTAGGCAAAGAAAGTGCCGAAGTTGTTCCGGATCAGCCACGCCTCGGTGAGACCCCAGGTACCCCCGGACCTCTAGTGGGGCCGTTTGTTAGGAACCGAAGCTCCAGTCAAGAATCCAGCCGACTACATCGTGGAGGGGCTGCATCTTTGTGGTGATCACTCGCGCGCAACATACCTACATACACTTTTGGGCGCATATTCCCCAAAGCCACAATTCACACACAATTGCTCACCATATCATGCGATAACCGAAGCAAAAGGCTTCAGCACAGTAACCATGTCTGTGATTCTTTGCACAGGTAGGTGTTCTCCTGACATTCACGTCCTTCTTTGGCTAGAAGGCATTGAGACCGATCGCTGATATTTTCGCAGCGGGCTACGACCACACTATTAGGTAGAGAAAGATCGCGAACACCGTCGATTATTATACAGCCTTGACTAACGCTCCTTCCACCCCAGATTCTGGGAGGCCCTCTCCGGCATCTGCTCCCGCACGATCCAACACCCCGACTCCCAGGTCAACCGCCTCTGTATCTCCCCCGACAAGCGCTTCCTTGCCGCCGCAGGCCACCACACGGTCAAGCTCTACGACATCAAGTCGACGAATCCGAACCCGCTGCTGACCTTCGAGGGCCACACGGGAAATATCACCGGCGTTGCCTTCCACTGTGAGGGCAAGTGGATGGTTACCAGTTCCGAAGATGGCACAGTCAAGATCTGGGAGACGCGCAGCGGCCAGGTCCAGCGCAGCTACAACCACGGCTGTCCTGCCAATGATGTCGTGATCCACCCAAACCAGGGTGAGATCATCAGCTGCGACCGCCAGGGTAGCGTTCGTGTCTGGGACCTGGCCGAGAACAATTGCTCCCACCAGTTGATCCCCGAAGAGGACGTCTCCGTCTCGAGCGTCACCGTCGCCAGCGATGGTTCTCTGCTGTGTGCTGCGAACAATGGTGTAAGCACGCCCTCAGCGTTAGAAACACGACCCACACGGCATCCAAACTGACAGAAAACCAGGGAAATGTTTTCGTATGGCAGCTACTGCAAGCCTACGATCGCACACAGCTTCTACCGGTTACTCACTTCAACGCGCACAAGGAGTACATCACGCGGATCCTTCTCTCGCCCGACGTCAAGAAGCTCGCGACCTGCAGCGCCGACCACACCGCCCGCATCTGGGAGGTGAAGGACCTCGAGCCTGCCGCCGACCAGGAGCCGAAGCCTTTTCCGCTCGAGGCGACCCTTACAGGCCACCAGCGCTGGGTATGGGACTGCGCGTTTAGCGCCGATTCGGCTTACCTGGTGACGGCCTGCTCCGACCACTACGCCCGGCTGTGGGAACTCCACAGCCAGCAGATCATCCGCCAGTACAACGGCCATCACAGAGGCGCGGTGTGCGTCGCCCTCAACGACTACTCAGAGTCCGCTAGATGACGATTTTGGGCGATCTGTGGGGTGGGATTCGTCTTGGGCGGGTTTCTTGGTCCACAAAAGGGCCTCATTGTGTGTGTAACATTTTCTCAACTTTGGGCTTGGGGGACATGGTTTGGCGGGGCGTCTGGGACAGCAGTCGTTTGTTTGTATCGCATTCACAGATGGGCTGCGGCCATCTGCATTGCATTCTTCTCAATTGGCAGGCGTACTGCTAGTATATGGACATTACGTGCAAAAGTGTGGTATCCCGCTGTGGGTATGGTGACCCCGCGCCCAACGCCGTAAATGCTGCAAACTCGCCCGTCCCGCACCGTCTTTACCACCCATCTCCCCAACCATCGTCATCATCTTCAGTCTGCTTGGGCTTCATGTCTATCTTCTTTGCTACTGCGGGCTTGGCTGCTGGCTTGGTCGCTAGGGGCTTCTTGGCCGCTGCTGTCGAGGACTTGGACAGTCCCTTGGGTAGAGGCTTGCTTGAGCCGCCTTTCTTCTGGGACTGCGCGGCTAGCCAGCCAGCAAAATCAGGCTCAGCGCCATCATCGAATGGCGTCGCGCTGGCGGTTGTTTCCTTCTTCGCCGCGGAGGACTTGGTGCTGTCGATCGGTTCTCCCCAGGCATCGTCGTCTGCCAAGTCTCCCCAAGCATCGCCCCCATCGTCGGCGGGTTCTGGATTGAATGCATCCGCCACGACCGACGAAGGTGTCCGTGACATCGGCGGCGGGGATGTGAGGGCCTGCCGATGTAAAGTAGACGCTGAGGATGTAGTTGGTCTTTTCATATCTGGGCCTGGCGACGGAGTTGGCCTGGGTGAAGCAGCGCCTGAGCCGTTGGAAGTCTGCATCTCCCCAGCCGCTGTCGAGAGCTTGTTCGTGAAGGAGGAGATGGCCCAGCCGGCCCAAGACGGCGTCGAAGCCTCGTTGGGCTGCGGCGTGCTCATACGAGGTCCGCCAGGGCCTTCTGCGCCCTGAGGAGGTAGAGCCGAGTCTGGCATATTGGCGGCTGCCTTTCTGACTTTCTGCAAATATACATCCATCGTCTTGCTAGCCTGGTCGCGGATCACCTTCTCCTTGTCTATCAGCAATGGGCACACTGCCGGCATTATCCTGAGAGCGACGTCTTCGTCAGAGAAACAATCTCCGGTAACGCCGAGGGCCATAAGTGATGCATTACGGGCATGCACAAAGGGATCTCGGAGAGATCTGGTAAAGGCAGCGATGAGAACTTTGCTCCTCGAGGAAGTGCCGAGATTCTTGGCGATCTTTCCGAGACAGATGGTTGTGTTTGTTCGGATACCGGGCTGCTCGTCGTTCGCCGTCTTGGCCAGGTACTTGAGCAAATCTCCGTTGATTGTCCGATCGGAAAGTTTCGAGATAATGACAAGCACCGACTTGAGAGTCTGTTCTCGAACAACCGGGGCGACGTCTGTGAAACCGGTTACTAGTTGCGGGAAGATCTTGTCGTTGACAACCTTCTGCGTAAGCCTGTCTATCATTAGAGGCAGACTGTCCAGAAGGCAGACGCGGATGGCTCGATCGGGGTTGGAGAAGAGCCGGATGACCACGGGTGTGATCTTCGAATCGAAATCGTCGTTGGATAACTTGGCTGCAATCTTCATGACAACGCTAAACGCCTTTGGTCCACCGCCCCCAAACTCGACTGACTTGATTAGTTCCGGGAGAACCTTCATCTTGAAGAAGTCCTCGGGGAAATCGTCAGTTAGTTGGTCAAGATCACTGCCTCAGTCAGATTGTGTTGTTGTGCATAGCTTTTCCAAGACCAAGAAACTTACTCAAGGAACTGCTCCCTCTCCGGTTCGGTCTTGACGCCCAAGTTCTCGATTCCCTCAGTCAATTTGATGAGCGGGCTATCGAAAAATGATCCGCTGCGCTGGCCCTGTTCCAGGAAATGACCAACGCTGACACGTGCTTTCGGATTAGGATTGACCAGACGCTTGTAACTCTGCTGCATTGTCGGAGGGATGTTCTTGGTCTGACCTGCCTGGTCGGAGCCCATGAACTCGCCATTGAACACCTCGAATATCAAGCAACCGAAGCCGAATGAGTCCACTGCGGAATGCGGGCTCTTCTTGATAGCATCCCAGCCACCACGCGCAAGCTCTGGCGGCGCATATCGCCCCGAATCTGGGACCAAACTGCCGTATGTCTGCAGTTCGATATTAGCAAAAGTTGCGTGTAGAACACGAAATGTCGACGCACGTAAATTACTGCCTCGTCATCCTTGACGTTACTCAGCACCTCAAAGCCACTCATTTTCCACTCTCCACTCTCGGACGTATATACAGAGCCAACTCTAAGGTTGCCGTGTATTGATGACGCTTCATCGTTGATGAATTTGATTGTCCGCTGAACAACCGTTAGTGCCTACGTCGACCACGTGTTCGTTTCGACATACCGCAACACTACTCAATCCCCATTTGATTGTCTCCGGTGTAAGGCTCTTTCTCTTCACGTGCCATCGTAGCGGCACAACTCGTTCGGTCGCAACGTAAATATACGTATCGGTCTGTATAGCAATGTGAGAAGATGTCTTGCATGATTATGCCTCGGACATACCTCCACCGTATCCAACACCTTGATAACGCCTGGGTGGCGTAGCGTCCTTAGCTTGCGCAGAGCGTTCTTGGCCAGGGGTAGTCGAGACTTGTTGGCAATAACGTCGAAGGAAAATATGCTACAGTTGGATCCATCTTCCTATTTGAGTTGTCAGACGTCGGGAGTTTTGTCGCTTCGTGAAGTGGCTAAACGTACTCGCTTGGTGCCGTTGTTCAGCGTCCAGATGGACTCGTCGATGTCCACCTTGTCACCAAAACTGTAAGGGAATGGTGGGCCTTGGGCAATGGCAGAGGCAACTGCCGACTTGAGGAAGTTCATATCGATTGTCCAGATCCAGAAAAGCTTGAACAGCCAAAGTTCAATCGATCAAGAAGGCAAGTCAAGCAGTCGGGAGATCGTGGAGAGACTGCGACGTTGCAACGCGCGCTGCTGGAGCTGGGCAGGGAGCTTCGGGCAATTTGGCGACAAGATAGTGGACCGTCGCCGTTAGACAGGGGCACTGGGCAGCAGCAGCTTCCCTCCAGCCTGAAAGATCCCCGCGCTAGGCTTGTTTGGATGGAGGGGTGATACGGGTAGCAGATGATCCGTGGCCGACACCAAATATGGGTCCGGGTGCCGAATGAAGGTCCCCCGGCCAGGTCGTTCCATCATTACTGAAGCTAGGCAAGGATTACCCCGAGGCCCTTCCAGTGGGCTCAAGCGACCGACTTTCGTCAACCTCCACTGAACGTAACGCGAGGCGAGAGCCTCAGCAACCCGCTTCGCGTCTCGTTCGAATATTCAAGTCGCGTATTGCGCATGCGCCGCCGCGACGGGAAATACCTTCTGGTTCCTTGCGCCAGTACGATATTGGATTGCACCGAATCGCCATTAGAAACCCAAGGGCATCTCTCCTCGGATCCATGCGAAAGTGTCGTCCGTCGGCAGCTGCGAAGCGGAGGGCGCGAAGGCGCGAAATAGAGCGTGGAGGGAGGGCAGCTTCCAACAGGCAAGTCAGAACATACCCCCATTTCCTCTTATCATACCCAGGGAATATTCATTCCCAACGCGCGGTGATGACTATTGGTAAAAGGTCCGATCGAAAAGGATTCTTCTGGGGTTGTTGCCTGTCCTGTTCCTCACGCATGGCTTTGTTCTTCATGAACAAGCCACGTTCTCGTCCCTGCGAAGCCTTCGCCAAGCGAGGAGCCGCGCGCTTAGTGAAGCTGCCTAGGTCTGCAACTTCACATACGTGACTGAGAAACGACATAAACAGGGCCTAAATTTGGAGTCCTGCTTCTAGTTGCCCCAACGAGGTGGGACCAAAGGCTATGGCAGACATGACGCAAGAGGTCGCGACAAGGCAACAAAACCGCCGTAATCCCCAATATGAAGACTACAAAAAGACTGAAAAGACCTGAGCGCGTACTGAATTTTCAAAGCTTGATTCATGTGGACCATTGGGGCTTTGTTCAATATTTTGCTAACTGCCTCCCATCAGGCATCTTATCTCGCGCATCTGGTCACCTCACTTTCAACTCTCAGACCATGAGGTTGTACACATTCAGCACCCTTTGTACTCCATTTACCGACGGCAAAGCAACATATTCACTTGAACGAGGTGCTTTGAAAGCAGCATAGCTTGCAGCTTTTCGGCGGTGCTTTCAACTTCCGGCATCTGGACGGGACTATCACAAGCCTAAGTTAATTCGAATGAGCTCTTGTTTCCAAGCTGTTTGCACAACGCAGTTCACCCTTCAACGCTGGGACATTCTCCCTCGTTGCACGACGTCCGCAGTCCTAGGAGGGCAAAATCAGTCTTGATCCCTTCCAAGGCCTGACGGTCCATGGTCCATCTGAGGCTAAGACTTGGTAAGTTGAGGAAGACTACGGGTTCTCCTATGAGGCGTTTGTTGGTGGGGAAATGGAGTCATTCCGTCGATTTTCGGACGACTGCATTGAGGAGGGGTGCACATCCGTTGCACTGAATTCGAAATATTGTCTTTTTCACGGGAAGAAACGGCGTCAAGAAAATGGAGAGAACCAGCCCAACGTTTTCAACGCTGCAGGCGGCTCATCTAGGTCTCGATCTGGATCTGGATCCAGCAAGCCCACCGTTAGACAAGACTCACCGCAACACTTGAGTCGGACGCGAGCAGAAGAACAATCGAAAGGCGGCCAGTCTAGTCAATGGCGTAGGAATTCTCGAGACGGATCCAATTTCGTCTCTTCTACAAGCTCCCAGGCAACAGTCAGGAAGTCTAATCTTCCGCCAGAATTTGTCGGCAGAATTGCCATGACAGCTAGAAAATCGACTAGTTCGCCAGTTTCGTCTAAGAGGCGGACAGAAATGATGAGTTCGAGCCTTCATAACAACCCTGCGAGTACACACAACAGAGGACCTGGCTCACCAACTACCCATCAACGTCCTGTCTCGGGGGCTTTCAACCCCTTCCAGTCCTTTGTCAACACAACCCACACACCGTCCCCCAGCAGCGCCACAAACCGATTCTTTAACAACAACCCAGCCGACGATATGTCTGCCAGTTTCGGGGCTGTCGCCGAAGAGCAAAGCCAAGGACGGGCCACGCAGGGTCGTACCGGCTCGGAGATCATTTCGTTGAACACCAGTCCAGCCATCCAACCTCCTCAAGCATCCCAATCCCCCATAGCAAGATCTGGTCCCGATAATGGTATGCCTTTCGTCGGCAGCCTCAAAGGTCATCGAGTTTCTGGGGGTCACAGAAGCGAATCCGTCTCAGAGTCCACACCAGCCGGCGGCAACAGAAGCTTTGATTCATTGCCCTATGTCAGGACCAACCGCTTGCCACCGATGCAATTGAAGTCTGCCCCATCAGCTTTACGCTCAGCTTCGTCCAAGGCAACGATAGCTTCGGCTAGCAAGCGGAAGAGGGACAGTAGTTTCGAGTCAATGTCGCAGTCAAGTTCGTCGGATGACATTGATGAGGATGAAATAGAGGCTTCACGCATGTCTGAGAACAGTGCCGTCTACAGCGGGGTCCAGACAACTGCAACAGCTTCTGCAATTTCTCAAAGATCCAATGAGGGTTTCGATATCCACTCCGATGTATCACAAACCCAACGCCAGTGGAACGGGCCAAACATGTTTCGCACACGAACAGCGCTTAGTCCTATCGTTTTGAGCTCTTCCGACGACGAGGATGAGGAGAATGGCACGACCAGCAACAGAAACATGTGGCAGATGAACCTTTTCAATGGACAGAGTCACCACTCTATCCTTTCTGCAGACGGCCAATACCTCAGGGATGCAAACCGACCATCGATCACTGGCGGAGTTGATCAGCCACCAAAAAAGCTGACTTGCGAAGAGCGTCGACTCCAGTTGTGCGCAGCCTTCGACTCCGCTAAGTTCGACGCAATGATATACGGACAGGCCGAAGCTACAAGCCCTCCCGAGGGGGTCCTACTACCGTCGGCTCTGATCAAAAAAATGACGAACGTCCAGTCTTCCGGCGAAGCTCGTGGGCAGCTTTACATGAAGATTGATCCCCGTATCCATTGGCCGCACAACCGCTCCGATCAATGGTACAAACGCAAGATGGACGAGATCAAGGCCAGAGGTGGACGTAAGGCCAACTTTGGCAAGGCGGCCCAGCGCATGCGGCAACAGAGACTTGAGGAGGAGCGGCGCGATGAGCAAGAAAAGCTGGCCATCGAGCAAGGCTTGCCAGCTCCGACCAGCAAGCCGCCTCAGCCGTGGTCGCACCACAGACCCATGGATTTTGGTGACGTTCCCGAGGAAGAACTGCCAGCGTATGTCCGCAAGAATCCGGAATGGTTGCAGGCAACGGCATGGATGCGAGAGAACCGAGAGCAAAGTTTACTCAAGAACAAGGAAGCGGCCGCACTCCGTGCTGCTGGTCTGCCCTGGGACCATCTGTTCTCTCGAAGCGGTCCCTGAACCGTAACCATGGCAAGAAAGCGTAAGGCTGCGGCGGCCTAATGGCTGTGGGCGAGGATGCACGCTGCCGCCATACAAAGCATCCATATAAGCCACGAGAGAAGTGAAGATGGAGAAAAGGCACTTAGCATGGAGTTTGGGCTGATTTTGGTTTCCTTATCCCTTTCCCAGCGATGATACCTGGGCTTCGCCGCGATGGCCTGGCCTACAGACGTAATATTGGGTGCACACAGGGGATACGGGGAATCGTTTGTTCCCTGACATTTCAACTCAGGAGCAACCGCTTGTTTGTCATTGGCAGACGCACTCACCAGGAATCTAGAAATATAGATATTCTCATGGTCGTCACAACAATGCGGCCTGCGAAGTGTTGACGCCATGACTTGACGAGCGATTGGACCGAGTTATGCACACAATGCACACATCCTTGTGGAAGAGGCCTGTATTTTAGGCTCCTCTGGGTTTCAGGCCGCGCGTGGTTAAGGTACCTACCGCAAGGACGCCAAGGAAACTGAATTTCATTTTTGTACTTCCCTAGTATTAAACAACGAATTTTCCCATGGTGTTTTTGGTGACGCGAGAGCATAGAGAATCTGTGACAAGCGGAATCCTCGAAGCCCAGTCAGTGACGCACCTTCATGGAAATTCGCTGATCAGGTGCTGTTCAGTGATCCACCACCTTGGCCCGCAGCGCTACCAAACAACCTCACTTTTGCTGTCCAGGCACGACTTTGCAGACCACTAACCCAGTCACAGCAACAAGCAAGCCTGCCAGCAAAAGGTCGCCGACCCTGACAATTGAACCCAGCCGTCGAGCGTCCTAAACAGCCAGAAATAGTCCATCATGGCCGCCTCTCAGCTTCCCCTCGAGACGCTATCCACTTGGGCCATGTTCAACGATGTAGACCTCGTCGACGTCGAGGCGCGCGAGATCCCCGGCTGCGGCCTCGGGTTGGTCTCGAACAAGGATCTCAGCCGCGAGGAGGAGACTTTCGACATACCGACCCTGCTGAGGATCTCTCATGAGTTGGTCTTATCTGCGGAGGCTGTCGAGAACTACGCCAAGGTTGACAAGAACTTTCGCCAATTGCTCGATGTCGCTGGGCACAAGGTAGAGGTGGCCCTCTGTTCCATGTTCGGATCGGCCCATACTGAACTATTGCATAGTCAACTCGGCACGACATCTGTCTTTTTCTTCTTACGCAGAAAGTTCTATCCGACCGGCCAAAGACGTCCTTGCATGGCGGCGTGTCGACGCCTTGGACCGAGTACGTCAAGTATCTGCCACCGCAGGTTCCCGTCACGACCCTTTGGACTGAGCAGGAGCGCGAGATGTTGAATGGAACATCTCTTGAGGTAAGTCTCTCCTCTTCTTGTCATCCTTGTCCGGTCAAATCTTCCTTCCCCTAGAAGCATTTCCGCAACACCCATCCGCCAGTCAGCAGGGCCCCTTCAGTCCGCAAACTTCTAGTCAACGATATTGCACCCCACGCCGAGCTTCCATGTTACTAGATGGGCGATGCATCCTTCCATTGACACAAAGTGTCTCTGTTCCATGACTTTACGATCCACTGGCCAAGGAGTTTGCGGCTGAAGGGAGGCGACTCGGCGCACTAACAGCGTCGGCTACCGTACAAGGGTTATTTTCTGACGGTCACTAGTCGGCTACGGCTGCCAAGATCGTTGCCTTGACCGATGAGTTTGACGAGCTCCACGAGACGTCCTCCTCGTTGCCTTTCTGGAACGAACTGTTTTGGGAAAGCGACAAGGTCTCCCTTATCGACTGGGTCCGGGTCGATGCATGGTTTCGCTCCCGCTGTCTGGAGCTCCCCAAGTCGGGCGAGGCTATGGTACCAGTACTGGACTTGGCGAACCACTCATCCGAGGCCAACGCGTACTACGAAGAAAACAACAAGGACGAGGTGGTTCTGCTCCTGCGCCCCGGCTGCAGGGTCTCATCTGGGGAAGAGATGACGATCTCGTACGGAGATGCGAAATCCGGGGCAGAAATGCTATTCAGCTATGGGTTCATCGACCCCGCATCAGCCGCGGACCGCATCACGCTGCCCTTGACACCTCTCGAGGACGACCCGCTGGGCAAGGCGAAGCTACACATCTTCGAAGGCCCCCCCACTGTGGAGTTCGTCCGGACGAATGGCTCCATCAGCTGGGAAAGCCCCTTTGCCTATTTCATGTGCCTCAACGAGGAAGATGGCCTGTCGTTCCGTGTCTTACAGGACACCGGAGGATCACGGGAGCTAAAGTTATTCTGGCAAGAAGAGGATGTCACAACGGCGACAATGGCTTTCAACCAACACATCAACGGTCATCCGCTTGCTCAAATCTTCCATCTTCGAGTGGTTACCGTCTTGCAGGATCTGGTGGCCGGCCAGTTGGAGCGATTGGCTACTGGCATGTCACTGGAGGATTTGGATGAGTCTCTGAACGAAGGAGGTCTCGTTTGTGGGACGTGCATCAACGCAGCTGCGATGCTGAGGGAGCGAGAGACCGGCTTATTGGAAGCTTCTCTGAAGGCTCTCGAAGACCAAGTAAGCTTCTCTTCTCCGTCGACCGGACCCTGTCAGTGTCAGAGCTGCAGTCGAATCTTACGATTCTCTGCCCACTTCCTTCCTCAACCGCTTTGCTTCTTGAGGCTCCTGCATTCCTTCAAGGTTGCTTTTGTATACCCATCTCAAGTGGCTGCCCATTTCCCCGCGCGTGGTGCCCAGGCTAACAAGGATGGGCGATGTGCCCCAACCTTGCAGAAAACACAACTACTTACAGATGAAAACGTGGTGGCTTATCTCGGATCGATGGAAGATACCCAAAACGACTTAGCCGAGGACGAGACATCCAATGACGAGGAAGATTTCAGCTAGAGAGGGAGGGCCAGGAGTAGCCAGGCGGCCGGGTCGATCCATTCGGCACTCACAGCACTGGGCGCTCACTTCCACACAGAAGCCCAGAGAGAGGTCTTGACTCATCCCCACTGATATGGCCGTTACGAAGTACAGTGGTCAAGGCCAGCTGCTGAGAACATATCACGCAGCTGTTAAGGCGGCCTTACCCTGGATCGTTTGAGGCTTGTTCTAATCAGGGCGCTACGCTCCTCCGGCATCTTTTTGTCGGGGGACATGGCATGCTGCCAACAACTAGCAATCGCAGTCTCGTAGATGAGATATGAGTGAATATGACCAGCGGCATATCTCCGGTTGCCCGCGTTCGACCGTCTAGTATTCGTCGATACAGCCTGTGCAGTTGCCGCAATGCTAGTATCCAGCGTTGTCGCCAGTGTTTCTAGAGTGAACCTGTCTTGTCCTAATTTCTTCGTTGAAATGCCCTTGGCCAAAAGCTGCCTCTCCATAAAGGCTCGGACATGATCTTGGCGAACCGCAACCTCGTGGCCGTACCTACATGCAAAGGAGATCGACGTAGCTTGGCCGTGTTCGGAACGGACCTTGATAATAGATTGAAGCCTCGATTGATTCGCAGCAGAGTAATTTCCGCGGCAGGAAGGTGGCATTTCTGGCTGAATTCAAGCCCCTGCGAGGGTAGCGAGCGACAAACACTTACGGTTATGTTTTAGCCAGGGAGCCGCGGGGCGAGGGAGGGCACGCCGAGCAGTGGGTGATCCGCGCTGTCCGGTGCCTAGGCGACCCCTGGACCCTGCTGGAGGAGCAGGAGCAGGACGAGTCGGGATGCGGCGTGCGAAGATGGGGTGCCTCGCCCTGTCCTTGCATGAAAGAGCTGTTACGGTGAAGCGCGGCAGTCCGCCTTGCATGGCAACACAGGTCTCAACACAACGACTTTGTTGTTCCTATTGTTCCCGAATCTGCGTCTCAACGGACACGTTTTGGAAAGGCACCCCGCGCGTTCGGAGACGCTGCACCACAGAGTACGTCTGTTGGTCTTCCCCAACCTGCGTTTGTGGATCGCCGACAGTGGAGACTGGGGGAAGGATGGCGGGAGGAGGGCGTCATCCCTCATCGGCCACGATTTCGGGTTAGCGCAGGATATCTACGCTGGCTGGCCCTGATCGGCGAATATGGGGTGCTCCAGTACCTAGCTAGGTAATGAAACCGGGTACTCCAGAAGGGGCACTTTACGGCGTGGTTCCAGCTTTTTTCTGTCTCGCCTGGGAGGCGAACCTATTGGCATGACAGGACGTCTATTTCATCCGACCCCCCCAACAACAAGAAAAGTACCGGTAGAACAGAAATGGCCTTTCTTTAACTTTATACAAATACCATCTCCTGGGATGGGATTGGTTTGAGTTGGCGAGGCAAGTCCGTTTTCCGAACGGGGACCGAGGCGGACCAGAGAGCCAGGAAGAGTCCGGCGGAAAGCAAATGGGCACGACAACAACTCGGAGCTGATGCCAGAGGCACGCGAGCAACTTGGAATGTTGATTGTGCCATTCAGCCGAAACCAGTCGGCCTGAGGACGGATAGCGGAGGCGGAGACGATGAGAAAGAAGTTGCAGTAAACTGAACGTGGCTTCACTTTCTCGACCACCTCGACAGTACGACACGCTTGGGAAGGCGATCTTCAGCAGACACGGCATCAATACTTGCGGGTCACGGTATGGTCTTCATTAAGTGGTGCTGGTTTCAAGAGTGTTCTTCATTGCATCACCGAAGCGTCACCAAGCCAGGATTATGTAGGCTCTTGTCGAGCGATTCGAAGCATCGTGAAACCCCGATGGACTGCTCTCTCCTTTAGTAGGCGACTCGATTCTGAACAGCTGGTCCATCAGCAAAAGCATCACACTATCTGCAAGCCCAACTCGGCCAGTTTGTTGGCTCTTGGTCCACATGGCTTGTAAGGGAAGATCACGGCAGGATCCTTCGATGACGAGGTATTATCGGATCCTCGGAGTGCAAGCTTCTGGACGATCGCCAGAGGTCCAGCACTCTAGCAGCATTGTACACTACCGGTAGAGCTTGAAGAAGAGTGGCCCAGCCGTTGGCGATTGGCCACTCACCTCAGCGCCGGGCAACTCGACAAGGACCATCGCGGCCGAGCGTCGCGGTGGACTGGCACACCTATCATAGTAAATGGAGTAGCCACTAGGGACAGTCGACGGCTTGGGACATGTAATCCAAGCAGACACCTTGGGTTGAGAAGGCACTGAAGAGAAACCCTCAAGGACGGTACGGGTTGCGTGGGCCAAGCAGCTTGGTCAGGCGACGACGATTGGCCACCAGTGACAAGCCAGCGATCGTCGAGCGATCCGACATATCGCGAAATGTGCCCCGGAACGAGTGTGACGGTACTTGCGGATTCCTCGTCCAATTCCCCTGCCCCGGGTTTTCTCCAGTTCTTTCGTTGGCCGTGCCCCCAGTCGCGCCAACCTTCCTTTCCCCCAGGTCTCAGCTCTCCAGTTCCTGTTCTTGCCGAACATTCGAAGTTGCTTCTCCCTTGCTCCCCCCCCCCAAGTTTGCCATGCATACTCTCCGTGGTCGATGGAAACCTGGGGAAAAGGGGGTGTTGGGAAGGGCCAGCTCGAAGATGGCGCTTGTACAGGTACACGACCGGGCTCATCATGTTGGCAACGCCGCAATAACAACGAACGGAAATAGGCTCCGGGGGTGGGGCCATTTCGAAGGGTATAGAGCCCCTTATGCAATCAGAACCCAGGAGGAGTCGAGAGACAGCTTGCAAAGGCCGGAGCGCCTGTAGAGGAGGGTTAAAACTCGCAGATGAACCCCCGCTTCCGGGGTCGGGTGGTGCCATGATCGCGTCTGCTGGATGGCTTTTTGCATCGAACGTCGTAGGCTTCCTTGCAGGGCTGGCTGCATGATTGGGGAGGCACCGATGGGTTGGAAAGGACATGTTGGTGGTTCTGTCCGGGGTGCATCGAGAAGACACCCTACGACACACGGGTTGGCCTAGTACGCTGGAGAAGATGCCGGATGGACAAGAGACGACGAGGCACGCCAACGGACAACATCATTGTGTGGCGGGAATAGTGTAGTGGTGTGCTTCGGCTCTGCTTCTGGCGCCTGTCTGTCTAGACGGACCGCGCGCCTACCGGTGTAAGCTGCGAGCCACGGTCTGTCTGCCATCTGCCGTCGACCTTCTGGTCACTGGTGCGAGCCGTTCGCTAACGAAGTGGGCTCGACTAACACAAGCTGGGGAAAAGCGACCAAGGCCAGGCTGTAGTAAGGTAATGTACTTTGGTGTGGCAGCCAAGCCGCGCGCAGCGTAAATGTACTTATACCCCCTCTGCGTTGGAGATTGAGAGTGGAGTCACACACGGTATAGTTGGCGCTGTTCGAGTACCAATTGCCAGACGACAATTGGCTCCCCTCACTTTCACTAGCGTTGCTTCTGCCTCCCACCCCGAGACTTTCCCAACGTTCAGAAACCGCGTCGCCCGGCAGACCCCAGGCAGCGCCACTCTTCCCCCAGATTCCCCCCTTCCTTGCCCCCCCCACTCAACGGGGTGCCTCTGCTGTCAGCGAGTGCGCGCGAGTCCACTATGGCAGTCGCCCAGTGTACGGTGCAGCATTCACATTGCGAGCAGCAGAGAGCAAGTGCTATACCGGGAGCTGTGTCAGTGCCAGTGCCAGTGCCAGTGCCGGTGCCGGTCTCACCCCGGTATACCTACCTACAGTAAGACTCCCAGCAGGGCCCTCTACACTAGTGAACTGTAGGCGGTACACATACAGGCATTCGCCATCCTCGTTTCCATAAGGGAATGAGTCGCTGTTTCTAACTTCCAGTCATCCCCTCCTCCCCCCGGTCCCGCCCCGTCCACACCCCCGTCCACGGGATCTTTTCTGCTCGAGTCCCTCTCCCCACAACACCGCAGGCTTTACATACCTAGCGTGTGCCGTCTGATAGTGTCCAGTGTGCATGGCCGTTTCCTACTAAGGTGCTCCACACTCGCACATCCCTCCCCACGACCACCTTCCACATCTTCTCTTCCTTTTTCCCTCACACACACCCCCGACATTCCGACTCCGACTCAGACTCAACCTATCCAGCTCCTCTCTCTCACTCCTCCGCATTGCTTTACTTGTTGATCGTGCTCAAGTTACAACAGGAGCCTCTCCACTCTTCGCCTTTCCCTCTGTTGTATCTTTGGCTTTTTGTTGGGGAAAACTAGGTGTTCCCGCGGGCCTACTTGCTTCTTTCTTAGTAACTAAAGATACCATCTACCTACAACCCCTACGACGACCTTTACGAAACAAATTGGTAGCTTTGTGAGGAGGAAACGTACTCTCTATGCGACAAATCGACCAGCCGCGCGCCGCCCAACATACTTGAACGAGTCAACGAGACAAACGGCACCACTACAAAAAAAAAAAAAAACCCCCCCGCCGAAGCCTCCGAGGCTGGTCCAGTAGACGCCTACTACCTCTTTCAACGCCACCAGCCCGCAAAATCAGCAAACAAAGACTGCAAACCACACGACGAGGTGGGACGCCATCATGCCTGGAATCCTACCCATGAAGGTGATCAAGGTGGGCACCAGCTCCCAGAGCCGGATAGCCCAGGCCTGCGATAGATGCCGGAGCAAGAAGATCCGCTGCGACGGCATCCGGCCGACATGTTCGCAATGCGCCAATGTCGGCTTCGAGTGCCGCACGAGCGACAAGCTGAGCCGCCGCGCCTTCCCCCGCGGCTACACCGAGTCTCTCGAGGAGCGCGTGCGTCAGCTCGAAAACGAGGTCAGAGAACTGAAAGACCTACTGGACGAGAAGGACGAGAAGATCGACATGCTGTCGAGAATGCACGGGAACCACAGCCACGCGACCCATCGCAGCCCTTCTGTCGCAGCGCCGACGCACTCGCCGGCGTCCGCGGCCGACGCGAGGAAAGACGCCGGGACCCCGGCGAAGGAGGATACTTTCCGCGTGCAGGCGTCGCCGTTGTTGCTTGGCGTCGAGAACTCAGACTCATACTTTATGGGGCCGTCGAGCGGCCGTGCCTTTATCGGTTCGTACCACCACTGCCGTCATCCCATGCGCGTCGTCTCGTCTCATCTGGGTTGCGCGGTCTGAGCGAGAATGCTTTTTGCTAACACGAGATAACAGAGGCGTTCAAGCGCAAGATGCAAGAGAACGGTAAAGCTTGCTCAGATTTCAACCCAGAAGCCTTTTTACACATCCAGGGCTGCCATCCTCTAACGATAAAATCGCCGGACAAGTCTCTGAGAGTGCCGCCGCGTCTGTTTTCTGACCGCTGCGTCAACGTCTACTTCCAAGAATGGGCGCCCTTGTTCCCTGTGTTGCACAAGCCGACGTTCCTCCACATCTACGAGGAATTCGTCTCCGACCCGGAGAAGGTCAAGAACAACCACAAGATCGCCCAGCTGTATCTGGTCTTTGGCATTGCGGCGCTGGGTACCGACCAACCCGACCTCGAGCAGATCGCGGCTTGTGAGCAGCAATGGCACCGCGCCGTTGATGCCGTCCTCATGGAGAACACCATGGTCACCCTGCAGTGCCTTGAGTTGGCCCTTCTCTACTGCATCGTGAGAGCGGATTACAAGCGCCTCCAGCACTACAAGGGCATCGCGGTAGGCTTGTCTCACCGCCTCGGGTTGCACCAGAGCCAGAAGCGCTTCTCTTTCGGGGCGCTCACTATCGAGACCCGTAAGAAGGTCTTCTGGACGCTCTACACCTTGGACTGGTAAGTACCATTATTCTCAGCGAGAAATCCCGACTAACGAGCTTAGCTTCTCTGGAGCCATTCTCGGCCTGCCGAAACTTCTCAAGGAGGATGAGATCCACACCGAGTACCCGTCAGATACCGACGATGAGTACGTGACTGAGAAGGGCTTCCAACCAACTCTTCCCGGCGAGTACACTCGTCTGTCGAGCGCCCTCGCACTCTTCCGCTGCTGCCGAATCCTCGCCAAGGTCATGGAAAAGAACTACCCAGCAGCCACGTCCCACGAGCTATCGTTGCAGCAAATGTCTGCCATGGAGGCCGAGCTCGACGAGTGGTGCGAATCTCTACCTACCCATCTCAAACTCACCTTTAAGCAAGACAAGCCTTCGACCGACATTACTGGAAGTCGTTCTCCGTTGCTCGCGCTTGCGTACTACTACACTAAAACGCTCATTTTCCGCCCTGCGGTCGGCTCCTCGCTTGGCCACAAAGCGGCACCCGCGCTGATGTCGATTGCCGAGTCCGCCAAGCACGTTGTTCAAATCATTCAATTGCTCGAAGAACGCAACATGACCTTCTCTTTCTGCCTCAACAAGACAGATACCCTGGTGCTCTGTGGCGTCACTCTTCTGTACCAGAGCTTTGAGTTGAAGCAGGACAGCAAGATGCTCAAGGATGTGGAGCGTCTCGTCAACAGTGTCCTCCAAATTCTCACAAAAGCGAAGGCCCCAGGATCTTTCGATCTGAAGCGCGTAGCTGGCATACTCGTTCGACTCGACGAGGCCAACCTGCCCACTCCGCCGCAGCAGAGCCCAGAATCGTCCATGCCCGCGTCAGCGCCCAAGAAGAAGTCACCTCAACAGACTCTCGGTCGCTTGCCGAGTGCCGCCGCTAGCGAGAGCGACCTAATCCAGCAGCAAGAGAAGATGCGCCGCATGACCATGCCCAGCATCCAGAGCCGTCCCGAATTGTACCGATCCCGCTCCAAACCGTCGGACAATCCGCAACAGCAAGACATGGCCGCTCGTCGCGACCAGCGGCTTTCCATGTCCCAAATCTCTAACCGCATCCGCATGTCGTCAAAACAGAACCTCGACTACCTATCCCTCAGTAGCACGCCCAACGCCTCCTCGCCACCGTCACCAACCTCGGCACGCCTGCACCAGCACCTTCTGGCCGCAGCACACCAAAACCTCTACGCCCAGCACCAGCAGCAACATAATCAACAGCAGCCACAGAAGGTCTCCGGCGTGTCCACGTCAGAATGGGAAGCCCTTCTAGGCTCAATGGACGGCGGGCTGAACAACGTCTACGACGCCATCTACGGCGGCGGAGGCAGCGCCTTGCCGACCATGGGCGAGACGCCGGCGTCATCGTCGACGGGGCTAGACAGCTGGAGCCCCGACTCGTGGGATCTGGCCAATTTCAACATTGGCGACTTTGCTACGAACCCGGCACCGCCACAGAGCGTGCCGAGCGTTAGCGAGGAGAGCCTCAGTTCTGGAGAGGACCTGGCAACAAGCGATCTGAATCTGAGCGTTAGTAGTCTGGAGTATCGGAACGCACTGCTCGCATCATGCAGTACGAATGGTGACGGGCTTTTTCTTGACGGGCTAGATGGCAACTACGGGCTGTGAGATGGTCATACCTAGCTAGGCGTTTTGCGTTAAAATTCGGATATCGGGATTCTGGGTGAATATTCGGCGGCGGACCGCCTTGGGAAGGATGGGACGGATGACTTGGGATAAGCAGGCTCTTGGTTTGGAACAAGGACATGTGTTTGGCTACGATTATGCTTGGAAGCACATTTTGGATATGTAATTCTATGATTATGAATTCTCAAATATCTTGATCTATAACACTCACCGCTTCTCCGGCGACCGACTTTGAATGCTGAAGGTCTTCATTGTGAAAACACAGTTTGAACGATTACTTCTATGACATGCTGACGAGTCGATCAGCGTTGGCTTGCTGGTTGCTGGCTTTACAACTCTGAGCGGGAGAAGCCTCGCATGTCTATCGAGTCGACGACAGCAAGCCTGTAGCCATGTATAACGCTAGAAATTCACATGGTTTTCCAACGAGACACACAACCTCTTCTCTAGGCCTTTCCTTCTTCGCCCAGTGCACTCGCCGCGTCTTCTATTTGGCCATCTAGCGGATCTACTTGGATCTCTTTTGTGGAAGCATCGACGCACTTCTCCACGCGGCCTCTACACCCCAGGAACCAGTGTTCTCTCTCTTGTGTATCGGATTCATCCTGGCTCTTCTCCGTTTGTCTTGGTGGCTCTAGAAGCTGTTCATACGGAGGAACCTTCGCATACTGCCCTGCACAATCCTGTAGCTCGTTAACCCTAGATGCCTCGGCCCCGCGTCGTCGTCCTCGTACCTTCACAGCCTCAACGCTTTGGCCGCCTTGGGTCCCGGCGCGACGAACCCGAACCGGGCGAAAATCATCAGCAACGGCGTGAACAGTAGTACGAGGACCTGCACGCTCACGATTTGGAAGTACAACCTCAGCGTCCGCCCCCAAGTCCCGTCGCGGACGCGCCCCGCCCTCCGGGCCGCCTTCGCCGCGGGCTCCTCTCCCGTGCCCTTTGGCCGGGCCGCGCTGTCGGACCCGTCGCCGCCCTCCCACCGTCGGCACACCTCGAGGAACATCTCGGGATCGTCCGTGATGACGCCGTCCGCGCCGGCGGCGATGCTCCACTCCATCCACTCCTCGTCGTTGACGGTCCAGACGAAGAGCTTCCTGTCGGCCTTCCTGACCTTGCGGATGAAGAGCTTCCCCACGGGCCCGACGAGCGCCTTCTGGAACATGTTGAAGGACAGGTTCGGCTGCGAGGGGGAGAGGAACTTGCGGGCGTAGAGCGGGGACCAGGAGATGAGGGCCAGGGGGTAGGTGGGCAGGATGGTGCGGACGTGGGTTATGTAGGGTTGCTTGGAGTTGTCAGCCTTTTTTTGGTGTCCGGGTCATTCTGCACGTGGTATGTGAAAGGGGGCAAGCTTACGTTCCAGCAGCCGAATACTATCCTCTTCTCCCACGGCACGGGGCCCGGCGTCGAGGTCAGAACCTCCGCTACGTGGCCGAGCAGCTCGGCCGGCGGGTCGTCGGTCTGTTCGCCCAGGGTATCAGCACTCGCATCCCTCAACAACAGTCCAGTCTCCACCTAGCATCCCCCGTACCATCCTATCTCAAACCCCTGGAGCAGCAGCATGTCACCGTACCTTGATGTCCAACAACACCCAAACCTCGTCCCTCCCCGCCCCCTCCTCCGCTAGGAACACCAGCAAATCCTCCAGCCGCGGCATCTTCTCACCGGGCTCCATCACCGTCTGCAGCGTCTCTAGATACGCCCAGTCGCACTCATTGATCTTCTTGTCGACGCCGAAGCACCGCTTCAGGTTCCCGTCGTGCGAGAGCACCACGACGCCGTCGCGTGACAAATGCAGGTCCGTCTCGAGCGCGTGAGCGCCGGCGTCAAGAGCGCCGCGGAAGGCGAGGAGGGTGTTCTCCGGGTAGAGGGACTTGAAGCCGCGGTGGGCTATCGCTTGCGGGAGGCGGCGGGCGGGCAGGGACGAAGTAAAGGACGCTATGCGAGAAGGTTGCATGTTAGCCTTTGCGATGCAGAGGGGCATGCGCGGCGGCGGGGGACGAAATACCTGACGGGATGGACGACTTCTTCCCGAGGAGAGGCTTCGTTTCCGAGGACATGATGTCTTTTCTGCTGCTCTGGCTTGGCTTTTTATTTCGTTCTGGTTCAATGGGCGTAGTAGTTCGCTACGGAGGGTTCTATGGAAATTCGTCGTCGAGAGATGCAGTGGGAGTGGCCGACGTTAGGTATTAAGCTCTAGGAAGACATGCAGGCTGGAAACATGAGGCAGAAACAACGTTTTGTACGCGAAGACAGATGCGTCTTTGTAGGTTGCAGGGACGTAGAAGGGGAAAATAGGAGGAAGAAGACGAAACTTAAAAAGAAGAAAAAGACCTGCGCAGAGCCGGCTGCTTCGGTCAAGTCGGGCTCTGAGCATGTAACCGCACGCGGCCGTGGAGTGTTTCTGGGCGATGGCGGGGCGCTCGCGTGGGTTTGAATTGACGATATGCTGGCGTTCCTCGGCGGCGCGGCATGCGGATTTCGGTGCTCTCTGCAGGGCCGACCCCACGTGCAGAAGCCAATGCGCCCAAATGGAGCTCTTAGCCCCTCCGCAGGCCCATTCCCACGCCGGCGGCACGGGGCGACAGCCTTAAGTCCGACCCCGCGGTGGGCGGCACTCTGCAGTAGCGCACTGGCGGTCCCCTATCATTTGACTCTGGACTTTTAAACGACACCCAAAGGGGAATCTGAATGGAGTGATGACGATTTCCTCGTCCAGCCTGGCTGATACTTGTCTGCGTTCTTGTATGAATTGCCTCGCTTATACCGCGGAATGCTTTTGTCTCTACTCTACGACCCATTGCTCTTGGAAAGAGCAAGAAAAAAAAAGGAAACTATAGCGACGCCTGTGCAGACCGCCACTCCCCACCCCTTTTATAGCAACATAGCAAACGGCACAAGCCCAACCACCATTGGTTGCCACCCTCTTGTAGCCACTCCCTTAGTCAATGTCGACGTCGATGTCGAGGTCCAAAGATCCGATAATGTCATCATCCATAAGGGGCTTGTGAATGGTCGGGATGCCCTTCTTCTCCTGATTCGCGGCCTGCAGCTTGGCCAGGTTGGGCAGAAAGTTCTTCTCCTGAGCCCCCATCTTTGGCGTTCCGTTCGCGGGCGTGCTCGCGTTGCTGTCCTTGCCCGACGACTTCTTAGTGGCGTCGTTGGCGTCGTGGATGAACTTTGCCTTGGTCCGCAGCCGCCGCGAGAGGTCGTTCTTGATGTCTTCGCCCCTCTCCAGTGCCGCCTCCAGCTTGCGCGCCTCGGCCTTCTCCTTGAGCTGCGCCCTCCGGACGTTCTCGGCGTTTTCGAGCCGGCGCTGGCGGTTGATGTTGGCCAAGCGATCCTGCTGCGACGTCGTGCTCGGCTTCGATGACGAGTCGCTGAGGCTCGTCTTGAACGCAAGTACGTTCGTCTTAAGATCGTCAAGCTGTTCCTGCAGTTCCTCCGCCTTGCTCGTGTTACCTTTGAGTCGCGCAACTTCGATCTCTTGGGCGAGACGCTCGCGGAGCTTGGGGTCGAACTTTTTGCGCAGGGCGTTCTTGCGCTGAATACGCTCGTCAATTTCCGTCGTCGTGAGGTGATGAGAGATGAGCGCGTTAATGTCGTCGATCTTGTTAAGAAGGACCTGCTTCTTGGGGAGGGTGAGTCCCTCAGACTGCATGACCTTTTCGTATCGGTTGTACTCGCGCTGCGCTTGTTAGTCTGATGAACCTCGAACCAAAGGAGAAACAGGGGGGGGGGGCTTGCCTCGGTGAACGGACGATCTGACAGGAAAATGAAAGGGAATGGCCTCTCTGCCTTGCCATGTGCCGCCAAGACGTACTGGTCAGTGACAAACGAACCACCCGGACCGGTCATGGCATATGGCTTGCCGACAGTGATGGCTGTATGAGGTCAGAATCTGTTCGTTGTATATGAAGGGGCCGCCGAACTCACATTGGATACGCGCCATGCGATACTCGTCTTGGCCGGTCTTGGGGTCGGGACCAATACTGATGCGAACATAGCATCCAATCATAGCCCTCTCGAAACCCGGATTGAAGCAGTACTCAGCGAAGCGACTCTTCCCGACTCGGACACGCTCGAAATCGCGGATATCAGGGGGCGGCAGCTCGCGCGCGACAATCTCCTCGTCGGGCGATCGCGACTTGTGGTGGCGGCGGCGATCGCGCTCCTCCCAATCACCCCCCTCATCACTGTCCTGGTCTCTGTAATCGTCGTGCGGCGAGCGGGTCCCCTTCTGACGATCCTCCTCGCGACGACGGGCGCGGTCGCTCTTCTCCGCGCGTGCGCGACGCAGCGTATCTATCGCGGACGTCTTGCCCTCAGTGCGCGGCCGTGAGTTCTTGCGCGAGGCATCCTCGAGGTCGGCGGCGTCGGCGCTGCGCTTCTTCAACTTCTGCTTCTTCTCCTCGTTCTCCTGCTTGCTGACAAGCTGGCGCAGCATGCGGTTCTGTCGGTGGCGTTCGATCTCGGCTTGGCGTTCGGCGAGCAGTGATTCTCTCTCGACCTCACGCATGGCCATCACCTGTTCCTTCTCGGCAAGACTCCTGAACATGCCGTCGACTGGGTACTTGTCTTCTTCGTCATCGTCGTGACCGGCTCTATGCGGCTCGGCTTCCGAGTCGGACTCGTCCATGGCGGCGGATCCAATGGAGTTGGGGCTGCCAGGCGCTGAGAAGCTGAATCGCATTATGTTAGCGGCGCAAATGGCAGTGGTGGGCAGTGGAAAGCAAATAGTAAAACGCGCGCGAGCTGGCGAAGCGACGTTAAGTAACGAAGTTCAGATCGGGGTTTGTGTAGGTGAAAGCGCAAGGCAGAAGGCGAAAATGCGCCTACGCAGATTTGTAAATGGGAGGAACTTACGCCTCGCCTTCCTCCTCATCCTCCTCCGATTCGTCTCCCCCCGCGCGCTTGTTCGCCTTCTTTACCACAGATTTTTTCGCGGCCGCCTTGGGCGGTGGTGATGCCGATTGTGCCCTGCTCTCCGCCTCAGACATCACCTCCTCTTCATCAGAGGACTCCCCGCCGCCCGCGAGAGCCAGAAGCTCGTCATCTATGTCGGCCATGGTGGATTATGAATAGCTAAGCAGTCGTATAGGGGGGTATCAGTTGCCTGCAGCAGGCAGATCAGAGAACTCGCGACGCAACGTTCGTTTGCGCGGTTGGTTATCGATATGAGAACAGTTTTCGGCTGTTTCGGATCGTACGAGCAATGAAGACGCCGGCCCAATTAGTATAGTATAATGAACGGTCAGGAAATGGTGAATGGCGATGATCTGGTAGTTGGAATAAGGACTTGAAAGTCTGGCTCCTATTCACAGCCTTTGGACATTGTCGTCGCGAGCGCGTGCGTGATTGGCTGAACCTGTGTCATTTAGCTGCAAAAAGTGGGTCGTCGGAGCGTCGGGCTGTACTCATCCGATCTGCCGTGACGTCAGCCAATCAACACGCGCAACGGGCTCGGCACCCGCCGGGGTCTAGTCGTTCGACATCATTGACATCTTCATTTGCCTTCGGCCGAGCTCGCGCTCCGAGTAGGGGACTACTCATCTGCAAACACACAATGGCGTCAACACGATCATTGCTAAGACCGTACAGAGGCTTCACAAGGCTCAGTGCGCAAAATGTGCATGCGCCGGCTGTTTGCATTTCCCGTAGACAGCTTTCTACTACTCCTCACTCGCAAGCCGAAGCGACAGGTGCAGCAGCAGCACCTCCTCGTCGCAAACCCTTAACGCAGGAGCAGCGGGATTTCCTTTCCTCTGCAGTAAGCTCAACTACTGTACCCCCATAAGAAACAAGTACTAACAATGGTCAGCTGCGTGTCAACCAAGCCGGAGAGTTGGCCGCAACTCGGATTTACACAGCCCAGACCCCTCCGATCGTCAACCGACACCCACACCTGCGACCGCTGATGGCACACATGTACGAGCAAGAGGCGGGTCATCTCAAGACGTTTAATTCGCTTATCCATAAACACCGCGTTCGCCCGACCGCGCTTTACCCTCTGTGGCAGCTCATGTCGACTGGTTTGGGTTGGAGCACGGCAGTAATGGGTCGTGAGGCGGCCATGGCTTGCACAGAGGCCGTCGAGACGGAGATTGGTAACCACTACAACGACCAGATCCGGACTCTACTTGAAATGGTCACCGAGTGGGAGGCCGAGGGATACGAAGTTGGGCCAGAATTCACTGATCTTATCAAGACACTGCGGCGAATTCGGGATGAAGAGCTGGAACACCTCGACCACGCCGTCGAGCATGACGCTAAGAAGGCAGAGCCGCACTGGTTGCTGACCGGCGTCATTCGAGCAGGTTGCAGAGGTGCTATTTGGGTGAGCGAAAAGATGTAATAAAGGCTGTAATGTAAGAATGTGTACAATACATGTAGAAACAAGGGCCGAAGCCACACGAATGGAAACAATGCAATGAGAGAACCCCGCGACGCCAAGAAGCCACCTCCCGACTCCGTCCAGTGTATAAACGTTTTATGTATGCAACGATTCAGCCATACAGAGAGGCTTTGTCCATCAGGTCGATGAGACCATCCTCGACCTTGGATAACACCTAGTTGCTGAAGTGGTTGTTAGTCGGAGATCATGTGTGAGCGGGATTCGATACTTACTAAATTTGCAGGGGCGCGACGCCGTCCACCTGGAAACCCCAGTTGCCGTTCTGCTCTTCGGTGAGCAGCCAGTCGTAAGGGAAGTTGACGACGTGTCCCTGAATCATGCTGAGTAGCTCCTCCGCCTCAGCTCTCCCCAGCACCTCCTCAGGCGGCATGCCGCGCCGGCTGCCCTTAGTAGTGGCCCGTCGGCGGCGTCTAACCGATCCTTGGGCTTGCTGAGCTGGGACGCTCACGTCTCTGGAAGGCGGCTTCTCCAGAGGGGAGAATGTTGTCCTCCTCTCCCTGCTCTTCTCCCGCGCCGGTTCAAGCATGCCAGCATCAGCAGTAGGGCCCGTCTCAAACACAGGGAACGGAACGTCGCCAGCAGGGAGAACAGGCGATGGGGCGTCCAGTGGACGCGGAGACGCAGCCGCCTTTTCTGCGTCTGTGTTGGGCCCAGCTCTCGAACCAGGCTGCTCACTCTTCTCATTCAATTCGTGGTCGTCTCCGGGAATGACGATCCGAGGGTGGTTCGAGTGATTGGTCTTAATATGGAGTTTCTCTTCCGCCTTCTCATTGGCAGCATTAGCAACGGCGCCAGGACCTGGCGCTCCGACGCCAGCACCGCCGCCAGTGACGGGGGATTGATGACGATTCAAGTTAGATTCTCCATCGTCGGTCTTTGTTTTTCCTTCCATGCTCTCCCTGAATCGCTCCGAGTAGGATACGGCTTCTCGGTAGTCGGGCCACGTAAGCACTTCTGAATCAGGCATGCAGCGGAAGACGCGGCGGTACAGCTTAGTGTTGTTCTCCGCCACTCTGTTCCAGATATCATCGAAGAAGGACGAGTTGATCGGGTCACGCATGCAGTCCTTGTCAATATGGGCAGGCCTAATATCGGCAGCCAGAGGATGCAATGGCCCGTTGGTTAGCTGGCCGCTCTGATCCAAGTGAACAGGAGGGCCGCCAATATCCGTATCGTCCACAGCAGGCAAAGTGGGCAGCCCTGCAGTTCGAGGAAGACCAAGCTGGTCGGTAGTCCGTCTGTTGAGAGCTGGAATAGGCGGCAGAGCGTCATTGCTCACACCACCTTCTTCCTCCGCATGGTGGTCGGTCGATGTTTTGCGCTCGTGTGGCTGCATTGGCGACTGCAAAGTGCCTTTTCCTTCTGGGTATACATCGCGGATAAGGACCTCGCGGCCATTGATGATGATTGAGTCTCGTCCTTGGTCGAGTCCAAGTTGGGCTGCATCCTTCCAGTGGTCTTTGCCGTAGCCGGCAATATCCATGATGTGAGCTTCGTTTCCGGTCACGCGGTCGTCACGCTCTTTGCCTTTAGACAAAGAAGACACAGACGACGCTTCATCGGCCACTTCATCGGGCTCTACAACGGCGTCATGATTGAAGCTTGGAGCCTGGCCTGGCATCGCTGGCTTGCTTGGCTCCCCATCCGCGTGCTGCCCGCTTGAGCCAGCAACAGGGGGCGACTCCTCATCGTCTGCGTAGATCTGATCCATCTCCGCTTCGTATTCAGCCTGGCGGTCCATGTCGGCTTGTCTCTCCTCCTCCAAGATCTCATCCACATCTAATCCAAGATGTTCCCGCATAAGACGGAGCCGCAAGGTATGCGCGAAGCGACCGACGCGGTAAGGCCTACCGGCCATTGTGGACCAAATCATGTCGGTGTCGCGAACAACAGCAGCAAGCTCAGAGTCACGGTTCCCGAGCATCGATCGTTCGTTGATGTTGGCGGAGCCAATGAGCGCCACTCGATCGTCCACGATGATGCACTTGGCGTGGATATAGAGCTGCTCGGTGACGAGGGCGTTGCGGGCGCCAATCTTGCCCCACTGTCGAAGACTGTAAAACTGGATATAGTCTTCAGGTTCGATGCCAGCGGCACGGAGACGTGAGAAGATAGACCCATCTCCACGACAGATACTGCGGTATTGGCATTGAAGGATGAGTCGGACACTGGTGCCTTCCTGCTCATCGACGGTGTTCTGAAATCCAGGCATGAGAGGGATAACAATGCATGCTTTCCAGTCTTCATCGTTTTCGTGTGCCCTGATAATTCGCTCGACCAGTGCATCACCAATGCGATTGACGATCTTCGTATTAAAAGCCTCGGTGCTCGTGATGAAGAACTGGTTTTCAATATAGACGAAATGGTCAGAGTCTTCGATCATCTTAACGTAGGCATTCTGAATGCTGCATTCTGTGTGCTCAATCCCAAGAGACCAGTTGGCTGACGACCTCAAAATCTGTACTTCGCAGGTACCAGTGAGACCAAGAGCGTCAAGCTCTGCCATCTTGACGTCAGGGGGGGAAGCAAGAATGGCAAGGGACGTGTTGTCTTCCTGCCTCTCTTGACGTAGTTCCAACGTTGAACGAAGTGTCTTGTCAGATCCCTAGCCGGTTGGCCCACGACCTGCATAGCAATATCGTGCCACGGCATTCTGGGAACCTTGCTTCTGTCGTACATCTCTTCATATGGCTCGTCGAGCTTGAAAAAGTCCTGGACTCGAGGGTTGGAGTAATCCTTTCCAGGAAAGAGTTGGCAATGCTCGGCATCCTTTGGTTGCTCACTGTGCTCGAAGCCCGTCGGTTTGTCGTCGGTGATCGGATGCTGCGGACAGTCCCAACGGCCAAAGCACAAGTCAATGCCGCCAACGAAAGCCACGTCATGGTCGACGATACAAAGTTTCTCGTGGTGGGCGAAGAAGAATTGGTTCTTCTTGAACTGGTTCGGAGACCGCTGCACAAATATGTTGGGGTGGAGGTTGAGGAGGGAGTACTTGGTGTACTCCGAGTCTATAGGAATAGCGGCCTCGACATTGCGGTAGACGATGACGAAAATCTTAACACCCTCCCGGGCCTTACGCTGCAGAAGACGATCCAGACGCCACTTCTGGCTGATAGCCGCCGGACGCCGCATGTAAAGCTCTGGACTGAGCCACCAGTCGTGGATGTAGATGACATCGCGGGCCATGCTGATTGCGCGAGACACATTCCACATGTAATCTCTGCCGTCTACGAGCCATTGCGCGAATACGCCATTTCGAATAGGGGCGAAGCTGTCGAAACGGTTGATATCATGCCACTTGGTCTGCTTGAGCATCTCTGCGATCGAGTCTTCGAACTGCTTCATGATGTGCTGGTTTCTTGAGAACAGCTTGACTTTCCGTTCGGCGGTATGCAGTGTCAGAGTGTGATGTTTCTCCACATCAGCCTCTTCTGTCAGGTCAATCTCCTTCTCCTCCTTGCCCTTGCCCTTAGACAACTGTTTCAATGTGCTTTTCTTGGAAACAATGCGAAACTTGGAGTCCACGAGGTAGACATCGTAAACGCTCATCTTCTCCGGTGATTCGACGCAGACAATGTAACTAGAGCGCACGAGGAACCACTTGCGACTGTGACGGGCGATGACCTTCTTTGGTGTCAAGACTCGACGGAAGTCCATGCCTTTGGAGGACTGAATGTGCAGATAGCACTCTTTGCCGTGATAGCTGCCTTCAGCAGCCAAACGAACGCCAAGGGCAGAGAGCTCCAAGAATTTGCAGAGGCGGTTACTGTCTGCACGGAACATCAACCACCGAATCATGTCCTGCAGGTACTTCTCCAACACCCTTCTTTGTCGTTCAAAGTATCGTTTACGTGACTGAATGAGATCGGCTTGGTTCTCTCCTCCAGACTCGCCAGGTTCTGTAAGACCAGTCGACTTCCTACGCATACCGAGCATGCCAAGGCGGGACTTCTTCCTAACACCTGGGCCGGCCCGTCCGCCCTCCCACTCGCTTGCTGTGCCCTCTCCGGCGGTGCCCTCAGCAGCGGTGCCTTCGCCGGCAGTTGGTTCGCCTAGATCGTCGCCCCGAAGGCTTGCGCCGTCTTCTTCGTCGCTGTCATCCTTGTTGCGGGCACTGCGAAGATAGGGGAAGGCGCCCCAGGGGAATTTAGGCATTTTAGGTCGGGCTCCCACATCGGCGCGGCCGTGCAAGTACTTATCATTGCTCATCGCAAGCTTGTATCGCACATGCAGATTATAGATGTCCTTGAGCGTTCTGATGATGGTCCATTTCATCCGGCTTGGACCGCTGCCATACTCAAGGTCCATCGTGAAGACCCAATGTCGCTCGCTATCGTCATCGGATTCCGGTTGGCTGTCGGTTATACGCAGGCGTACCTGTTCAAGGAGGACTGGGATTCGCTTGTTGCCGTGCTCATCCCTCTGGATCATGCTGGCTAGCATGAGAACAGCAGGGGCACCGGCCCGCAACTCTGCCATGAGCTCGGCTGACTTGGCGAAATCGAAACGGTCCTCCTTCTTCTGCCTAAGAAGCTTCAGGGTATTCTTGACGTACTTCCACGTCGATGCTCTTTCGCTGCCAAAGAAGGGTCTTTTGGGAGTTATAGCATCACCATCCGAAACGCCACCACCCCCGAGTACCGTGATGCGGCGCATGTGGCCCGTTCTTCTGCCGCCGGGACTTTCAGTGCCGTCACCATCGCGGGCACGGTGAGAGCGCATCCACGAAGGACCCGTAAGTTGATCACGTCCCTCGCCCTCTGACATGCCGTGTTGCTGCTCGGGGTGGTCCGGCATACTCAGGCGCCTTCGCAAACCCATCCGACCATATCCGACAGGTGAGTCGGGGCCAGGTAGATGCCGCAGGTTTGGCGTGCTTGGAATGGACGTCTGTTGCTTCTTCGTGCGACGCATTCTTCTCTTCTTCTTGGGTTTAGCAGCATCTGACGCCGCTCCTTCGTCGGCGGTCTCTTCGACGTCTGCATCCGCATCGCTGCCGCCATCCTCCTCGAGTGTATGGGGTATCCTAGACCTGAACTGCCCGGTGGTTGGTGAGCTTCCCATGGACGGCGGCGTGCCATTGTCGTTCAAGTTGCCTGAGCTGCTTGTCTTAAGGGTCTGCAAGCTACCAGACCCAGTAAGCTGCTTGAGCTTGGTGATGAAGGCCGAACCAATGGACTTTCCGCCATCTTCCCAAGACGGCTGTCGCGAATGGCTAGCCGGTGCCTCCAAGACCTGGTCTGTCCGAGCGAATTGCACGCTTCGGCGATCAGTCGGCGAAGCTGGGTCGGGGGAGTATGTTCCATCTTCAGGCATTCTCGGCAGACCGCCTGGGGTTTGACGTGCGCTTTCTGTCGAGTTGAGAGTGGGCAGTGCCGGTCGCTTGCTGTTCTGGACGGGCGACACGCTGTCGTGGGGGGCACCCCCATTGATGTAGTCTCTTGCCTCGATTCCGGCATCGATCGGAATATGGGAAGAATCTCTCAGCGTCGGAACATCTTTTGGGGGAGGAGCAGGAGGGCCGTCTTTCGGCGGAGGAGCTGGACTAGGAAGAGAGTCTTGCTGGCTCGGGATAGCAGGTGACGCCGCGCGAGGGCCTCTTGTCATTGGTGAGATGGACTCATCTCGTCTCGAGTCCGTCATGGTGACGGGGCGCGGGTGAAGAGGAAAGGACGATCGATGAGAGGTCGAGATTTGTGCTAGTATCGTGAGATCGAAGTGCGTTGAAAGTTAGAGAATGGCTGAGCACCTCAACCATGGCTCGATCGTCGTCGCAGAATGAGAGACAGTAGCCCAACAAGGGGTTGGGCTCGTGTTTGCAAGACTGGATCGTAGGGGTAGGTCTGGTGTCTAAGAATCGCGGTCGAAGCAATGGTGTGGCCGGATGGCGAGGGAGAAAGAGAAGCTAAACCAAGACAACAACGGCGCTCGCGTGGATGATCGCCGGCACATGCGATTGACGGAAGAGCTGCTCGAAAAATCGACTTGACGGTTTTGGCAGCCGACCACCAAAAAGTGTGACAACACCGAAAAAGGCTGGGCTGCGGTTTCTTCTGCAGGCCCTGCAGGGTTGATGGAAGATCGGTATTGATGCAGTTGTGGTCGTCTTTTGGGATCCGGTCAGGACCTCGAGACCTTAGGATTCAGTCGCGTCGGGGGAGAGACAGGGAGGACGATGGGGTACAGTCGGAAAGTGAGAGGGAAGGGAGGGTCTAGGACCAGCTATCCTTGTGATGGCCTGCAAGTCCCCAGCCAAGTTGCAACGTTGATGGAGGGCGAGGCTTAATTGCTTCTTTGGCTCCGAGCCAATGGGCATCGACGGAGGCGCACATAGGGGGGTGGTATGGAGGACAAGGACCCAGCGGTTCCCTCCGGGGCATGCCACCTGGGCTTAGTCCCATGTTCCGCCCAAGTCTTCAGTAGCTCCTTGCGCTGTTTGGGCGCAGTGCAGCTGCTGTAACTTGACAGTTGGCACCGACTTTACGGTTCAGCTGGTCCGAAAAGGCGCAAGTGACTTTGAACGTTTAGGCTTTGCCGTTCCGGCTCCATGCTACCGACCTTAGCTCACCTGGAGGTGCTATGCATGACAGACGGGACGCACCCGAGGATGCAAAAGATGGTGCAGCAGCGGAAAGGACTGACCTACCTACTCCTCCAGCCCTTACATGAGCCTTACATGGGCCCCTATCTGCCCAGGTTGCGTCTAAACCAAACTTTGAACGACTGTGCGACTTCGAAATGATTATAATTACGGACGACGCACGCATCGATGGATCTCCGCCTTTCGTCGTACGTCTGTTCCGCACATATCGCATGGCCGAACCATGGGTGCGTTCAATAGGGGTTTGGAAAGATCTGGGACGTGGGACCTTGTCGAGATAGCGCAGTTTGATTGCCTCTTTTAGCGACTTTCTGACATTCAGCGACACGACATGACCAGTATCCGCAGACATCCGAGATGTCCATCGAGAATTGTCTTTCCCTTGGCAGATTGGTTCCATCATACGGACTGGGGCAAAGTCCCAGTTGTACAAAAAAATATGAAGAGGCCGCCGAAAGAAACGACGGGCGACGGGCGACGTGCTAATTTCGATAACGCGCCTGGTCCAATTAACAAAGATCAAAGATCGGCCCCGACTAGTCCGCATGGCTGTTTCATCGTGAAAGAAAGAAATGGAGATGCATTGTTCGAGCCTCTGAACTGTGGCTTGACCAGTTGTGGGATGCAAGCCCAAGTGCCAAATCACTTGTCGCAATCTTGTGACCCCCTCCCCTGCCACACCGGTTTGGGCAAGCCTTACGTAACCCAATCAGAACGCGCCTCGCGTGTCTCTTATCGATAAGCACCAGGGGTCGCGTCCAACATCACGAGTTCTTGAAGCTCACTGTTTGTGGCAGCCCAACGTCGTCCAAGCCCCGCCGTCATACTGCAAAATGCCAAGGTAAGTCGCGCGCATACTCCCTCAATTTCGTTCATTCGTATTCTGACGATATGCCGTAGGGAAATCATCACCGTTCAGGCCGGACAGTGCGGCAACAGCAGTCAGTTACCCCACCATACCACCATTGCGACGTAGCCCCAACGATCGAGCCTCAAACGAAGGGCAGTTACCGAGTATTGAAGCTGACAATGCGCAGTTGGAAGCCAATTCTGGCAACAGCTTTGTCAGGAGCACGGCATCAACCAGGACGGAAACCTTGAGGACTTCGCAACCGAAGGCGGTGATCGCAAAGACGTTTTCTACTACCAGAGTGATGACACAAGATACATCCCACGAGCTATCCTAGTCGACCTGGAGCCGAGGGTTCGTACTTCGGTACAGATGAGGCTGGTTTAACCACGCTAACGAGGTATAGGTCATCAACGGCATTCAAACAGGGCCATACAAGAACATTTACAACCCGGAGAACTTCTATGTCGGCAAAAATGGAGTTGGCGCGGCGAACAACTGGGGTGACGGTTACCAGACGGGCGAGGTGGTCTACGAAGACATCATGGAAATGATTGACCGCGAGGCGGATGGTAGTGATTCGCTAGAAGTACGTGCACTTTGCATCCAGCTGCCTGGGTATTGCTGACTCTCTCCAGGGCTTCATGATGCTGCACTCCATTGCGGGCGGTACCGGATCCGGTCTTGGTTCTTTCCTCCTGGAGAGACTCAACGATCGGTTTCCCAAGAAGATCATCCAGACATACTCTGTCTTCCCCGATACCACAAACGCCGGAGATGTCGTTGTCCATCCATACAACAGCGTCCTCGCCATGAGAAGGTTAACGCAGAACGCCGATTCAGTCGTGGTGCTGGATAACGGAGCCCTATCACGGATTGCAGCCGACAGGCTGCACGTCCAAGAACCATCTTTTGCTCAAACAAACCAATTGGTAGGTTTTACATCTCCGTCCTCGAGGTATCCCGACTGACTTGAGTTCTCAGGTTTCAACTGTCATGTCTGCCAGCACAACAACTCTTAGATACCCGGGATACATGCACAACGATCTGGTCAGCATCTTGGCCTCGTTGATTCCCACTCCCCGGTGCCACTTCCTTATGACAGCATACACGCCATTCACAGGCGATCAGGTTGAGCAGGCCAAGACCGTGCGCAAGACCACAGTACTGGACGTCATGCGGAGACTGCTGCAGCCCAAGAACCGTATGGTTTCGACCCAACCAGGAAAGAAGAGCTGCTACATTTCCATTCTGAACGTCATTCAGGGCGAAGTGGATCCTACCGACGTCCACAAGAGCTTGCTGAGAATCAGGGAACGACGACTGGCGACATTTATCCCTTGGGGTCCAGCAAGCATCCAGGTGGCTCTGACAAAGCGGAGCCCTTACATCCCGATGGCCCACCGCGTCAGCGGGCTGATGCTGGCGAACCACACAAGCATTGCGACTGTGAGTATCTTTGTCCATACCAATATACCGGAAATAGGGTGTGCTGACAATCTTCCAGCTGTTCAAGAGAATTCTTAAACAGTACGATGGAATGCGGAAGCGCAATGCTTTCATGGAAGGATACAAGAAGACGGCGCCATTTGCAGAAAACCTGGACGAATTCGACGAGGCCCGAGAGGTCGTGTCAGATCTGATTCAAGAGTACGAGGCAGCAGAGGACTCCGACTACTTGAACCCTGACACAGGAGACAAGGCGACCTCAGCTGAAACCGACAAGAGGATGGCATAAGCCAGGCACGTGTGGGAGCGGCAGAGAGGGGTAACTGGCAGGGCTTAAGATAACAGAGTTGCACGTTAAAAATGTCGATGTGGCCATGGCGGCATCTGCGCATCGGGAAAAGGATCGGACCTTGGGTTGGCTTGCTGGGATTTTCGGCGTTCAGGGACTAAGAGACGGCACAAGATTACGACCCAAAACCCCTCCATAGCGAAAAAGACCAACCCCTCAATAAACTTGCATCTCATTGAAGAGATCTACCACTTTGACCCTCCGCTCCTTGGGCTTGGAAGCATCTGGAGCATTTGTTCCTGGGCGGTTTGTGTCATTGATGGCTCATTCGTCGTTTAGAGTTCTCCACATCCTGCGACAATCGTCGATGAACGTCAGCCATGCTCCACCAATTCCGCGCAGAGAGCCGCAAAATTACACCTGCTTGACGTCATTTACGTCAGCGCCTTCAGAACTCGAGCCCATCACGCCAACCTGAAGGTCATACAAACTGCCATTCAACTTCGTATATAAGACGGACCTTAAGCTCTACTGAACAATATTTCGGTTCTTCATCACATCACATCAATACAACTCGATCAGGACAACTCGATCAGGACAACTCGATCAGGACAACTCGATCAGGACAACTCGATCATCATTAACTCTACCACGAGCCTCAAAATCTCTGTCAACCAATCAACACCCGTGAGTTACATGCCATTTCCGTTCAACCAATCACAGTCGCAGATGCTGACACCTATGCCCTCTAGAACACCAACAAAACCGCCAAAATGACCCAGTCCAAGGCCGACAAGATCAACAAGGTCCAGGCCAACCTTCCCCTTCCCGAGCAGCCCCCCGTTGCCTCCGACTGGCAGTCCGCCGACGCCACCAAGGTTAACGTCGGTAGCGGTGGTAACGCCGAGGCCCCCATCGGCCGCGACACGGCCGCCACCTCTGGGTTGCGCGAGCCCGCGTCCAAGGACAACGTTGACCTGAGCAGCGTCGGCCGCCAGGGCGTCGAGGGTCTCGACGGTCCCCCCAAGGATGCCGCTGCCAGAAAGTAAACTTGAGAAATTATGATGGATGAATGGAATATACCCATGGGATTGGGAATACCAAACGGAACTGGGAGCATTGTACTACTAGAGAGCATGGCATGACATGACTTAATGACAATGGCATGATTTGCCTTTACAAACTAATTAAATCCCTAATCAGGAACGATGGGAGATGTGACTTTTAGCTGCTAGACCAGAACCCTTGAAGGTGTGGGAGAGTCTTTAAAGTAAGTGCACTTATTGCGTGTGCGATGAATTCTTCGTCACTTGAGGTGACGAAATGGTTGCCTCGTTTAGTATACCACCTATTGATATTTAATTCGTATGCAATACCACACCCATTGATAGTCCCTGAGAGCCTTCATTCCGTTCAGCTTTTCATCTGTTGCCTACTCTTTGGCATCCTTTCATCGTCAGATCGTCAATTCTTCTTTGATATTGTGGTTCGAGCTTACTATTTGATGCCATCCTCGCAATGTTGTTTTCGATTGGCTTCCAAGCGATATCATTGATCTGAAATATAAGGATCATGTGACTTGGAAGTCACAAGAGGATAGTGTATTACTTTAGTCATTGGAGTCATGTTGTCTGACGATTTGCAATTTCATGTCAGCTTTCCTCATTTACTAGGTTGTGTGCGTCTCCAAACATCAATCGCTAATATCACTGTGGCTGCAAGATTATCCTCGAAAACCCATGGCTGGTGATTTGCAAGAAATGCGCATGGTATATAGCTCTTGCGAAAATGCAGCGCCTTGGAATTTGGTGTTGATCATATCTGCCTTGACCTCGTTGCGCTCTATTCCCATCGTTATCTTCACACTGCTTTCTGTTATAGAAGTGGCACATTCCTCTCGATTTCTCGGAGTATTCAACTTAGGATGTTTCAATACTCTGTGTAGGTAAAACAAAAAATGGATCGAAGCAGACGATATCAAGATATCCTTTAGAACAGCAACACGCAAAGTTCTCTTATCCTCATGTTAAACGCCCTAATTGCATCGTGATACATGGGAGCTAGGGCGTGATAAAGGAGCAGCCACTCGCAGGCAACATCTCACCTCAGCGTAGCTCCTTTAGCAAAGAAGATCATGATGGACCGGGTTTTCGTCTAAATACTATCGCCCTGGTGCCTGCTGCTTCTACTAAGAACCACTCAAATTACCTCTGTCTTCTTGCTCACTACCTGATGAGAAGCAAAATATGATGTTATATCCTGCTGAAGGGGAAAATATCATCGGCCAACTGCTGTTGCCCCTTGCACCGAAGTTGGCCCTGATAGGCAGGAAAGTACCCCCGTCCTGCTCCTGCCATACCCTGTCTCCGGTATTCCTTCCCTCCAGATATCCAAGATAGGGGCAGTCTTTCTTCCAACTTCACCCGTCTCCTTGATTTATTTTATTCCCAATCAGCCACAATTCTCACTTTCACCATTTCTGCTCTTCCATGTTTCTGCTTGTCACAACAATCAAATCCCGTACGGAAGAGATTCCTTCAGACTCCCAAAACACATGATCTTGTCAACCACGATCGTTTTCTGAAACTTAACTTCGGTCTCAGCTACCACTCTACGTGTGATTACACTAGAGACTATATATATTCCCCAAATCAAGATTACCGGGCAAAACAGGTCAAAGACCACCAGCATAGGTAAGCGCGAAACTCATGATGAAATCAGCAGTCAAATTTCGATTTACCTTCTCTTATGCCGTCCGTCTCTGGCCATTTGAAATATTTTCTCTGTTCCTTCCTCACTTCTCGTTATTCTGTTTCTTTCCTCTCTTCACGTCTTGCACCAAAAAGCATCTTATTGAATACCATACGAATCGTCATCGAGAAATGCTTTTGACACCGAGATTATAGGCCCTTAAGTTAATCAAGCGAACCACCAAGGTCACATCCCGCTGTTATAAGCTGCAACCATGGGTTCTTGGGGTGACAACACATCGCGGCGTGCTGACAGAATGCCGAGCCTGCGCGCCCAGGCCAGTACGCACCGACAACCCAGTCCTTATACTGAAGATGAAATGATAAAGCGCGCGATGATGGTGAGTCTTTGCCATCCACCCTACTTGGTTTTCGGTCTATAAATAGCTAACAACTAAAGGATGACCTTGGTACTATCCGCATCGATGAGCTGCCGCTTGACGACACTCCCAAATCAAGAGCCATTCCCCCGCGTCCTCGTCGTGCTCCTGTCATCACCGAGCACAGCGAGGCTCTCAACGGCTACCTTGGTGAGTATTTCTGATGCGCCTGAGTACCAAACTAACGTCTGTCTAGCCATGGCAGAAAAGGGTATCGACGATGCTGAGGCCCTGGCTGTCAGAGACCTGAATGATCTGGGTGGCCCCAGCATTTACCGTCCGATTGCAGGCCCATCCAAAAACTTTGTGGCGGAAGCTCGTCGTCCTCCGTAAGTGACTTTCTTCTTCCGGCACAGCTGTAACTAATAACATAACAGGTCAACCATGAACGCAATGAAGACGAGTCAGAATAGCATTCTGCTTGCTCCCGGCACTGTGGTTCGTCGATTTACCTCTAGCAAAGGTGTCTCCGAGAATGCTCCTGTTGCCTCGAACAATATGGGCCTAGTTGCTGGCCTACAATCCGGTAACAATGCAACAACAGATGCGTCCAAGAAGCCCTTGCCTCCTCACCTAAGGATGCAGAAGAAGACGGAGACCCCACTGTCCAACAAGTCGGGTTCTGAGAATGGAAACTCCATTCAAGCCTCCAAGTCAGCCACGACAAACGACTCTGCGGCTTCTCATGCAAAAGAGAAGATGGTGCGACTTACCATCCCGGCGGCGTCAGAGAAACTTCCCCAGAGTCTGGGTGTAGTCAATGAGTCCAAGAAGAGTCGATCTTCTGCCCCTGATACCAACATCGTCAAGCATAACCATCACTCTGACCAGAACATCTCGGAGGACGAGGTTGTGATCTATTGGACTGGTTCCTGCAGGACTTGGCTTCCTGAGCAGGGCAAGGAATGCACAGTCACTGTTGATCTCAAGATTATCAACACTGCACAGGAGATCGAGGGACAATCTCTTTTTGTCATGACGCTCCCCAAGGTTTTCGTCAAGCGTCACAGCATGAGGTCCTACCTTCTCGGAATGCCGAAGAACGAGAGCTGTGTCGTTCAATTCGTGAACCCCGACACCGGTGTGCAGGAGGGTCGTTATCACCTGAAATTTGAGAACACGTCGACAGCCACAGAGTTTCAACATCGTGCGGCGTTGCTGCAGAAAGTCATGGGTTATCTTAGTGACGTGGCTGCTGCGAGCAACGATATGGCCATTGAGCCTGTCTCTGCCACTGAGGAGACTGCGGCCAAGAAGCAACCGCTCCAGCCCGAATCATCGGTCACTGTGGCACCCCTGAAGGACGCTATAGATATTGCAAAGGCAAAGAACGATCCAAACACGGCAACCGAGGATATTAAGCCGTCCAAGGAGGCTGAAGTCAAAAAGCACACTTCCAACAAGTCGAGAGACATCACGGATGTCATGACAGATGCCTTCAACAATCTTTCCCTCAATAAGGTCAAGGATGCCGATATGTACAAGGCCAATAGACAGCGGGTTCAGTACAGCGCGAAAGAGCTGCTGAAGCAGCGATCTTCTGCTGAGGCTCCTTCTGGTATTACCGAAGCCAAGATTCCCCTTCAACGACATGGGAATCAGCCAAAGATTCAGCCCCCTACTCAAGACAGCTCCAAGCACGATAACCAGTCGATGAAACCGCAGTCTATTCATGACAGCGCTAAGCTGAGGGACTGGATGGCAGGCAAAAAGACTCAGCCGCAGACAAAAGGAGGCTCTGAGATCTCAATGCCTGGCTTGTCTGATGCAGTCCGGTATCAGAAGGCAGTTGCGGTCACTGCCAAGTCTTCGATTCAAACCAGCAGACAAGCGTCATCGGAGAACAAGTTTGGCGAAGTTATTGCCGACAAGGAGCAGGCCCGTGTCAAAGAAACGCTCATGGAGAACGACAGGGGCACTATTAAGGTCAACAACGGAGCTGAGAAGATGGGTGCGACAGAGATCTGTGCCAATTTCACCGCTTTGGAGCCGAAGGATGCAAACATCAATATCGAACCCGAGGTTACTGTTGCTCAGGCTACTCCCGCCGAAGAAGCTGAGATCTCTAGTCAACCCAATAAGTCTGATGATGGAGCTGCGGATTCGAATGCCTCAAGCGATTCTGCGGTTGAATTTCAGACTTCTCCCAAAAATGACCGCCCTTCCACCGTTGCCACTAATCAGAATGACCAGAAGACGATGGACGATCCTATCCCGCCCTTCGAGATGGCAGCACATGACCCTACTCCTGCCACTGGCACTGACAAGCAAGATGGATCTGTGGAGGAGGCACCTTCTGCGGTGGTCTCCGAGGCGCCTGCGCAGACCATCCCCATGTTGACCACCACTATGACCCCTGCAGCGCCTTCTGCAGTTCGTACCGATCTTCTTTATGGACTTCACAGCCAAACCAGTCAGGAAATGTGCAATCTCATGCCTGAACCTCAACTGGCATCGCCACAAATTTCGGCGCCTCTCGTGGCCACACCACATATGATCCACCCCCATGCCACTTATGTGCCTCAGATGAATGCGCAGCCCATGATCCCTGGCATTCAACAGTATCCCCCAATCGGTATCGTGCACGCTGTAAGCGTCACCTACCACATCAGTCACGCCGGACAACCTGATGGACAGAGGAGCAATGCTGGTCAAGTGCACGTGCCTGTCATTCACCACGTTACCGACTTCGGCGGACACCAGACGGGCAGAGCACTCTCACCTGATGCACAAGCGTTCCAACCTCAGTTCCAGGGCCAAGTCCCTCAAGGGAACCCCGGCCAGAATCGTATGCGGAGAGGACTTGAGAGCTCGATTTTTGCCACTGGACACAGCGGCGCAAAGCACGCTGGTCGTTTTACTGGGGCTTCTTCTGAGTGATCAGGAGAAGAGGGGAAGAACTCGGGTTTAGGCACTTGCATAGCTAGATTGGAATGGTAGAGGGGGTGCGCTCTGGGGGATAGTTACCGACAGAAGGATATACCGAGGACAGCGAATGAATAGCTAATCGTGAAGATGGCTTTCTTGAGCGTGAGAAACGTCCAGAAATGCAAGACAGATGTCACAATAACCTCACTATAGGAGAACAGACAGTAGAGGATTGAGAATTCCCATTAGTTTTGCGAGTATATGACCAAGCCCCATTTCACAGGAAGACAAGATGCATATGCTGTTACTTACAATGCTCACTCGTGAACCCACTTGTCGTCTTCTTGACTAACAATCACCTCGTCGACTTTCAAGCGGAAGTCGACAATCTCCTTCCCATTGACGAGGTCGTTCTCCCTTGCTCTCTTATCCGCCTCTGCCTCGTCCTTGGCAATACCGGCCTTGATGTGTCTGCCAATCAAGCGTTTCCGCGCCACCTCGAAGTCGACGTCTACGAACCAGAGCTCGTCCATGAGCTTCGCGGCGTCGCTCCATGGAGTCTTGTCGAGGGCGAGGTAATTGCCCTCGAAGACTACGATGCGGTGGTAGGGTTGGATGGCGATGTCGTCGGCCTTGGGGTCCTTGACGGCATGGTCGAAGCTCGGGGCGTATATCGGAGAGGAGTCGGCGCGCAGAGGCTCGCGAAGGGAGACTACAAGCTTGTGGAAGGAGGGGCCATCGAAGGTAAAGGCTGCGCCGCGACGGGCGTGGGCGGTATCTGGGTCGGGCATGGCGGAGAGCTGGGCCCGAGTGAGGTGGTAGCCATCCATAGGGACAAACGCCGCCGGAGGATGCGCCCCGCGGGAGGGGTCGGAAGGGTCAAGTGTTGCGGCGCGGGCGTTGAGTCGGGTTGTTACTATCTGGGAGAGAGTTGTTTTGCCTGCTTGGCGTTAGAGGGTTGGTGTTTGACGGTGGGAGGCGAGGATTGTGTACCTGAGCCTGGGATGCCGGATATTCCGACCACTGCGGGTTATTAGTGCGTCAGTCTAAGAGCACCGAGATTACGGCTCGCTGAAGCCATCGTGGACGAAGCTCCTCCAGAGGTGTTCACGGACGAGCTTCAGGATGCTCGCGTGCCAGCCCCACGACCGCGATGAAGGGTAACTCACGGAGGCGCTGGTCGGCCTGTGTCTTTTGGAACTTGTCCCACGCCTTTTCTACGAGCCTTGTTACTTGTTGCTCCATGTTGTGCAGCAATGAAAGGGCCCTGTTTTTGTGTACGGAGACGAAATGCAAACAGTGATTCGGTCACTTGAAGTCAATTGTAGATCCAACGTGAGGGGGAGCTTCACCAAGCTACTGGGCGGCCCGCTGGGTGCAAACGGCCCCACCAACCCCGCCATGCGGCTTGATGTCATTTTTTGGGGAACGGTTCGGCAGGACTTGCTGGAAAAGTTTTCGCGAGTGTCCATCCTTTAGATGCATAACCCCTTCTTGACGCCCGGCTTGCACCGGCTGCTCGCTGTGTAATACATCCCTAGCCTAGCATCGGCCACAACGATTTTCACCACATTATCCCAACTGGAGACCTTGACGGAGCCACTCAGTGTGGACTTTGGGACGCTCTTTTTCGAAGCTTTGGACGCCGATCGACTGATTTGTAGTTTTCTGGCCCGACCTGTAAACCATCTCAGCACCAGGCTCTCCCCACAACCCTGACCATTGACCGGGACTCACTCACCCTCCCAGGTCATCGTGAAGCCGAGGCAAGATCTTTAGATCACATTACATTTCCCAGCCCTGTGCCAGAGAGCGAGATGGCCGACGAAGACGGAGGCTTGTTCAGCATTGCTATCGATGACTCTGACGAGGAAGGCCTGATCTCGGAGGCGGCGGCCAAGGCCAAGGAGAGGCCCAGAGATTGGCAATCAGAGGAGGATTTTCAGGCGCTCAGGGCTACGTACAGGGTCAATGTGCAAGATGGCGATGTAAGTTACTTTTTTTTCTATTTCTATCTTTAACCCTCCCCTGGCCGAGTTTTCTCTCGGTCATCTCAATCATTGGCACTCCGGGCTTGGTTTTCGCCCTGTCCTGAAAGTTCGGAAGAAAGGAGGGGCCCAGGTTTCGGAACCTTCGTCTTCCCCTCCCCGCCTCGCTCTCCCCGAGCTCGGATGGACACCCGACAGACGACCCAAGCACCGCAGGCCTCTTCACTCGCGGGGTTGCGACCCCTTCTAGAAGTCTCGGCTGATCGAGGGGAAAAATCTCTCTAGATTTGGCAGACGATCGAGCTGCCTCTGGGCGCCGATGAAAAGGCCAGCAAGCCGGTCCTCCAGGAACTGCTACACGCCGTGGAGGAGCTGTACTTCCTCCGCAGGTTCGAGGAGGCGGCGGCGTTCGCGAGGCGGGTCCTGGAGGGGAGCGACGCGGCGCTGGACCGGGACACGAAGGAGATGCTGACACGGTACGAGGAGAAATGCCATGGTCGGATGGCGAAGTGAGATACCCGGTGCACACTGCGCTCAATTATCGTGGATCGAGTCACATTACCATGTTGCGAAGAAAAGTTTACTGAACAATGCTTGATTGTATGGGTGGTCTATTATATCTAAAAACACTCTAATTCTAGTCCGGAGACTGAAAAATGCTTTTGGTGTGAAAATCCTCCCGTCTTGGATGCTCTATCGTGTAGGGGTATTCCCAAACTCCCAAAAACTTTGCGCAGTTCTCAGCTGAGACTGAGGCCTCGGGTGTGTATCTCTACCCCAGATTAATCTCTGAACGCCTTTCTAAAAATAAGAAAAAAACCCTTTTTCCGGAACCCGTTTTAGTGATGCTGCCCGCTGTTGAGAAGGAAGAAAATGAACCGACGAGGAATCGCTGCAAAAACGCAAGTCATCTTGTCGCGATGGAAAGAGAAGGCGTCGTCGCGTGTCGTGTCGTGGACTTCGGAACTCCGGACCCTTGCTCTCTGATCCATCTTATGCTGCCATGCCCTGGCGGGAACGCATCTCACGCTCGCGCTCCTCGGCAAATACTCTCCTGCTCATGGCCAGCACCGTCTCGAATCCTTCCTTGCCCTTCAGCGCGTTGTCGCGGAAGCGGGACACACACTGGTCCTCGATGCCGTTCTTGATACGCTGCCAGCCACCACAGAGGGCGGTGATCTGGGCGTCCTGCACGAACTGGGTCTGGGTGGCGCTGATGGGCTTGTAGACGACGGACTCCTGGACGGAGATGAGGTTGGAGAAGGTTAGATTCTGGGAGACCATGGTGACGGTCTTGGTGGCCGGGTCGACGTAGGAGGTCTCGAAGACGTGCGAAACGTCCGGGTCGGCACCAGCGCTGGCACCGCCGACGAGCGAGGCGAACCACTTGGGAGCAGACTGTTTGCAAGTGATGAGGCGCTCGGTGCGGAGGATCCCCGTGGCCGGGTCGACGCTGCGGCCGAGAGTGTCGACAGCAATTACGTGGGTCGTCTTGTCGTTCCACGGGCAGTACTTGCGCCAGTTGGCGGCCGAGACCTCCTCCCAGGAATAGTTGAAGGTTACCGCGTTGGAGAAGACCTTCATTGTGATGTGGTGACGAGTTGATTTGTGGGGATTTTTTGTGTTCGGTGGTCGACGTGTAGAGATGCTCTCGTGACGGATCGGAAACTTTTTTTCTCCCTCTTGTGCTTTTGCTGTTTTGGGGGTCGTCTATATCGGGTGAGTATTGCGTAGAGTCGTAGAATTCGTAACCAGCAAAGCTCAAAAGGTTGGACGAGGCAAAGCTGCGATTGTGTGGTTTTTTTTTGTTTGTTTTTGATGTCAGGCGACGGTGATGAGTCAAATCGGCTCAAGAGTGGATGACGGGAGGAAAGGAAGAGGCGATTGTTGATAATAAAGGGATGGGAAAATATTGGCGACAAGGGCGAATGAACCTTGCTAGTGAGAAGGAGCGAGGGAAAGGAAAAAAAAAGGTAGCAGCGAGCTTCCATCGGTAGGCCGAAAGGTGGAGTAGGTGTCGTGTGCGGGTTTTTTAGGAAGCTACGTCGAGGAATTCGGCCAACCACGGCGTGGCAAATGGGTGGGTTCGGCGCGACCTCTGGCTAGGGGCAAGGTCCTACGCTGCTGGAAATTTCTCTCAGCGTCTGGGGCTTGTTGCGCGCGTGCTTGGCTGGCACGGCTGGCTTGTGGTGGTGCTGCTCCCATAACCCCGGCCGGTGCCCCGGGGAATTACTGGGAACTCGGAGTGGCGCGTGCGAGTCTCGCAGCGATGTGAGGCACGCAAGCACGACACTAGACCAGCGGAAAAAGGCAGGGGGCGCGCTGTATGGCTCGGCTTGGGGCTTCTTGCCTCGCTTATCTGCCTGTTCCAGGTATAGCGCGCATGGACTGATGGAAAACGTCGGAAACGGTGCACCGGGATGGCAGCCGACCACCGCTGGTTGCATGTGATTGGCTTCTTGGTGGAGCGGCTACTCTACTCTGATTCGCCCTTTTTTCCATTCCTTCAAAAAGGGTTAGCGGGTGAAGAGGAGAGAGAGGGAGGAGAAGGCCCAAGCTCTGATGATTTCGCCCAGCCCGTGGAAGGTGCCCGGCCTCTCATAGCCCGAGAAGCAGCGATGTGTGCCAAGACTCTGCCAGTCTTTGCTACAGCGCCTACAGGTGAAAGCGGCCGACGCCTCTTACGCTATCCGAGGGCCTGCAAAACACAAAGAGGCCAAAGAGATGGGACGGGAAGGGAGATGAGGGTGTCGTTCTCCATGCTTCTGGACGCCGCCGATCGGACCCTGGAGACATGGGGATTGGCGGTGGAGCAATTGGCGTCGACCAGTGAGCGTTGGACCAGGCTCGCCTGGGCCTGGCGGCGAATGCCTGAAAAAGTGGGAAAACAGGTTCTGGGCCGGCCTGTGATCTTTGCCCGTTGTACTTTTCGGATTGACGCCGCTTGACGACATACTGACCACTTTTTCCAGCCTCAAAAGGCCAAGGGTCCTATAGCAATCTGGGGGATCGCTGCGTTCTGTGTGGCTCGCTGAATTGACGATATGTTCACACATGTCTCTTATCTGCGGGATCCGATCCGATCCCGTTCCGGACCGTGCGTGACGACGCGTGACATCACCGAGGCCCCGATATGCGAAGAGGACGGTTCCGTGTGTGGTTTTCCGTGATTGATGCGAAGGTCGAAGCATACCAGTCCTAATCTCATCGGATGATCCATACTGTTCATGATGCAGAGGTCGGTCACCGCGGTGATCTGGCTTCGGTCCGGGTACCGGAGTGCATTCCGGAGTTGGGATCGTGGCTGCTCAGTGGGATCATACCTCGTGAGCATGAGCAATGCCACGATGGTCAACTTGACAGTCCTGGATTTCCATTTCCATCGCCAGGAGGCAAGTGTATGAGCCTGGCTTGCTATGTTTGTTGCTTGGTTCGATGGCTTCATCTATCCGGCCATGTTATCGGGTTGCCGTCTCATAATAAACAAGACAAACAGTGCGAGGTTTATCAAGATCTGCTTGAGCTGTACCGGCAGATATTAAATACGGGGTGCGATGCGATGTGTAGTCAAGGGGGCACTGGTACTGTTGGACTCCCATATTTCGGCGTGCTATTACTCTGCCCTAAGCTGTTACCTGTCACATTCCACTCTGCTTGACATGCCAAGACTGCCTAGCTTCATTTATAAGCTTGACAACATTGAAGTACTTTTGCACGAGCGCCGTGAGGCCCTATAGTTGGATTCGACTGCTTGGATTTTTGGATATGTATCTGAACGATAGTCTCGATTGAGTGGAAAGAAAACCCCGTTACAATGCCCATCCTTGGCTGGTGTCACCCTGCCTAGTAGTCTTCTCCTCGGCTGATTACTTCCTTCACGGTTGGCCTGAGCAGGATCGTCTGTAATGCCCTGTCAGCTTTGGTCTCCTACGGCAGTTCGTGGCGGTACTTACGTGTTCGAATTGAGCAGTGTAGGAGCCCTTCTTGTCACACAAGGGCGGGTAGGCCTCGACGATGCCGCTGGACACGAGGTTGTTCAACTGTTGTGTTGTCAGCTCACGGTTCGACATGAATGAAGGCGTCTGTAGACTTACTCCCAGGAGATACTTGTCCTGTCCCAAACGATCTAGGTACCGCCGACAGAAAGGCAGCGTGCCAAAGTTCTTGTTGATTACGTTGAGCAGTCTCTTGGCCGAGTCTAACCGGAGTGCGGCGTGGCCCTCTCCACGTTTGGCGTAGTGAGACACCTCCATGTCTTCGCGGACGTATCCGTTGCCCGTGCTGCCGAACGTCTCGACGGCGAACACGTCGCCCTCCTCCATCTTCGTCGTGTCGTTGCTCTTGACAATTGGCACGCTCTTGGTGCCGTGGATGCTCCAGCGCTCGATCGTGTGGCCGTTCAGGTTGCGGATCGACTTGACGGGGTACGTCGTGCCGTCAATCTCCACCTCGTAGCTCTCCATGACCTCCTGGATGACGCCTCCGACGTCTCCGACGCGCACGTCGATGCCGGCCTCCTTGACACCGGCGTTTGTCGCGTCCTTGACGGCGGCCAGGAGGTTGTCGTACTGTGGTTCGAAAGCCATGGTGAAGGCGCTGTCGACGATGCGTCCGTTAACGTGTACACCAAAGTCGACCTTCATGACGTCTCCTTGCGAGAGCACCATCTTGTTGCCGGCGTTGGGCGTGTAGTGGGCTGCGCAGTGATTGAGAGACAGGCCGCAGGGGAAGCCCATACCGCCCTTGTAAGCATCTCCCTCCTCAATACCGGGGTGTCCCGTAAGCGCACGCACACCGTCCTCGATGCCCTCGGCGATCTCGGTAAGGGTCTGGCCGGGCTTGATATTCTTCTGGGCCCACTGGCGGACCTGGCGGTGAATCTCGGCGGCCTCGCGGTAGTCGGTAAGGAAGTCGTTGTTAAGGTTGTCGAGGTGGCGCTTCTCCTCGTTCGTCGTGCGGTAGAGGTTCTCGTCGCGGTACTCCTCCTCCTGGCCCTTGGGGTAGTTCTTGTTGGGGAATAGCGACGACATGAGCACGCGGGGCGGGTCGGACTGAGCGGTCGGGGACTTCTTCTTCTTCTTCTTCTTGTTCTTCTTCTTCTTTTTGGCTGCGCCGCCGGCAGCAGGCGCCGCTACCTCCTCGCCCTCCTCATCTGAGTCGTCGCTGTCGTGGTCGACGCCATTTCCCTCCGTGGGCTTTGCTGCCTTGCCGTTCGTCGCAGGCTCTCCCACTGAATGACACTGATCAGCCTTCCGGACTTGGTGTCTGGATCATTGCTCGGGTGAGACCGCCTACCGTTGAGCTTCTTCAAAGCTTCTGTGGGAACTTGGGCAGCCATCTTGGCATACTAGATTTCGCGTGTGTGGTGAAGTTGGTGGTGGGAGCGACAGATTTTGAACCCCACCTGTTAAACGCAAGGGCGCGGGGTAAGCCCCCGTAAGCCGTTAACCGGGGTGCAGCTCCTTACCTTATGCAATGTACGCCCTCGTTTCACCTTGCCGTATAAGATCTGGCTTTGTACCCCCAGGCAAAAAAATAAAAATCACTCAACATACAATCAGGTCAGCGATTTACTCGTCTCGTCAGGGAAATAACTCAATGCTCACGTTGAAGTTGCAAGAGGAACCAACGCTGTGGTCACACTTCCTCGAGGAGGACACGCGTATTCTTGCAGATCTGACCGTTTTAACGGCAAGGTTCAAAATCAGATTACTCGTGACTTGCGACTAGCTAGAGGCTGCGCGCGCCAAAGGGCTGGCATCAGTCGGTTAAGTTTGCTTCTCTCACACGTCATTCGGTTCCCTATTTCAGCCTTGACTCGCCTCCTCTTGCCTTGCAAGTGTCTCGAACCAGGAACATGCAACTTTACGCATTTCACTCCTGCATGGGTCCATCCGTGCCTCCAATAATTTTTGCTCATTTCTTATCCTGATCCATTTTACATCCCACGATTCAACCTGAGATGAGCGAGTGATTGAGGTTCAACACAGACATGAGACGACACTTTCAAACACGTACAGCTTCCAACAAGAGATAACAGCCCATTTCTACCTCTTGCACCCAACCCCTTGAGCTCCTTCAGACAATGCGTGTAACCGTCTCTAGTTGACCTTGCACCGAGCACCGGAACCCCCGCAGTCTTTGGCATAGCCGTAGGAGCAGCACTTGCCGCTGGGCGAGCACTCGAAGATGTAGTTGCTGACCCGCTTGGTGGTCACAATGTAGGCGCCGTTGTCGGACCACACGCAGTTGCCGCAGACCGTCAGCTGCTTTCCGCGGCTATTACACTTGCATCCGTTGTAATCGCAGGCTCGCTTCTCCAAGCCCAGCTCCTCCTTTTTCTCCAGCAGGGGTACGAGGTGGTCGGTGCCGGCCCGTTCAGCCAGAGCATAGGGTTCTGCCGGCTGGGAGACACCGGCTTGGGCCGTCACGGCAAAGAAGATGAGAGTCAAGGCTGCGGTGAAGCGCATTTTGATGATTTGCTTCGCGGTAAGCCGTGTTAGTAGATGGCCATTCTCCTGAGCTTCTTTGGTTTCTTCTTTGGGTTCGGGGGCCATACTTGGGTTTATTGGGATTTATAGCCTTTCAAGGAAGGCTTTGGTTAATGAGATGGAGAGTTTGTTGATTCCGCTCAATAACATGGCTCGAGATGATGGCACTTCAATCGCTTTTATACACATTTCGTCCGTACTTTGCGCTCATGCCAATTCAAGAGTAACTGTGTTAGCAAAGGCCGTGATGCAAGGGGACAACAGACTGTCCGTCTTACGCAAGTCATTGAATTAGAAGTAGCTTAACGCTACATTGCCTTAGAGTTGATTTCGGGCTGGATAGCTGAACCAGAGACAACAAAACTGACATATGCAGTTGCTGCGGGGCTGATAAGCTAGTTTGAGGAGATGTTATTCGCTGCTTTGCCAATGTGGTGCAACTCGTAGGCTAAGCTGGGTTCCCTCTACCCGCTTGGAGCGTCATTTGACGTACATTTGTCTTGCTTTCGAACCTCGCATCGCTAGTGTTACTGTCTGGTCATGATCCAGGAGGGCCGAAAACCCATGAGCACATGATTGGTATTAGCATGAGAAGAATTTGTGCCATTGAGTGAACCAACTGAACAGTACAATATAATTACACTAGCCCATGCGGCTAGCCTTCAACAACTCTAGACACATCATATTTCAGTAAAAAAAAGAAACCTGAGACTAATCACCTGAGGAGTCAAGTCAGACAACTAACGATGTTACTCTACCCATCATCCTTGGAAGCTTGGTAGAGCCATGAAGAGAAAATACTAATCCTCAATTACTAGCTCATGAAATGTATCAGGCTTGAAGGCTTCTCTTGGACATCGATTGTCTCTACAACGGTCCTCTGAGAATTGCAGGCGGATAGCGCTTACCCAATTCGCATTGTGTTGGTCGAGAGACTAGTGTTTAGGCTATGTTGCTTTGGACAATGAGTAGGCTTGAGAAGTTTGCGGGGAAAGGAGGATACGGATCCATTACAAGGGTCGCACCGCTGGCCTGCAGCTGATAGACTTCAGCTCGCTTGTCGGTCATGCCAACCAGCTGATGATGCAGATGCGCGAGTATACTAATCGAATCAGTCAAAACGCCACAATGGAGCAAAAGTGCCATGCAGCCCACCCGTCTACTGACTTTAGTCCAAAGAACGTAAACGATACAACCCTGTCTGCACATTATATTTATACTATCTGACAAGGAGATACTCATTTGCGGTATTTTTAAGCTTAGGATTGGACGCGCTTTGAAAATTAAGTCTCGCCTGGAAGAAGCAGTTTCAGGGTTAGCGGGAGATCTATCTTAAAGTTTGTCCGTCTTACTCTCGACATACGTGACTGAATTACAGGTTCACAAGGGTATCAATGACAACAAGAAAAGGTTCACAAGAGACGACGAGGATGCAGGGGTGATTTTGGCAAATCCCGAATATACGAACTGACCGCCATTAGTGTGCGGAGAGGTTGCTCCGAATGACCGACTGTCTACACATCGAAAGCGTTGAGGACAATAGTTTCCAAACTGCACACACACGAGGCATTTTGTGATGAATCACAGAAGCCGTATATGATGCGCTACCGAGTTGATTGTCCAATCCAAGGAATGATGAAATGTGAGCTCTCACTCTACCGCGTCCATCTACTTGAAAGCTTGGCTGTTATCGTAAGCGCCGTTCTGGACGTTATATCGGCTCCAATTTGACAGTAATCTTCTGCTCCGCCTCTGAGATTGTTACACGATGCTAACTGCAGACGCCAACTGGCGTACTTGAACCTTACACACAGGTTTATTAGGTATCAGACGGGATACAAGGGGGAACCCAGGGCTTGCTATGATGTAATTTTCACAGGCGGGGTAATAAAATTCTCGCATGATGTCGAATCAATTAACAAAGCTCTTGATCGACGATGGGTAACAGCCCTCCTCCGCCTGTGCCTTCCCTGAACACAGGAACTAGATATAATTGTGGTCCAGCCTTCAAGAGCTCTCGAGCTTGGACCTCGATGCTAATCTGTAATAGTAGAAATACGCACAGCTATGGAGCCCATGTCCGCAAAGAGCCTCGAACAGCATATTTGATATCAGTTAGGGATTGGGTGGTTTGCCGGCATTGAGGGCGATCTTAGTCCTATCGTTTCCTCGGATATTTTACAATGGGACAAGACCCATGACATTGGTTAGGTGGCATGGTAACAGCTCAAACGATGGCGCCTTTGACTGGGCATCCTCGTTCCCATCCTCCTCGACAGGTATCGATAATCGAAGAAGTGATTTCTGAGGGCGGTCTTTAGATACGGATGCTTGTCAAGTGCAAACCCTATCTAATCAAGAGCTGGGAAGGCACGTTGCCATCACCCAGGGTGATGCCGACAGAAAAGTCGAAGAAGTTCATATCCCGCCGAACATGGAGTCGCCAGAAACACTAGATGAGTGCCCGTTCCAGTCCTGCCCCGAAGACGAGAATACTTCACCTGAAGAGGTCCTGAGCCACGCAAGTCCAATGATTCAGATCCTCATTACCATGTAAAACTAGTAGGCAGATAGCCTCGACACCCAATGCATAATGCTAATGGAAGGAACGGATAGAGGCCCTTTTGAAAAAGGAGATGAAAACATCTTCACGTATTCAAGGGGGCGGTGAGAAAGCCAAGTAGTTCCAGTCTATCAAGGGATCAAATGATTGGCTGAGCTCAACTACCTTCCACTTATGAGTGCTTGTGTGTCTAGAACATGGCCAAACCTTCTTTTGTTTATTTATTCTATATGTATTTTTTCTATTCCAGCTTCTTAACTGTACGGGAGGGCTTTGGCCCACTCTCAGACAAGGCAGCTCACACAGGATTGGCTGAACTTTGCTTCCAGCTGAGCTGAAATGCTCGCTGCGCGTCACTAGTGAGACAGCTGAAAACAGCGCCTGATTGGTCATTCTCATGCCAATCCGGATAGTCAGCTCGCCACGATTCTTTCAGCTGTGATATCGAGAGTAAAAGATGAAATTTGAAGTTATTATGGATTTGCTAAGGACGATGCTATGATGCACGTCTTTGGAATTGCCAGTATCTTATAAATGATGGCAACATTGGCCGCCTTCTAAAACCAGAGCTCTAAGCTTCTCTCCAACCTCAGCTCATACCATATACCAACATTCTTGCCTGTCTGATTCACGATTGATTATCAAGATGACTGAAAATCTTCCCCCACTGCCAATACCTACGGCACCTGTAGTGTCGCCCCTCAATACCTCTATACGCGCCGCCTATGCCAAGGCCTGTCTCGACACCTACCTTCGGGCAAAGCTCTCAGCCGAAGACCCCACCAGAAACCCAAATGACACTTTGCCTCCACCTGAAAAAGTCACCAAGACCGTTGCTGACGGTGCTTGGGAGAAGACCAAAGACTATGCCGGAGACGTTTGCATCGTTGGCGCTGGTGTCTCAGGTCTCTACGTTGCCATGATGTTGAAGTACCTTGGCATCAAAAATGTGGACATATTGGAGGCTTCCAACAAAGTGGGCGGACGTTGCTACACCTACTCATTCCCGGGCAATCCTAGTTGCAAGCACAATTACTACGATGTTGGTGCGATGAGAATCCCAGACATCCCGACCATGAAGTCGTAAGTCACTTGGAATCCGAGTCTTACTCAATGCTAATTTAATATGATCAGCACTCTCAAGCTTATCGAAATTCTCGACATGGAGGATAACAAGCAAGAATACGTGTACAATTTGAGCTATGATTTGCCTCACATGTATAATTACAACCATATGTCCAAGCCAGAGTATGTACAAGTTCCCACAATGGAATCATGTGCTAAGCCAAGCCAGCGGATCGAAATACGAAGACGCCATCAAGGACATTGTCAACAAACTTAGTGTGGACTTCCACGGTGAATTCAGAAGACTCACGGATGGCGATGATGACAACTATTCGACCAGGTCTTGGCTCATGATTAAAAAGGGGTGGGTAACTTGCTAAGATGATACATCACGCAACGTTTAAAACTATTGTCTGGCCGGATACTAACGCAACGCTCAGGTTGAGTTATGACGAAACAGAGTGTGGTGAAAATGCCGATACGTGAGTCATCCCGGACATGCTGGTACAATCTACCCGTGAGCTAAAAACTACCAAAAACCAGTTCCACTGGCTTGTTTGATCAAGCGTTTGTCGAGTCCTTATGTGACTACAGCGACTTTCAGCTTGCGAAGGAGAAGCCCTGGTATCGCATTGATCAGGGGATGGCTACTGTTCCCGAAGCCATGTCGAAATACCTGTCCAGTAAGACTGGGAAGTTCAAGGATGGATCCCCGATCATCAATGTGACTTTCAACGCCCCAGTCGTCGCGATGGGTATGAAGGGGAACAAGATTGAGGTTACACGAACTGATGAATGCGGCAAAACACCCCAATCCAAGAACTACGATATGGTATTCAACACTACCGCTATGGCACCCTTGCAGAGAATGGATCTTTCGAAACTCGGACTGGGACATGATATTCTCTTGGGCATCCGAGCCTTGAGCTATGACCGCGCTAGCAAAGTTGCCATCAAGTTCAAGAGTCGCTGGTGGAAGAGCATGTATAAGAAAAAGGGCGACGTGGGCGGCATCTCCGGTACCGACCTGCCCATCAGCAACGTCGTCTATCCTTCCTGGGACGATGGTACGGACGAGGAAGGAAATGACTACCCAGCGGTGCTCATGGTGTCTTACAGCTGGGCGCAAGACGCGACGCGTATCGGCGCTCTGATTCCCGACTACACCAAGGTTACCCCGAGCCAAGATGATCCCATCGTAACCCTCTGCCTCAAGGACCTTGTTCTTCTGTGGGCAGAGCAAGATGATCCGCCAAGCCTTGAGTTCTTGCAGGATCAGTATGTGGCGCACCACGCATGGGCCTGGTCCCATGATCAGTACACTGGAGGCGCCTTCGCGCTTTTTGGACCAGGGCAGTTCAAACATCTCTACCCCAAATTCCATCAGATCTTTTGCGACAAAAAGTTCATTATGTGTGGCGAAGCCCTTAGCGCCCATCATGCATGGATCTCTGGCGCACTTGACAGCGCCTATGTTGCCGTCCATAGATGGCTTCTGGCCATCGGCAGGGAGGATCTGTGTAAGGAGCTGGAAAGGTCCTATTTCGGACCAGGTGAGAACAAGAATGTGGAGGAATTGGACAAGAATCTTGCGGAGTGGGCCGTGAAGTTAAGTGGTGCTAAAGAACCAGAACACAAAGTTGGGTCGTTGTGGTAGAGCATTTTATGAAAGTTGTTGGCTCAGGTCCAAAGTTGAAGAGTTTTTGAGCCCTGTTTAAAACAATCTGACTAAACAATTTGTCAAGGCAGTGTTCAGTGAAAACCAAAGCGGAGTGGTGCCGGTTACGTCGAGTTTGTTGTCAAGTATCCAAAGGGTCTCCACCAGGGAACCGATATTCATGTAATATTCCATGTGCCAACGAGACACATTGCAATAAAAGCTCTCTGCAGCACCACTCAGAGAGTCACAAGAAGAGGAAATTAAAAACCCTTCGCTTCTTCATCTTGGTGCTTCACAGCCCGCTTTACGGGATAGAAGTGTAGATGGAAGGATTGTCACCCGTGGAATCAAGCCATCCCGGTGGGAGGCAATCGTTCCTTCCCAAACATATAAACCAGCCCTGGCGCTCCTTCTCTTTTATCCATTCTTGTAAACGGCTGATATCAAATCCAGACAAACCCACCCTTCCTGTTCAAGAGAAGGGAGAAGAGTACTCCGCAACAAAAACCTTGCCGTGAGGTCTTTCACTCACTTCTTCCAAAGGTCACCCAAGACCATCGCGACAATTCCTTGCTTAACTCCCCTCCTCTACCCGCAAAGCATAGCTTGCCGCACCACCTTACCCCAAGACACACCCTCACAAACGAAAACAAACAACAAGAGCAACAAAATGGACGATGAGGGCTTCCTTAAGGATTACGAGCCAAAGAAATGCCCCCTTTGCTTCCGGGGCCTCCGCAAGACCAAGCTCCGACAGATACCATGCGGCCACACCATCTGCAACAACTGCGTTGCCGAAAGCTTCCGTTATATCATCAAGCAAAGGTTCTTTAGCAGGCCGTACTGCCATCACCCTATAGCCTGCTGGCACCCGTTCCCAGACGAATGGGCCAAGGAGCTCCTCCGTCCTGGCGAGTGGACCAGGTACCGCGACCTAGCCGATGAGCATCGGGAGAAGGAGTCCAGGACGGCCGTCTATTGCCCCAATCTGGAATGCAACAGCTATATCTCCGTTCGCCGCCGTGTCAAGACCCAAGGAATCGCCAAGTGCACCTGTGGTGGCAAAACGTGCATACTCTGCCTCGAGAAGGCCCATGAGGGTGAGACCTGCCAGGTGGCCATGGAGAGGCGGAAGGCCCAAGGTGTCATCGACATAATCCAGGAGGAGCAAACCCTCAAGACTATGGCGCGCATGGGTTGCAAGCTCTGTCCCGACTGTGGAATGGTCATCGAGAAGGACCAAGGTTGCGACAGTATGAGGTTGGTCACCTTTTGGGGAATGAGAGCATTCATTCTCTGAGGGTTTCGCTGACTGTCTTTGTTTGTTCAGGTGCGAGGTATGTGATAAGCCGTTCGAGTGGAGTCTGGAGCCCGAATTCGGCGCGTCTACGGACAAGGTTGTGAAGACGGCAAGCAAGCACATCTGATTCGGGCACATGATACGAAACGATAGTTGGGTTGTTTCTCGAAACTCAGCCTGCGGTGTCTTGAGAACTGGGTCCAGATTTGGGGACAGTTACCATTGGGATAGGGGATTCATGGCAGCATTGGGCGTAGGTGGGTTGACACGGACAATGTAATCATGCGAGCAAAGCGGGCTTTATTAAGCCTAATTGGCAGAGGTCCATTCAATAGCAACTTTGAGACATCTCTGAGCTCGTGTTTCGTAATGAGATAAGAGAGAGATTTCTTGTGAGACCTTTAGCATGTATGGATCTGCGAATAACTGGGATACTAGGTCGGTTGCGTGATATGTCACCGTGAGCACCAGTGTATGTATGGGCCCCATCACGTCGGTTCCTCACTTCATATGACGGAAAGTGCATGCTTCTACGAAGTCATGGTCAAGCTGCGAGCCTTGCACTTAGATCGTCATCAACGGGTTTGAATGTAGAAAAAGAAGCGTATTAATTGGTAGAAGTACCAGTAAGAGAAGTATCAACGATGCCCAAAGTCCCTGTCCAAACCCCTGCCCCGATCCAGACTATGCTCTGTCCTTCAAAGACGCCTCTCGATGCAACCATATACCCGGAAAGCCAAGAAAATCACACCATCCCTCCCCGATGCTGGAACAATGCAAATGCGGCCCCAGCCTTAGTTGCACTGGTCGCCAACCAGCACAAAGAATCCGCCGCGCTCCGACGCCGTGAAGGCGACGTTGATGTCCTTGTCCACGCCGGCGTCGTTGGCAATCTCGAACTCGAAGCTGAGGCTCTCGCGGCACTGGAAGCTGTTGATGAACTGCACGGTCTCCTCGACCACGGCGTCGTTGGCGACCTTGAGCGGCCCGAAGGAGCCGACGAGGCTGCCCGGGGCGTCGCCGCCGAGAGCGCGGACGTCGAGGCGCGCGAGGTCGCCGCCGCCTTGGTCGATGGGGAAGCCCTGGCCGAAGGCGCCGATGAGCTGGCAGGGGCCCGCGGTGGTGGGGCCGACGGGGAAGGTGAGGACCTTGGTCACGACGGTGCCGGAGGCGAGGTCGGCGACGCCGAAGTTGAGGTCCGTGGCGGGGACGATGCGGCAGTTGGGGTTGGGGGCTGCGTAGCGACGGGCGGAGGGGGTGGTGCGCGCGGAGGCCGAGGCGGCGGCGGCGAGGGCGGCGAGGACGATGTTTGTGAGCTGCATTGTGATGGTTTTGGGGGTGTTTTGAGACGAGGATGGCCCGAGATAGTTCTTGAGAGTTGGGAAGTCGATGTAGAGTGACTTGAGTTGTTTGTTAAGCTGAGGAGGTGGTTGAGGCTGTTGGTGTTGATGGAGATGATGAGAAGAAGGCACTTTGAAGACGAGGAGAACGTCCTGTTATATACGCAAGTCTCATCTCAGATTCTTCAGAGAAAGCCTTCGTAAAGTCCATCGTGATGTGTCGAAGGATGTCAGCTCAGCTACTGCTGCGCCCGTGATCTTACCCGAGCGAAGTTCAGAGACACACATATCACAGTTGTGGCAGAGCTCCCAGTTTCGAGTATCGTAAAACAAACCTCCACGAGGCAAGTTGTCACCCGCTAGCCCATCGCGCGACTCCGCCCTCCACGAGAATGCCCGAGAAAGCCTTTCTGGAAGGATTTAGTCGTGCAGCCAAAACTCAGCCTTACGGGAATCTTGATGAGGTGGGTTCCTCTCCCCAGTGTCCGCCGAGTTAGAAGACAAGCTAAAGGAACGGCGCCCCGTCAGCAACATGGTCCGGGCTCGGTGGGAACCTGCTCAGCCCTGCTCAGCTTAGCTCAAAAAGTCTCACCGCGCAACGGGGAAAATCTGACGAACACCGCGGTGAGCTGAGCTTACCTCCCGTGCGGCGGATTGTGCTCATTGGGCAGACAAAAGAAGGGGAAGGATTGAAGGTGCTGCAGTAGTCCTGCTGTTCCCCGGGTTTTCCACTTTCTAAATATAGGAGAAGCACTGCTCCAGCAGAGGAAGGATTTAGCCTCGTTATGACAGGTCCGTGATGGGCAAGACGCAGTCGACGTGCATCATGGGCTCGGCTTACCAAGACTCGTCTGCAGTGTCGAAAGGCGCGAGGGATCGTGCCCGATTGGACAGAGGCGCGCGGGGCGGAGCAGCTGTTGCATCCTTCTGTCCTGAAAGACGCGATGTAGGATCTGAGCCGGTGACGATGTCTTCAAGCCTATTGTACGTGATAGACACGGCCAAGCTAGAAGTATGCCGCGATGATGTTAAGACATTTACCCTCGGCGGAGGCCAGCATCTGAAAGAAGCCTGGTCCAAGCTGAGGATGTCGTTGTCGACATATCTGCGTCGAGGACTCGCCGACGCCCATACGAGTCGTCGAGGGAAAATTTGCCTCTCCTTTCAGTATTGTTTGCTGATCAAGCTGTCTTTGTCCTGGGATCTTCGACTGGGCGCTGCGTGTAGTGGTCCAGAGGATCGAAATGGCGCCCGAGTGAGGCCGACAACCGTTCGTCCTGGCACCCCGGAAATTCATGAATATCGGATGAGTTTGGCGGGCGGAAATTACTTATCCTACCAGTCCCTTGTGTGGCGACTTTAGAGTCAACGGGCGAGGCGAGGTTATTCGCTGACGGATTGTGTCTCATCTCATGGATGGGATGAACAGTGGGCGCAAAGTTGGCGCCTCGCTCGTGTCGATCAAAACCTTCTTCATGCTCATGTCTGGAGGCGCGTAAAGATCCAACCTAAAAAAGTCATCACCAAAAGGACTAAGGAGCAACAGGGCTGGGTATGAAAGCAATACAGAATCCAAGTCTTCGGCATGGTCTTCGCCTCGCGGGCAAGGCGCGCACCCGCCAGCTGGCTGACCAAATGCAGGTGCTGTCAATGCTGAAGAATGCAGGTATCATTGAAGCGGCTATGCTATCTTCAGTCCACAAGAATAAACACTATTTGGCAGCTGCCCATGTTCATCCGCCCACGACGCAGCCTAGCTTGGATCCCATTACGGGCGAGATCTCAACCCCAATTATCCGGGCGTGTGCGGTTTACAGGCCGCACCGACCCGTCGATGACCCAAAAGAAGGCTCGGCGCTCCTAGGCGCGCTCTTGCTGCTCGCTCAGCTTGCTCATCTGGCTCGCCATGCTCAGGCCGGTGCCCTTCCTCGTCTCCAGCGCCTTCGACCACCTCTTGTTCTCGTGCGCAGGGGCCTTCCCGGTGCCCGTGAGGCCCAGCACCTCCATCAACTCGGGGATCTCGGCGTGGTCCCGCGTGGAGCGCATGCGGTGGCACCAGGTGACCCTCTTCTCCTCGGGCTCGAAGTCGTCGTCGCCCTCGCCGTCGATGCCGTCCTGGCTATCGATGCTGTTCTTTTTCGAGGTCATGGCCTCCTCGATCTGCCGCTCGGCGTACGGCGTCGAGACCTCCGTGACGAGCTCCACGGGCTCGAAGAGAAACTCCCCGCCGACCTGTCTGTGGTCGCCAGACTTGGTGGCCAGCCCGGCCTTGACCTGCTTGAGCCCCTGGAAGACACTCTCCGCGGCGGACTTGAGCATGGACTTGCGCATGTAGGCCGGCCGCGTCCCCAGTGCGAGGGTGCGCGTCATGCCCAGGGTGTCGAACAGGCGTCTCGTGGGATCGGTGTACACGGGGAACGGGCAGCCCGTCTCCTGGAGGTACATGTCAATCAGGCCCGGGTTGCCGCAGCCGACGACGGCGATAAACGTGCTCATAGGAAGACCCAGCAGGGCGTCGGGGGTGATGGATTCGGAGAGGGTGCGTAGGAATTCCTGGCAGTTCTTGGCGGGAGTTAGCAACAGTCAGGTCCGCAGGGAGAGCGGGCGGGCAAAGCAAACTTACGCCGCAGAAGAAGTGGCGGACGAAGATGACAAGGACTCGTCTCGCGACGTTGCGACCGCTGTATAAGCTCTTGAAGGAGTGGCTCTTTCCATGGCGGTCCAGCACGACGTAGTCCTCGATCTTTTTGAGGACCTGGGGCGTAGGGAGGTCGTTGTTGGTCTGGATCTCACCCTCGAAGTCGGCGGGTTTCGTGTTGTCGATTTCCACCGAGGTGTCCCTGGTGTCGTCGCCTGCACGCTGCGTCGTGGAGGTCCTGGGCGATCTCGTGCTCGTGGTTGTGGCGGTATTGGGCGGCTGTACCGACGGGTCGGTTGGGTTGAGACCCTCCTTGGCATCTATTGAGGCCGGCCTTGGGGGAAGATTGGGGCTCGGCTCGTCGCCTGTTGCATCGTGACCGTTCGGCGGGGATGCTCCGTTCGCGATGTTTTTGGGCTTGGGCTCCGAAGCAACCTCCGTGGTCGTGGCAGTGGGATCTGTCGTCTCCGTGGAGATCGTTGCAGGCTTGGCGTCGCCGTTCGTTGGGGCGGGATCAGGATTGGCGGTGGTGGCCGCGGCGGGAGAAGCTGACGGCACGGCAGCCATGACGTCGCAATTCGGGTGGGTTCCGGCGATGTTGGTTCGGGACCTGTGATTTCGAGACGCGCGCGCGGGCAGTGGGTGGTGGCCGGTTTCTGCGTTGTCTGGTACTCAGGCTCGATTAAGTAGGCGCATGCGAAAGATGAATGGAAAAATTGGGTTTCGAGAGGGAGGACGAGACGACAGGTGGTCTTGAAGGAGGCGCAGCAGCTGTCAGTGGCCGGGATGGGATTCGTAACGTGGATAATTGAGGTGCTAAGAAACGGCGGCGGGAGGGGGGCGGACGGCCGATGGAGATGAGAAAGAGGCGGGCCGTGAATCAGGTTCTCTCAGCTGTGTCGCTGCTGCTGCCGACAGGTGCACCAAGCCTGGGCCGGGGGGGTACGCCAGGCTTGCCAGGTTCTCTGCCCACTTGCACCTTGAACATCCAATAGTGGCGGCACTACAGAGTAATTACACTACGAGAGCACAGCACCCAGCGGCACGCCGTTTTTGCGCGCGACCTGCGGTTGGTTGGCGATTGCAAGGGTCCAGCGAGGGAGCGAGGAAAACAGGATGCAGACGATGCGAACGCCACCACCGAGCGATACCAAATCGAGACGGGGATTGACGCCAGAGTGGGAAACTGGGAATGCATAGTTGGGCAACTTGGGCAAATTTGCCGAGTGGCATTCGAAGATGCCTCTGCCCAAGTCGCCCAGGTCCCCTGGCTCCTGAGCCTGTGTTACAAAGTCGCGAAATGTTTGATGTGGGACGCGCACGCGGGTTCTTGGGATGGATTTCTTGGGAGTCCACGGTTCGCCCATGGCTGCTTCAAACACTATCGAAGCCTTTGGACCTATGGATCTTTGCTGGAGGCCGCCGACCGTATCCTCCCAGGTACGCGTTGTTTCATCCGCGTATGAGGTCATGGTGGAGGGCCAAGGCGTTTGTGCTCATTAAACTACGCAGCGCATTCGCGTGGTCGCCAACTGTATTTGAGCCTCATCAAACGGTGTCAAACGTTGGAATAGGGGCTTGGAGAACTGGTTGGTGTTTTCTTTCTCTATCAAAAGCCGATGAGGACCCCTGTACCTACAGATATGTGAGGCTCGCGGCTAGCGGTAGTCCGATCAACCATTATGCTACTCTTCTCACCATGAGATGTGAGAATTCCTATACCGGCCAAGTGGTGGTACTATATTCAAATACATGCCCCTCACAACCAATTGGCCTCTATCCACAACACCCCTCCTCAGCCAAGCGAGGTCATTTCTACCTTCATTTCCCCGGAATGAAGGATAGGCGAGCCAACGGCAAATCCAAGCCATCGACGTACCTAGCCCCGGTACGAATACGTGCTGCGGGCAATTTTTCTGGGCACGGGCTATTTTTACATACTGCGGCCCCCATCATTGCCGCCATACCCCCGTCTGTCCTGGCCTCGCCCGTCTAGACCACCAGCAGCCCAGTGAAGAACCCTCGGGCATACTGGACCCGGCAGTACTGCGCGCTCCACTGTCCCCTAGGGCACAGCGAGCTCAGTGCCCGGGGGTGGGGCCTAGCGCGCTGTAGGCAGCCTCTATTCGTTCTTTGCTGCCCCATGGATTGACCGATTCGGACAGTCAAGGGTCGCTTAGGAAGATCCCCCCAAATGCACGGCCCGCATCTTGCAGTCGCTTGGCTCATGCTTCCTCTCCTTCATTCCACCTTGGAAGCAACGAGTCGTGCACCTCAACAACGACACACCTCGACTCGATTCGCTCGACGGAACCTGTCAACCATGCATCCCCCAAAGCAGCTGAGGGAATCTCTTCGGAACCGCCATTTTCCCCCAGGTGCTAGCGGAAGCACCGGCACAAAGGTGTCCAACAGGGTGCACCCTGAACCACGGGGGTGCTAAACAATCATCCAGCGTCTAGATTCGCAAGATTCGCCTCCATCCCTTTCCAGCCAAACCTTCCTGACACTCATCCGTGCTGGTGGTGTACAGTGAGATAATTCGTCCCTCTGGCATACACCTCGCAGTTTTTAGCGGGCAGAAAGCAGACCCATTCGGGCAAACCCGCCGAGTTTGACTGCAGAGAGTTATTGGGGTGGCTGCTACCACCTGCTCGGCCTCAACTCAGTCTGACGGCCTTCCACCAACACGTCTTTCCCTAGACGTTCCTCTCGAAATCATCGCGAAGGAGCAGCCCAACGGGTTTGGACGGCCGTATCTTTTCCTGGCTGCCATATTCGGGTTTGAACTCGGACAACCCATTGGATGGTAGTGGCGACATGTCCACTTTCTGTTGGCTTTTCCATCAGCTTCACATGTGTTCGATTGATCACGACGTGCATGCCATTTTGCTGTTCTGCATCGACCTTGCCGGTCACGAAAGCCACCAGAATCACCCAGGGCGGTCATTGCGACTCTCGTTCAATCGTCGTGTCTTGTTCCTTGAACGAAAAGTAGTTGTTGGGAACCAATGTCGACCAGCTCATGTTTATCTCCAACGCTATAATGCGCATGCCAACGCCAACGCCAAAGAAAACGATCCCATAACCACGTGTTTCCGTCCCTTTATATCCGTCATGGCCAGATGGGCCAGATGTCCACCCATGCGCTTTTCCCCCAGCCTACAGCCTTCAAATCCATTGTGGGTATCCTGGTCTGTCTGTTCTCGTGGCGGCGGGCTGGAGATAACCCATTTCGGTCTCGACCACGTCGACCTCCGCCTTCCGCTGCTCCACCAAATCCCGCTGCGCCCTTCTTTCGCTCTGCTCCCGTAACAAAGTCTTCTTGACGCTCCGCATCTTGATGTAAATGTATACCGCCAAGGCAATGGTCAAAACGGCCGTGAGGCCGAAAACGACGTTCTTGATGGTGCTGTTCTGCTGCTTCTGAACAAGGAGAACACCGAGGTACACCAGAATGATCTGTTTCGGCAGCGTCAAAAACGTCGACACTGCAAAGTGCCAGAACTTGACATCGCAGGTCGAGAACACCGCCGTCGAGAAATGCGACGGAATGACGGAAAAGCGGATAATGAAGACAATCTGTGAGCGGTTAGCGATCACTTCCTCCTGCCATCAAAACTCAACGAAAACGTACCCAGAAACCCCCATCACGGGTTAACCGCGCCAAAGCACCATAGTTGAGATTTGTCCTCTCCAGCTTGTGGGCCTTTCGTCGCAGCGTGTACTTGAACGCGAACCACGTTCCAACTGTTTCATAAGTCAGCTCAACTGCCATCGGCAAAAAGAACACAAAAAAAAGGCTTCTTACTCTCTCCCAGAAAGGTACCCGCGGCAACGATGGCGAAGCCAATCCACAGACCATACACCGCACCGCACAGAACCGCCACGATCTCGTGGCCGAAAAGAGGCGGAAATGAGATCAACACCAGAATGGCGATCGGAATCAGGAAGCCTGCCGGTAATGATCGGACCTTTTCTGAGAAGGGTCGCAGTTTCTGCAGTCGCGCAACGTCAGCACATCGGCTCCGTCAACACTTTGAAGGGCGATACTGACCTCGACAACTTCGTCATGATGAAGACTGATAAACACAGTGGCTATGATGATGGCAACGCCCAAGAGATGGAATGCTGCACGGGTCTCGTCAGTAACGGCGTTCTATATGGGCTGGGTCGATCGCTCGTACGGATATACTTGGGCGTGAAGAAGATCTTCTTCCAGTTCAGGGGACGGTACTCGGTCTCCTCCTCCTCTTCTTTCCGTTCTCCGGTCCTGGCCATTTCGACGTCGGGCATGATAGGAATAGCCGTCGACTGTTGGTGGTCGGTATCTGATTGTTGGACGATTCGACTCCAACGTCCACGAGAAGAGATGCGATTCCCGGCCATTTTGATAAGAATGAGTGTTAAGGGGGAAAAAGGCGATCATCATGTAGGGAGATGGCGGGATCTGAAATCAATGCGAAACCGGAAAGCGGAACGCACAGCCACCAAACATCGGCCAAGAGAGGCAATAGTCAGTGCTGCGGTCCAGAATTTCGTCGAGTCGTAGGCGCAGCACAGCCGGGTCTCTCCCTGAACCAGGCCTTGCGGGCCTCGTCGTGCACGCTGGGCAGCGGGAGTATCCCCCGCGTCTGGTTCGGGCGCGGGGGCATGGATTCACCCCGGAAACCAGGAGACCCAGGGAGGGCTCTCTGCCCCTCTCTACGGTGGGAAATTCACGTCGTGTCTTGTGTGAGTGCTGTTTCGCGCACGGTAACGTATCATGACACATACGACCAACGCGAATGGGGCACAGGGCGGCGGCCTTTTGGTGTTTCAACCCTGGGCCGATCACCGAGCCGCCGGAGATCAATAATAGCCCGCCGATACCATTTCCCCTCCACCGTGCCGCCGCCTTGTTTTCGACCGCCAACTCTCACCCAACGACTCGGCCATGCTCGGCTTGTTTCTTAGGTCTGGTTATATAGGAAGTTAACCTTGCGAGAGGGCGCGTCGGTACCTAGGGTCATCAGTGTGATCCCGTTTCGACGGAGACTTTCTCTGCCCTTCCGCTCGACAAGAATGGCCCCTCGGCGTTTGCTATACCTTTCGCTCAGATTTGCAGCGACAGGAAACTCTATCACCTGGACCCCAATGCCATTGTTCAGCATTGATCCTTGATATCGAGGCAAGAAGCTTTTCGGGGGCGCCGGCGGGAACGGGGAGCTTTACTGACGCGGGACCTGGCGATCATGGCCGCGGTGGACTGCAGTACCCATTCCAGCTAGAAGCGTGGCCTCCTTGTTAATGAAATCCACCTTCAGGCGCATCAGGAAGTTGGAAGAATGGGATCATGGGCGAAGTGCTTTGGGTAGCAGCGGCTCTGCTCCTCGAGGCACATTTTAGACTCTCAAGAGGCCGCGTGTGCGGCGCGCCTGAGCTCCTCCGGTTGGGTGTGCGGTCGGTCCTTGGCGACTTACACCTAGCGGGCCCCCCCCTCCCCCCCCCCCACTTCAGCGTTGGAGTGAAGTTACTCTGGCGGACTGCCAATGCGCAGCTGGCGGATGAGCCCTCAACGTACGATTCCCCATCTTGCCCATGGCGTCCAAGGAAGAGTTCACCAACTGTGCGTCACGACTGTTCAACCATCCTTCGCCATGCCTTGGTGTGTCAAAGACGTCACGGCCTTGATGTTGATGGCATAGATCTGGAGCTAATGAGTCTGATCTGTGTGCTGTCAGAGACTGAAGCCTAAACAGTATGCCAAGCAGCAGGAACTCGTCCCAGAGATCCGCGGTTCGGGATACCTTGGCTCGTTGCGGCATCCGTGGTTTGCATGACCCATGTGTCGTTACAGACATACGAGCCTTCGCTGCACAGAAGCAGCGCTGCAGCAATACTTGCTGAGGCCACATCGACGTCCGGCCGATGCCCTTCTTTTGCTCATCCGGACGCAGGGCTCGACTGCTATGCGCGACCATCTGCAGCCTGCAAGCTGCCATGAACAACGCCACCGGACGCCAAGAACATCTGGGGCCCGGTCAGGGAGGGCATGGACGTGCAGCGGGCCGCTCTCCTAGCGCCGCCGTTTCCCTCCCGTCGTTGCCATTGGTGAAAGCTTTTTCGTGCAACCTTTCGAGCGGCGGGTGCCCACGTTCTTGGCGTAATTAGCGGGGCAAGGCAAACTAGCGAGCTGTCCGGCCCCAACCCCAATATGATACATCGACTCCTTCCCTAAAGAACGTCGAGTCGAGGAGATTATGGACGGCTTGCTCCTCTGGCCCCCAAACACCGTGGAATGGGATGTTGAGAATAATTAGTAATAACCAAGTATGTCGAAGCTCTCACCACATCTCTGCTGTTCGTGTTCACCGTACTCGCGGACCACCATGTGCTAGTTTCTCGTACTCATCGTCTTGAACGTTTTGGCGTCTCTGACCAGGCTCCCTGTCGATCAAGCCTTGGCCTCTTTCCGCTTTCAGAGCTGTGTTTCTCCGCCAGACTCGCCTTACAGCGCAGATCCTTCCGGAATCGATGACCGCTGCAGTTGGCGGCGCGACTCGCAGGCCATGATATTTGTTGGCCGGGAGCTCTCCCCTAAGCCATCCCTTTATCCTGCCGTTTCCGGCAATGGGAACTATAGTTCAGAATTGTTGTCTTGGTAGCTGGGCAAAGCGTAAGTGGCTAATCAAACGATTGTCTTAGGCAACGAGTCAACATCCAGTCCTGAAAGCCAATGTAAACGACGTGTGCTCAGTGCAATGTCTCGACGGAGATCGACGAGCCAAGAGTGCCAGGCAGAATCCTCAAGAAAGCTGCCAAACCAAGCAGATGTAATGACGGGTTGCCACATTGGTCGAGACAAACTATCCAGTGATTTGAAGCAAGCTTATTGAAGTGGAATTAAGTGGAATTTGGTGGAGGAGTATACCATGGTCTGACCCACTGGTTGTGTATATCACTTCCAATGAGGTGCATCAGACAAGGCCTCGAGGCATTTTCCTGGCTGCGGTGATCACAGGTTTCCAGCTCGAGTTGCAAACCGCTCTCGTAAGATCTTCAACTCTGGCTTGCGGATCATTTCAACGAAGAACGCGAAGGGAGACGAGAGCGGCTTCCGTACGATCTCACTTGGTATAACCAGAGGTAATGAGCTATTCAAAGGCCACCGGAAAAGTTATAAAAGGCCGGCGTCGAGGACCTCGTTTAACACCGTACTCGCACAATTACAGCAATCATCATTATCGCACGCAGCATCCCATAAGCCCTTACAACTGAGATCAATTGCAAATCCCTCCCTCGTCTTGAGATTCTGACAGCACCTACGTATCAAAATGCACTTCTCCAAGACCATCCTCTCTGCCGTCACATTGGCCCTCTCTGCAGCCGTCATCGCCAGCCCTGTCGCCGAGCCGGTGGCTGAGCCGGTGGCCGAGCAGCAGCAGCAGCACGAGGGCCGCGAGCTGTCGGCCGAGTCCATCGAGTTCATCAAGCGGGCCCTCCTCGAAGACCGCCAGGGGTGGACGTGCTCTTTTCTGGGCGGCGATCAGGGGTGTCAGGTGAAGGTACGTATGAGCATTATGACAAAAATGAATTATCCAGTTCCTCCTCCTCGGCCCCTGGTGATGGAAAGCAAAAGGGTTGAGCTGCTATGGTACCGCTGATTGCTGACTTTGGTTTCGGGACTGTAGTGCTTCCTGTTGAAGGGGACTGGCGGATACTGCGCGAAGAAGTAAGTTCTGTGTCTAAGCTGTTAGTTCTAGAGTGATTGGCTGCTAACAAGACCTCAGTGTTTGTACTTGTCACTGAAGAAGTGGTCTACTCGGTTGGAAGACCGTGTGGAGGAGGAAAAAGAACGTTGGGGGTGGAGATTGTATCCCTCCTAGAATAACTCTAGGACGATTAACAAACTTTGAGGGATACGAGAAGAAGGAGGCGGGGATAAAAGAGAAGATGGAGGAAGGAGACAGACTTGGGGTACTCTTTGGTGCTGTTTTCATTCGTTGATTGCTCCGGAATGTCTTGTTCCTGAGACAGAAGCTTTTGGGTTGCTAAGTGGAAGTCATGCTACCTTGGTAACCCTGATTTATATTCTTAGGAAGCCCACGTTCTTCACTCAAGACTTGCCTTACGGAAACGGCTGACACTCAGTCTTTTTTTAAGCTCTGGTTGTCCCTTGCTAGTACACAGTGGTGATCTCCGAAAGCACAGGAGTAGCCCTACGAGATGGCACATCTGTCGGAGATACCATGAGCACACCACCTATCAAAGCCCCTTCTTCTCAAAGACTCGTCTGGAAATATTAAGTGGTGGTTACTTCAAAGATTCTCTCGTAATCCAAAGCAAATTTTGTCACCTCCATGTTTTCACTATTCAACCATATCATCTCCGGCATCAAACACATTAAAACAAAATTCAAGAAGCCCAGGGCCGGCCCCAGAACTAGACCAGTACCCATGCCCATCCAGAAGTCCACTGCTGTAGAACCCAGGCCTAAGATTCAAAAGCTCAAGGAGGCAATCGACCTGCGCATTGGAGGAGCACACGTCCCGTTCGAGGTGATTAAAGTCAGGGACAAGGATGGGTGCAAGCTCGTGCATGTCTACGCCCACATACCGGCCGAGGACGGCGATTCAGACTCGTCTGATACCGAATCCGATTCCAGAACAAGAATCGAGATTTCACTGGTTACGGATAAGTGGTGGAAGGACGTCGCCGGCGAAATCATATACGTCGCCGATGGCAACTGCGACGACGGCGGCAAGGTCATTTCTGTGCTCCTTTGTCTGGTTGATCCGGAAGACGAGGTGGAGCAGGATGAAGAGGAGTTTGTCAAGGCCTTTTACGAGCTTGAGCCGGAAAATGCCGATTTCTTGTAATATTTCAGAGAATGAGCTTCTGTCTGCTTGTTGCTGGATACCCGTGGTCGAAAGGTGGTCCATTCACAGGGACGTCGGATCTCCCGTTGGGCACCACACCCTGGGTTCTGCTGTGCCAAAACAACCAAGCTAATCGCGTTAGCTAGCGTCAGTGTCGAGTGCCGAGGTATGAATGTATGGTGGGCTTGTCGAAGTACCGTATGGTTTACCACTAAGCCGTAAGTAATACCCAACGGATTCGTGGTCATAGGGGAGGTTGTAATACTGTGCCAAGAATGTTTTGGTTGAAATGAGCCCGGGTATAGAAAAAACTTCATGTGTGCAAGGGTAGCGATGGCTTGGGAGCCAGTAAAGGCTTGAGCTCTGGCGCTGCTACTAGTATTGGCATTTGCGTCAGTGCCGTGGTGATTTTGGTCGGCCTTTTGGGATTTCAGTTTTCAAGACAGAAGATAGGAAAGATATGTGGTAGCTTCGAAGGAGGAAGGAGCACAGTCAAGAGTGTGTCTGGTAGAGTTGCCTGTGGAAATGAAGTAAAACTTTGTGAGGTACGGAATGGCTTGGATATCAAAGCCTATACTTACGATTCGAAAGAAAACACCTTTTACCATTCGGTATATACGTGTAGGTTTTGCTTGCAGCGTCATGCCGCATCAGTCAGGCGCTCAAATGGGCTGTCTATCAGCCTAGCCATGTTCAGATCGTTGCTATTGCTGAAATACCTACTTCTTCCAATATGTCGTGCGATCAATGTACAGGAGATGCCTTAGTAGCTCAGTGGAATTAATGGTCAAGTTGATCAAATGTCTCGCATCCCGCGGAAGTCCGCTTTTTGGGAAGTCGTACAGCGCTTCCAGGTGAGCCCATCTGAGAACTGCGTTGTTATATTCTCCATCAAGCAGTTTCAAAATACGCGAATGCCTTCTCGGCTAGCCGAACTTACTACAGATAGCATCAAGCGGGCACCAAAGAGAGTCAACGCTGTACAACGGGACACAGATACAGTCACAAGCCCCTTGTTCTGGGTGGCATGGTCTCAAACATCCAGTCTTGAGTTGCAAAGGGCCATGAACGGCTTTGGACACATGAATCAATCTTCTTGGTAGCTACCGCTACGAATCCATGTAGTATGTAGCGTTTTGAGAAGTATGGTTGAGTGAGAGTTAATAGTATCAGTCCGGCGTTCTTTGGTATGCGAACACCGCGCGTTGAATCGTGGATCGGCGAAGGTTTTATAGGTTCCGCTAAGCCACTCGTGCCAAGTGATGTGTCTTATGACCGTAGTTGAATTTAGCGAGAGAATTCACAAGGGTCAATTGTGAGTAGCAGTTAAACATGCCCTTTTCCCTTTTGTCCAATTCCGAGTTGGATACAATTCATTTGAGAGCGGGCTGCACTGGTCTTTCCTTGACGCCTGGTGATTGGATAGACGGTTCAGCTAGATGCCAGCCAACTTGTGAGTTCAACAACAAAATAAATTGAAAACATAAGAGAGGGTAGTATTGAACAGCTAAAAATAGAATTTGTCTAGGGATCGTGGCAGTAAGTGTGAAGTGTGGATGTTGGTTTCGAATTGGCCGTCAAGCGGGTGACGTTGCCGGAAAGACTCATGAGCAAGATCCTGTGTGGACAAATGCCTAAAATGCCTATTCATGGGAAAAGATAGAGGATAGTCCTCGGTCTTCCTCAAAACCCCGATTGCGGACCCCGATTGATATTGAGTCATGCCGTCTTTCCCCTTTCAATTGTCGTGGGCCTATCGGGCGACTTTTACAATCGTGAACCAAACGAGTACGGAGCCTTCCAAAGTTGAAAAGATTGGAGAAACAATCAATTGATGTATTTCACGTCATAAAATTTTATGGAGATTGGTAACTCCGGCCATCTACTTTAAGTTGTAAGTTCAACGCTGTTGAGCCGGTTACATCTTGGCAAAACAAGGATATGGTTTCGATCGACACGAGGTATTCTATTTTACTCTGCTGTTTTTCTCCACAGGAAGTGGCAGTGAGAACTTGCCGCGCGCAAACGAACTGATTAGAGTTTATGGTAGGATGAACCATAGCTTAAGATTTTTTTGCACTCGGATTCCCCGGAGAATGGAGATTGGTTACTTATGCATTCGGGAAAACTTCGACGTAGAATCTGGCATCAATATAATATGCACTGGAGGGGCACACTCACTCCACACCGATTTCGTAAGCAAAAGTAAATTCAGAGGGATCGACGAATACAAAGATTTTGGTTCGGCGCAGCTTTGTATAAGAACCGGCAGCACCGGTGCTATCCTTGGGTGATTAGTCGTTTCAGCATTAACAAACAAGCCACTCGTTTTTAAGGACTACTCAGCACTTTGTACAATCCAGTCTTTGAAATCAATTTCTATAATCTTCAAGATGCGCTCATTTACCGCCATTGCTGCTGCCCTCCTGGTAGTCGGAGTTCAAGCTGCTCCTACCCTCGAGAGCCGCCAGATCATCTACGGGTGGTAAGCACTCCCTTCCACCACCAGAGAGACTACTACTAGCCGTGACTATCGATTCATCTTTTGTATCAATTCATAACTGTAAAGACTAACTTTGTCGAAGCTACTTCACCGGCGATGGCATCGTCAACCAGTACGTCAGCGTTGGCCACGATATTGACGTCACTGGTGCTACCGACAAGACTTGGACCCTTGATTGCGGCACCACCTCAGAACAGCTTGTCCCGAACGTCTTCGCCAAGTGCACCGTCAATGGAAAGCAGCCTTTCAATGTTACTGCCAATGCGAATGACAAGAAGTACGTGAAGAAGGTCGAATATGCAACGATATCAAGACTAACTATTGGCTTTCTCGCAGCGCCATCAACTGCCCCATTTATTAATTCAGGGTCCGTATTGTTTTGTGGTCTTAGGCAAGATAGCCGAATTAATCGACTGTGTCAATAAATAGATACCTAATTGCAGTCACTTGAGACGTCTGACTGGATTCAATACCGACTTGCCTATTCGACGATTGCTGCATAATCAACTAATTTGATGTCCTGCTCCCCGGAACCCATCAAACTCTATGTGGGTTGTGAAAGCAGCCAATTGATCTTTCTATCATGTCTCTTATGTTTTACTCTCAACTCGATTCAGTGACACTGTGATCCGTTTCTAGATGCGCCTTTATACCGTCCGACGGGTCGAGATATTTCCCTACGCGTGCGATGAGAACCGACCGAAATCGACCTTTGCTGTGTTTAGGTTAGTGGTGATCTTGGTTTGGAACAAATTAAAAAGATGCTCGTCGAGGTTAATGGCAAGAGCCGAGTACTTACACATGCTTTACTTGTTCACGCAGTGCTATCGGTAGCCGAATTTGGCATCCGACATTCAGTCTATCATCTATGTGACCGAATACCTCTGGGAGAGTCATTCAAGGCAAGGCGGAGGAAATATAGCACAGCTTGGTGGAGGTCTCAGCCTAAGTGTTCGAGAGGAATGCCTATATCACGCTATCGTGCTGGTCGAAGCCTGCGTAGGTGTATTGCTTGAGGGTCGGAGAACGAAGCAAGGGGTTTCCCTTGATTCGAACTCCGACTGTACCATGGCCCTGCTTTTCCACCGGCGATGTTGATGACTGTGGAAAATGCGCGCTGGTATATTTAGATGCATGTTTTCTGTTGAGTCCAGACAGTCGACCTGTTCGTCTTGTTAATCAGAGTACCTCTCAACTCATAGGTTGCTGTGTTCTAGAACCTCTTTGTTGCGACTACGTTCTCAACCGTTTTATGAAAGGATTCCATTTGGGACCGCTAGTAACATCAGTTTTGATTCTTATTTGCTTTGTGTGATATCACAGTTCAGACGTTAATGGTTATTAACTTGATTCATGACGTCAGTTATATTGAGGATATGCCGTGTCCTGCGTTTAAAAGCCTTCTTTGTGGCCCTATCAATGTATTGATATTATTCCATCGATCAACTGTGTAGTTTCGTATTTGTATTCAATATTCTAGGACTTTCCTATCTTCACAGTAAGAACATACAGTTCCGAGCTCTAGGAACCTACCAGTAGTATGGCAAGATTGGTAAGATTGGTATTTCTTTCCATAAGCGGACGCCAATACATAAATATTGAGAGATCGTGCTAGCCCAGACGTCTCCATTGCTATGTTCCTATGCCTTTGGCGGCCTGGCCTTGGGACGGGCATGGGGAGTCACATCGTCATGATATAGTTGCTAATAGTCGACTGTTACCAGTTATTATCGCGGCCATGCGAAAGAGCTGTGTTGGCTTCTGTTAGGATACCCCGGGCGGAATGCCTCACTAATCTAGTCCCCGGACGAGTGAAAGTGCCGGCTTAACCTAGTGGCGCTCCTGAGCGACAGCATCCCATATCTGATTCAAACCATGATTGAAGTCAATGACGGCCCAGCCATTGCAGGGATATGAAGGATCAAAACGTCTTGCAATTGAAGTACTTGGTACAACATCAAGGGATTCTTGGAGGTAATCACTAACAGCTTATTTGTGCGATGCCACCACAAACTGCATCACAACCCTAAACCTTTCAATGAGAGTTGAGTGGATTCAGCGCCGAAAATCTGTTTAGAAGTCTTTTGAGTGGGTGAACTTAGTGGGGATGAGGTTAATACGATGTATTCGAGCAAGTTGGGTGGCATAATGAGTCGAGCCGGTCCTTTAGGCAAAAGTAACAACTGCGCATATATGCAGAATACTACAGAGAGTGCGAGATTGTTGCATGCTCGTGCAACGAGCACAACATGAAAGTACCGACTTGTCATACCTGACTTGCGTCTACTAATCACTGGTAGTTCTATTACCAACCCTGATTCTGGGCTTTACACTCTTTGAACATAATTTAGAAAGCCCGTAGAGAGTTTGCATAGAGCCTAGCTTCTTGTTTACAGAAACAGTATCAAGGTATGATCTTTCTTAATGAAAATACCTAAACCTAGACTTGCTCAGAACAAACAAGACGGAGCTTGTAATCTCTACCATAAGCCAGAGGGGGCCCTTGGAGACCCATAATCTGACGTGCTCGTCTTATTTAGCCACAAAACTCTTGTAAATGAGCGGAGCGTGTTGATTATGTACTGATTTTGAACGAACTACGATAGAGCAGTGCTGAATGGCGCTACTATTCGTAGAGCAAGAATGCAGTACTGATTGAAGGTGGCTCAAAGCGAACACACTGACCGAACACGATATCTGATCCCTAGATCCCTGGATTTATGCGGTCTTCGGCCCTGTGTTTGCTTTGACAACAACGGCGCAGGGGTATCCTACAACCAGACCTGTGGAGCACATGAACTGTGACACCAACAGCGACTAAAAAATCAGATGTTCTAGTCCAGTTGAAGCAGGAAGTCGATTAATCAAACAGAAGCTTAGCCGTACAAGCATCCGAATGACCACACAGTCCGACAAGACCCAACTGCATTGGGTTTAGCCATTGTTCATCACCGCTAATAAGATGCAAGTCTTCGATTGCCGTTTTAGTCGACAGAACTAAAAACTGCTAGTGAAGCCGAATACAGCCGAGAAAACAGCCTAGAAAACAGCCTATTGGCTACCGTCGTCGGACTCTGTTGACTTGGCTCATGCTGACAGATGCGCAACATATGCGAGGACAGGCTGGATCTTGCAGATAGCTCATCCAATGTGCGGCACGTAAATTTGAAACCAAGGCGGCCGGTATCCTCATGCGGGCGACCCATAATTGCCGGTGGGCATCGCCGCCTCAATGGTAAGTCAAGGACCTTGCCCCCACTCCAACCGTTTCCTGGTACCCGGATACGGAGGTTCGCTTGCTTTTCTTGTTTCCACTCCAACATCGCCGGCTCCGAGCCATCCCCTCCCGATATACGTCACAGAAACTCGTCTGGCTCCGAGGGTTTTCGATGTTGAGGGGATAACATGTGCTCTAAGCTTTTGAGCGTGTATGAGGTATTGACCCAGAAGGGTCTGGTGTATTCTCAGCACGTCACCATTGGCGATACAAGATAACCTATGCCCGCAGCTTGTTTTTCTTACGATTTCTGCTTCTGAAATATTACCACAAGCGCTGTTTTTCAGCATTCGCGATCGAGATCGACGAAGTTCCAAGGGATTCGATTAGCATTGCATCAGCGCCCCCGCATTTTGATTTTTGGATACGCATCGAAGAGAACGGCGCCGCTACCTGCGATTTCCTACAATGATCGTACAGAAGACATGGCCGCAATACATCGCAATACGCGTCCTTATCGTCATGATGAGAGACATAGGCTTATTAGGCTTCACTTATTTCTATGCTGTGTTTGCTCTTGGAGGCGTTAAGGCAATTGCTCATCCAGTCTCTATTTTCATCGAAGTTATTGCTGCTATTGAAATTGTTTTCTACCTATTTTTCTTTCTGCCATACAAATGGTACCTTCAGACATACAAGCCTTACTGGCCTCCACGGATGAGTCGACCACAGCGTGCTCGCTTATTCCACAAGATGCTGAATCTTGTGCCAGACGGCGAGGACTTTATACGAAAGTGGATGTTGAACGCCCACATGGAGGATATCCGGCGAGAAAATTTGAAGGACTGGCTGCTTTGGGCGCTGTTCGAGCACGACAACATGGTTAGCCGACCTACGGCGGAAATTAACAACGAAGTCGAACAATACATTGAAGCCGCAGAAGAGAAATTTGGGATCAAGCTACGTCCAGGTAGAGGAAACGCTGAACCGTTACGGCTTATGTTTGATCCTGTGATTATCCAACATCGCAGCTTGATCTACTATCTGGTGAGTCGAGAGTCTGCTAGTATTTTCTCTTTTTATCCCAAAGTGCATTCAAATGAACTCTACAGACAATCAAAGACGTATTATAGGAGTCTACTGTCTGCTATCTACTATCTATCATGTCTTAGCTGACTGAGCTCTCTTCAGGCAATTGGGTTCTTCGATAACTTAATGGCTTTATATCTCCTAACGCAAGGGTACCATTATTTTAAGCAACCACTTTCAACATTCTTCAAAGTTTTTCCGCTTCGATTTATCAATCTCTTCTCATTCAAACATTCCGCCGCCAATGAGATGTCGTACTGGTACCGTCCACATAAATCTGCCACCAAACGCCCCATAGTCTTCATCCATGGCCTAGGTGTCGGATTGATTCCTTACATGTTTTGGCTTCACACCATACCCAAGGACGTTGGTATCCTTGCCGTCGAAATGCTACCAATCTCATCCCGCGTAACAGCATACCCACTTGCACCAACTCCCGAGCTCTGCGAGATGATTGCAAAGTGCGTTGCGCAGCAACGAGCCTCACAGCCGGCTCCTGGTCCAGGAGAGAGGGGAACATGGGACGATTTCGTTCTCATTGGAAACAGTTACGGAACATTGTTGATGGGGCAGCTATTACAACGAGCAGATTTTGCGCCAAGAGTCGCAGCGACTATCTTGATAGACCCGGTGTCACTTCTACTCCACCTCCCAGATGTAGCCTTCAACTTTACACGCAGAGAGCCAACGCCATCTGTACGTGGACGGACGGGACACGGCAACGAGTGGGAAATTTGGTGGGCCAGCGCAACAGAGGCTGGGACAGCATATACACTTGCACGGAGGCTCTGCTGGCGAGAGTCTCTTATGTGGCGTGAGATGCTGACTCCTAGCTTGCGGAGTGTTGAAGCTGGTTACTATGCCTCGGGATCACCGGAAGAGATTGCCATATTTGGCAACGGCGTTCAAGTAGGAATGCGTAGCACCGTCGTTCTTGGTGGGGAAGATTGCGTCACTACTCCTAAGTTAGTGGCTAGTTACGTGTATTCCGGAGGTGTCGAGTGGTCACTGGATGACCTTGAATCTTGGAAGCGATATCAATGGACTGGAAAAGAGGAGTTGGAGTTGATGTTTATTGACGGGAAGGACCACGGGCAGGGCATCATGGTTCCTTATCCGTACAAGCCAATCCAGAACGTCATCGAGACGTACTGTCGACGAGACGATGGGTTCGAGGCTTTCGGAGACAAATTTATTGGCGGACCTGAAAGCATGTATGGTATGCGAGAACAGACGCCAGAGGTTGTAGAGTTGAAGAGCATGTAAATGTTTGTGATCATCTACACGTCAGAGATTATACTACTTTTGTACATTGGTCCGTGATTGATTGCATTCATACCACCTATTAGATATGTTAGGAAATGTTCTGGCATGCCTCTCACACAAGCACGTTTTCATCGTCGCAGTGATGTTTTATAAGTACTACTGCCGTTGAAGCTGTATGGTCGAAACGCATTTCGCTAAAATCAAACAGTAACAATCTTAGACTTCGGGTGTGTGACTGAGAATCTGCAAAACAAGGAGGTAAATGTCAACCCCCAAGACCTTACTTTCGTGGGTATGATCAGAGTGTGCGTGTTGGAGCTAAGGTTGTGGTTCGTAATAAACAGAACTTGTGCAAAAATCCCCTAAGATACAGGAACTTCAACCTCAATGACACTAGTTGTGTCAGGTGGCTTGTTCCAGAACTTGATAACCTTGAGTCCAACTGAATCAAACAGAGCCAGCCACTGTTTCTGTGTGCGCTCCTGCCCAGCCAAACAGACCATCATTGCGATATCAAACGCAGCAGGGCCTATGAGACTTTTTTCATCGTCCAATACGTGGTCATGGATGAGCAGCCTGCTATAGCCAGGCTTCATTGCGCTTTTCTGCATTTCCAAAATCTTCTGAGCTGAGGCATCAGGCCAGTCATGGATGATATGATGCATAAAGTATGCACGCGCGCCTGTTGATTTGTTTGTCAGTAATGCATACAAGTGCCCGTGCTAGGAGCTTTACTTTTTACTGGCTGCGGCGTGAAGAAACTGTACTCTAGCTTGTTGACAGTTTTCGGGATGATCAATTTGGTGTGTGCATCGGCGATAACTTCTGGAAGATCTTCGAGATAGAGCCGAGAAGCTGCTTCTTGGTAGACAGTATAGAATCTCAAAAGATCTTGGCCGATGCCTCCGCCAATATCGACAAGGAGTGGAAGGTTTGGATCCGATTCGTCCACAAGCTTTTGATGAGGATATATGTCAATCCAGGCTGGCTCTTTGTTTGTCGAGACCTTCTGAAGAACATTAAACGACTCTCCAATCTTTGGGTTTTCCTTCAAATAAGCCCACAAGTTATCAACATGACCGATGAATTTCTTGGATACAGGGTTATTAGGGTCAGTGGGATTCTTATAGCCATTCTCTGCTAAATATTCAGGTACCAGATCGAAGGCATGCCGGCTGAATATGTAACTGTGATTGTGAGAAATAGTTCCCGTTTCCGATGTGGTAATACTGACTAAAAGTCGGTGAGCGTGTCGAACTCTGGATTGGCGAGTTCAACAAAAAACTTGTTTGGCTTGAATTTCCCAACTGGAATCTGCTCAAAGAAACCATTCGCAGCCAAGACATAAAGGAACCGGTCTTCGGCGGTCAGCTCTGCTATCCAGGATCATGTTGATAGTCGGTGGAATAAAACAATCTTACGGAGAAGCTGAGGATCACAGTTTCCAACAAGTTCCGCAAGTTGCGCACTCGTCATAGGAATATTGCCCTTCTCATGCCACTTAACCATCAAATGTAAATCCTTGATGATCTTTAAGCCGGCCGCAACACTGGGCTGTCACGTTTTTGGTCAATATGTATCACCACTGATAGGTCACTTGTAAGGAACTTTACCATATTCATGTGGAGCCTAACGTAGGTCTCCCATGGTGACTCCAATTTGGCAATTGCTTCATGTGTTGCTCGCAGTGCTTCAATTCGGTCTTTCTCAGACATGAACGATGACGCTGTGACATCTTTTACGGCGCACAAGTATTCGTGACCGCGAGTGGGTCTGCTGTTCATAGCATTGGCTGCGCTTGTCCCTGACAACGACATTGTAAGTTAACGAGGAAATGGGATTGAAAAATAGAAATTAGATATGGTGCTTTTCTCAAGGCAGTCGCCGAGAAAAGAAATTCTTTGTAGGTCGTCCCCTTTTTAAATCTTCGGTATAGGGTATGAAATGACAAGTTGGTGCAGTATCTGAGACTATGAGCTGATTCTTGCACTTTAATAACACAAAATAGTCCTAGCCAAAGACCGGACGATATGCATCTTAATCAGGCGAGAAATGTGCATGAGCACCTTATATCAATCCTATATTTTAACTTGCATTGAAGCACATTGCTGAAGTCCTGGCGACGGGAAATACCGTAAGGCTAGTTTGTCTCAAAAAAGGAAGGATTTCCCTCGTTGCGCTGGTCAGTTTCAAGATCGATACTGAGTTATTGATGATCTGAGTTAAAAGTGCGGCCAATGAAAAAGTTCCTTCGGAAAACCTATCTTCATGATTGATGGTTGATTTGGTTCGAACAGTAAAAAATGCATCATCGCTGTCAGAGATACTGACGGGATCACCGGGAATTTAGAGTTCAAGGGTACAGTGAACGGTCTGTTTCGTTGAAACTCTAGTACATCGGCGCGCACCCCCAAGAAAAGTCCGCCGGTTTGGTAGGCGGGCACGCGCCCTCAAGAAAAACCCGCTGGTTTTACTGCTTCTATACCCTACCAAACCGGCGGACTTTTCTTGAGGGCGCGTGATCGGTCAGTTATCAGAAAGGGTTTCAGGGTCTGACAAAGCTCGATTTTAAGGGTATTTGCACAGACTTTGGGCTTACTGAGAACAAACAATCAGATAATATTCGGCTCCAGCAAGAGGCCAAAGCAAAAGTTCCGTTTCCGCCGAGGTCAATATTTCATTCCACGTAGTTCTTCAATTTCACAGGCATAGTAGCACACCTTTGCAGATAAATGACTGCCAATTAGCTAAGGGAAAACTTTGTTCCTCTTAATGATGTTGTAGAGTCATTCTCGTATGTCGCATTCAACCTCAGCTAGCTGACCACCAACCTTTGCTGATACGCTTCAAGAAATAGATGGCTAAAACGCACTTCCAATTAAGTGTTTGCCTTTGCCATATTCTGGCAAGCCATCGGTAAGCAACACAGCTCGCCATCTGCGTAATCATTGCGATGTCTTCCACGGACCTAAAAGTGACCTTCGAAACGCAACGGTTCCAAGAGTCTTCTCGACCCAAACTACTCAGAAGGATATTAAGTTGGTACTCCAATAGTACCAACTAATGCATAATAATTTCACAAAGAGCCTCCGTTATTCTACGTGAGGATCGCCAGCTAGGTTTCTGACGAATGCACGAAATGTCCAGGCAAATCTAGTAATTAAACACTGGGCACAGTCAACCAACGCAACTATATATATCATTCACTTACCATAAGATTGCAACAGAGTGAGTGATGATACAGTAACTTAAACCATCGTAACAAGCTTGACTCGCTCTTGGTAGACTTGTAATTGTTGTCGCGCGGGATATTTAAGGATTTGTCTCACCTCGTAAGGTTTTAAATTATGACACTTATTTGAGGGTTTTCTCCTGTTTCGTCATTTTGTTACAAATGTTTCCTAATTTTCAGTCAAAACAAAACCAGTAGAGCAGACAACTTCGTTCTTCCACGCCTCCGATAAAAAGAGAATAATCACAACACACAAGACTCACAGTAATAGTCATGATCACTTTTTTCTCGGGCATGTTACACTAGGCAGAGTCTTAGATGTGTTGAGCACGCCAGTATACACAAAAGGAAAAGGTGGAAGCGCCGAGACAGCGTGTCATGTGTCAAATCCTGTTCAGTCGAAGTGAACCACTGCAGAAATGTTCTCTCCAAGTTCTTAATCGAATTATTTCAATGAATTGCTTGTTACCATCTTGGATTTTGTAATTTGAATCACAATACGCAATGCATAATAACCATTGGACGAATGAGAGACTACAGGTACTCACTCACTTCATCCAGAGCTAGTGGGGACAAACACTGAAACAGCTCTTAGATTATCTCAGCTCCCAAAGATGAGTTACGTGACAAAAAGCAATTTCCTTTGGTCCAGGTTCCGGGCTCGGATCTAGCATTGCCATTGACCGGCGCCGCCTAGGACCTAAGCTTACTAGTTGATGGGGCCTGCCGGTGGATTTTAGTGTAAGGCGCAATTGACACATTCCCATTTAACCAATCATTGATAAGATAGTGGATCGTTCATTATGCCAAACGCTACTTGAGCGCCATGTGTGTTCGTTCCGGCAGCTGCTCTCCCATTTTTGTGCAGACATCGTGGAAGTCACATCAACCTCCAGCATCAACACGCGAAAGACACATATCAATCACGCATATATCACTACGCTACAACAGCATTCTGTCTGTTTGTGCAGCAATAGGAGTAGTGATATACTCGACCACGACGTTGCCACCACTGAGACAACGACGGGAAGGTTGCAACCGCCTCAGCGTAATTTGTAACTCGGAGCATGGACGACCAACCCGATAACTCCCCTTTGTCGGCGAACCCATTCGTCAATCTCGCCGAGATTTCCTTATCTCATGGTTCACAACCTGACCTTACGTTGGGACCCATGACTAGCGACGACGCCCTGCGCTATGCTACTGTCGAGCCGTCCAGCGGAGAGAACTCTCCATATGTCTTTGACGGTGCCCTGGATTACGTTAGCGGTGGTTTTGGAAGCGATTGGACGACGCCCCTGACATCGTGTGTCAATTGTACTTCCTGGGGTTATCAATGTCAGACTACGCAAGAACGTGAACCCCAGAGTTGCTGTATATCATGCGCATCTCTTGGGTGTGAATGCAGCTTCTTGGAAACTGCACCGAAACTCCCCGACAACAATAGCATCAATGAACTCATGAATAGCAGTCGCTTAATGTCGGTCCATGATCAGCATTCGCCGATAGAAGACGACTCACATCGGTCAAATGATCCTTTCGAACCGAAAACAACATTCGTTACATCAACTCCCCCTCCGCCCAAGATCGGTACTAGATTCTCACGAGATTCAACTCGCATACTACGGCAATGGCTTTACTCGCGTAGCCACCATCCATATCCAAGTGAAGAAGAAAAGAAAATGCTGCAGCATCAAACCGGTCTGAGCAAGGTTCAAATCACTAACTGGCTTATTAACGCCCGTAGGCGCGGAAAAGTGCCAAGCCACCACCGGTCGACGTCTCCATATTCCACAAGCAACGCCGGGACAGGAATCAAGCCTGTAGATATACCTAAAAGGCCAGGAACACCAGCTCCTAGGAGCAGTCCTCGATATCAGAGTTTGAATCCTCTTGAGCGGTGGGTTGATTCGCCACCAGAACACGAACCAGCCACCGTTACCGCTATCGCTCGCGCCGTGGCTTCTAGCCATGCGACCTATTCAGGTACGTCTTTTTACCTAAAGACGGTTTCGAGACCGATTCCGTGACGGTAATAAGTATCTGACCTTTCCATAGCTGCAGACGACAGCTACAATGCCAACTTCACTGATGATGAAAGGTCGCGGTCATTGTACTGCACATCGTCTGCAAGTAGTGCTGGCACCTCTAGCGGAGGTTCTTTTGCTTCTGTCTACTCCCACAACTCAAAAAATTCTGCGAGCTTACCTTTTCCCACGGTTCGCAGTCGGGCACGTCAGAGGAAGCGTCCAAAGCGAACGTCATTAGCCAACCCTCAGAATCAGTACCAATGCACATTCTGTACAGAAACTTTCAGAACCAAACACGACTGGCAACGACATGAGAAGTCTCTACACATGCCCCTTGAGAGATGGGTATGCTCGCCAAACGGACCCCGTGATATCAACCCTGAGACAAACGAAACATGCTGCGTCTTTTGTGGCGAAGTTGGGCCTTCTCAAGCACATCTCGACAGCCATAACCCTTCTGCCTGCCAGGAGAAAACATTTAATCGAAAGGACCACCTCAAACAGCATGTGAGGTTGGTTCACAATTCTGGCCTCCTTGACTGGTCTGCCAAGTCATGGAAAGTTACCGTTCCTGATATTCGATCTCGATGCGGCTTTTGTGGTATATCTCTTGATACCTGGACCATTCGTACTGATCACCTAGCGGACCATTTCAAGATGGGGTCAAATATGGCGGACTGGAGAGGAGACTGGGGGCTTGAGGATGCGTTATTGGACATGGTCGAAAATTGCATCCCACCATGTGAGCGACCTTGCACAGCTATGTTTAGAAGTCAGACTAACTCGTCCGTCAGACCTGATCGAGTACGAACGTTTCTCGCCATTCCCTTACCAAGCCAGTGGCACGCCTCCAGAATCTCCGCGGAACGCATACGAGTTGCTTACGCTAGAGCTGAATCACTTTTTGAGAATCTTCTTCGACAGGACTGGAAATTTGCCGAACAACAAAGAGATCCAGCTTGAGGCTTGCAGAATTGTCTTTGCATCTGAAGTATCGGCATCTGAAACCCACTTGGGTACTAAATATGAATCTTGGTTACGAGACTTAATCACATCGTCGGAGGAGATCACAGAAGAAGCACGATTTGGCCCTATACGCTCCCCTGTTGAGAGCATGATGTCAGTGCTTCAAATTAAAGGGAAACGCAGCCTTTTCGAAAGTTGTCCCTGTGAGGAACAGTTGGATGACTTCGTTGAGGCACGTAGAGGCTCGGGTCCAAATTCTCTCAGTAACCAGCAGTTACAGAACGAGGCCTGCAAGATAATTTCACGTTTAGGTACATCATGGGGACTGTCTGCTGCCGACTTGATTGACAACTGGTTAGTCAATCTAATCAGCTCATCAACAAGGTGGCTCTCCGCATATCGGTCTAGGAGACGCCTTTCGCAAGGTGAAACCATGGTCAGCTTGCCAACACAACAGCAGTCTCTTGGTGGAAATGGAATTTCCATAGGAATGCAAGAGCCCTCGGAAGCTCTCAAATATGAGATCGGGTCGAATATTCCAAATTCACAAGTCAGCTTTGATGGCATGAGCACTATTTCTTTCCACAGAGAGTCGTGGGATGCTCCAACTAGGACGGCTGAGAGCGCCCAATCATTGGAGAAAGCACATACCAAGTCTCAAGAATCTGCTTATAGGATCCCTATGATTCCTCAAAAAGAAAATTGCTTGTCTTTGTCAATAGGCAACCTACGACCCTTCGAATCTCTACCACAAACCCCTTTGCCGGCAAGTAGCACTCAAATGCTTAGACCAGGGAGCACTGAACCGGACGGCCGCAGTAGTCTTCTCCAGTTCTCATCGATCAAACGGAACTATGCCTTCTTTAACGATGCCAATTTCCACCGATGGCTGGGCCAAGAATTAAGACGTTGGATAGCGGCAACAATGTCCCCCAACAACCCAAACTGTCACGTTCCGTCTGATCAGGAAATCCAGCACCAAGCGCGATTCATTGTTTACGAAGAGTACGTGTTCCCCGGTCGTCGATGTATCATGACAGATTACTGATTTTTGGCAGCGGGGATCCGTGGAACCAAACTTCAGCAGATAACCTCGAATGGCTGCGGCGATTCAAACGTAGTATTGGCATGGAAACCTAAGACTTCCTATTGGAAACCCCTATAAAGTAGTCATGTAACTACTGAACAAGTCAAGGCATCAAAGGGGAGTAATCTAGGGTAAAGGATGCATTGGCAGTATGTCTAAGAATATGTCTAAGAGCATATATACATATACAGAAATAGTGGCTAGATGGGTGTTTAGTTAGTTAGTAAAGCTCAGTCTGATACCGTGTACTGGCTGGCGCCTAAGCGTGCGGGCGGCCTTAACTCTCACGAAAGAAACAGCCCCGTGGTTAAACAAAAAAACGAGCAACCTGACAAACCCGTAGCTACTGAGCGACCTTATCAGTCTTCAGAAATATCACGCGAGGTTGGGTCGAGGTAGTAGATTTCTATTGAGCCTGAAACGTAAGTTCCAGTTGATAGTTTACCGCCATCAAAGCCAACATTAATAATGTTTGTAGACACAATCTTCCTCGTTATGCTTCTGTTAGAGACAGCCAGGCTGCTTGGTTGTTGCGTGATGCACACGTTCATAGAATCTCTTTCTTCAACTTAAATGCTAAGGTAAGATGCGAATAATTGATCCATTGTTTTAGAGCGGCGATTCGAACTACGGACCTTATGTCTTCAGATGATCCCATCAAGCTGCAGGGTCTCTGTCGTGTTGCAGCAACTCGTCGTATTTCGGTGACTCCCATCTCTTTACATTCTCTTTCAAAACCCACTTGCCAAGAATTTCTAACTGTATGAAAGCGGCAAATTCAATGACAGTTTAGAATCGCGATTCCAGATGGCTTCGTTGGCCACGTCTTCCATATGAGCCCATCATCCGAGACGCCGTCTTGCACTTGGTCCATGAATGATCTGAACCTTTGTTCGTAGGCTTCGAGAGCTTCCCCTAGACCGCCTTGGGGAGATTCAGATCTGCAAAGCTTGCCGATTTCACCGACCGGCCAAGGCATAGACACCTATCACGGCGCAAGTAGTGCCCATTCCTGTTATCGACGACGGACAGTAAGCAGCATCCCCAAGAAGTGTCACCCGTCCTTCATACCAGGTGTCTCGCTTTACCAGCCCAATCCGCTCACAATAGAAGTCTTCGGAATTTATCATTGAGTCCAAAATCTGGTTTGTCCTCTACCTGGCATCTTTAAAGATATCTGCCACAGCCTTTCTTTCCTCCCTTTCACCAGCACCTCGAGCTCCCTTAAATTGCTCGAAAACACTTTGAAACATGAGGTAAGCTTGGGTCTCTTGGGTGTTGTGTCTCCGAGTCATCATCGTTCGGTCTCCAGTACCGATATAGATAGTCGCATTGTAGTCTTCGTTGTCTTGTATGGGCTGTGCAATGGCAAAGTAAGTTGTATGAAGGCCTCTGGGAGGCAAGAAGGCAACCGATTCGTTTAGTCTAAGCAACATATTCCGGGTGCATGATCCTTGGCCATCGGCGCCTAGCAGTAGATTATAATGTTCTATCCGGCCATTTTTGAAAAGAACGTTGACGGTACCGTTCGTCTGGTCGAACTTTTCGATGGATGTCCCGAAAACTTACTTCACTCGATCTTTTGTAACTCCGTAGAGAAGTTGAACAAAGTCTCCTCTCATGATCTCGTTATTGGTGGTAAAGTTTTGCAAACCGTTACCAGATCTGTTGACCGGGAAGTGAGCTCGAGGTCTGCCTGAGTCGTCGACAAATTGCAAGCCTTGTTCAGGAGCTACTTTTGCTCGGAAGGCGGAATCTAGGCCCATTCGCTTCATAACCTCGATACCGTGGCCTCGAAGGTCCAGTTGGAGGCCGGTGGTCCGAAGCTCTGGATACCATTCGATAACGATGGTGTCGTCTCCAAGTCTTGAGAGCCAAAAGACGACGCAGTTGCCGGTGATACCTCCGCCACTAATGAGAACTTTCATAGCAGTCATACAGGGCAACAAAATCAAAAGATCAGTATGAAAAGTGTTAAAATGACAAGGAGCTGGGAAAGCCGATGAAGAGGTACTCTACCTCTAACAAAATTCGACAATTATTTCGAGTTGAGAATTGCCTCTTAAGAATGCTTCTGACTATTTAGATGATCCATAGATTCACCCTCAGTATAGCTGTTAGCCCCGTAGAGGGCCCGTCTCGGCAGAAGAACCGCGAACTGAAAACCATCTTTGACCCGCATGAACATTAATAAACGAGTCTGTCTTTTGCTTCATTTCACACGTTGAAGATCAGTGGATTTCTTTCCACTTGCTTTGCCATTCCGCAATAGATGATAGAGAGAGTATACGGAGACATGCAGTTTCAGAGCACGACCTGCGAGGCTTGGAACAGGGGATACGTAACTGTGGGAAAAGCTCAATGACAGAATTGCTCAAATCTTCCGGGAAAATTACCCTCAAAACTCTGCGTCTGGGAGAAAGAACTCCAAGTCCCAATCCAGCTCGAAACCTCTTTGCCCAGCGTCAAAATCAGATGGTGAAGACCCAAACTCAATATCAGTAACAATGCTTGCTTGCTCCTGTAGTAAGGAGTAACAAAGATCCACGCTTTCCTTCGCATTACGTGCGATCTTCAAATCCCCCGGAACACCGGCCTCGATGGCGTCGACTTGCGCCATAACCATACTCAGAAAAACGTGTCCCTTGATATTGGTATCTCCCTGTCTGATTCTCTCTGTGGATTTCGCAACCAAATCTTTCATAACCTGTTTTAACCCGTCTAGGTGATAAGGGTTACGGTGGAGTGTCCCGTCAAGGCGCTGGGCCTCCGCCTGGGCGATGAACTCGAGACTGATGGTAGCAAGGGCGTACCTGAAGCCCTCCCGAAACATGCCTCCTCCAACATTCATGAGACGAGCAAACTTTTCGTCCGGTTCTGGTGAGATTATAGCCATTGCGGTATCTAGACTAGCTTTGATGGAGTATTGGAATAACGGGTTCGTTCGCGCTTGGCTTGCGAAAGGACAGCACAGAGGGATCATGAAGCGTCGTAAGAGGAAATCGAGCATGTTTCGATGAAATGTCGAAGCTCTGGCTTGTCCACTCTCCTTCATAATGCGATTGTTTACTCTGTAAGTTTCTGTGATCTCTGCGCTCAACTGTAGAGCTTTGTCGTAGGATAGCTCTGAATGCAGGCCGTTCAACAGCTTCAGAGCTAGCAGCCTAGTCGGCAGTGAATCTAGCAAGAGAAGCTGAGAAGATGTCTCTGTGTATGTGCTTCTTGCATGCGACCAAAGTTCCGTCGTTGACTCTTCGATTTCCTTGTCATTGACGTTGGATGGTGCCTCGGTGTCAAACTCGTCAAATGAGATCCTGGGCGGCATCGCCGAATCCAGCGACGACTGGAGGACGAGCTCTAGTATGGTGGCCCACAGTCTCCTCCGAATCTCGGCTTGCAACACCGACATATACGGAAGATGCTTGGGGTCCCGATGCATGCCAATTTGCATGGCTCGGTGAACCAGTGAACCCGTAGACATCCAGATTAGATCACCACCAATGGAGAAGATCTGCCTAGCCAATATCGTTAGGCAGTGTATCTGGATTCCGTTTATACCAAGACGATCCTTTTCTAAGGGACCAGAAAGCCAAGATTGAGCAGCATACACCCATTGACAGACGATATGCCGAAATCCCGGCTCGATTTTCTCTGGGTCATGGATACTTGATCCAATACCAATCACGAGAAGAACCTTGAGGCACAAGTCATTTTGGACCTGCTCAGGATGCTCCCAGTAATTTTGATATTCGGACCAAAATGTGGGTACATGTAGTATGCGAAATGCTGACTCGAATGATTGTAAATAGAGGCCAACCATCTCGTCCGATGTATCGCGAGAAGGGGGCGACAGAGTAAGTGAGGAATGTGACAAACTTCTACTCGGTCGCCCTTTCTTGAGGCTTCTTGCTAGGTTCTTACAATCGCGGAGGCGGCACCCAATGTGGACGGCCAAGGCCCCAATTTCAGAGCCATGAACATGGGTCCCTTCGGAGTTCGCAGCGGCTTTGTTGTAAACGGTGTAACAATCCCACACTCTTTCAAACTTACGAAACAGTCAGTCCACACATCCAAACGGACTTACGATCATGTAGATGTGACCAATTACCTCTTGGGCTTCACCCAACCAATCGCTCCACTTCCACACTCTTGTCTTTTTCAACGCTACTTGCGAGTTTGCCTGTTGGGACACTTCACATCGCGAGTTCTCAGGTCGCCCACCTTTCGAGGTTGGTAATATAGCTTGCTCAAGTTTTCGAACACGCTCCAGAAGATCCTGAGAAATCGGATCTAATGGAGAGTCGCCGTGTGTTGTAGTATCATGCCCTAAGTTGACCTCCCTACCATGAGATAGTCTGGAGTATGCTTGAGCTGTTGGGCTTGGCAGACAACCCGAGCCGCTATTTTGTTGATTGGGCTCCTGGACCAAAACGTCGGTGCGTCCGTAGATGCACTGTCTCTTGGAAGAGGCACAATGCGTGCAAGGGTCGTCTCGGTCACATTTGATTTTGCGCCGCCGGCATTCTAAGCACGAAAACGCAGGTCTTCGGCGTCGACGGACTTGTTGTTCCATGGCAATGACGTTGATTTTCTCGGCCGAACGAATGCGTAAACTCCACACAAACGAGGTGATTGCTTCTAGGAAGAGAGAATAGAGGCGTGAAGGAGACATTCTCAAATTGGATCGACAAACCCGTACGGACGAATTGACGGACATAAGCGGCCATACTGTTCGTCCTCGGCCGTAAGGAGAAATCCTGCAGCGAGCAGGGGCCACAAAGCCGCTTACGGCCGTGACGGAATACCGTATGTCCTCAACAAGCTCATATTACGCTAGGGCCTAGAATAGCCTAGCACAGCACCTCCGCTAAGCCTGTAATCAAAGGCGGTCACTCGACCTGCCAGCCGCTGACAGGCCAGCCGGTGCTTCCATGCCAGCTGACACACACGACTGACAGCACGTATATCCTGATTTCTGCCAGAACGCTAAGCCTGATAAAACTGCCTTTAGGCTTCTCTAGGCCTTAGCGTAATACGAGTGTCTTGAGTAGCTACGGTATGACTGTTATCAACATTTAGGACTTTCGTTGTGACTAACAACTTAACCAGTTGCCACATCTACGCCACAATACCCAAAGTAGAAGATTCAATTTTGCTACCAGGCTTTAAGAATAAACAGAGTACTTACTCAGCCGGGGGCCTAATAAACAGATTTGCTCGGGAAAGCTGCTAAACGTCCACAGGGAGTAGTCATCAGCTGCGAAGTGGTGAGTTGATGACAGTATGGTTTTGCTTCAGGTGATTATTGCATCTTCAACCTCATTTTTGTTACCAACCAGAAGATTTCCTTAGAATGGTATCGGTTCGAAGACGTCTTCCAAGACGTCAATGACGCCGCTCATCCAACTCCCCATGGATTAGGATCATCCTCATCTTTAAAGAACTTTAGCCATCTCAGAAGGATTCGATAAGAGCCCTTTTTTAGCCCTAGACCCCTCGAGGCTGTGACGTCCAAGATGCTGTAAGACCAGCCTGCCTGATAGTCGGTTTGCGGAAGCCATCCGTTTTGTATGATATTTGAACCGAGAATGCGAACACCTGCCACGGTGTCGTTCTCAGTCATGGCGGTCTCTGTGAGGTTATCCAGTTTGGCATCGGGGTCGAAGCCATACCAGGTCGGAGTGAAGTTGGTGCTAGCACGGACGATATCGAAGCGGAATTGTCGGACTGGCCGAGGCATCGGGAAGTAGGCGACGGGATAATCAGGATCTTGAAAAGAGAAAGACCGGTAGTTGCCAATGTCAGCTTTATCACCGTTGGCAAAGACTTGAGGAGCAGATAGGGGGTCGCGTGATGGTGTCAAGACGTTTGATCGTTGCTTCTCTGTAACATTTACTAGCCCAACAACTGGTGTGCTACTGTAGTTGTATGCAGGCCCTATATATGGGATGGTGAAAGTCTCGTTGGCTGAAGAGGCAATGCCAATGAAGCCAGAAAAGATGGGTATCTGACTGGCGTCTACATCTGAGGGGGGAGTCACCAGGAACGACACATTGAGTGAGGCACCGGAAGGAACTGTAGCCTGATTATCATGTGCAAAATCAATTGTTGCCGAGAAAGACAGAGGGATGTAGTCAACTTCTGAAGAGCGGTCTCCGCCTTCCAAAAACGACACTGTCCCACCCGCAGGAATGTTTGTGAAGCTGTAGGTCACCTCGCTGTCTGAAGGATTGACGATGGTGAACGAAGCTTCGTAATTGCCTATCAGCTCAAATTTTCCGGGGGAAATGACTAATTTCATGAATAGAGCCTTGTCGGCTTGGACAAGACCTGGGCCTTGCTGGAGGGTGGGAGCCATCAAGTTGAGGTTTGCCATGTTGACTTGTGTAGCCGTTGTTTGCATGAGCTCGAAAATCTCATTAACAGATAAGGAGGGATATTGAGACTTGATCAGGGCATAGACACCTGATACATATGGCGTGGCCATTGAAGTCCCGCTGATGATGCCATAACCGCCGCTGTTTTCCATAAGAGGAAACGTTGCTAGGATCATTCCACCCGGAGCAGCCAGCTCAAGCTTAAAAGCAAAGTCTGCATTAAGGCATTTGTATTTGTTAGACATCATGCAGGAAACATCTGAGATGTGCGATTCGGAACTAACCAATGCTGCTAAAATTGTTTGGTGAACCGCCGCCAAATTGATCAACCACAAGGGGTGTCTGAGAATCAACAAGCAATCTGTAGCCCCCGAGACTCTTGGCTGCGTTTGAAAAACTGTCGTCAATCACGCTGCCCATCGGAAAAACTGATCCGTCAGGAGTTAAAGATGGTGTTGATACAGCATGACCTTTGATAAAAACGTCATTGATTGTGGGATCAGGGTATGTGATAACTCGAGTATAATTGGCGGCAAAGGCATAAGACTGAACTTGTGTCAGCCAGCATGAGGGGCCTCTCATTATCGCGAGGATGTAATCCGAAATGGGCCCCGAAAGACTGCTAGCTGGTGGGTAATCGGAAGCCGAACAGCCAAATTTACAGCTGCTCGTATTTCTATCAGCCCACGCAACAAGATATTCGCCCTCCGGAAAAGGACGCAGGGATCCATATGAGAACTCGGCGCCGTTGGGGTCGCGGATGGGATATGTTGGGAACTTGGAGTTCTCAACCGAGGCGATGCCAAGCGCATCATCTGCCCCGCCTGGCAGGTTGATGGAGAACATGCCCTGCGTGCCCGAATTGCCAGCAGCGGCGATGACGGCCACGCCCTTCGCTTTCAGAGCAGCAACCGCGGCTGGGAGAGGTGACCTCGGATAGCCGGACCAAGTGCCGAACTCGCCGATGGAGATGCTCATAACATCAGCGCCTTCTTCGACTGATTTCTGCATAGCAGTGACAATTGCATCGTCTGAAGCTGTTCCATCGCAACCAAAGACCCGATACATGCCAAGAGTAGCTCGTGGAGCAACTCCCACAAGGCCTATAAACATTGACGAATTTGAGGGTACTTCCATCCCGACGATGCCTGCAACATGTGTGCCGTGAAAACCCTCATAGTGCCCAGGTCTTGGGTCCGGGCTTGGGTTTGGTATGAAGCTGTTAAATCCATAACTGTCACCGACAAAGTCATAGCCGAATTCAACCTTGCAACCCTTACCAAAACAGCCTCCTAGAGCTGGGTGCAAATAATCGATTCCAGTATCAATGATGGAAACGCGGGCGCCCGCACCGAGCATGCCCTGAGCGTGAATGCGGTCAACACCCGTCATTGTATGTGGGCTATTCCAGTTGATCCCCGAATCTCGAGAGAATCAAGACACTGTCCGCAGTTGCCTAATGTCGGCTTCATTTTGAGATGTTTCTGTGCGAGCGGCTGGTGAAATGCCAACCGGAGGACGATTTGGGTGCATTATTTGCCGCACCGTGACAACACTCTTGACACCAGGAAGAGACCGTAGCTTTTTAAACGTGAATATCGTCTTTAAGCGAGACCGATACGCCATAGAACACAGTGCTGTCGTGGAACTCATAGCGCACTTGTACGGGGATGAACAGCTCGGCCGCTCTTTCAACGATTTTTTCAGGGCTTAGACTGATTCCGTCGGCTGAAGTGTCATTTGATAGCTCGACAAAGTAGGTCCTTGGAACTTCTTGAGAGGCGACGGCAATGAAACAGCATGCCACTACTCATACAAGGGAACTAATGAGTCGCATCGTAGCTACAGATGGAAATTCTGATCAGGAGCTAGAGGGCGAGGAAATTGAAGTGAAAATGAAGTGTTGAAGAGACGGGTTACTTGGGATTTTCGGTCATGGGCGAGATGGTGCAGTGGTTATCGTTCTAGTGATCGTCTTCTTCGATTTGGGCCAACTCCAACGTAGCCAACTGTGGACCTTCGATTAACGGCTGAGTTTTCTCGTATTAGGAGATCACAATATGCAAGGCCATACTCATACCCTGTCAAACGGCCCCAATCGTTTGGGTCGGCGGCGCAAGACCGCTAAATCCGTGATGGTTGTGAGCTGGCGTGTACTAAGAGTGGTGGGTCCGGAAGTGCACATGGCTGCATCATTTTGAGCTTCGATAGAGAGCCTACTTCGTTACTGCGAACGCCTATGCAACATGAACGTGGTGAAATGAGGTTTAAGTCAACGTTCGATATTACACTCCAAGTCAGAAAAAGATAAGAAATCGCATGTTTCTTTTTGCTTTGGTATATCCTACAACGAGGGCATGCCTGTGCCCTTATGAATACGCCAGTTCGATCAACGGCTTTCCAAGAGGAAAGAAGTGCCATTTCTGACGTGGCTCACTGAGAGGTTCTGCCTCGCAAATTAAATCATAAGCGACTGTGATCTTGTTTACAAAGAGATTCAACCTCCCAGTGTCCCAAACAAAATATCCTGTTATTGACTAATTATGGACTTTTCACCCAGCATACGCTAGTCAGTAGAAATGTTTCGCTAACTACATTCGGTTTCTGTAGCTAGAATAGGCATCCTGCAATGCAATGCCGACTCCAAAATAACGACTGTTTGTATACCAACCCACCTGAGTTGTATATTATGTTTGCCCGTGTCTTTCCAGACGACTGAACTTCCGGAAGTAGTTAAACAGGACCTGTTTGTTTACCCTGTTGTTTCTGTCAGCATTGCAACTCGTGAAGGCCCTGGTGCCGGCCCTCAAAAACTTGGCACGTCAAAATAGTGCTTCAAACATTCAATCTTACAATTGACTCTGCTTGACGCTCTTTCCAAAACAGATCTTGAGTTCCAAGTAAGCGACTCTAGCACCCATGTAGTTTTCGCCAATCTGTTCCCAATACTGATAACACTGCAGTTTCTCCTTAAAGATCTTGGTGATGCAGAGAGCTTAAATAACTTTGTCTTCTGACAACTGATGTCAATGGCTTACAATTGCTCGCCCCTTTACTATAGACCTGGATTCGGAGAATTATTCCTATGCCACACTGTTGGCTGAGTTCGGACTGCAAAATTAGATTGCATGAAAATTTCAAACGGTCCCGCAATTGTCAAGTCAAATGGACTTACCTTAGCGAGGGTTATGGTTGCCTTACGTGACAGAGAGGCCTCACCGCATTCGTACTGCGCAAGCATCTGTCAGCCCACCACTGAGACTAGGCCCTAACTGGCATGGTGATGCGAGAACTAGTTCATTGTAAAGGATGTAGTTTTTGGAATATCCAAACCACCTGTGGCTGATGGGTGGCGGTGGCTTACGTGAATCTCACATGAGCCACCTGGTCGGCCACCACCCTCACCCTCACCTCTCTTCTTGAACTCAATACAACCACCTTCGCAGATCCACGATATCGTGACCTTTTGCGATACCGAAATCCGCACATGTACGGTATCCCTGCGATACAAACAGTACCAATCGGGCTGCGGAGTAGAAGTGTAGATTAACACGGGGGATGGTTTTTGACACTTTTCCGCAGTCGATGGGATAGTGGGGAACTCTTTTCCGCCTCCAAGATGAGCAACCTCAGGAAAACAAACCTTTATCAGAATTCAGATGGGGTTCAGATCATTATAGTTCGACTATAGTGCTAGCAGAAAGCCTAAAGGTGTTATGCTGTACTGTACAGTGCCATGTCAATTGTCTGAAAACGCTATACAGAGTACCACCAAAACAGCACCAAAACAGCAATATTTCAATAATCAGTATCTCAACATAATCATTTAGTAAAAATATTCTAAGGAATCTCATAAGTACCTTAGGTGAAGAGATGTAGTATACGCTCTATTTATTTAGTCTTGCTGCTTTGTTTCGCTAATGGTCAGTTCTAGTAAGTAGTAGATGCTCTTAAGCTGAGATTATAGTGGGCTACAGTGCACAATACAGTGGCGTTAAGGGTCAAGGTGGTGCACAGAAAAGGGTTTTCGGTTTTTTGATATGGCACTGTATCAACGAATTGCTTCTTTCGTCATGATGATCAGTAATACAAGTGATTGTGGGCGGAAACCACCGCCATGGAAAGTCTCGTGTGTGCTAAAAATGAAAGTTCCCGGGAAAGAAATCAAGATGAAGTTTCCATAAAAAATGAAGATCATTTGCAGCCAAATCCGCAACTGGAAGGTGGATGCCCTTGCTGATTGAAATCTAGATTTGGACTGGGAAAGCGATAAGCCAATCATACACAGGAGAGGGAGTCCGTTTTATCTGCTTTATCTTTTTGCACCGATTTGTGTATATTTACTACCGTGAAAGTTACTGATCGGCTCAATGTCATCACTAGGATTCATTTAGTTGCTGATGATAAGTCAGCATGCAAACAAGCAACAGATAGAAAGTTTTCCTTCGATCAACAATTACCTAATATATCAGGCTGATCTCTGAAATCAAGGTTTTACAACGCCTCTTTCTGAACTCCTCACGTTGAACCCACCAGGGAAAGGATAACCTTGAACAAAAGTTAAGCTTTTCCGCTGTTTTGCATAGCATGCCGAGGAATCCTATGGAGTGATTAGTTAACAGTCGCCAGAATTTTGTTGTGCTTCTATGGAGGAACATCACCAACTGACCAAATGTGAGCCTCGGTAGTAGGCAACCGACAGCGATGGTGGCAGTGAAGCCCCTGCTGTGAATGTTTCTGACAGCTGGCCGTATTAGAAAAGCTTGAGTAGCAGATTGATGATCTCGCCAGCATAAGCTAATGCTGAAGTATGTATTCAAATTGTTCATCCCCCAATAGGAATATTAAGGTAAGCGGTTTAATTATTCTTTACGTGATTCAGTCTCTAGAGCCAATGATACCGTGAAGCATTTGACTGCCCCCAAGGATTTCAACAGCGACGATGGTCAAGACGCGTTCTTCTTGGAACATTACGTAGTGTCCTGGGTAGTTCTTCGCTCGTGACGGGGTTTTACTAGCAGTATGGGACTCTCATCTTCGTTCATAGTAGGGTTTCCAACCAAGAGCAACTATAACAATATGTAGCTATGCATTATCAAAAAGAACTGACTTAAATTCTCTAACAAGAGCGACTCGGATTCGCCACTCTTGGGGTCATTTCTACATTGTCTCGTTAACCTAATTCGGGCACCCTTATACCCTATAAGCGAACCTAGCTCCTTTACATCATAAACGAAGGACTGTGAAATTTGTAGCCATTGCTGTTCGAAGAGTGTTATGATGACTTCTTTGACGTTCTCAAATGGTATCTATTTGAATATTCCATACTCAACACCAAATTCTCTTTTAGAGAACTATGCCTCACTTCCACTTAGTTATTCTCAACCAAAGACAGTATATCCTCCACTGATTCGACTTTGTCCGTATTGGTAGCGAACAGCCATGCGTAAGAAACGAGTATGGTTGCCAGCACGAAAACGAAGAAGGCTTTGAAGCATGACTGATTTGCGTTGGGAGTAGTCTGATGCAGCTCCTTTTCAAGCAAACCGCAGTCTTTCTCCTTAATATTCGAGTTTTTTGCAGTGTTTATTGATGAGAGGTCCTCGAACATGTCCATATAGAACGATACGTCTCCATAGGTGATCATAGTCGTGGGCGAGAATTTGATTGCTGCTTTTTCAATTATTAGCCAATGGCAGTTTCAGTAAATTGAAATAAGCTGCATACGTCAGATATATGAACGTTACTTCAAATGATCAAGTGAGGTCTTTTTATAGAAGTGGTCAAGGTCGGCGCTGATAAAAGTTTGATCCAAATGCTACGTCAAGCATTGTCCACCGCACTCGAATGGTATTAGAGTGCATCAGACTTCTGTCTAGGATGGTTGGAATCGTCTAAGATTGCTTTCTTGAGTATGCAAGTATCACCTGTCTCATGAGAGTTCTCCGCCGATCTCAGCCTCAAAGTTTTATAATGCCGCAGGAGCTCTGCCTGCGATTGTCAGTATCGCGACTCAGGATCCGACGGAGCATTTTCAATACTCCCTTATGTTATCAAAGATTAGGTTATTCGAATTAAGCTTCCTTGTGAAATGACGCGTTCAGGCGACCGACATATTCGTGAGGTACAAGTAGTCGATGAGAGTCATAGCCTAGGTGCCAGAAGTTAAACAGTGCGCAAATCCAATATCCCCTCTGTGTGCCTTACTTCGTTCGCTTTCGTTTTCTGTACAAAGACAGATTCCTGAACCTAAATGTAACGCGCGTCCGAGGCCGTGAGCACAAGAAACATCCAAGTTGCGAGAAGAGCTTACAAAAGCTTCGCCGTATCAAAACTCCCCTTCCGAAATGCTATTGTTATGCTTCGTAGTAGGCGGGTACTAGACCAAAGATTGGCAAGCCGTTGGTGACAAGCCCAAATGCTACATACTTCGCATCAGTCCTCCGTTGATCTGGTGAAGATAGCTCATGTTAGTCTATCCACTTGTTACATACCCTTACTCATGAGCAATAGGATTTCAAGGGGTTATTGACACGCGGCATTTGATTTCGTATTCGTTCGCGCCATCTGCATCGATCAGGCTATGATGACGTTTTGTATGTGTGTACCACAATGTCGTACGGGCAATCGGGGGGTACGGGAACTTATCGTACCAACTTCTCTTGCGTTAAGATGATCGAAAGTAACTTGGATCAAACGTTCCGGATGTGTCTTCTTAAAACAGTTGGATCGAAACGTTATGGTCTCCCTGTTGAGATCGTAACGTAGGGTAACCCTGAGGCAAGCCTAGGAGGTGAAACAAAGACATGAAGTCACTTAGTGAATTTCATTTATATATCGTTGATTTCCCCTCGCTTTTGCATTTCCATCAGTATCAATTTTATAAGAAAATTTCTACACGTCCAAACACTGCCCCACACTCGAATCACAAGTCACTTGCTACCAAGCCTATCTGTAATTCCACGCCTTTCAATCAACGCCACGACTTAACCACTCGAAATGCATTTGATTAAAGCTACGGCGATCACCCTGTGCGCTAGTATGGGTGCCTTTTCTGTGGCTATTCCGGCAGCCAGTAAGGCCGATGTTACTCCTGACTACACATACCTACTCAAGACAGAGATAGAGCGTCAGAAAAACAACACTTCCAACATCGCTCTTGACGTTGTACGCAATAATAACACAGAAAACGCCATGAAAACGAATGGCACTGCCTCTTTTTCTTCTGAACAGACCTACTCGGACGAGTAGGTGAGCGAATAAGAATTTTGAGGCGGTTGAAGCTCATCTGAGGCGGATTTGTTCTTCGATGTGGGGAGGGTTCGGAATGTCTCAACTTTGTATCCGTGATGATACAGTCAGGTCGAATCTCGTGTGCATGGGTGCAGGGTGATTCGCCCACTTTTCTTTCGTTTGGACTATTTTATCATGTCGATTTTGACCAACCAACTTTTGCTTGTACAAGACAGCTCAGTAAATCTCATGTCATGTATCAGCCCTATTTACAACGCATTTCACTATTAAAGTAGAAGTTTTACCACAATCCACCACACACCTTCAATAATTTCTCTTCGTGTGGTACCGCTGGATTCGCCGAACGCTAAGCAAGTACTTTGGAGACTAGAGAACAAAGCCAAAAACGGCGGAGTGTCCAAAAGCTTGAGTACATGACGGTTAGAAGTCATCAGACAACCGGGCCGATCGGGAGCATCTAACGCTGTCGGCCCCTCCTTCACTCGACCGTACCCATCAAGTGCCCGCGCCACGCACCTGTACCTGCAGCAGAGAAGCAGAGCATCACGTAAGTTAATCCTTCTTTCTTATGGCCAAAGTAGACAACATGATAGAATAAGTTCTTCCCCCTGCCCCTCTTTCCAGGTTATTGGTCCTCGCATCGTTCTTTAATCCTACAATGCGACAAGAAAACAAGGACAGACAGGTGATAGACTAGTAGAACTAATAATAACGCAGGACGCAACACAGGAGAGAGAAATAGGGAAAGATAAAAGAATTTCAACACAATCCGAAAATTTTGCTCCTCTAGATTCGCCCGCATTTTATTATTGACTCCATGGACAAACTGCATAACCACGGCGTTCTTCAATCATATCAGAATCTTGTTGCCGCTATATAAAGTCATCAGCGCAACGGTCCTATTTTCCTTGAGAAGAATCATTATCAGCAAGTCACCAGAAAAGACAGCTTCTTCAGTCACACTTTTGTTCTGCCTACATGACCTTCGTGCATCTTTTTGAGAATTAGGCCTAAGAATAGAGATTTCTATGAAGAGATTTACCCAGCAAGTGAGTCTAAGGGTGCTGGGTGGTGGTTGCAGAAGTAGCAAAAGCTGGCAATAACATCTTTTCCCCTGAATGGTGCTGTTAGCTGCACAGCACCTCTAGCAACTCCAACTCAGCACGCGCAGCCTCAAGCTGAACGATAGGCCTGGGAATCGACTTTCGAATCGACCTGTAAGACCTTAAATGACTTGTTGACGCGTGGGAATATCTGGCTATAGCCCCTTTCTAGCTGGCAGACTGGCAACGACCCCGAGGCGCTGCGGCTATGCTGCTGGTGTTACGACCCAACCATTTAGGGTGCTGGCCGGCGTAACTAGATAGTGCAGAACAGGGGATAATGATGCAGGCGCATCATTACCGAAGCTTTTGCTTTGTGGTGCAGTTGGTTGCCCTGACCTGCTTGTAACAGCTGGGTAGTTTGGGTGGTTTTTTTAGGTGTTGGCCGTTGCGCGACACCCGTTTCCAATACACTATTCAAACACTTTAACTTTTAACTTATTCACTTTACTAGTTATCTCTAAAATTAACGTTAACTACAATATCTTTTAAGCTAAGACATTACTATTAAGTAATTAACTTGTTAATCTATTTGAAACACTATTAGTTATATTATTGCCAGTTATTAAAAAGAGCTTTAAATAAAATATACTTAAAAGAAAACTGTTACGACCCAAATCCGGTTGGTGAGTAGTGCAGCCTGAGGTGAACCCCTGAAGCAACCAGCAGGGCAGCCAGTCGATTCATGTATGCAGGCCTACGGCACGGGCCGGGTTCGGATCGGAAGAACTAGGGAAGGTCACGTGATGGATCAGTTGGATCACTTGTGATCCGATATGATCCCCCAGCCAGGATCACTAACCAGCAAGACTGATCCCTTACCCAGGATCATGAGCAACAGGAGTGATCCAGGAGAACGAGTTAGCTATAAGGACATTCATTCCAAGAAGATAGAAACCTTCCATAGCTCTTCAGCAATCAACTTCGTGATTCACTCTCTCATAAGTGACTCTTAGATTATCCTTCTGTTGTGAAGATAGAAGCTACCTACGCCTTGAAGTGCCTGACTGATCACCAGACACCAACAGACCAGCAAGATTACCAACAAGACTTACCTTACTGTTATCGAGTATCGACCTCAGCTGCCTATTAGCAGAAAACACCACTGTCGGATATCTGACCGTAACAAAAACATTATTTAAAGTAGAATAGTGAATATTGCAGTAGTTAGAAATAGTTAATAATTATTAGTAGTAATATAAGAATTTTAAGATGCGTAAAATACTAGGTTACGTGGTAAATAGGGCGGTTAAGTTAAGCAGCATAACCGAAAAAGGCAGTAATAGCTAAAGCTTACCCAGGGAGGCCTTGGAGCGCAATGGAAGAGGGGAAACAGTTGGTACTTAATTAGCTGATCCATGTATCTGGGGCCTGACTCTAAGCTAGTGCTGTGGGGAGATACTTCAGCGCCTCCCTGTTCATCGAAATCAACTTGCGCCAGTGTTTTCGAGCAATGATCCCTTACGCAAAACAGACTCCTCTTAATATTCGTAGTTCTCTTTTTACGCTGTACATTCTACCGCCATCATGGTCGATGGCAACGCTATCGCATACAATGTCGCCGCCTTCATCAGCACTCTGTTCCTCCTTGAGTTTGGTGCCAACAAATCTGTTGATCACACTGCTATCGTCGCTCGCCGGACAGGAGTTCCGGACACGATAATCGCATTGCTCACCGCTGGCGCAGGATGGGAAGAGGTAACGCTTCGACCTAAATGAAACTCAATTGACATTACTCCTCTTTCTTCAGCTACTACTTATTAAATGGCAGCACAGCTTCTCGACTTCCAGAATAGGGTAAAGGTGGAAAAGTTTAGCTAGCACTGTCCCAGTGTCCTTTGACGTGAAAATAGGTAAAACAACAAAGAACATCACCCAATTTTAGGAGATATCTCAACTGAACATGGGTCAACCCTTGAAGTCCAAAAGAAGTTGTGGATCCGCGTGAAACTGATGGCCAAGACAAGTACTAAGTCACTTGGGCGCTATCGTCGGGGTAATACGGACTGGTCGGAAACCCATGTAACTGCAGAATCTTCATGTCTAGCAATCAAAGGCCTTGAGCTTAGAAATTTACAAAAGTGAGAGGAATTCGCGACATGCCATGAGCCTTTGACACTCCACAATTGCACAATCAAAAGCCCTCGAGGCTTAGGGACAAATATAAAGAGCGTGGGTGTGAACGGATTCATAGAAACTGTCATCTTAGCGTTCTATTACCAATGCAGTTGTATAAGACATGAAGCTTGCAAGTTTTGCTTTGGCAGTCTGCCCTACGGCGAAGTATATTCTGGAGCTGTTGCCCATGGCAGCACGAGCCTGTACGTCGTTGAACGGCATTCTCATCCCATGGATTCTGATGTCGGAAATCCAAGATCAAGGTTTCGTCGTCGGTGGCGCACAATACTTGGCCGTCACTTCGAACCCAGTCTTTATTGTCCCGTATGTGTCGGAACACTTCCGAGGCCCAATTGCTTACATATCTGCTCTTTCTGCCACAACAACTAGAGAAGAGCTTCAACAGGCCATCAATAACTCTTTGAGACAGGACGATATTTTCGTCGAAGGCTTTCTCAGAGACGTCCTTGTCAGCGCGAGTGGCCCTAGCGAGCTCTATGTCTCGGTCATAAATTACCTCGAGGGTCTTGGATCAAGCGTTACCTATTTCAATGGCGATGGGCCGAGCACCTGCGGCATTTCAACACTGACCCCCTGTCCTTTGTTCGGAATCACCGATGGTGATGAGCTCAGGCTAAGCAAAGTCCAATTGCTGTATCCCGATACATACAGAACCTTCGTGACTGATACCTACGAGTCGAAAGGTACCTACAAGTCCTTCGCCTGGGCCGAAGCAAGCTGGGGATGTCCCTTGATACCTGTCCCTTGAAGGCTCTACAGCATCGAGGACGACAGGCCCCTGGCAGGTCAGCGCATCGGTGTCAAGGACATCTACGATATAGAGGGCGTGCAGACGACGGCCGGCAGTCAAGCATATGCCGCAGTCAATGGCGTTGCCAGCAAGACTGCGCCAGCTCTCTAGCGGATCGTTGATCTTGGCGGATTCCTTGTCGGCAAGCAGAAGACGGCGCAGTGCGCTTCCCCTGCGCACGCCTGGAACTGGAATAATGCATACTACCCCCGGAACCCCCGGGGCGACACTTTCTTGAGCTTCTCTGCCTCCTCATCGGGAGCCGGCTGTTCTATCGCCGCCTATGACTGGTTGGACTTCGCCATCGGCACTGATACCGGTCTGTCCGTGAGGCAGCCAGCCGCGTTCTCCGGCACTTACGGCAACAGACCCTCTCGGGGTATGATTCTCATGGAGAACGTCGTGACCAATGCACACAACACCGATATCGTGGGAGTCTTCGCTCGCGGCCCTGCAAAGTGGGCTGCCTTTGCCAAGGTTTGGTGCGATCCATCACTCCACCAGCACACCTCCCTGAACGGCCTGCCTGCGCTGTCATTGCCCGACGATCGTAGCTTTCTGAAGCGTATCCTCTATCCGGTCGACCATCTCCCACTGCAGAACCCTGCTGCCGAGACCATTCTTCAAATGTTTCTGGTGGATGCATCGGCAGTACTAGGTGCGACTGTGGAGCACTTTAATCTGAGCGCGACCGTCGAGGGAGTGGCGGGCCGACCCTTATCAGAAGTCCTGGGTGATCTGAGCGTTCTTTGGATACATGATTTGATCACAGAGACCGCCGAGCCCTTGCTGGCCAAATACGCGCCAGGCTTCCCCCCACTCGACAAGCCGTACCGCCAGGTCTTCCATTCTTCTATCGCCGATGACGTCGTGTACAAGGCAGCCTAGGGTTAAAAATCCCCATGGGTACCCATTTGGGTTCTAACCCATTTGACCCATGGGGATTCTTTTGAGGCCCATATGGGTTATGGGTTGAAATGGGTTATAGGTTTTTTTCAAGATTATGGGTATAGGTTTTTGGGTTATACACAAATGGGGATTTCTGTTTTCTGGATATGGGTATTATGGGTATCCGTCACGTAATAAGCAGAAAACACAACAAATATTCTCAACCCATAAATCCATTCTCATCTTATCATTTGGGTATGGGGATTTTTCATACCCATACCCAAAAAAAAAATACCCAAATACCCAAAACCCAAAACCCAAAAAACTCATTTCATGGGTTGACCCATTCACCCAACCCATTCATCTGGGTACCCATGGGTCCCCATGGGTTTTGGGGATTTTTAACTCTAAGGCAGCCATGGCGAACCGGACCCACGATGCGGCAGCCTGGCATGAGAAGGTTCTCTTCTCCAGCGTTGAGTCCTGCTCAGAGGCCATCTTTGTCTACGATGTCGGAACGGGCGGGCTTCCGTCGTTCCGCGAGCAAGCTCTCAACGACTCGCCGGGTGCTGCGCTCCCCGTCGATCCCAGAGGCCCTCGTGCGGCGTCGGCTGTTTCTTCATACTTTGGTGACGCGGACTATACGATCCCTCTCGGACAGGTGTCTTACTTTAGCAATGTTACCTTCCGGGAGGAGGTGATGCCAGTGACGGCCAATCTTGTGGCGAAAAGGGGCTCCGACTTTGTATTGTTCAACATGATTAATGAGTTGGCGGACCGGGGCATCTTGGGAACTGTGTTGACAGGACGAACAGCTTTTCCTAGTTAATTCCTGTACCTAGTCAAGATAGGTTTATACCTTCAGCCCGCAGTTGACACAAAAATGACCTAGCTTAAAAAGTGACATAGTATGCGTAGAGAGCAGCAGCGGCAATAATACCAAATAAATGCTGATCAGAATTGAGTGGCATCATGCAACCGTAACATGCGGTCAGCTTCACTAATCACGTCGACTATCACACTCGCATCGGGCCGCTCTTGATACGAGGAGCAAGGTTATAAGACGGATGAGATGGCGGCGAGACCATACGATTATTTGGAAGAGAAGCGCGTGGGGTGTGTCCTTGTGGTTGATATGTGAGGAAAGTATTACTTCACAGGCACTTCTATCTTATCATGCTCCCTAGAGGGTCATTGGACCGAAAACTCTAAATAGAGAGGCTGTGACTCTTGACGAATACTATCCTACTAATTCTTGGTTTGAGCTTAGTGCCGTAGCTTCTGTAGAAAGAAAGACTGGAAATACTAGATGTGGTATAGAAGATAACCAACATGAGCAATTCTGCTAAGCAATTCTGTAATCCAGGACGTAATAAATGAAGACGGCACAAGGCCATAGTGGGAGATTGGTATCATGATACTCTATAAATTATTATGGTGCGGCGTTCTGGATGTTCAGGGGCTAATAGTTGAAACGACCCTCTGTCCATGCACCACTTGGATTTAGAATGGTCCCCATAGACGGCGCAGAAGAGCGCACGCCGTTCCAGGCTTACGATATTAAAACACAAAAAGCACTGTATTCAGCCGGTCCTCTTCCACAAAGCCAGTAGTGCAAAGAGCCAATATCCTCGTCATCCATTAGATGTAACCGTCTGTTCATGAAGCCATCCGCCATGCCAACAAAACGCTCTATGCTCGATCCACCAACCCCTTTCCCAGGTCACATCACTGCCTTACTTCGTCCTCCTCGGCAGCAACCTCGTCCCCGTCCATCCAAACCTCGTGCCCATCCCCCTCCCACACCGCCCAGCTCGCCAGGACCCCCAGCATCGCGACGCCCGCCAGACCCCACCACACGGCGCCGACGATGCCGTTCGCCAGCCCCTGGCCGTACAGGTACCCGCACAGCACCGGGCCGATGGTCCGCGCGGCGCTGCTCACACTCTGTCCCATCCCGTGGATTGTCCCCAGCACGCTCGGGTGCGGCGTGCAGTTGTTGATCAGGATCGTCTGGCCCGGCAGCGCGAACGTCCTGCCGAGGACCTGGAACAGCAGCACGCCGACGATGGCGAACCAGATGGCGGGCCCGCCCTTGGGGCCGGGGGGCAGCGCCGACTCCGTCGTGGGAACGACGGCGAGGTAGGGCACGAGGAAGTACGTCACCGGGAAGAAGTAGAGGAACAGCCGCCACGCTTTAACGGTGCCCAGGTGCGCCGACAGCCGCGGGTAGACAAAGAGCTGCAGACTGATGCCAATGACGCCGAGGATGGCCATGGCCATGCCCACGGACTGCGGCGGCATGCCGAGGCCGCCGGAGAAGTGGAAGGGAAGGTGCGCCGGCGCGGCCGAGGTCGGGGTCGAGAGGAAGACGAACCAGAGCGAGTTGAAGGTGCCGACGTGGAAGGCCAGCAAAAAGTGCGCGGCAAAGGTCATGACGACGTTGCGGGTGAAGATGCGGCGGAAGGGCAGGCGGTGGCGGTACCGCGGGCGGGGTTTCTGTTTGGGCGCGGCGGCGGCCTCGGGGATCATCTCGACGTCGACGTCGGTGGTGCTCGCGGAGCTGGAATGCAGCGGCGTGTAGGCCGCGTCGCCGGCGCGTCCGCGACGGCGCGCAAAGGCCCGCCGAAGGAGGGACGCGATCTTGGCCCCGACGCGAGAGCCCAGGTCCGGCCCCTCCTCGCGGAGCACCTCGTGGGTCTCGTCGAGGCAGAGCCAGACGGACAGCGCGGCGCAGGAGAGGAAGACGGCGCTGAGGAGGTTGGGCGCGGCGTAGGGGTACTTTCTGAAGAAGTCGATGTCGCCAAAGAGGGAGGGGTAGCTGCCCGCCGGGTCGGAGAGGATGCCGCCGAGGATGGGGCCGATGATGACGCCGATGTTGAAGGTCATGGGGAGGAGGATGAAGGCGCGGGCCTGGAACTTCTTTTCACGTACAATCTCACTGATCCTGTTTGTGTGTCAGCAAATACATATGGAATCTTTGCAATTATGAAATCCCTCGGCGGGGAAATCAGGGGGGGATGAAAGAAACATACATCGTTCTGAGAACGCCCACGTTCCCGTTCGTCGCGCCGCCGATGCACCGGAACACAAGAGCCTGCGCAAAGGATCGTGAGAACCCAAAGCCGACGCACGAGAAGCACGTCCCCAGCAGACCGATCATGAGGACCGTCTTGCGGCCGAAGCGCTTAGAGTCGGCGAGGCGGCCCCAGACCATGGCGGTAATGAACTGCGCCGCGGTGAAGGAGGCGTGGAGGATGCCGGCCTGGCTCGAGATGACCGAGTCCGGGAGGCTGGGGTCGAACCACTTGAGCTGGTAGAACATGTAGGACTGGGCGTGTGTCAGTGACTGGTTGCCGCGGTGGTTGAATAGTCTCATGTGAGGTATGAGATGCGGATGAGAGTGGGGGACGGGGATGAGTGCTTCTGGGACTCGCTACGAACCTGCAGAGACGTCTGCACAAGAGGCTCACTCAACCTTGTGAGTGTAATGACCATTAACTGCTGCTTCTTTGGCAGATCGCGCCATGCCACAGGCTTGGGCTTGTCCGGCTTTACTGGCGGCACAGGCAGATTCGCAGAACTGGAGAGCGGGGCGTTGGCGACGTCGACATCGGCCTCCAGTGCGCCATCAGCATGGCCCAGCATGGGTGTGTCCTCGTCCGCATCGTCGTCCGAGTACCCATCGCCATCCTCTTCGCGCTCCGTGTCTGCGTCCTCGTCGTGATGCTGCAGCACTGGCTCGTCTTCTGTGCGCCGCGACGACATGGCGGGCCCGCGGTTGTCTGGCGCGGCTCGCATACGTCAACTGTTCCGAGATCGTCTTCCGTATCCTCGGTAGAATTGCGTCAAAGGCCTACAAATCGGCAAAAGTCACGCACGGTAAGCACGATCAAAAAGTTGCCAGGCAATGTCGACGCCGTTGGTCAAAACCAAAGATGCAAGACAGACGATTGCTGACAAGACGGTTGTCGAATCGAGTGGTAATCGCTCCAGAGGGGGGGAAACCGCCAAGTCGACATCGGGGAGACTCCGACAGGCCGGGACGGGTTCAAGCCGTGCAGCAAAGACCAGCATCCAACGAAACAGAACGAACCGGCCTGGCCCGCCACCTAACAAGGTCACATGTATACAAGAGTCAGTGAACCATGTACCGCTTCCCAGTTTTTATCGCCGAGCAGAATCAATTTGCGCTTTTTCGGTGGTCGCGTGCGACTGTAATTCAGACCGCTTGACACGGGCAAGTCACAATAGGCCGATCCCGGCGCCGGGGGGCCGGGTATCCGCAGTTACCTTCTCTCAATCTCCACGGCCGTTGACGAGCGGCGGACCGAGCCCGCCCAGTTTAGGTTACGCTGCGGAGTCAGTAGGAATCTGTCGTAAACGATCTTCAACGGGAAAGTGGGTTCTCGAAAGCCGACACGACGGCTCTATAATGTCTTTTTTGTGTAACAATATCACCTGCTGGGAACGAAGGAAAAAAAGCATTCGCAGCGATATTCTGAAGAGACCCACCATTGGACCAAAGACACAGATGTCGCAATTCGCCGAGTCGGCGCCGATGACAGCCATTCCGTCCGACCTCGCTCTCTAGCTAGCATTTTAGACCACCGAACGTCGCAGATCATGTTTGTGTCGAGTGATAGAAACTTGTCAAAACACAAAAAGCCGGATCGCCATTCACCCATTCGTTTCGCGGCTTAGGCCAGCACTTAGGATACATTATATATACACAAATTATTCGCTTTCATACCTCGCGAAAGTAACTGGAACATAATTCAACCGACGCTCGTTTCTGTCGTTCACCTTCGTTTTCCCTCCATCGAGACGCCAAGAATGCAGAGCATACCGTACCCAGCCAGAGGGAAATAGATTTGTTCGCTTCATATCATTTCTCGCGGCTGGTGGGCTGAGCCCAGATCGTTGTTTCGGTAGTCCCGGCTGCCGCTCCGCTCCTTAGTCGGCTGTACAGGATCCGCGACCATGCTCGTCAGGCCTATCGTCTGGTTTTGGTGAGAGGGAGGCTGGTAAGCCGGCGGAGCGCCGCTGTCGTAGGCAAAACCGCCGTGCGTGGGGGCCTGACGCCACGGCTCTGGGTTGTAGCCGCCCTGTGCCTGGTTGCCGAACTTGATGGGCATCCGGCCGCGGACCCACTTACCCCCGAAGGTAAAGAAGAGCGAGACGAGGAGCATGAGGATGATGAATGCTGCGAGGACGTAGTTGAACCTGCGGTTCAGCGCAAAGGAGAAACCGCTACTGCTGTTAGCTCGGTGAATGTTGACCGGGGCAATGGGAAAACGTACAGGAAGGCATTGAAGGTGCCGAGGGCGATGATGATGCGCCCGAGCCATACGTGAACCGTCTTGTACGGGGTTGTCTGCTGCGTCTTCTTGTACTTTTGGTGGTGCAAGAAGCCGATGGCAAATTGCGCCAGCAGGAAGGCAATGACGATGAAGCCGATGATCTGGTGAGCAGACTTAAAACCGCGAGACTAGCTTCCTCGTTAGCACTGTACCCACCGCTGTGCGAAAGACCGGCACCTACACGCGAGTACCAGAAGCTGGTCAAAACCCCGAGAACGAACCCCACAATGACGATGAGCAGCGCGACACCCTGGTTGAGGGCGTGCCATCTGACCATGTTACCAAAGCGTAGGAGTATCGCACCAAACGGGATGAGGAACACCAAGGAGCCGACCATCAGGACGGCATGGAAAATGGACTTGTAGTCTCTGCGTCCGTCGTTGGCAGAAATCTGGTTGGTGCCTTCGTTGACGGCATTGTCCTTGAGGGCGGGCGCGTCGCCGGGACCAATGGTGCGCTTCATGTTGATTGTGAAGCGTCCAAACTCCTCGTGAAACTTGACAGACGAGTCTCTCTTGTTCGAGAAGAAGCTTCCCTTGGGGCCAACAGCATAGATGGCTTTCTGGTTCTCGTTGGACACGTCGACCCATCCTCCGGGCCAGCTCCTGCAGTGGTCGGTGCATCTGGCGCTGAAGTACATGGAGCCGTTGAAAACACCTGTGCCGGGTAGGGACTCCCACTTCATGCCCTCGTAGTACGTCGGCTCGTAGTTTCCGTAGGCCACGCGGGGCGAGAAAGTGACGCCGTTGCCGGACTCGTCGCGGTAGATCATAAAGATCAAGCTGCCCTTCATGCTATCCTGGCCAATGCCGATGGCGGCCCATGAACGGTCGATGGGGGCCCGCATGGTAATGAAGACATCTTCGCCACTGTTTTCAGGGACCGTGAAGCCGAAAGCGACGTTATTTTCGGGGGCAACAAAGGTGGATTGACCTAGATCTGGCGTGTCGGAGGTTTGGGCAAACGAGGGAGTAGCGAATGTGGCTGCGGGAAGAGGACAGCGTCAGTGGGGTTCTTGGAGGCCAATGTGTTTATCATCGGCGCGTTCAGCGTGTTCAGCAATATGTTTGCCGCGTCTTTTAGAAGGGCGTTGGATTGAGGTTGACGGAGATAAACCCTTGTCTTCGCTAGGAGGTCGCCAGGAGGTCGGCAACAACCCAACAAGGGGACTCGCGAATAAGCAGGCGGGCCACTAACCTGCAGCAAGGGCAGCGCGCCCAAGGTTGGAGAACAGCATCGTCGCAATGTGCTTGGCTTCGTAGCGGCGGATGCGCCTGGGTGTGGGATCACAGTAGGGTCGTCAATGTGTTGGCGATGCGATGACGGACCGGCGAGATGGAGGTAAGAAGAAGAAAAAGGAAGAAAGCCGTTGCAAAGGGAAAAGAGGGAGGGAAATCAAGAAACGCAAATTACTGCTTGATTAAGTGTGGCAGGCTGTCCCGTTTGAGAGACAACGCGCGAGGAAAGGGAAGGGTAGCTAGCACTTGGCGAACGACACATGTGCCCGTAGCCAAAAAGGCGGTTCTTGGCTCCGTCGGAAAAGGGCAATTAACTACCTGATTAGTATGGAATGCGAAGCAGGTACGTACGTTGTACAGCATGCGCTCTCGTCTCTGTTCCCTGCCTCCATTTAGCTTCATTCCCGTCGTTGTCCTCTCCCACCTCTTTTCTCCCTCTGCCGCTTTCTCTCTCTCTCCCTCTCCCTCCCTCATTGCCCGCCAAAAGGGACCGTCTCACCCACTCCCCCACCACACACAGTCCAATTACTACCACAGACTTTATGCTTGATTGACCAGGCAATTTCATCACCAGCACTACCCTAGCAACGGTTTGGCAGATCAGGCACAGTGGAGCGACTTCAGCAGGGGGCCTGTCGACACCAATCCCCAGGGGGCCGCTAGCGAGTTGCCCCTCTCCTCGTCCAATTATGATAAGCCTTTTACCCATTTCCTTGTGTTCCCCCCTGTCCCTTCCCCATTGCTTTTTTGGAGAGTTAGCTTTTTGGGAAGGTCTCCATCGGCACCCGCAGCTAATAAGTATGCCTCTGTTGATACCTACTGACTGGCGCCTTGCAACACCAGACATGACAGGCCCGAGGCCTTCCTTCAGTGGCTGCCCCCCCTTTCCCACTTATCCCTCGTCAATCGTCATTCTGCCCCGTCGCTTCGGAGTAATTGAGTGTCTGAGCGGCATTGGCGGGAGGACTTTGTGATTGACACCTGGAGAAAGATGCTATCCCCCCCCTTGGCTCGAACCCTTCTCCGGATTCTCCAGATTTCCTTCTCCGGCAAGCAACGTTTGCGTCAGGCCAAGCTTTATGCGTCCTCTCCATCTTTCTCGCTTGTCCGTTGGCTAAGGAGGGATTTAGAAAAGTCCGTTCACACAGCAGCGACTGACATGTTGACATGGGCCGACAACACCAATCATGATGAGCTGCGCGTTTGGGCGATTACCTGTACTATTATCTCCAACGCCCTGATTGGTCATCGTCCCATCTGCGTCAATGCTGTAGCCACCCACCATCGTCTTGTCGTCGTACCACAGACAGAAACACTACACCTCGATGGATTTGAGGGCGCGATAAGCATATGCTCGTCGGGAACCTCCCTGATCTTATAAGAAGCTTTCGCTCCGATTGGGGAACCTCTGAGGCCGGAATCGAAGGGCTTGCGTGGCTGCCCCTCAGTCAGCGTCACGATACGAAATATCATAAACTCTACAACATGTGAGACACTTGCGGGCTGCGCGGTAAAGACTGTTGGTATTTTCTAATCATAGGTACTCTTCAAAATCATCGGCCTAAACTCTAATGATCGGCTGAGGCGACATTGACCTCCAAAATCGAAATCAAACCCCCAAGAAGCCACGTGGCACGGCAAAGAACGTAAATATTGAGTTGCCATCGATCCGTGGCTTCTCAGAAGAGCTTGTGCTCAAGCGTCATCTCGCTCTCGGGTTCGAGTCCGACACACGCGCGGAAGATGTTGGTCAGCGCGGCGCGCTGCTTGCTCAACGCGTTGACGACCGGGGTCCCCGGCGGCGTCAGCGGCGCCTTGAGCATGTAGCTCAGGATGCTCAGCACGCTGTGGAAGCCCTTAAAGTCCTTGGTCGCGACGCCGTCCGTCGACGTCGCCTTCCACTGGATGCGCGTCATCATCTCGGCGACGAGCACGAGGTCGATGATAAGCGGCGATGCCAGCAGGGAGTCCTCGCACACGTTGAACAGCGAGATGGTCTGGTGTCCGCCCATGAAGATCTCGGCGTAGTACTCGTCGAGCGCGCGCTTGTTGTCGCCCACGGCCGGCATGTACTTGATGACGACAGTGTGGTCCGGGTGCTCGCCCTCCTTGTACAGCACTGAGTTGGCCTCGACCATGTCGTCGACGACGTTGGACTTGGAGATCTCCTTGGACCGGAACTGCTTCTGCGAACTGAGATTCTTGCCGTCGTTGTTGCCCAGGTGGTTGTAGCTCGCGATGGATGTCAGCTTGATGCCCGCGTTGATGAGGAAGTCAACGAGAGCCGATTTCATTTTTGTCTGGCCCGACTTGAAGTCGTCGCCGCCGATAAAGGACCCGTGCCTCTCGGCCAGCTCGATGGCGCCCGGGACGAAGGTGTTCTGCGGGGAGCCGTTGATAAAGGGAACGCCCTCGAGGGTGCAGGCGACAGAGAAGACGGTCGAGGGGGACACCTCTTCGTGGCCCTCCTCAATGGCCTTGAGCAGATTGTCGGCGGTGTCGTTGACGCCCGGGATGATGTCGGCGTAGCGCTCCGTGTTGGCGGTCCACTGGACAATGACCTTGTCGAGGCCGTTGGCCTCCTTGAAGTCGCTGTCTCGGGTCAGCACCATTTTCCACTCATCGCAGCACACACACAATCTTACCGAATGTCCTTGCGGATCTGCTCAACGTGAGTCGTGCAGGCCTTGCTTCCGGGAATCACATTGTCGGCCCTGTCCTCCTGGTTGGCAGCAATAAAGTCAGGGTAGTAGATGCTCGGCAGCGGCACCATCTCTGCCATCTCCTTCCTGACCTGCGCCTTGAGCGTCGGCTCGAGCACCTGCGCGCGGTCCATGGCAGCGGCCAGACTCATGCCGCTAATGTCCCAGCCGCCGATGGCGAGGTCGTTGGGGTGGACCATGGGCACCAGGTCGTGGAAGGGGATGTTGACGTCCCTGGCCGTCTCGGCGTCGGTCCCCAGCTTGACGGTGGACCCCATGATGACGGAGCCGTAGTAGTTGGCGGCCCGGGCGCCCTCGCGGGTGTCCCACTCGAGGCCGCGGCGGTTGGCGAGGATTCCCGCGGTGACGGTGGTGCCGTTGTTGCCGCCCCAGCCGACGAGCATCATGCCGACGCGGGGCACCTTGCGGTCCGTCTTGAACTCATATACGGTCTCGGTGGGCGTGGCGACGTACTTGCCGGCGGCGTCCTTGTTGACCTTTGTGGTGCGGTAGGTGTACTTTGACCGGATCTCGCTGTCGGTGTAGACGACGTTGGGGGAGTTGACGGTGAAGAGCTCGCGGTGCTGCTGGTTAGTAGCGGCGGCAGCGGCGCCGTTGCCGTTGGGGGAGGGTCCATCTCCGTGCGCGGAGCCCGAATCGACCTCTGCATGGGGAGCCATGATTCTTGAGACTTCAGAGGTGGCGCGGGGGTGCGGTTTGTTCAGGGTACAGTTGAGTATTTGGCTTGCGTGTGTGGTTGGCAAGGATCTTTAGAGATCTTTGGCCGAGTCCGCTGAACCTCCGGGGGAGGCAGAGCAGCGGGCTCCTGCGTACGGGTGATGGACCCTAGGCGGAGGCTTTAGCATCTTGTTTCCCATGCGGTCGTGAAAGTGAGGGTGAGATCTAGTTGAGTGGGACTTACGAGTTGAGGAGGTTGGAAAACGTCTTGACGACGGGGTGATCGCGACTCGTAAGCGCGATCAGACAATGGGCTGAGGTTGGGTTGGGGGGGTGGTTTGTTTAGAGTGAGACTGTTTAGGCTATCCTCGATTGTCTTGACTTGACAGACTATGATTCAGGATAAAGAAGAGAGAAAAGAAGAAAAGGAAGGACGTCGGAGAGCCGGGCGAGACGGGAAGCGTGATTCAAATAGTTCGTCCAAAGAGCCAAGCCTGAGAAGGGGGGGAACCGTCCGGGACGCCGGGGCTGGGTAAGGTCAGGCAAGGTAGGTAGCTAGCCGTGGGACGAGGTGAACCTGGAGCTATGCCACGTCGGGTCTTACTAGTCGTCCGTTGTTGGGGGCGGTGAGACGGGTTCGAGTGCAGAGAGTGACAGGCTACAGGCACGGCTCTCTGGTGGAGAGATTATGCAGTGCGGTTCCCCGGGACGCGACGGCGACAGATAACGGGGCCCAGGACCTGGCTGCGTGCAGCCGTGTGCGTGGATATGTTCAATTTGCGCGGTGGTGGGATGGGGATGGTGCAGACACGATGGTGGTACGCGGGGGTCAGGAACCGGTGCTCGGGAGGACGGAGGGGAAGGGGGGGATGGTGGATTCGTCGGTTTCTCCGGTTTAATCCAGTTGTTTACGCGTACCTGGGCTTGACGACATGGGAGAGACGAGCTGGTGGAACGGTCGTGGTGTAAATGCAGACAAAGACGCAGTGTCCAGGCCAGCGAGGCACTATGCGAAAGCTATGAGTTGTCAATGGGAATGCAGCTTCACGAGCCTGTCACTCTGGCCGAGTCGGAGATGCAGATAAGCTCTGGCGACTTGTGCATTATCTGGTCTCTTCGCATCGTTCCGACGAACTTGTATTGCATGGTGCCCGTCCCTCCTCCCTCTTTCACATGCCGCCGTGCCTAACCTTGCTGTGCTTTTTGCTGGAGGGACGGGGTAAGGCGCCTTATCTTAGGCGGCGGCCCGGAGCAGAAAGGCCTCACACGACACATCCATGTACGGCCTATGCAACATTGGTCATGTCTGGTTCGTAACGCACACGACTGGTCCTGATTCTTCCGAGATGCACGAGCCGAACTGCATGGGACAGCGGACGCCAATGGCGTGGGCAAATGGTTGTCCTCGTCCTCAATATACTACCGTCGTTATTGTTTGGAGGAGCACCGGCGCGCAGTATCGAGGTGGGATGGCGGGGCACTCGGTACCCGCACCTTCAGCTGCGTCCCCAGCAGCGCAAGCGAGGACTGCTCGCGAAGAAGGGGGCGGGGCGGATGCCCTGGACGTGCGTGTCGAACCCGGCTACCGAAGGAGGGACGAAAGGAGAATGGAGGGGTTGTGGTGACGGCCGTCTGATTGGGCCCAGTCCGTGAGCCAACCCGGTGACCTGGTGCTCGAGCGCTGTTCTGGGCGTCTTCTTCTCCTCCTCCTGCTCCTCCTGCATTCGGCGGCGTCGGGGCGGGTTCTTCGGCTGGAGGCGGGGCCCCGTCATCAATGTTGTCGTCTAGGGCGGGTTTAGTTGCCAACTTTGAGATGGCATTGCCAGTTCGATATTGCTTTGATGAAGTAAATTATAACGACGGGCTCTGGGCACTCGCGCATGGCAATCCTCCTCACTAAAGATGTACTTCGAGCTGTAATCGTCTGCTCTCTGCTTCCAGCCGCTCCCACCCCTCCCTCTCGGCTGCCCTTCCGCCGGGCTGGCGTATCCACGGCGTGCACCCACATTCCCCCGGCCCTGTAAGAAAACCCCCACTATTCCTCTTCAACCGCATGAATCCCGCATGAGCGTGCCTGCAGGACGGAAGGCCCTCAGGGTTGCGGAGCTCTGCGCCAGTTGGCCAGACGTCTTTTCTCGTTAGCAGCGGTTGCGCGTACAGCCCGGTTTCGCGCGCAGGCAGGCGTCCTCTCGCTCTCTGCCATCCCGGACGACGAGCACTTGGCGGCTTGGGCGCGCTCTTGACCGCTACTGTCGAGCAAGAGGAGGCTTCTTCGTGATTGGGCTGCTGCTTTTTCAGGGGAACCCCCGACTGTAGCTGCAGTCAACGACGGGAAGGGCGGCGGGATGGGCAACGGGAACTCTCTTTGGCGAGGAATCCGAGGGTGCCGCGAATCCGATCCCGGCCACTTGGGCGTGCTGATCGGAGTGTCGGGACATGTTGCCGCCCCGTTGGTCGCCGAGCTGCGAGACGTCCGTCCGGAGATGAGGAAACCGCCGAGCCCCGCGACTCCCGACGACAATTCGTCTGTACCGATGATGGTTTTGGAAACCAAAGGGCAGTGTGGAAAATTGTGCAAAGCAACGGCCATGAAAGGTGTTATATTTTACTCCTATTTCTAGACGAATCATGCCCATAAGCCAGGTCTACATGTTAGTAGCGTCGTAATTAACTGTAGACCCTCAATACCCCAAAGTGGACGATCACCCAGAGGCAAAAATTGTGCGATACTTGGGAGCGACCTCATCAACTACTTCTCGTCCACAGTGGCCAAGGAAGCGAAGGGACTGACGTCGACATTGTCATCCACAATACCAAAGCTACGGCGTTAATGCCTTTGTCTAGCACTGAGTCAATTGATCTGCGAAATTCGGCAAGGACGGACAACCATATTAAAAAGTACCTACCTCCATTACTACATTGTCCGTTATGATTTTATTAGTGGTGAAATATTATACACGGCTTTCTAGACGGTGGCAAGACCCTCGCATCAATAGCTACACAAAATTCAACACAATCGTTCAGTCTTTCGTCGCCATTCTATAGGCTTTCATTCTTCCCGGCAAAAATTCGACAATTTTAGTAGCCTCGTTTAGACGTACTACCCTGTTTGTTTTCATAATCAGCCGTAACGTTGTCAGTAGTCAAAGGAACAGAGAAACCGGGCTTAAATACACCCTTAAATCTATCCTTTCCAGGTATAGCAAGAAATGCGACGTTCCCTGTCCGCATTTCCGTGTCCATGAGGATGTTAAAAACAATGGAATAGCTCACTTTAGTTGCTATAAGTCACCGTACCCACTTTCCGACCACCCCCACTTCCGACCACCCCCCACTTCCGACCACCTAAAAATCCCTCATCGTCAACCTCATCCTCCAACTTCCAACTATCACAACTTTTTCCATACTTATCCAAATGGCCTCATCTTTCTAGGCTACCTTATTTATAGCCTAATGGTCCAGTATACCGAACATGAGCTTAATCAGGCGCTGGAGGCTATGGCCAATGGCGTTAGTCAGCGCTAGGCAGCTCGTACCTATAGCATCCCAAAGACTACCTTACAAAACCGCATAACTGGCACCCAGTCAAGGGCATCAGCTTTTTCTGACTTCCAGAGGCTCTCTGTTAGTCAGGAAGCTAAGCTGGCCAGCTGGGTACAGATCCAGGCTGACCTTGGGCTTACGCCAACGCATCAGCAGGTCAAAGAATTTACCCAGCGTATCCTGAATGCGATAAGCAATACCCAGCCTCTAGGAAAGAGATAAGTGAATGCCTTCATACAAAGAAACCCATCTATCAAGGTCCAGAGAAGTCAATCTATTTGTAACAGACGCTGACAGTGACGTCGGTCGCAAGGACCCTTTGACTCTACGGCCTAACCAATTGACCCAATTGACCCAAAAGATCCGTCAGTGCTTGCACGCGTGCAAGCCCTGCTGTCAACACTGCTTATATGCCCTTGTGACGTACAACCATTGGGCTAGGGGAGTTGTGCTGTTACAACTATACCCCCTCCTAGGCTGCCTTGTCCCCAAGGCACACATAGGCAATGCAGACCCCCAAGGTTAGAGTTAGCGATGAGACAAGTCCTACCCCGCCTTTCACCAGCGCTCGCCTTGATAGCTAGGGACAACTACAGGAATTGAACTTATAACGGTAATTAAGCCTTTCTTTGCCACATACCAAGTCCAGCAACTATTAGTCTGACTATACGCGTACAAGCATAATTGTAACAGACGCTAATAGTGACGTCGGTCGCAAGGACCCTTTGACTCTACGGCCTAACTAATTGACCCAATTGACCCAAAAGATCCGTCAGTGCTTGCACGCGTACAAGCCCTGCTGTCAACACTGCTTATATGCCCTTGTGACGTACAACTATTAGGCTAGGGGAGTTGTGCTGTTACACTATTAATTCTAGATATATTAATAGGGTATCTACTAAGGTTATTAAAGACTAGTTTAAATATCTTGTAATCCTAGTAATATTAGTTATTTAACTAACTAATAAATATAATATAAATAAGACTAGTATCCTTAAAGGCTAAAGAGTAAATAGGCTAGTACTAGGTAAGGTAAAGACTAAGTCTATATATAAAAAGTAGCCTGGATTATAAGCCTAGGTATTTATTATTAAGTATATCTTAGCTAAGGGCTAAGTACTATATCCTCTTATTATATATAAAAGTAAAATAATCTAGTAATAGTAGTTTCCTCTAGACCTTGCTTTTTATAATAAATAGGAGTTTATAGTAATAGATAATAAATAAATAACTAATAAGACTATTATTAAGTAGCTATTAAAGGTCTTCTTACTATAGATTACCTCTTAGCTTAATTAAGCTAAACTACTGATTTTAGATAAGTATAAGAGCTATATAATAATAGAATTTATATAGTAATACTATATTAATAACATTTATCTATTATTTTTACTACTATATACTTCCTATATCCTTTAGCTACTAGATTTATTAGTCTTTAGCCTAGTTAAGTTAACTTATTTTAAAAAGCTTTAGCTTAACTTTAACAAATAAAATAATTTAACTATAGTTAATAAGAGATACTTTATATCTTATTATTAAACTAAGAATTAAGAAGTAAAATTCTTATAATTCTTATATATAAATCTCTTTATAACTCTATAACTAAAAGTCCTATAAATATATAGTTATTTTTTCTAGATTCTTCTTGAAAAATAACCTATAAAAGTATATATTACTATATATAACTATACTAATACAAACTACTATAAACTAATATAGTCTACTACATATAAACACATATACTTCTAAGCATTACATATACCAGCGCTTATACTTATCTACAGGCATATACAAGCATATATATACATATACAAAAAACTATAAGTACCTCTCAGCACTTAGATATACGCTTAGATATACACTTAAATACTATACATATCTAAGGGACTTTCTATATAACTAAGAAATATCCCCTCTATTTAAACAGTTTTATAACAACAACAAAGATATAACAATACCTTAACAGTTAATATATATATATACCTTTTCTATCTATCTTATTCTTCTCTACTTTTCCTTATAACTATTTATAAATAACCCCCTATTATTCTTACTATTAGTAAGTATACTTATTTAAGCTAATAAAAAGTAATATTATAAGTAGCTAAATAAGTATAAGATTATAGCTTATTAATATAACTAGACCTCTTATAAGCTCTTTACTATTACCTAAGGTAATAACATTAATAATACTACTTAATAAGGCTACCTAAAGTATCTAAGGTATCCAAGGTATCTAGGATACCTAAAGTATAAAGGGATAAAAATCTATTATATTTGTTATTATATAATCTATACCTAAAAAAATAAAGGATCTTAATAGTTAACTAGACTTATTTAATAAGCTAAATTAAAGTATAACTATATAACGCTAACTATTCAAAAAGGTCAAAAAAGGCTTCTAAAAGTAGTCCTTTTAGCTAGCTATTACCTAGTACTAGATACAGCTTCTTTAAGCTTAAGTTAGTAATATAACAGTAAAGAAAAAAAAAGCTATTCAAATTAACCCTAATACCAAGTTCACTAACATCAGCAATATACAGAAAGCCTAAATTAAGGCTAGCAAAGCTAAAGCTAACGTAGATAAATCTAGCGCATCTGATTGCCCTAGTGAAGCAAAAAGCTGTATCATAGTTACATCTAGCCCTCGTCAATAGTCAATTAAAATAGGTAGTTATGTTGCAATAGCCTCGTTTTTGGGTGGTCAGAAGTAAAGGGTGGTCGGAAAGTGGGTACGGTGACTTAATGACTTTATCTAAAGCCATGAATTTCTTCCATTGTTATTTTTAAGAATCAGGGTAGAGGGTTAAAGGTTACAGCATTCAATAAGGAATACTTTGTGTTTGAAAGGTGTCGCGATGCCCTCACGCGCATCGCGCAGCCTTGTAAGATTTACGCCGAGCCTAGATTAACTATTAGTCCGGTCCCTTCATATAGATCCACCACACAAAATACGTATTTATTTATTTCAGACAAAGCAATCCTACACATAGAAATCTAAGCCATTTTCCTTATATCTTTTTTACCCTAAGTAGTAACTTTATAACAGTTATAAGCCTAGCTTATATTACACCCTTAAACCACTATGTCTAGAGCGTACTATAGGCTAGAAAATCTCTCTTAAACGAATTATCTCTACTCTCTTAAACTAATATCTTTAATATATCTATTTCTATTAAAGCTATAAAGAAGCTTAAGACATAAAGTAATTAGCCTTTATAATATA